CCCCGCCTTCCCCAGCTTATGCCCAGGACACCTATGAAACCCCCTAGCTAACCTACAACCGCGTCTCAAGTGGGAAATACGACTCCCCTCGAAGTGCTGGCGCCCAGCTACATCAAAGCAATATTAGACCCCAAGGACGAAGAATTCGACCGACTCCAGTGCCCGGCACCTACTCCTAAGCGCTACGATTATCTTCAAGTTGATCGTAGAAATGCGAAAACCGCAGACGGGCAGATAAAATACTTCTTTGCGCTCAATCTGCGACAATGTATCGGCATACTTCCTCGATTGATAGGATCCATTGTGGAAACTGTGCGATTTCTCGGGCCCGAAAATTGCGCTTTGTCGATTGTGGAGGGAAATTCGGATGATAGGACTTTGGAAGTACTGGAAGCGTTGCGCAATGACATGGGAAGCTTGGGACTTGAATTTCACCTCCAGACTAGCGACATAGATCCTAAGAATGGAGACCGAATCGAAGCCCTTGCAGGCCTTCGAAACTTAGCCCTCGAGCCACTGGTCAACAATTCGAGTCAGTATTCCCAAGATACAGCGGTGATTTTTATCAACGACGTCGGTATATGTATGGAGGATATGCTGGAGTTGGTTCACCAACGCGTTTTTCAGAAGGCGGACATGATATGTGCGATGGACTGGTCGGATATAGATCCAGCGCCCATCTTCTACGACATCTGGGTCGCAAGAGCCATAAATGGAGACACATTTTGGGAGATTCCCCCAGACGGAGGCTGGCGATTTGCCTCGAACCTCTTTTGGAACCATCCAACATCCCGTCTGCGACACGATCAGCACAAGGCCTTCCAAGTCTTCGCCTGCTGGAACGGCGCCGTAGTCTTCACCGCAAAGCCTATAATACAGAACAAGATACGATTTAGAGGATCGAATCCTGGTGAGTGTTATTCGGGTGAACCGCGATTGTTCTGCAAGGACTTGTGGATGGAGGGGTATTCGAAGATTGCGGTAGTGCCGTCGGTTAATTTGGGTTATTCGGATGAGTCTGCTAAGAAGGCTAAGGGGTTGCATGGGTATGTTTCTGAGGCGGTGAAAGGAGAGGATGTTAATGATGAGTCGTTGAGGATTGTGTGGGATGACAAGCCACCTGAACAGGTCAAGTGTATGGCTGATTTTGCGGACCAGTCTTGGGTACCCTGGAATCAGGGGTTCGAACCTAAGAGTTGAATGTAATATCCTTCTACTGTTATCACTCGAAAATTCGAAGATTCTGCGCTGTCGCACGCTTTGTGAAGTCCTCGTGCCCACGGAGTGAACCTGCCTTGCCTTCACACTACCCCTCGCTCAAAACGGACTATCCTACTTGCTATACCTAGCTTTTCTCTCAAAAAATCTGTAAATCTATTACCGGCAGGCCTTCTATAATAAAGTAAAAGCTTAGAGAAAGCTCTCTTTCTAGCTAATATCCCCCAGTAGCTCTTATTCTTTATTTTCCTTATTCTTTCCTATAGCTTATATTCTAAATTTTTATTTTTTTTTAAGCTTGGTGACTCGGAGCTTAGGGGTCCCAAATCAGACTCCTTTCGAGGAAAACTAAATTGACCTCATCCCTAGTACTAATATAAAATTAAGCAGCTGCAAAGTATATTTATTATAGCAATTTCCCCATATATAAAGACTGCTCAGTCGATAGCTCCTTTAGCCCTACTATATTACTATAAAGCCATCTGCAGAATCGATTAAAAAATTGGTATACGGCGGATCCTACGCAGTAAGAAACCAGATATGCTACCCTCCGAGTCCGAGTAAGTACCCTTCAGAATACAATGAGGGATAGTTTGCTAACGGCCGCTTGATAACCACTATAATCTCAGACGACGATTTTGCCCACCAAAGTCCATTTCCGCCTTTGAACCTGAGCGGTCGCTGCTCTAACCTGAGCAGAGCCCTGAGTCCTCCTACCAGTTCTGATCATGCTAATGAGTCAGCTGGATTTTGCTCAGGGTTCCTCTTTTGGCCCCTTGCTGATCGCCTATAGTTTCTATATTTTTGGGGTGGGGGGTGGACTTTTTGGACCCCCAGGTCTATTTTGGTATTCGGAGTACTACAAATACGAGTGCATCGGGTTGGAAGACTACGCTTCGAAGTGCTTGCCTCTGAAATACAACATCTGCACATACCCCAAAATGGCGTATGTGCCTTACTTTTACTTTGAGCCAAAGTAGTCCGGGTCGCTACAATACAATTTAGATTACTCTGGTAAATTTGAGATAGCTTAGAAAATATTTTATACTTGCGACTATGAAAAGAAACTTAGGAGAAGTGGTGCTCTAATATAAGGGGTTTCTAGAAGAAATACGGACAGAGAATGCTGAAAAGTAGAAAGAAATTGTAATTAGCCCCCAATATCATTTATCTGGTGACGCATTTCCGGTCGCTCCCTTTCATTCTTTAGTGCTCTAGCGTGTCAAGCCCCACGAATTTGTAGCTGAAAATTATCATTGTCTGCCGCAGGCTTTATACGAAGGACTGGGCAGGCTTTAATATTAACCAGCAGTTCTTGGCTTAATTCGTTATCCCACTAGTCGTAAAAGTCATCAGGGGTTGATATCTCATCCGGCGTAGCATCTCCTTCTATTTTCTCAAGACTTGCTAACCGCTGCTCGATTTGAACTCGAGGTTCAAGATGGCGAACAGCTTGGGCTACATCCTCAGTATTACCCATTCCAACCAAGGTCATCGTCGTCAACTTCGGCCACTCCCTTGAAAGCACGGGAAAGAGAAGCCTCTGACTTTCTCTGATAGAATACGCCCCGTACTCTGCCGGATGGGTCGTGCCTGGATTGATCTGCCGGTCCCAATCGGTATAGCTGGAGCCGCAAAGGTAGCGGTTCTCCAGAGTCAATTGTGTTATTGTGCTCGAGGAATGGAGGAGCAAGGCAGCCCATTCCTCAAGCACGGAAACCTCCGCTTCACGGGGGAACCTCCATCTCATGCCCGAGGCGTATGTCGGCCCTTCATCCTCATCCTCATCGCTCTCGTCATCTGTTAGACGCCCGTCCAAATCTGCAAGTTTACACAAGTGCAAGTTTTCTAGGCTGGTGAACCGATCATGGATACCAGAAAGGAAGACAATGCCGTCTGGTCCATCATCCTGACCTGGAGATTGAATCAAATTTATGAGGGAAAGGTGTTCAATATTCTCAGGCTTGGCCAAGAGCCCAAGTAGGATATCTGTCGACATTTGTCCTCCGATCTTTAGAGACTTTAAGTTCGTTATTCCACGGGCTAATGCTTTCCCACTGGTTTCAAGGCTCGTATAGCCCCACCAACTTTTGATATACACCGATAGCGAATCCAAATTCGTAAACTGTGCAATCACGTCGAATACGTTTCTTCTACCAGCAGCATAGCTGTCGTCGAAAAACTTAAACTCATCGTAGCTAGCCCTGTCCCCGTCATGAACGATATTGATTCCGTACAGCCTCCCTAGATTTAGCTTACGAACATAGGCAGCCAAAACAGCCCATCGTTCCGGCTTCTCATCCATCAAAGTATCGCAAAATGCGAAGAATTGGCGTGAACGTTCCACCCCATCGTAATCATCAATCTCCCAGACGAAATCAATTTCTCTCCAGAGTAGCGGTACAATCCTCTCATACCAGTCCTTATTAAGTTGACATAGTACAGCAAGATCGGGCATGTCGCACCATTTGAAGATTTGGTCCTGCAACTCTAGTGGCACCGTAGGAACCAGAGCTAGCGCCTCGATTGAGTCCGGCGTCGTTGTTCGCCATTCTTCTTCACACATAATGAATGAGTGAGATGAGACACAAATTTCCAGTTTTCTGAGCTTTCGTACAGTGACACCCTGTAGTTTGAGAGTGTAGACTCGGACAAAATGGTGGTAAAGAGCGGTAGCTCGGTTTGGATCCGTTGAGTTACCGAGTCGTAGATCTAAGAGAAGTTCGATCCCTTGTAACTCGAGCTTATGTCGCAATCATTGATATAAAAATCATTCGGACGGGCGGTGAGACAATACCTCGTGTGCTGCGCCTTTCGATTATTAGTTTGGTCTAGCGTTTACGCATGGCTCTAGATACGTGCCTAGGAATGCCTAGGGCGTGCCTGGGAATGCTTGCCCTCGTCTAAACATATAAGTGCTACATTACTACCTGGTATATAAGGATTGAATAGTACTAGTACCTATTTCGGTTCGTATCACCTGCTTCACAAATATAATATTTCTAGGGAGGCATCTGAAGTCATTCGGTTATTATGTCGGACCCTATCGGAATAACGAACCAGTTTTGGCGCACTTATTAGTGGCGTACGTTCTTTTTTTCTACTTGAGACAAAATGATCTTGAACTATAGTCCTATAATTCGGAGTATTGCCGGGTGATATTGTAAAGAGATAGAACGTGCCGTCCATGTGCACGACAAACTAACAAATAAAACCAGTAGTTAGGGGTAAAAATGTGTATGTGTAAGAAGCTACCAAGTTAATCAATTGAGACTGATACCAAGACTACTTCCCTTATATGGAAGTCCACCAGCCGGCTGTTTTCCGACTTAGTGCTGCACGAAGACTCCCCGACAACAGCTGCCAGTTTATTAAGACCCTGCAACGCCAAGTAAGAAAAGAAAACGAAAAAAGGGGAAGAAAATATTGAACATTGGTCATAACCTTGAGTGGCGTTCGTGGGAAATGTGAAGTATTGCTCGCTCTATTATATAATATATCAATTGTTTCTGATGAAGACGTTCCATTCACCTCCTGTCTTATTCCCATGTCAATGTCTTCACTTATATGGTGTTTTACCGCCTGATTTCTCGCTTTGAATGACGCTTCCCTCAACTCTATGTGCTCCTACACTAAGACTTGCTAAGTTTAGCTGGAGGAACCTATTCATTCCGGGATCGGATTGTGATAGTTCCACCACTCGCGACCAATTTATCTTCCAAAGAGACTAACTTGGAAGCTTCTCTTAAGATGTTAAGGTCCGGATAGATGTGCCAGGCAGATAAGGCAAGAAGCATAGCGCCATTTTGGGCCATCTGTGGCATGCCATTGATAATCTTCTCCATAGCACTTAATGAAATTCGCCAGGCTTGCATGACACTGTCATATGTGTCACTAATATTATTGACGCTCATGCTAACATTCTTGATTATCAACATGAGACGCATCTGCTCCTTATTCGTAGCCTCGTCTGCACGACGAAGCCAGGCAGCCAGTTCTTTTCTAGATATTGTTTGTTGGGATGCCATCAATGTCGACCAATTTTGAGATTCTACTCCACTGTTTTCCGCCTTAATCATAGCCTTGCGCCGGTTAACAATCTCGTCCCAGACTGATGTCCCTTTATCCGGAGTCTAGATGCGAGCCAGCATAGAAGCTAAGAGATGGACCGCAACAGCACCTACACTAGATGTAGTAGCGGCTCATATAGAAGTTCCATCCGCCCCGACCTGTTGTTCGAAGGTACCATACCGTTTTGATCCATTCGGATTGATATCGGGCATTTGAGATATGTCTGAATATCGTTGTCCGTAGGCTCGGACAAGCCTGGGTGTAGATGGCAAAACCTGTTCGAATAACGCTCCGAGTCTTCTGGCTGTCTGGTGATAGGTGCCACCTTCAGCATCAGCACGCCGCTGAATCGAGACAGCGCCCAGTCCCCGGAACTCCACCGGAACTTGAGCTATGAAGCGTGAAAAGTCAAAGTCGAGGTTCCCAAGAGCCAAAGTGTTCTCGTTGGAGACTATTCCCAAAGCGCCCTGCAATTTTCCTATTGAGGCCATTATGTGCCCTTTCTCTGGAGTCTACACAGTAAATAAAGCGAAGGGGGGTTCCTACTTCACTAGAAGAGGTTGTGTTCATATACATAATATGGATTATTTATCTGAGACATAGTAGGTTGTGAGATTGTATTGATCCAGGAGGCTAGTACTATGGGGTAAAAGCCTCCTATATATAGCCAAATAATGGAATAAGTCAAATGTGCCAAATGAATGGAATGCGCCGTTATCTGTGATTTCCAAGCCTTGCCTGACTTACCTATTCATCTAATACTAGTACTAATTACTAGCAAATAGGTTCCTAGACTGGTTGAAATAGGTGGATCATGCATTTTGGTCTTTGCATTAAAACATTATTATTTAGTGGCTTGATAGGAGGCCTGAGCCTCAACATTAGGGAACCCCCATATTCTAGCAATAGGATCTTCAATACTTCAATTTTGGTAAGATACTCGCACGACTTCAATATCTCAATTTCGGTTAGATATTTACGCGATATCGAATTATATCTGGGTAATGGCCGTTGGGCCTTATAATACTAGTGAAAAAAGCTTGGCTCCAAATGCACCCAATAATGCGCCATGCCCGTCATAGTATTGGTCAAGAACACACCGTAAAGCTGTACGACAACACCTATAACTACTCTGTAGCTAACGTAATGTTATGGGCGGAATCGAGTGTCGTTGCAAGTAGAATCACAGGGAAGTAAATGTGGGAGAGCTCGTAGAGATCTAGTGGAACCGCCCATAGCACGTGGAGGAATTTGTCGTATTAATCAGAGTGGAGTTCTAATAACCTGAAGGGGGTATCTCCTGAATCATCCTAACCCAAGGGTATCCCACCAAAGCATGCCCAAAGTCGACTCCTCACATCTCGCAAAACGCCTGACACCCTACTCCATCGCTCCCCTCTTAAACGCCCGGCGCCTAGCTCAATGCTTCCAGGTTGCCAGATTGAAAAAGCTGTGTGTTGTGTCGAGTGCTATGCATCACGTCAGCTTCGTGGGGTCATGAAATGCACAAGGGTTTAAAGACTCCGTACCTTGGCCGCTATGGTAGAGTAGCGCAATCGGGGAGGATGTATGAGGCGAGGGAAACCCTAAAGGCATACACAAACCAACCCATGCCGAAGGCGCCAAAGGCCACTGATGCGACGACTATGGGTGGGGGAAGGTAGTAACAGCCACCATAGTTGGTGTAGTAGTGGGTGGTAGTGACAGGGCCGGGAGCAAGGGGAGCTGTGCGGAGTGGCCTACCCGGCTCCATATCAGACAGTTCGATCGATTCCACGGGGCCACTCTGATGGTCCATGGCTGTTGTACACCGGTTGTATGGGGGTGGTGCTTGGAGTTGGAGAGCAAAGTTGTTGGTTGGTTGTGGGTTGTCGACGTTGTCGGCAACACCACCGAGTGATGCTTTGCAGGGCGACATTTTTTGTGCGGTCCTCCTTAGTCGTCGCTCGCCTTAGTGGTCGCTCAAGAGGAAGTTATGTTATTCGGACCAGATTTGGAGAGCGACGCTGTTCGACTGTCCTTGTCCTAAGGTTGAAGGTTGATGGGCGGAAGATAAATTTGACTTTGGGAATTTCACGAAGACAACGCGACTTGTGGCGGTATAGATATCGGTGAGGAATACCTGGGTAAACGCCACGCCGGCATAGTCTATTGTCCCCCTATTTGCTTACCTAGGGACACAATTTAACCACCCTTTGAACTCATAATTCACGCCGTTCGATATGATTGTAGGCGAACAAGACAAGCTATCAAACTAAAGCATCTATCTAGGTTTGGCAGAGAGCAGCACGGCATGACTCTTAGTATGGAGGTTTCGGCAACTTAGAGTTTAGCGCTTCGGTCTACGATACAAAGAACAACTGTTGATGGACTGCGCTGATGTAGACTCGACCAAAGAGGTAGCTAGAGTAGAGTAAAAGAAAATAGCTTGGAGGTTAATAACGCTCTCTGATATAGGTGGCTCCTAGAATAAATTACCAATATGATCAACAAACACTTTTGCGTTCTGATAATTAATTTGAAGGGCATCATAGGTTTAACGCCTACCTTTTAATAATAATATATCCTATATGTTTGGGATCGGCGATCAAGTATCATATATTGCCTAGAAGTCTATGCGTCACATGTGGTCCTACTTTATTGAAAAGCTGGAATTTAAACTCAGTAATTTGTTGCAACGGAAGTGTATCGCGATCTAGTCCTAAAGATAATTTTAAAGGTAGCTTCTTCTTTATTGCAAGGCAGCATTTGATCCCCGAATGAAGCATCGGATTTATGACTCAGTTGACTAGATTATACGGCACTAGGCACATATCCACTCTTCGTTGAGGGTGTTTCAGTAGGGATGCCTCCGCAGAGATATCGCACAGGGATAGAATTCGAGTTCCAGCCACTGATCTTAATATGATAAAGCAAAGCATTAACTCAGCCTAATCGAAATAATTGCCGTACTCTCTACTAAATTATGTGAAGTAATTTGCCTTCAAGTTACTCAACTGAACTGAGTAATCTAACTTCAACTTACTCAACTGAACTAAGTAATCTAACTTCAACTTACTCAACTAAACTGAGCAATCTAACTTCAACTTACTCAACTAAACTGAGTAATATGCCTTCAAGTTACTCAACTGAACTGAGTAATCTGCCTTCAAGTATAAAAAACCTGCGGTCAAAAGAAGTGCAATGCGTCCACATTTACCAACCAGAACGACCAGCACTCCTCATATATATTTCCGATTTATAGCTTTATAACCTACGATCTCTCTTAGAAGGAGATGAAGATCACAGTCGGTTCCGTAATTTTTCAATCGTGGTATGGAATATATCTCTATGCCTCACTACCTCCCGATTATTCCGGACTTCCCTTCCATGGTCCGTATCTGCTAAATCCATGTACCTGGCACTCTTAACTGAGAAGGATTCTTGTTAGTAGAAAACATGGAAGGATTGCGGGGAGGAAAGACTTACACCTCAACAGCATTGTGATACCATCGCGAATTTGGTCCATGTCGAGATCTGATTCGGCAAGTGCAATAGCCAAGTACTGTCTTGGCTTGATATAGGCTGCCCCTCTTGTTGCCAAATCAAAAAGATTTGAAGAGAATATAAGTTGGAGGATGGGCTGATAGCGGGATCTGGAGATAATGGCTGTCAGTGTTTTGGAGGCACTGAAAACAGGTAGAAGGAGTTGATTGATTCTAGTAATAGAGGTGGAGGAGAAATACCTTATTATATACAGGCAAAAGTGGGCCGTTTTTGCTACATGTGGCGTACACCTGAAACTCGCCGAAACTCAACAATAGCACTTGCAGATAAATCTGCACCGTGTTCAAACCAGGTTTCTACATTGAAACATTGAATATCCCTGATATTAAGATCAAGAAATAAGGCATATTCTGTTGCCTCTGTCATCGTATTATAACAATAGTCAAGAGTCTGGTTGAAGTATTCCAATTCGTCATTGTCGCATTGCTCACCAGCAATAAACTCTCTGAATCTCAAATGATCGGAATTCCCTCCCAGCGTATCGTCTCCTAGTAGTGACATCATGTATGCATTTGCCTTCGCCCGAATAACGTTTTGGTAGACCTTACTGATGCTACCGCCGCGAAAGCTACGGAAGCCGCATCAATGCCCATAATACGATTTTTGGGAGTGCCAGGAGGAACCATCTCCAATTGATCCCAAAGTTCTTGGTACCTCAAAAGAGGGAACCCTGAACGGCATCGACATTCTGAATCCCATTTATCGGCTTGTGCGGAGAAGGTGATATGGTTGTGCTCAGTCAAATTGGGATGGAGGGAGTTTATAGCATCGTGGATAGACTGGGCAAGTTAGACGTAAGTTGGCGAATAGTTGACGCATTCTCCATCGTCTGTCTCCCCGACCTTTGAATTGAGGGCCGCAAAGGCCTTGTGGTCACCAGATGCTTTTCTCTTGGTAACCAAGAGCGCATTCAACACGGTGGTTGATAATATTCCGCCAGCAGGCCGCCCACACGAGAAGCTCTGGGCCGAAGAACTACTCATAGCATCCTGATCGGCAGCAGTCATCCCAGTTATGTTCAGCTTTGGTTTGGCGATAATCCGGAGGTGGACAAGGGGCTTATATTTGGTTTCGTGAGCCATCCTCCAGAATAGCAAGAAGTCGTCATGAGACTAACGTCTATTCCACGGCGTAATGCGGACCGAAAACCATTAATCGTACGTCGAGGAGTGCTTTTGGCCTGACCACCTTGACCGCCGATACAGATTCCATAGGTTCCCGCATCTCAGTGCCCAAAGACCAAAACCCGAACAGGTTGACTGTGTTTGTGCTGCAATGTTGATCTCTGATTTCAAAGTTGCGAGGAACCGCTCGAGAAGATCGCCTGACGGAACGACGCGCAATTTTCCTGATTCTTCAATCCTTGGAAGCATATTCTGATCCAGGACAACTCGCCGTTTCCCGCGAACTTCTCCATGGACGTATTTATGGTACCTGTCGAGGAGATGCCGGAGATCCGCAGACGTAACCCAGATTTGGTCTCCGAGCAAACAAGCTAGTATGTATGGCGTATTATTAGGCGAATATCTCAATTTTGGTGAGATATTCCCACGACTTGAATATCTCAGTTTCGGTCGGATATTCGCACGACTTGAATATCTCAATTTCGGTCAGATATTCGCGCGACTTGAATACCATCCATCCTTGCGGGGAGATGAGAATGATCCCGTTGGGAGGAATCCCACAGACAGCAACGACCCGAGTGTTTGGCTGGGCATCGGGAAGACAGCATGAGGTGAACTCTTTTCCCATGAGGCCGCCTTTCTCCCCAGATTGTCGGCTATGTCCACCAAATTCAGACGGAGAAAGCATGCTGCTCCAAATCTTTGCTACGCCGTTAAGGAATTGTGGGGTGGTGGGTATAGACGGGTCCCAGCGGTGCTAGGGAGGTTTGAGGATGCTGCGAAGTGGTTTGAGGCTGATGGAGAGCTGGATGGAGAGTTGGGTGGAGAGTTAAGCAAAGATTTTGCAGGTTTCTCGGTCTAGCATGTGGAAGGAAGGCTTTAAGTATACGTTATAGCGGCAACATAACCTTTGAACCAAAGCACTAGCGTACCGGAAACACAGAGTAATGGTGAACCTGAGTAGCAGTGTGAGTCACAAATGCCTAGCTTAAATCCTGGATCCCAATGTAGAAGGGGCGTATTAGTATGCGGATCGGAAATTGTACGGTCGAGGAAGGTGACGTTTGGCTTAATACAGCAGGAGGGTCGGTGTCGAGAGAGTTCATGACAACAACCACTTGCGGACCAGAAATTAGAAGGTAAGAGCCACTAAGTGGCTTGGACAAAAGGAGGGAGAATGTCGTGGGTGACGCTGCTAGGAACGGCGAGCAGGTGAAGCGAGGCGACAGATTGTTGAATGGAGGTTATAGAGGGCACGGACGAGCGGTGGGAGCTCGAGTGTGATTGCTCCCGAAGATCCCAGTTCAGATCAGATAGGTCGGCCGCAAACTGGTCGAGAGACAGTGATGGCAGCGAGTATAGAGAGAAATCGGGTTTGTCGGCGTGCGGGCGATCGCGATGGTAATAGCGAAGATCTGCCTAGGAAATCGTTGTAGCGTGAGTAAGGGGGATGGAAGCTGGAGAAGGTTGTGCTGACATGCGGGCCTCGTTGCTCATTCCTGTATAGGTGCGCATCTCCTTCCGGTATAAGCGCTCTGTCCAACTTGTGCTATGGAACTCTGACTAGAATCGGGCGGATGGTGAGGAAAGAGTAGCCATAAGCTCGAGAAGCCAGCGGAGGAGCAACGAGTAGAGGAGATGAGATCCTCGCCTGTTGAGATGGAGCGGCTTCCGGATTTTGATTCTAGGGTGACGCTGGTAAGATTTGTCCCTTTACATCGGGTGTTCGAAGCTTGTTTCGAACGGTGTTTTCGATCTCAGCGTTTCGCGTTATCTTGCTGCTATCTGCAGGCCTTAGTAGAATAGGGATATTGATTTAAGCACTGTCGCTATCCGACTAACAGCCGATAACATGAGAAATAGTAAGGGGATTATATCCTCCTTGTGAAATTGCAGTGGCAAGCCTAGTCAAGTTGTAAGGCTTATCTAATACGGCAGCAACGGACCAACGGTAGATCACCGGCGGTGGTTGGTCTATATAATAGAAAATAAGCAAAAAACTGGTAACAAATAGAGACAGGCGACATGCTGATTTGACCGGATGGAGCAGTATTCTTGACCTACCCAGGTTCGGAGAGTCACTATAGACCAAATACCCACACGAACCTCACTGGCAAACACATGAGATGACCCTGGATGCTCTGCCACAGACAACCAAATATCAGTTTCTGGGTATCCGCAAGGATATTTCTTTTGCAATTTTTTATCCTGGGTTATTATATTATATCTTTTTTAAGCGCGCTTCGTTTCACTTCGCTTAGCTGTTTATATTTTGTGGGTTTAAAGGTAGTTGGTTCGGTGGCCTTTACTCTTGGCGCTCTCCCCTTTTCGATACTCGGCTAATCCCCAACGTCCAGTCGCGTCATAACATTGTTTATTTTTGGTCCTCGGGGAAGAATTGGTCGCCCGCATACGTGGGAAACCGGAGGGCCTACTCTTTTCCTACTCTGCACTCCATGGGGCGATCGGCGAATATTTGCTATTTAACATAGACATCTGATAAATCGGATTGTCAATATACCTCGCGGCCTCGAGTCATAATTGCGCCAACAAGGTAATATTAGTATGCGCAATAAAGTGCCGCTGAAATTGTTAGTCTCAGCTTCGGGATGCAAAGGAATGATACAGGAAACTCCGCTATAGCGGGTACTGTCGAAATGCGAAGTCGGTAGTCAATTAACTAGCAGCTTGCCGGAATGCTTTTGAGGACTTTCGCCAATAGCAGGTTCAGAATCGTGACTTTCCTCTGTAAATAATTATTCGTTTGTACTGTGCTTCTAATTCTATAGGTACGCCTAGGGTTGAGGGAGCTGTGCATATGCGCAAAGTGTTGCCTACAGCGTACTGAGTGGGGGCCACTGGAATGGAATGAAGGCGTATTCTCATATGTTATGAGCATCCTACAAACTACCCTTTTTGCAAAATCATACCTTGGTGAAAAGTCACGTCATGCCATATATCGGACACATTTCATTTGACATTCGCGAATACCATCAATCACTTCCAATAAATCCCAGAAGTGATTTTCGTCTCGAGAACCTCGTCGCTTTTCGAAGCCGGAATGAATTCCTTACGATGCTTCATAAAGGGGGTTATAAGAGTATGGCGTTTATCGCTATCGATGTGAGATAGAAGTTAAAACCTCCGCTGTGACTTGGAAGAGATATATCCGGATATCTGCTTGGGGCGGAGGTGTCGAGCTGTGTACTGCTTTCCTAATTTTAGAGAACGCTGGGAGTGCTGTACGCACTTGAACCAGAGCAATCATTCAGGGACGATGGTTATGTTACCATATGTGTGATTTCTCCAGACTCGGAATGATAGGACGAAGTGGAAGAGTGCACAGGTTTAGCCTCTGTGTTTTCGATTCCATGGTCACTTCCAAAAAAAATCAAAGTCAAGGGTGAATGTTTCCACGGCAGTAAACCTTCAAAGTCATTTAGCGAAACGACCCTCCCGCGCAAAACCCCCCCCAAAAGTTAAAACAGTTAAAAAGGTTACAAAAATAAATAAAAGCCAGAAATTAAAAACTGCAAAAATCCAGGAAGCGCCTTTCGGCGCCCGCCACTGGCTAAAACCAGACGAACTGAGTTTTATGCTTTTGCTGGCTGAGCCTTTTTCGAGATCTCTCTAAGAATAAAGACAGTAACTCTCTCCAACCTCGCACACACAATTTGACCCTCGACCACCTCGCCAGGTGGCCGGCCCTTGTGCCGAGTAATAGCCTTTTGATTATTTGGCCTTATAAAGTATGGTGGTGGGTGCTGGAAGTTTCGGGCGGTGAAAGGGGGTTGTGTAATAGGTAGGCGAGTTGGGATTCGGGTGATCACGTAGTTGGGGCAGCGCTGGAGTACTTGATAAATACATTACTTGTCTGATGATTGAGGATTTGCATTATTTCTAGTCCTTCCTTGGTATCTCTTAAATCGAAGTCTCTCCTGAAATTTAACTACTGGGGTGAAATTATCGTTGCTGAAAGGGATTATGATAATCCGTACAACATGAAATGAATCCACACTTATATTTCCTATCTAGGTTTAGGCTCCAACAGCACTTCCCCCGGTAGGATTTGCTGCAAATACTTTCCTATTACGTTAAGAATTTAAAGCTACAAGGCGATAGAGACCCATAGTCAAAAGAAGGGGATTTATCAACGATGAGATCTACACTGAATAGAAAGATTTCTTAAATACCACTGCGCTATAGTGGAGCCTCCTAACTCCATACCCAATCGATGTCTATCTAGATCGTAACACATATACATAAAGTATCCCATATAACACGTAAAATACACCATCCGTCCTGTTCCTTGATATCAAGAATATCAAGAGCTCATCGTCCTACACCAATCCCTCCCATTCCTAACCTGCGTATCACACAACACAACCTCAAGCACCATACCCAAAAACCCGGCGATACAGATACCTCCACTATCACTCACACTCGTAGCACCTAGACTGAACTCCCTATCTCCTTCAGGGATGTTCTCCATGATCTCTGCAAATGTATTGACATACACCGCACCGCCTAGTAGCCCTTCCCAGAAAATTATGATGAATACTATGTATATGGAGGGGATCCACCACCATAGACTCTGGCTTATGAGTAGGAGGAGGTTGGCTACTTGTAGGAATGATGGGAGGTATAGGTTGTGTAGTCTGATGAAAGGGCTACTGCTTCGGGCGACGAAGACGCCGAGTTGATAGAGTAGGTTATAGAAGGGGTAGAAGGATCGGTAGGCTGTGAATGGCGTGCTGGGCAAGTCGAAGAGGAGGGTGGGGGAGACACCTTGGTTTATGGTATATTCTGCGATATAAACCAGGAGTAAAGGGAGCATGTAGGGGATGAAGAGACGACGTGCGCGTCTGAGATTGCGGAGGAGGGTGGGTTTGTTGCTCGTCGTCGAAAGGGACGAAGACGAGCCGCTGCGGACCGGTGAGTGGGATGCATATGCCGAGGAGGCGATAGAGGGACCGGGGGCGAGGAGCGATTCGGATGCTGAGGAAATAGGTAGGTGGGAGATATCTTCCTCGTCGTAGTCGTCTCTTATTATTGTTGGGGTACTATCGTCGTCCGGGTTTACCTCTGTGTAATCCTTCGCGCTTGCTGCGCGGCGGAGTGGACCGAGTGGGAGGACGAGGAAGAAGGCGATGGGCATTATGAATGGGAGAAATGCGCACGTTAGAAGGGTTTTCTTGATAGCCAACCCTAACGTGCTCGTCAAGAAGACGTATAACCCCGCCCCAACCAGTCCTGCGCCTCCTGTTCCAGAACCCCAAGCTGCGAGGCTGAAGGGGCCGTAGTAGTGAGTTAATCCCAGGAATGAGAGTTCTCCGGCTCCACTGCTAACGGATGAAAGTGCGATGCCGAAGAGTTTAATGGGAATGGAGTTTGGGGCAAGGGCAATGAGGAACATGCCGCCTGTCGAGAGCGCTGTCATCACCAGCACACGCATCGAATAGGGGATCGCGTGAATGAAGTATGGAGCAATGAGCTTTGTGATGAAGGAGGGCATTACGTCGGCGAGGAGGACGACGGATTTGGGAATCGTGGGCCCGACGAGGTCGAGTGCTGCGGAGAGGATGATTACATAGGAGACGTTGTTGATTAGGCCTGTATTTGAGGAGGAATGTTAGCTAGAATACCCAGTGGGAGTATATGGTTTATGGAGAGAGCGGAGGAAGGGAAGGGAACGTGGGAATATACCGAAGAGCCAGAAGGCTACCAGGACGGGGGGGTCAGCGCCCTTGAAGATGGCTTTAAACCTGGCCTTGTACACTGGCCATGATGAGCCTGGGGAGCCCGGAAGCGGGAGCAGCCCGGAGGAGGATGGTGATCTATGCATCGTGGCAGAGCGGTATCGCAGCCATGAGGAGAGAGAGAGAGCAAGAGAACGGGTTGTGGACGAGGCTGATATAAACGGAGGTTGTACTCGAGGCTAACTGGATGTCGCGTGGTACACCTTTAGGTATTTCTACTCCACCCTTCCGATTTCCCTCGCGCAGTGCTGTGCAGTTGGAAGCGTAGAACAAGATAGGATCTGGACGTCACTGAGGTAGTGGTCTAGGGTATCTAGATCTAGATATACTGTAGAGCGGCGGACACGATACGATGCTGTGTGGTGGTTTGTCGAGACGTTCAATTATTATTGTATTTATGCTTTGGTGATGATGCATGATGTCGTTGGCGCGTGCGTGCACAGGGAGGGATTTCGCGGGGACACATGGGAGCATCCGGCCAACGAATGACTAATCAGCTACATACCTTGGGCCCCGGATTCGGCGGCTAATCAGTGGCGGCTGCACAGACGATGAATCCCTGTCCCCAGCGCCCTGCACCCTGTCCGGGATTTCGAAGGCGCTCCGTACAGTACAGAGTGCAGAATGCACAGTACAGAGAGCTGTAGGTACTGTACAAGGTACACCATCGGTACGGAGGACGACTCTGGAAGGGGAGAGACATTCGCAGTACGTACTGTACCTAGGTACCTAGTATGCAGCCTCCCATCCCAGGTACGAAGAACGAATAGCGAAGAACGGGGGACGAACGGCAGTGCAGAAGACGTGTAGCTAGGAGCAATGCATAGCTGTGGCCATTAGTAAGTAAGGAAGTAAGTCAGTACGTAGCATATGTAGTGAGCTTATTGCTCTATATCTATATATTTCATGTTATATGTACTGTACTTACAATACTGTGTACTCCTCCATACATGTACCACCTCTCCTCTGTATACTTCGTAATAGACCCTGAGCATCTTCCCCCCGGTTGTCGCCCCCCGTACTCCGTGCTCCCCCCCGGTCCGATACGCTGTGCCAAGTCCAGCCGCCGGGGTGCATCCCAGGCTTCCCATCCTGGCCTAGCGCCCTTCGCGGTCTGCGTCGGCGGATGTGCCAGTGATTATTGTGGGGCCCCCCCAGGGAAGGGAAAGCAACGAAAAAGCCAAAGAACCTGAACGGTGAACCTGACTCTGAACCTGAACCTGATCCTGAACTTCAATTCTGCCAGCACCAACGAAACCTCTCCCTCCGCGTCCTCCCCGCCCGCGCAATACGATCCGATCTCACGCTGTCGCCGCTCCTACAGCTTTGCGCATACCGATATCCTCTCCATTTACCACCCGCGAGACTTCACCCAGATCGTTGTCCTATGGCTTGGCCGCAAGCTACGTTGCTCCAACATCGCGACTAGTGTTGATCCAGCTGTGCCTTCGTGCCGAGACATTGAAGCCGCGGCAGCAGAGAGCATCAGCAACCTCTTCACGCGAACCTGCGACCTATCGAGCTTAAATGTGCAAGAGACCCGTATAATATTGCTATCCCATGAGTACTTTCGACGTCTGAACTCCAGATCCCCAATTTCTACGCGGGCCTTGCCACGGCGGCAGTCGACGCGGCGGATATATCTACCTGCACCACGAGCCGCAATCAAGCATAGAACACCATGGACCCAAGACAGCCACCCCAACATCCCTTCTCAAGAAATACAAACACCGCCTCGCCATATCGGAACGGGCGCGCCCCTTTTCCCCCGTCCGCGAACCAGTCGCCGTTTCCTCCAGCGTCCCACCCCCCGAATCCGACGCCTGCCCCTTCATACTCTGAACACCACCGAAGACCTTCAGACCCTCCATATTATACTGCCCAGCGAAGTTATGCTCCAGATGGGCCTCCGATGTCAGGGCCAGGATCCGGCCACTCCAGACATCAGAGTGCCTCTTCTGTTGGCCACGGGACCCCAGTGAATAGAGGGATGCCTCCTCCGTCGTCTCCCCAGCAGGGCGCGTCGCAAACACCGCATCACAGCTATCCTCCCTCCGCTCCTCGCGGGGCCCCAGGATCCGTGGGGCCTCCGTCGACATTTCCTTCAAATCGCGAACTGCCAGCGCTCCCTCCTCTGGGCAGCCGCTCACAAAGCAATGGGATGTCAATATCGTCCATATTAGGAGGGCCTCCACCGACAGCGCGCGAACCGCCCTCGGCATCTCAATACCATGGCTCGCCGCCCAGTGGCACGTCGGCACCACCCGGCCCAGTATATCCTGGAACTTCGCATGTTTCGCCGAGGATGAGCACCGCAGGTTCGAATTATGCCCCGTTCCGACGACCTCAAACTCCAGAACACCCACAGTATGAGACCAGAGTCAATAGGGCAAATTCGGCGTCGGCAGGTTCACCGCAGGGGATGGGCCATTACTCAACCCCAGAGGGCCGGCGATTTGGAACACCACAAACGTATTCACGTCCAGCGGTAGAAGAACGGCGTGAGCCGATCCGTGTCCCAAACCCCAATGCTATACCGCCCCGGCCAAGTAGTCAACCTAGCTATAGCCAACCCCAAGTTCAACCTCAAGCCCAACCTCAACCTCAACCTCGCTCACAGGAAACCCCGCGACCGGCAGCGCACAATGAGAACATCTTCGGCAGAAGGGTGGATAACGTCGTTCGGCCGGCAGAACCACCTAGCAGAGCAGAGCCTTATCAACGGCCTGCCTATGAAGAAAGACAGAACCCTACGTATGGCTATGCTGAGAGAGAGAGGCAGGAGAGACAGGAGAGGGAGGCTGCTGCGATACAGAGGGAACGGGAGCGAGAGAGGGAGCACCGAGATCGAGCGTTGAGTGACCATGCCGCCAATGCGCACCAGGACTACGCCCATCAGGTAGCCCAAAGAAATCAACAACCTTACAATCGTCCCCCTGAGCCACGAGAGCAGCCGGCGTGGATGCGATCCAACTACGAACCTCCCCGACCCGCATACGATCCACAGCCACCGCCAGAGCGACCGCCGCCACAACAAACCCAAGCTTCTAGTGCGTATGATTATCCAACCACCAGCGCTCCTCAGTATAGGGAACATGCAGCTTATGCGACGAACGATCCGCGATACCCCCCTACATCACAACCTTCCTCTATGCCTCCTCAGCATACCGCGGCGCCCGCGTCACAGTATGAGGTGTTGCAGGAAAGACAGCGGATTCCGCCACAGCATCAAACCCAGCATCAGCAACCGCCGCAATCAGCATACGCCGTGGCTTCCCCAAGCGGTCCGTACCAACCACATGAATCTCCCGCTACCCGAAATTTAGAAGAATCACAACCGATGCAACAGCAGCGTAGCTTCCTTGGAGTCCAAGAATTCAATCGAAAAGGTCGTGTCTCCCCTCTCCCCCAAGCAGTGCAGGGCGCTCAGGGCCAGATTGGTGGGCCAGCTGGAGAGCCAGGAATCAAGAGCGAATTCGGAAGGATGTTTTCTGGTATTGGAAGTGGTGTTGGTAGCATGGGAGTTCCAAGTCCCGTCACTGCTGGCCCCCAATCTATGCCATTCTCTACTCCAGGTCAACCGCGTCCGGAAGATGTAGAAATGGGAAACCTAGATTCACCAATGGAGAGCGGAGCAACACATAAGCCGCGCTCCTCTTCACGCGGTGGCAACCCTTCGAGAAGAAGGAAATTGAAGGAAGAGGGCGGTAGGGCTGATGATGAGAGCAGTACTGGAAGACGTACCCCAAGTGGGAGAGGAAAGCGATCAAAGACGCATCATCACCACCATCACCAGTAAGAGTGCCCTCCCAAATTTATTTACTAACCGGCTAACGTGACTTTGATTGAGTCATCATCACCATCACCCGGAACTCGCTAAGAATACCTCTTCGCCCTCCCAATCCAACATGATGCCTTTTAAGAATATCAAGGACACGATACCATCCCCTCCCGGCGCCGGGCCGAAGTCCACCCCTGGAACACATCATCATCACGTGCCGATCTCCAAAAATTATCATAACCATCACGTGACAATTGCCAAGCCGACCGCCCCAATAAATACGATTATCCCACTTCCCAAGCGCACTATCAAATCCCAAGCTGTTCTTGACAGTGTCGCAGATCGCCGGAGAATTCATCTTGGCCACGCATACTATCAGACTAATCTAAGGCCTGGCGGAGAAGAATCCAAGACTCGCGAATCACCAACTCGGCGTGGGTTTGCTAGCACAGCACTACCCCTGCCCCGATTTGAAGGAAAAGAAAACTGCACATTCACGATCAAAGTATCCCGTGCCCATCTCGTGGATTCCAGCAGGGAAGAAATCACAAAACGCCGTGGTGTATGGGGTACAGATATATACACCGATGATTCAGACATCATCGCAGCATGTATCCACGAAGGTTGGTTCCGGGGCGCATGGCCCGAGTCCGTCGATACGAGTTATCTCGGTCTGGAAATTGAGGATGGCTCTGTAGAGAAGGGAGCCCCAATTGAGGGTATTAGGACTAAACCCCCCCGCACCGGTCCTGTTGTCGTTCCCAAGAACCACGAAGCCCACGTCACAGTCCTTATCCTTCCTCCCATGGAGAAATACCATAGTACCACCCGTTTCGGGATTCGAAGTCGAGAATGGGGCGGCAAACATGGTGGATATCAAGGCGTACATGATGGCCTTTCCTTGAAAATTATGAGTGTTGAGTTCGTTGCTGGTGTTGATGGGCAGGACGCCAGAAGTGGCGCTGCACGGAAAGCACTACTTCGAATGCAGCTTATGGCGCAGGAAGTGGAGGAGGAAGAAAATGAGCAGCTATCTCTGCCTGTTAGGCCGGGAAGGGAGGTGGAGGATGAGAGTTTTGAGAGGGGAGGAGAGGGAATTTGGAGCATCGGGGAGATTAAGGGGATTGGTTCGAAGAGTTGGAACCGGCCGAAATTAAGGAAGCCGGTTTCTATTATGAAGGGGGATAAGGCAGCTGTGAAGGATACCGAAAGCCCGGCAGATGAGCCGGATGTTGCAAAAGAGGTCGAAGGCGATATTGTGAAGGAGCCTGAGCCTGAGCCTGAGCCTGAGCCAGAGAAGGTATCGCCCGAGGTCGAGAAATTGTCACCCGAGGTCCCCCAGACAGAGAATGATGTCGTGGAGAAAGTCACACAGCGCATGATTGAGAACGCCAACGCACATTCCCGCAAGAGACAAGCAGCGCTAGTGGAAGGTAAACCGGAAGATGACACTAAGCCCGAGATTCCATCTGAGTCTCCGGTTGCCGCTGCGGTGGCCACATGAACCCAGTAATTTTGCGATCACTAGTTTCAGTTCAAAATGTTACATATAAGCAGGCAAGGGGCTTGAAGGAAGTCTGTTTCGATAGTATCAGTGTACAATAGGGACGGCCGACCTGACTATTTTGTACGCGGTTCGGCGTAGTGTTACTGTTTACTGCTGCATTAGATTAGCTGGGCGTAAATAGAGCGGAGATAGCTAATAACGATGTCCACTTATCCACTTTATCCTTGGACTTTCTATCGAATTGATTGAATAGCGTTGGTAAGTTCTGTGTTAATTGGGTTAGGAAGTGTAGATGTGGATGAGGACTATGGGGTTAAGTAGAGTAGTAACTAACGTCGCTCTAAGTGACTGCCTGCTTCTGTGGTAAGAATGGTAGGATGTCAAGTATGTTTTCTGAGGGCTAGAACTGTTGTGGGTATGCTCAACATGAGGAGCATTGAATTACACCAGTAATTTCCAAACGCGGCATTTGCGCAATTAGCCTAGACGAACCTTGCGCCGAGTATAAGTACTCAGGAAGGTCTCCAAGTCTACTTCACTTGGGACCTCAAGTCTATTACCGTTTAGTTTCCTTGCTTGGTGGAATGAAAAGCTACCAATGCGTTCTGCAGAGTGTTCCATCTCCTTTACCACCAAGCCAGCTGGGGTGGACAATTGCCACCGAGATCCAGAATGGCTTTTGCCAGCATCGCCCAATAAAATTGCAGTAAGGGTCCCGACGAACACTTCTGTCGTTTCTGCGACGTCGACCTTGTAGTCTCCGTAGAAGGGTAAGTAAACCTGAACATATCCAGTAGAAAAGAGTAAAATGAAGTCTTTTCCAAAATATTGGTGGGCGTGGCGGCCATCAACTATTAGTTTACGTTTCCTTACTTCGGTAGCATAATGTTTGATTTCACAGTCCCATGTCTTTGTCTCGATATGGATGTACTTGGCGCTGTCGCAGAAGAGGGATAATTATCCAGGAAGCTCCTCAAAAGGAGGGAACTGTAAAAGGGCCCCGCTATCGTTTTCAATCGAGACTTCGCATTCTATTTGCGGGGTGGCCCAGCTAGACATGAGCCATAATTTCCCAGATACCTCTCCCTCCCACCCAGCCCAGGACCAGCTGGGAAATCCTTTTCTCCGCCGACCTGGCTTCTTCCAATACCAGGTAAGTCCCATGGCTAGACTATTTGCAGGGGACCACTGCGGGTGTGGTGGGCCTCTGGAGTATTCTAGCATCGCAGCGGGTGATGGAATTACAACACCCATCATCTGGTAAACCGGCGCTTTGGCTTTTTCAAAATGGCTAAATATTCCCTGCATGGCATTAAGGGCGTCACTTGGGAAAGTCAGCTCTCTCCTGCTGAACTCATGGATATACGAAATGATTCTCCTGGATTCTTTGACGGTGATCTCCCAATTGAAAGCGCCGGGAGGGAAAAGCGGGTTGAATCTTTCCCTGCCTTTTCCGTGCATTGCATCCAAAGGTAGAATTACTGCTTCTGCGCAATACATGCTATTGCATTCGAAATATACCTAAATGTGCTCTAGGTTAGCAGCTTCTTGATTATCCGGATAATTAATAGAGATGTTGACCCTGCCCCTTAATATAGGTGTTGGCGCATAGAGAGGATAGGGCTTGAAGACCTGTGGTGATAACATCCACAAGGGTTTACAAACCTGATGCTGTGTGAAAATAATACGACGAGCTGAGAGAAGCCCTTCTTGGTACGTCCAGCCTCGAGTGGCCCACTTCGAGTTATTTATCGCCGACCTTAGGTGCGGAAGTGTAGATATGTAAGCCCTATCGCCTTGACGTAAATGCGGCTGGGAGTTCCTGGCAGTTCCCCTAACTCCAGGTAGCCCATGCTCAGGGCCGTTCTCAGTGGCGGCAATAATGGTTACTTGGGCATTAGCGTATATCATGTCCATTTGGCCAATTTGGCTGTGTTTGTCGGACAGGTCCGATTGGTTAATGCAGTAGCGATCGACCCAGAGATATTGAAGGTCTAAAGCCTTAGCAACTTCAATAGCATCCAGGATGACCTTTGGAGCGTTGGTGAGAAGAGGTTGGGCTAAGTGATCGTTGATAGCAGGCGGAGAACTCGACGACGGCTGCTGACCCCATACATACGATAGAGCAACGTATTTGCAACCCGATGGAGCCGTGATGATGGTCATTGCATGGCAATCAATGACACGATAGAAATATTCAACTTCCCGAAGACTACATGCATCGCCATGATTTATCCGACAATAATCCAGGTGCTTTCTAGCAAACATAATGTCGAATTCGCCAGCCGAGATTTCTCTCACGTCAAAGTGAGGGGGGCGAAGTTTACCTTGGTAAGGAAATAGAAGTCCGGTCTCTTCTAGAGATCGCACAGTTTTATGGAATGAGGGGTTGTATTGGGACCAGCTGTAATCGGCGAAATCGGACCGCAGAACGGCTAGCAATGTTGTGTCTCCGGATCCAGGAAGATTTAGTGGACTAGTTGGACTCAGGGTAGGAAATATCCTGCCCATAGAAAATGCACGTAGATGGCAGTTCTTAACCCTGGCGCTGCCATCATCGTCGAGATCTGACGGTGCCATTGATGCAAGTAGTTGGCAAAGCGAACAGTCCGATGCCTCTAACTGGTCGACCGATGCGTCAAGATCACAAACGAATTCGGCATGTTCAAAGCTAATGTTTCCGGCGAAGATTTTCGGGAGACCGATATCTCTACATCTTCTGCAGCTATCTTTTGTTGTGGATGTTTTCGACGAGACTGGTGACGTGGCCATCGCTGAGGGAATGCTGGAATTCTGCGGAAGACTGTTATCCAAAGGGAGGTGTAAATGCTTTATCATTTGGCGGAGATTTCCGGGTCTCCCCATTGCAACTTCGTGTCGGATTAGTGGAAGAAAGTTACTTTGAAATGAATGAATGAAGGATAGGTAGGAAGAACGAGTCATCTAAAGCGCGAATGTGAAGTGTGTGAATGGTAAAATAAAACGCCACGGTTGGGGCTGAGCTGCATGAGATATTCAGCCGCAGAGGGTGATGCATAAGGTCTTGAGTACATGTAACGCCAGACTAAAAGTACGAGTACAGTGCTCCCTTGGAATCCTAGTCGAAAGGGCGACAAAACAGGAACCATAATTATGGTCAAACTTCTGGCAGTCCTCTTCTGAATCGTTCTGTTTTTTGTGCTCCATCACTTAGCCAGACCAATGCACATATTTTAGTCCCAAATATGAGTTCAGCTTAGCACTTCTAGACAGGGTCCATCGCTCTTCCTCTCTTCAGACGCTCTCAAAGGCAAGGCGCTAATTATCACTTGTACCATCGTTGCCAAGCCTATGGGTTTTACTTTGTTTTTGTCGCGTCTGCTAAGAATAGGCGTACGGTCGTTCTTTATATTCTTGTCGATTTTCTCTCTCCTCCAAAACTATGGGTTACTTTGATTGCCATCCGGACCGATTCGCATCTGGAGGTAAGACTTACAATGCATGAAAGGTCCGCTCTGGGTTGTATATACTTTGACTAGTGGTGTATCATCACTGTCTAAAGGTACTTTGTATATAAGGATAATAAGACTCCGGTTTTTAGTCTTATGTACAGTAGGCTGGACTACCCAATCATTGACACGAAATATTCTCACGGGTCTATTTATATTGCAGACACTGGGTATATCCCAACTCAGGGTTCTATTCGCCTCGTCTCTCACTATAGAGCAGCGCCTTGTCTGACTGTTTTGCCGTAGTTCCACCCCTGTCTCAGGAATCTTCCCCTCCAACTAGGCGCAATATTTCGATGACAATTAAATTAAGATGCCTTCCACAAGTAACAACATGGAGTTGGGGCCAAGTAACAAAGGGCATAAATTCTCTCGAGCCCACAGTAAAGTCAGTTGGACCAGTTTGAGTTTGACAGCATAACTAGGCCTTCCTTGGGTTCTTATCACCCGTTTCTGCTTCGTCCGGAAGCTCCCCAACACGACCAGACGTGGACAGGTTTCGATGGATATTTCCTTACCGCCAATCCATCGGAACTGCCGTGGTGGCGCCGAAGGGAGAACGCAGCAAACCAAACAAGAATATAGAAGGGGTAGACAGTGTAGGAAGAGAACGGAAACGCAGAACGGCCAATAATTTAGACGGGTTGAAGTTGACAAAGTGGGAGGTCAGACTACACAGGAGTGTATATGACTGTATCGCATCATACCAGTGGCTTAGATAGACTGGACTTTCTTCAATCTATCGCCATATATGTTGGACCAGGTGTATCTTAATAGCTTCGCCTGAAAACTTGGAATTGGATATTGTACCTGGTATGATGCTACTACCAAGATGTCGGCAAAGGAAATGAAAAAATACCATGGCTGGATTCGGCTCGCACATTGAGATTTGAGCCACATAAGGCTCTTCCATAACACCAAGGACAAGGGCGGCGCTGGTGAGCGAGATTATGTAACGAGAGTTTCCACATGCAAACTTATTAAATAGTCAAGTTGGACTTTTGCCACTGGCAATACTAATACATCTGGAAAGTCGTGGCTCTCAACAACCTCCTGTACATTAATCAGGGCTGAGGCCAACAAGAAGCTCGCCCTTGGCATCGCTTCATCGGAGCAACTCCTTCTCATGCTCTCTCAAAAATCAGTCACTCTTCCATTATAACTCCAATCCGCCTTAGCCCCCCATCTTAATGGATCATTCTTTGGCCCACCAACTTCTCCAGTCTTAGGGTTGACATCTCCTTCGAATTCTGGCTTTGCGCCTCTCCTAATATCCGGATGTAGTTCGTCGCCTTTTCCTGACGCTTCCACTCTTGCATTTATCTGGGCCTCGTCTGATTCGGGTTTGGACGCTGGAGATTGGTTTACTTGCGGCCGAGACCCAGAGGGAGCCGGGGAAGATGTGGATTCGGCGGCAGGCTTTGCTGTACTGAATGCGCCCGTCGATGACTTTTGTAATCGCTCGAATTCTTCCTGTTCTTTGGGAGGTAGACGTGGTGGTGCTGGGCCTGTCGCGAAGGCGGTTCGGCGAGCGGTTTGAGTAAAAAGGCGGCGAGAGGGAAGGCAGAAAGTCGATGGCAGATATCGTACCATTTTGCCTGAGATAAATTGCAATTTTAGACCTGATTGGATCGTCGTCATGAACAATTGATGATTTCTAGATGAGATGGCGCCCGAGGAGGTTGAGCAAGTGAGACATCATCATTGCTATATGACTAATAATTTTGCCCGGGCGGTGAGCCCGATTTGGGTGGAGGGGCAACGTCTTCAAAGAATCCGGGCGTAAAGCCTGATTCCCTCTTTGACTCATTCAAATTTATTTAAACTCGAGGCTCGCGACCTTTTTTGTGCAATTGAATACAACAACTTAAATCGCACCATCTTGCAATCATGGAAGGTCTTAAGAGAACGTTTGCACAATGCAAGAAAGAAGGCAGGGTAGGCAATTCCAGATCTCAATTGCCCCCACTCACTGTTGCCACAAGCTAATCGTCTTTCAACAGCCTGCCTTGGTAACCTATGTCACTGCCGGATTTCCCACACCCCCAGAAACAGTTGATATCCTTTTGGGAATGGAAGCTGGTGGTTCCGGTACATGCTCCAGTCGATTGGAGTTGCACGCCTGCTAACGGCCCGCCAGATGTTATTGAACTCGGAATTCCATTTACAGACCCAATCGCGGACGGCCCTACAATTCAAAAGTCCAATACTGTTCGTATGCGAATATTGGTATTTGTCGATAATGGCTTACAATGAATTATTATAGATTGCCCTGCAGAATAATGTCACAATCGAGTCGACTCTTGAGATGGTACGGGAGGCACGACGGAAGGGATTGAAGGTTCCAGTTCTTTTCATGGGATACTACAATCCTATGTTAAGATATGGCGAGGAGAGATTGTTACAGGATTGTAAGGAGGCTGGTGTCAATGGCTTTATTGTCGTCGATTTGCCACCCGAGGAGGCTGTGACATTCAGGAATTTCTGCGCCCGATATGGGTGAGTCATGTTTCCCATTTCCCACCCTTCATGAGATTGGGACTAATATTTTCATACAGGCTGTCCTATGTTCCCCTTATTGCCCCAGCTACATCCGAGAGTCGGATGAAGCTCCTCTGCAAACTTGCTGACTCCTTCATATATGTCGTTTCACGAATGGGTGTTACCGGTGCTACGGGAACGATAAATACAGGGTTGCCAGATCTTCTGAAACGAGTAAAGGAATATTCGGGCAACGTGCCAGCTGCGGTTGGTTTCGGTGTTAGCACACGCGATCACTTCTTGAGCGTTGCCAAGATTGCAGATGGCGTGGTGATCGGAAGCCAAATCATTATAACCCTTGCAGAGGCCCCTGCTGGACAAGCAGCGAAAAAGGCCCAGGAATACTGTGCTAAAATCTGTGGGCGCACCAATGTTCTTACTGGTGACGTAACGAGAGAAGTTGGCATTGTGGAAGCCGTGCATGAAGCACAGGAGCCGACTGGCGTACACGTGGATGGTGTCATTCGTGACACAGACACTGGCGAAAACTTAATCGATCAGATCGAAGCTCTAAATTCAAGTGGGCCGGTAGACCCGGCGGCTTTACCTGCCCGGTTTGGGGAATTTGGAGGGCAGTACGTACCGGAGTCACTCATGGACTGTCTGTCGGAACTTGAGGAAGGGTTCAATAAAATTAAAGATGATCCTGCCTTCTGGGAGGAGTACCGCTCCTACTACCCCTACATGGGACGCCCAGGTCAATTACATCTAGCCCAGAGGCTAACCGACCATGCCGGTGGAGCGAATATTTGGCTGAAGAGAGAGGATTTGAATCATACTGGAAGTCACAAGATCAACAATGCATTAGGCCAAATCTTGCTCGCAAGAAGATTAGGGAAAACTGAAATCATTGCTGAGACTGGAGCCGGCCAGCATGGGGTAGCTACAGCAACAGTGTGCGCCAAGTTTGGCATGAAATGCACTATTTATATGGGAGGCGTAAGTTATATCCGTTCCGCTATATTCTCTGGCTAATTTCTATATAGGAAGACGTACGGAGACAAGCACTAAATGTCTTCCGGATTAAGCTCCTTGGCGCAGATGTCGTCGCCGTCGAAGCAGGCTCTCGCACCCTTCGTGATGCCGTCAACGAAGCCATGCGCGCGTGGGTTGTCAAGCTTGATACCACTCACTACATCATCGGATCGGCAATTGGGCCTCATCCCTTCCCTACTATCGTCCGTACCTTCCAATCCGTTATTGGCGATGAGACACGGGCGCAGATGCTCGAGAAGCGCGGCAAGCTGCCCGATGCCGTCGTTGCTTGCGTAGGCGGTGGCAGCAATGCTGCGGGGATGTTTTATCCCTTCTCAAATGACCCCAGTGTTAAACTCCTTGGCATTGAAGCCGGCGGAGACGGTGTTGACACTGCCCGGCATAGCGCAACACTTTCCGGAGGTTCAATAGGTGTGCTCCATGGCGTCCGCACCTATGTGCTACAAGACAGACATGGCCAAATATCCGACACTCATTCGGTATCGGCAGGTCTCGATTATCCGGGAGTTGGTCCAGAACTCTCATCCTGGAAGGACAACCAAAGAGCGAAATTTGTCTCAGCAACCGACGCACAGGCTTTTATTGGCTTCAGGTTGATCAGTCAGCTAGAAGGCATTATCCCCGCTTTGGAAACTGCGCACGCTGTTTATGGGGCTATTGAGCTTGCAAAAACTATGGAGAAAGGGCAAGATGTTGTCATCTGTGTCAGTGGGCGTGGAGATAAAGATGTCCAAAGTGTGGCAGATGAGCTACCAAAGCTAGGGCCATTGATTGGATGGGATTTGAGGTTCTAAGAAGCTCGTAGGCAAAACCACGAATGCTGAAATTTGCGAACTTGCTTCCCAAGTGGCGAAGATAAAGGTCATATAGACATCTTTGATTAAAGAAATGAAAATTATTTTTATGTATTGAGCTTGGCGCTTTATGTTGCAAGTGCCGATCACAATCTACTTAATCTGGACTTGACTTAATGATCTCCATTTATGGCTCTATGCGTTCATTCCACAACTCCAGTGTTGCGAGAATGATGACTATCAATCTTTTGTGCTGCTTCATTTTGGTCCCCATGAATTTGTATCCCCCCCCCAATCCAGATCCAGACGTCGCGTGAGCCAGACTTTCGACGGTAATGAAATCCTCCCCGAATGTCTCAATAAACTTCAGACTTGCAAACCATAGCCGTAGCGTCACAGCTCATCCTTCACTAGGACATCCTATCAAGCAGCTCCTCGTTCGTCAGCACAGTTATAGTTGGGCGCTTGAACTCCAGCTGAGACAGGCCTCTGTTGCGACGCACATTGAATGTATGCTGGATATTGTTCAGGTGCCTATTGAGGAGTGCGGCAAACTGTCCAACGTTGTCGGAAATATGACTATACATTGGGGCGATCGGTGCTATATTTGGCACCCCTGGTGGTGGTTGAAAAGATTCGACGAGAACAATCTCATCAAAACATCCAAGCTTGGCAAAGCCAATCGGACCGCTAGACAAAGAGGAGGAGTACTGGAAGCGCTGATCGAACCTCCAGTTGCTACGGCTCTGGCGACTGGTCCGTCTGAAGTCAATCGCAAGCATTCGCAGCTGCCCTTCCTTGAAGATATTTGTCGGCGACACATTCAACAAAATGTCCACAGCCTCCATGCAAGCTACCATGATGACATCCCTGCGGATATCAACATATATAGGATACCTGAATTCTTCCTCGAAACACAGCTTGTAATTCTTCAATGCGACACGCCTTGATTCGTGGTTGACGTGGAGCAGCGTAGGGGTTTGCGCATCCGTCACACCTTGAATAAATTCTATAATGCTCCCGTCCTCCTGGTCTTGTTGGAAGACGCCGTATGTAACTTTGATAACGCGGGCACTAGGTAACGCAAGCTTCCAGATCATGTATCGTAATTCTATTGACAGATTGGAGAAGCGGCGGAATGCCGGGACGGCGTCCTGGGCCGGTTGGACGTATGAATCTCTTGCAGTTGCTGCTGCTTGTAAAGCCATCCCATAGTGGATTGTGTCTTGGGAGTATTGGTATGACTGTGGCACCAGGCCCACGTCCCATGCTCTATAGGAGCCGGGCTCGAACCTTGAACACACGTTCGTTAGTTAAGTTCTAAAGACTATTTGTGCAAGTTAAATGATAGGGGGAAGTTTAACGTACACCATGATTTGCAGTTTTATTACGGTGGTGATAATATCAACGGATGTGAAGTTGGTATTGATGATAACGTGACGAGGTAAAGGTGGGCGTCTTTGTTGTAGGTTGGAAAAGGAGGAGGAAGGAGGAGGAGGAGAAATAAGCAGTGGGAGTTTGTTGACAAAAGATACCGTCTATATATAAAAGGGGAGTGTCGGTGAAGTTATTTTGGCAGTAAGTGAATAGTGAATATAACAAGGGATCTCGCCTACAGAGGCAAGGGGAGAGTCTGTGGGGTTATTTTGGCAGTAAGTGGATACAGAATATAACATATACAACTAAGTTTGACTACTAGAGTGTTTTAAACTTCATGGAACATTTATATTTTAGTACTCATTGTTTCTGCTGTAGAATATAACATTTAATTACAAATGAGGTTCATAGGGGTATAAGTTAATAAGTAAATAGCGAATAGAATATGTTCAAGTGAGTTAGACTATTAGAGAGTGTCAGAACACATGGAACATTCATTTTTTAATCCTCTTTGTCTTAGCTACACCCCGACATTTAATTACAAAACAAGCTAATAGCAGTATAATAAGTGAATAGTAAATATAACTTGTGCAAGTGTGTTAAACCACGAGAGAGTGTTAGAATTTGTGGAACATTTAAAATTTAATACCCTCTCTTTAGCTATACAGCTTCTAAGTGCAAGACAAGCTCTTATCTTGGGCATCATTGAGCAAAGAATTCCAGAGTCCAGTGACACCAGCCGCAGCGCGATACATATCCATGTCAAATAGTGGAAGAGGCTCATTAACTGGCAGTGCCATGAGTAGCTCTACATCGAGGAGTCGCAACTATTCTTCATCAGCAGGTTGTGGCAGATCGATCTGATCCGATTGAGCCCGGGCAGCAAGTTGAGACTAGGCAGACAGCTAAGATTGATATGAAAGGGGTCGCATAAATTGAGCAACAGATACTGAGGTTCAGGCAGAGGCAGTTGTCGAGATGATAAGTGAAGGTCAGAAAATGGAAGTGGTGGGAGTCCCTGAGCCCTGCCTTTTCCCTTATTGTCAGCCATCTGCTTAGATTTAAATGAAAGACCGAGCGATTGATGATCAAGAATTCTTTTGCTTAGCCCGTTCTACATGAAAACCATCTCGAATTTTCTGAATCCGCTTCCGAAAGATAGGACAACCCTGGCCATGAGTTCATGACATTTGTTATATATCTTCAGATATCCCCTAGGTATATTTCCAATTTGAGGCTCGCGGATGATTACTTGATAGTCCCAGTGCCGACTAACTGCAGATATCTCATCCTCGTCAAGCGCCTATAATTCCAAGTTTGCGAAGGTGTTTTTCATCTTTCTCAGTCTCACGAACCTCGGGATCATATGGATTATAAACTCAATTTTAAATACAAGTTCTGGTCTTAGAATCTTTATTTTGTGTAGTCAGTAGTAAATTCTGCTCTTCCTCGAATCCTAACGCTGTGGGTGGATTTAAACGGGATCATTTAGGCGAGCCAACAAGATATGGCCATTTGTATTAAGGTAACTGATTTGAGATCTACACCTACTAGCTAAATGAATGATATTTTACTGAAGCGGGTAGGGTCTCTAATACTTACCCACTGTAGTAAGACTGAGGCGCTTGGATCCTTGCCTTCTGGAACCGTGTGTATGGGGAGTTTTTGACCTCGTAGAAATGAAAATGCGGCTTATATACGTAAAATATTATGCCTAATTTTGAGCTTACTCTTCTATGTTTGCGCTGATCTCCTAAGTGACGCGTTAGACATAGTTAGTGTCGTTGCAATACTGAGTATCAGTATTGTTGGATGCCCCTTGGAGATCTCAACATCACAGTTTGAAAATCCCCACTCTCGGATTGCTTGACTACAATTTTCTCTATCATACATGTAATGTCTATCAAATAACTGACCGGGATATGCAGGATTTAAAAGCCTTTCATTCGGGTAGCTAGGTGCCCACACATATAGCAGACCGGTGCACCTGGGGAGAAGGCGACAGATGGGGATGTTTGCATTTTCGCTACAAAGGCATTCTGTTCTGGCAAACACTCTCGTCCAAGGACCCCATGTCCTGAGTTGATGAGGTATGATTTTAAATCGAAGCGGATGAATCGGCAGAGCAGTTCGGGAAATGTAGATTTGAGAATGGTTTATGTCTTAGTTTGTGACTTCCAAGCGCTGCCATCTGTTCTTTGATCGCCATCCTGATTATGGTACAGTATAGTCATCACTCGAGGCCTCCATACATCTTTTCGATATCTTCAATTTCCACCGCCTCCTCAAATCCCCCAGTTTCTTCTGTGGCCCTCCGTGTACACTGGTACTTTCCAATTCTTTAGGCGGTACGTTTCTGACGTAGTGGGATTTTCCTTAATCCGTCGTTTCATCAGGCGTGCCAGTTCGCCATGCTCTCTTATTCTAAGCGGAGGCCCATAATTGGCATACCGCATCATATTTTATTCCCCCTTTCTCCGTGAAACAAAACCGATAATGACTTAAGTCCACTAAAATACTGGCATATATAGGCAAGACACGACACCCCAAACCCTTCGAGTGGAGTCTCAAGCACCAGATTTCGAAATAGGTGGGCCTCCTGAGGATAATCTTTCGACGAAAAAGGTATCATTTTGATAGCACTGTCAAAATACATGTGCAAAGTATCAGTCTTGAAGTTACACCAGATAGTATATCCAAACTGTTGTTCGAAAGCTGGCTGAAAATGCTTCAATGGTGTTCGTCTTGAAAGGCGACAAATGCATGATAAGATAGGCATGTTGCGACCGATAATGGAGTTACGCGGCGAGATGGTTGTCGAGTGAGTTAGTTCCCGGATTTTCATAGGATCGCAAACTGTGTCTATCATAATAGTTCGGGACTCGGGGACCGCAGCTTCTCACTGTAATTTCACCGGAAAGCGCGCAAATTGGTGGAACGTGTGGTGTGTGACAGAGTCGGGGTAAGGGATTGCGGGCGAACCAATACTCGGGCGATAAATGGATTTTGGGTCGTGCATTCTTGCGTCCTTTGTTAAGCCAAGTTCCTCTGGCTGTGGGATTCTAGGAATCGTCACAATTGGGACCGGCGCGACGGCCTCCGAAACTGCCTTCTGAACCACTGTAAATTAAGATACATATTAGCAATTCTGGGTATCTAATACGGGTATGGGTTGTTCCTTACTGATCGACGAAAGGTTTTACCAAGTAGGTCGGTTTTGAAAGTTGGGAATGAGGCAGAGGTTTCTTCAGTATATAAAGTCTGTTGCGGGTTGAAGGTAGACCAAGTAGGCTCTCGCTTAGGGCATATATTCTGCCTATTGTGTATTTGGTATTGTTCTTCCTATTGTTGATTTTATGAATTTGCGGTGAACATCAGTGTTATACGGCAGATTTCTTTTCCAGCTAAGCGGACCTGGACACGTTCGGACTTTCCCCCCTTTTTAGATCAACTAGGCGAGGGGTGGATAGAGTATTAGTATATCCAAACTAGCACGAATAGCGAGTGCATCTAGCAAACAATACTAAAGCCAGGGCAGGCAAATATATAGTCGCACCCCTCTCCCCTATCCATATCACCGCTATAAACCTGGCTGGGAGTACACTGAAACTTGGCATGTTAGCGGCCGAGATAAAATAATTGCGTCACGAATTGTAAATTTCACCACAATGGACATTTGAACAACATCATCACAGGGACTATACGTGAAAGTGTGATCATTGTTGGATCACCAGACTCAGGGCTGCAACCCTGGATGGTATCTTCGAAAATTATGTGTCGACAGCTACGCTCCTTATGGGCCTCAATTTTGGCGGCGCTGTCTAGGACCCTTAGCGGCTGCCAAAGATCATCTGTCCTATTATCTTCGGCGTGGAAATTGTGGGATTCTTCTTCATGCGTGAGACTGAGACAACCGGATATTCAACCGTGTCGCTGGGGTTATTACGCAGCGATCAAATATCGGTGCGCTCTTTCTTTGCCTTTCTCATGGATGGGTGAAAGACAGAATGAGAAAATCCGTCATCAATCCACCTAAAAATATCAGTAGACGGACCAAACTACTGTGCGCCTTATTATCGGTCCATGGCACGTTTTTGCGAGATGTCGCAATTGTAACCTCACTAGATATATGCTTACGACTAGTTTGATCCTTGGTGAGAATTTAGCATAGTTGAATCGCTGATATATATATCTTTATAAACATTTATATGTGCACGGGATATAACTCGGATCTAATCGAGGTACGTAGGTATAGATAATTAAAAGGAAACAGGAGAACAAACATCGTCACAAACGAAACGTGCCCTATCTATGTATCAGTTTTATGCCCTTCCCCCATTGATTCCTAGGCCTTCCGTAGCTTCTTAATGCCATTCCTCAAACCCCAAACGCTCTTTCCTAACGCTTTCCCGAAGCCGCCCTTTTTCTTTGTCTCAGCCTCAAAGGCTGGAGCCCTCATTTCCCTCAACTCATTTTCAACCATATCTCGCTTAGTTTTAGCAACCAATGCCACCAATGCAACCTGCTCGCCAAATACGGGGCAATCAACGAGCTCCTCAACTCTCATCTGGTAACCCTCGCTATCTAGCAACGAGCTCAATTGTGCAAGACCGATGATATCGCCACCGAGGTCATAGAAGGATGATTCGAGAGTAATATTAGGTAACGCAGCATCTTTATTCCAAAGGATCTGCCCCCAGGCATTGCGAAGAAAAGCGGAGTACTTCGTGACTTCTTCGTGACTGAGATTGTTGAGGTTTGCACGGTATTCGGGATTCATCGTCGCGATATCTTGTCTCAGAGTTCGATTTAACAGTGCAGATAATACGGTGGGCTTTGGGAGCGGGGCCATCGAGTCTGTAGTGAAGGTGATGGCGATTTCGCAGAGCGATTCAAAAAGTTGGTTGGCGAGAGCAAGAGTAACTCCGGTGTTTGATGTGAAGACCAAACTGATTTCGATGCTGTCATCTCCTTGGGGTGTAGAGAGGACGGTCAGATCCGCGAGATCTTCCTGACTACCTATGGCGCCTAGGGTATACTCGTTACCGGCTAACTCCATTCCCGTTTGCTTTTCAATATTCTGATGCTGGCACACAGTAGAAAAGTTCATCCAGTCGGGCCAGTCCGTGCAATGCTTGATGATTTCACGGAAGCCAAGTGACTCGTAGGGCATGTTGGCGACTTGCTGGTCTTGAATGTGTTTGAGAAGATCCATAATCTTCCAGCCATCCTTGAAGCTCACTCTGACTGGTATTAGGTTGACACAAGGGCCGATTATGCTTTCTACCCCAACCACAGCTGCATTGCGCCCGCTGATGACGTTACCGAAAACGATGTCCGAAGATCCAGCAAGTTGGGCAAGAACGAGCGACCATGCGGCTTTGATAACCGTTGCTGATGTAATTCTTTGGGAGGCCAGTGAGTTAAATTCAACTGTCCTCTTGAGAATTATTGGCGCCTCGTTTCCGCGGTTATAGTTTGGTCCACGGCGTTGCACAACTTCAGTCATAGATGAGCCCCTCATAAGGTCTTTCCAATACAAGTAATGATCATCGGTCGTCGTTCTGACAGAGTCTCGCACATATGTGGAGAATGGAGGAGTTGAAGCAATTTCGGCCCCTCTGAATCCTGCTTGCAAGGCCCCAAGAATCCTGGGCAGACAAAGTCCATCATACTGCGCGTGAGAGAGTCTCATGATTATACGGTGCTTGTCACTCCCCCTTTGCTTGGCAACGGCGAATTGGAGGTATGATTCTCCAGGTCTTGGGCCACATTCTCGGTCTTTATCCTGCAATGAACTGGTGAATTCGGAAAGATCATCAGTGTCGTGAACTGAAAAAGTTGGTTGAAGCTTTCGAAGCACTACCTGGAAGAAGCGGTTACCATATGGGACGAAGACTGTGCGGAGGATATCAAAAGACGCTACGACTTGCGAGATGACGTCCTTTAATCTCCTCAAATCTAAAGAGCCTTCCCCTTCGAGATAGAAGTAATTAAGCATCCATTTTGACGACATAAGCGTGCCCGTTACGGCCAAGGCTTGAAAGTCAGTGACTGGGAAGACATCGGCAATACCGCCACGGAAAGCTCTGACTTTTGGACAGATATTCTCCTGTAAGAAGGCATCAACATTGGCCGCCTCGAGTAGAGAATACCGTTGATACATCGCATTTTGAATGGCCTGACTCCTCGCTTCGCGTGCCTCATTCTCTCCCCAGGTATTACTGGTGTTTTGAACAACTTGTGATGCATTCGCCCGAAGAACTGCTGCCATATCTGCAAACGTGGGGTATTTGAATATTGTAGCCACGGTCAAGGCGAGATCATCGTCTCGGGCAGCGCCTACCATTTGCATGGCGACAATAGAGTCTCCACCGAGTTCAAAGAAGTTGTCATCAGTCCCAATTGAATCTGGGGATATCTGTAATAATTCGCTCCAGACTTGAAGCAGGCGTTGTTCGACTTGATCCCACTGTCCCGGACCTCGAGGTTCGCGTGCTACTGTACGTACTGGCTTTTCGATCTCTTCGATCATGGGAATATTTGTGGTTTGAGAGTAGTCGATCATGGGCCGAACAGCCTGAGCGCTCATTTGACCAATAGTATTATGAACCCGTTGGGAATCATAGCTGACCAGAGAGCCTGATTTAAAGAGCTGCTCAATCACCTCGCGGACGCATTCGTTGACCATTGTTCGCAACTCCAATGCAGAATCTAGTGGCTGAGCTGGCATGGTTGGTGTTGGTTCAATTGACGAAGTTTTACTCGCTTCTTCTAGATTCAGTTCCCCCACAATCTGATTTGGTTTGTCGATAAAGGTTGTAATTATCTTCGTCAACACATCTCCCAAGCCGTTTACTTGTTCTTCGGACATGGTATCTGTCCAGTATCTGATCACAATGCCTTCGTCCCCTCTTGATGTTCTGGCGTTAATAGTTACCGCATACTATGAAGCAGGTTAGCGTATTTCACGGTTGCATCTCAACGGAGATTACTTGCCTCGCTGGGATCATGTGCCGCAACAGGAGTGAAATTAATCGAGGTTGACTCGAGTTTGTCACTTGCGCTATCACCTTGGATAGACATCGCAGTATTAAATAAGGCCTTTCCACCGGTGATTTCATGTTGAACTCGTGCCAGTGAACAGTGCTGATGATCCAAGAAATCGATGAAATCATTTTGAACTTTGTCAAAGAGCTCTTTGAGCGTCGATTCATTCGAGAATTTGACTCTACACACTAACATGTTGATGAAAGCCCCCATCGTGTCCTGAATCCCTTTGACCGGCACATCACGGCCCGATGTTAGATAACCAAAGGAGACATCGTCGGAATTTGTATAAAGGCGAAGACAGAACGCCCAGGCCGCCTGGACGGCTGTTGCAAACGTGATCTTCATGTTCTTGCACATATCTTGCAATTCGGAGAATCGATCGAATCTCAACCAAAGAGACCCGAGCTTCTTTTCATACGGAGGCTGTGCTCTGAGTGTCGGAAAAAGACAAGTACGTGCCCCTTCTAGATATGACCCCCAGAAAGTAAGTCCTGCACCAGCTGGTTGGCTTTTAACGTATGCAACATATTCGCTATACAACGGCGCTGACTCTTCAGGAAGGGTTCCGTGATAAGCCATTGCCAGATCCCGGAGCATAATATTCACGGATGCTCCATCGATAACACCGTGGTTGACCTCTGCCTTGAGATAGACCTTACCGCTGGATGTCTCGCAGATGAAAGCCTGATGAGGAAGTCGTGGTTGCTTTTTGTAATTGAAATCAAGAATTGACATAGGGCTGAGCTGTTGCACAGCTTCATGCTCGCCACCATCGCACCGCAAAAGAGCGATACCGCTGTCGACCTTTTTGACAACAATTTGATTGAAGATATCCCCTTTGTAGACGCTATCGGCAAATACCGTTCGGAGGGATGGGTGGTAATCGACCACTCGCTGCCACGCCTCCGCTAAGCGTTGCCCATCGATGGGAATGAGGTCATCAGCAGGGAGAACTTCCATGATAGCGTGGAAGTGGTATAGGCTTGGGTCTTTAAGCTGACTAAGAATAAGACCTTCTTGTAAGGGGGCGGCTGGGAAGATATCTTCCACCTATGAAGTTGGAAAAGTCAATTAAAGGTATTTCAATGGTAAATGATGAGATGCGAGTACTTGCCTGTTCTGGTGAGATGCCCACCTCAGGTAGCGAGTGTTTTACAATCTTTTCTAGATCGTCATAAGATATTGGAAGTAGCGGAAAGTCGCTGAGGGTGAACGAGGGGTCTAGAGTAGGGCACGAAAGACGCTGAACAATTTCCTCCAGCGTTTCTTGACATTCAGAAACCCATCGTTTGATATCATGTTGGTGACACATTTGCTTATTGTAAAGGAATGAAAACTGGATCTCATCCTCTACAATCGCAGCTGAGATCTCGAAAAGTGCGAATCTGGTGGCCTTGTTTCCGACATCAGAAATTGTCTTTGAAGTTTGTTCATCCTCTGGGTATGTCCACTGCTGGAGGAGGGCATCTGAGTGCTCCAATTGCTGCATGCGCCCCAAGTAGTTAAATATTATCTCCATCGTGTCACCATGGCCTTGAAGTTGACCCCTCCCGTCGGGGGTAAGGTATTGATGGGCAAAGTATGGGCGCCCATTTTCGAGTAATATTCGGCGATTATCCTTGATCCGACGTACCGTATCCACGACATCATCTTCCTCCAGATCAACATCTGCATGAATAGGCGCAATTGTTGTGAACCATCCAACCGTTCTAGAAAGGTCAATCGATGAATTCCAAGGCTCGCGTCCATGGCTCTCATTGAATACTGCTGGCGTCGCTCGATCAACAAACACCCGACTAAATGAGTGCGCAATCGCAGAGAGGAAAATATCAAGAGGCTCGGTTTTTAAAGCTCGATGGCTCTGGGTCATTGCTAGGTTTGTGATTGTTTTGTTAATCGTGAACGCTTCACGGACTACGTCTTCATATGTATTTTCTCGACTATCCATACCCCAGAATGACGTATTGGGAGCGGCAATAGCGGAAGGCAGAGTAGTAGCCTGGTTGATATTGCTGTCCTTCAGGCTTCGTTCGGCCTGCAAGTTGCACCAGACTTGGAAGGATAAAGTTGGTTGTGAGGAGAGTGTTCCCGTATTCAGGATCTCTTCCAGGTCTGCTAGGACAATCCGCCACGACACCATATCGATTATCAAGTGGTGGGCTGCAAGGAATATCATTTGGGGCATGCCTGAAATGTTGACTAGATCCACCACGAACAAAGGACCCTTCTCAATATCGAGGCAGGATTGACTTTCTGCCACGAGCCCGGGGAGATGGCTTTCATCGTCTACTTGATGGGTTCGATAGCGATAGGATGAATATGTATCAGTTATAAGTCGCTGTTGCCAAACGCCAGCGGGACTCTTTACAAATCGCGCTCGAAGCATTGAATGTTGGTCGACTATCTGTTGGATAGCGCTTTCGAGATCCTGAGGTCGTACGTGCCTTGTTATTGCTAGAGAGAAGCTCTGATTGAAGCGTGCTTCTCCGACGTACGATGAAGCTTTTTGAGATTGGATGTACAGCTGCTGGATAGGTGATAGGTCGAAGTCTTGGTCGAAGATTGCTTGTTGGTGTTGTACAGCATCTTCATGGCGGGAAATCGAAGCCAACTGGTGGATTGAGGTGCTTTTGAGGACCTGAGACAAGGAAAAATTGATATTCGCCTTTCTACACAAGGCCATGACCTGCATAGCACTAATTGAATCCCCACCTAAGTGGAGGAATGATTGACTTAGCTTAACCTGGGGGGCAGGAAGGTTTAAGACACGAGAGAAAATATCTTGCAGTAGTTTACCGGTCTCCGTTACCGGCATCGCCTTGTCAACTTCATCCTCCGCATCAATTATCTGCTGGTATGTCTCATCATCGATGCTCGCAAGCCAACTTTCGACTTTCCGCCTGTCTAGCTTTCCGGAAGGCAATAACGGAATCGACCAGACCACTAGCCAAGAACTCGGTATCATGTAGGGAGGGAGTATTAAAGATAGTCGATCTCGAACCCCAGCAACATAGGTGTGAGCGGTAGCTGCATTAGGACCATGCAATATCAGCTCGCAAGCGCCTTTTGCCAAAGCAGAAGATGATAGAGTATCCAGCGAGACTATTGCCACAAGCCGCTTCCTAAAAGGCCCGGACTTGGGTAGCGCTACAAGTGCATGTTGGACCTCTGAGTCTAGGTCCAACGCGTGTTCAATTTCTCCAGGTTCCATACGTTGGCCATGCAACTTGACTTGATTATCCTTCCGACCGATGAAGATCAATGAACCATCCTGGCTATATTTCACAAGATCTCCAGTCCTATACATTCTGGTAGAGTGGAATGAGGGTGGTTGATTTGGTTCCTGGAGTTGCAAATGCTCAAACAAATCTGTCCAAGCAGGTTGTTTGACGAATGCTTCGTCTGTCTTGGATTTATTGTTTAAGTATTCCCTGGCCAGAAGAGGGCCATCTAGGAGTAATTCACCAACACATCCAACAGGTGTAATGCGGTTGTGGTCATGAGGGTCGACAATCCAGGTAAGCCCGCTAGACAAAGCTCTCCCAATATTGGTAGGGTCCTTCTGTTTACTTACTATTGGATTTGCAACAGCAATAATTGATGCTTCGGTAGGTCCATAACCATTCACCAAAATCACCTTGTCTGCCCATTTCACGACATTCTCGATTGACATTGCCTCTCCACCGCACACAAGAACCTCCAGTGATGGGACCTTTGATGGCTCCACGAGATTTGCAACGGAGGGAGTCAAGAAAGCCCATGTGGCATCTAAAGACCTGATTGCTTCAGCAACATCCCTGGTTCGCATACCCTCAGATGGAATGCAGACGCAGCCTCCATACGTGAGCGTGGTGAAAATCTCCAAAATTGACACGTCGAAAGTAAAGCTAGCAAATTGGAAGACACGGGAAGTAGGCTTCATAAGGAGACTACGTCTCATTGCAACACAGCTTGTTGATATTGACCGGTGCTCAACAACGGTCCCTTTAGGACGGCCACTTTACACATGGGTTAGCACTCTTCTGTGAAATGTAATCTATAAAATAAAGGGGTAGTGGACATACGTTGAACCAGAAGTAAATATGACATATGCTGCATTCCTGCTGTTTGCTCGATGTAGCTCATGGATAGAGTCCCGTTTAGGAAGATTGCTTATCGTCTCACCAGAAATTGAAAGTATTTTCTGTACAATACCATCATAGCTCTCGCTATATTTAGGGGAGCAGAGAATAATAAATGGATTGACATCCTGAATCATCTCCTTGTGTCGTGAGATTGGTGCTGAAGGGTCCAACGGCATATAGGCGCCCCCGGCCATGAAAATTCCTAGCATAGCCACTATCACCCACGCTGATTTGTCCATGCAAATTGGAATAAACTGCTCTGACTGGACTCCTAAAGTTACCAAGTGTTGTGCCAGTCTGGTAGCATGATCTCTGATTTCGGCGTAAGTGAAGTCTCCATCCCAAGCACTCACTGCAGGGGCGTTCGGCTGACATTCGGCTATCTCTTCAAACTCATCGTGAATGCAAGATTCAATAAACTGGGGTCGAGTACGGTTCCAGTCCCGTACCAGATCGTTATCTTGAGGACTGAATACTTGTATATCACTAAGAGTCATGCTCGTACCGTGTTTTGGTAGGTCACTTAATTGCTTCAAGACGTAGTCGAGCTGGTGCATGATCCGCTGTACTTCCCAGGTCGAAATGCTATTGGTGTCATAATGAGCGGTAATCCGAACCTTTTCCTGGCTCCCTTTGCACTCAATAACTAGTGGATACGTGAAAAAGTTATCCATGGGGCCATTGTCTTGAATGTTCCATATCCCATCCACGACCTCTTCTTCAGCGTTTTGAATTACTAATAGATTCTGGAAATCGCAGGCACTTTCGGCATCCGAGTTGAGGCGTTTAATACGCTGCAGGCCAGCATGCTGATATGGGATAACATCTGTAGCCATCTTCTGAATTTCCTGTAGAAAATTAATCGCCTTGAGATATTGCTGTACTTGAATCCTTGTAGGAACAGTAGTAATGGTAGGCCCGATCATATCCGCGATTCCTTGGACCGGAATGTCACGACCGGCCAAAGTCTCCCCAAAAATGACATCGTCTGATCCAGAGTATGAAGCAACGATTAAGGCCCATGCAGCGCGAATAATTGTTGGCACTGTAATGCCTGTGCTTGCAGTCCTTCGTGAAATCGAAGCGGTGTGGCAGAGTGTTTGGTTATTCTGAGAATCGCCAGACACTGTGTGCTGACCCTGTGGAAATACCAGCGGCGATGACCCTGAAAGTCTCCTTCTCCAGAATTCATCTGATGCCTGCTCATCCACTTCAGAGAGCCATTTGATAAACAAAGAGTATGGTGTCTTGGAAAAGCTAGCAGCCCCATCGGCATAGACAAGCTCTACTCTCTTCAGAACCATGGGCAAGCTCCAGCCATCGTAGAGGGCATGATGGATTGACCAGATAAAGTAACGCTCGCCATTATCTAGTTGATCGGTAATTGTATACTCCGTGAGAAGACCACCATTGTGTTTAGGCAACCGGGTCGGCGCATCCTGGACGGTCTGTAAATTCGGGGCAACCTTCCATCGAATTGGTTCGTCCTCGATGACTACCTGGACAAAGGCGGATGACTTCATGTGTACTATTCGAGTTCGCAAGATCTCCACTTCTGAAATCACTGTTTGCCAGGCGTTCTTGAAACGGTCCAAGTCTAGATCCGCGGGCAGTAGGAAAGCATTTTTAGCAGTATATGCCCCGGGTGATTTTGTTGATAATGTGAGAAGGCCTTGTTGGAGACGGCTGGTTGGAAAAGCATCCTGAATCCTTTCTTCGTTGAGGCGGCATTGCTCCACTAGCTCAGGCATAATATTGGCAATGGAATCCTCCCCTTTCATCAATGAAAATGCTCCCAACTCCGATTGGACTTGTTCCTCAGCCGCACCACAAGTCAGTGCCATATCACACAACTTCGGATTGCGGAAGATATCAACAACGCTAATGGAAATACCCTCCTTTTTTGCCGAGCTAACAAGTCGCATGGCGCTAATACTATCTCCTCCAAGTCGGAAGAAGTTGTCCTCGCTACCTACCGAGCCTGGCTGTGAAATGGTCAACACGGTTTCCCACAGCTTCTGGAGCTTTTTCTCCATCAGGCTTGTTGGGGTTATTTTCCCTTTGCTGTCAGAACCGGCCAGCCGGTATGCTGCCATAACTTCTTTCGGCAACAAATGCACGATATTGCGCAGGCGCGCCCGGTCCAGTTTTCCAGAGCTAGTCCACGGCATTTTGGTGACTGGAATATAGATTGACGGTATCATATAAGTTGGCAGGACCGCTGCCAACGATGAATCCAGATTTTTGGCCGTAGATCTAGCCGTATCAGACATCGTCAATAAAATATCGTCAGCACCCGAAACTCGACAGTTTTCGGCGTCGGATGCAGAGTTAATGGCCGAAGAAGAAAAGAACACCGCAAGTGCTTTGCTTGCAACTCTGTTAGTTGGTGATATTAAGTCGACGCATGACTGGCAGTCTCCAGGGAGAATGGTTGCCACATGGTGCTCGATTTCACCGAGCTCAATTCGCTGACCGTTGAGCTTTATTTGGGTGTCTTTTCGAGCCACGAAACTCAAGGTACCATTCGAGTTGTAGCGGACAATATCACCTGTTCGATATACTCTTTCCTTCTCCTCAAAGTAGTTTAACCATACTGGGTTATCGATAAATACCTCGGAAGTCTTCTGCTCGTTGTTCAGATATCCACGAGCGACGGTTCTACCTTCGACGACCAACTCGCCAATACCTCCGATAGGGACCAGCTTGTTGTAATTCCGCGGATCAACAACCCAAGTGCGCCCTCCAACTGCGCGTCCAATGTTGCCCGGGTCTGTGTTGACTTCATTCCCCACCTCATCCACCTTGGTGCTCGTAGTAGCAATGACAGAGGTCTCACTTGGTCCATATGCATTGACGAGGCCGGTTTTCCCTTTCCATTTTGAAATGTGGCCAGAAGACATTGCCTCCCCTCCAGTGACCAACACCTTTAATCCTGGTACACTTTCAGGGGATAAAGTGCTTGCCACTGCGGGAGTCAATAAGGTCCAGGTGACTCCCATTCTGTTGATGGCACCTGGTATGTCGTTAAACCTCTCTTGTTCGGATGGTACACAAACACAACCGCCAACGATAAGGGTTGATAGAATCTCCATAATTGAAGCATCAAAAGTCTAAATGGCATGTTAGTTAAGGAAATGAGGCGATGCAATAATGCAACAACTCACATAAGACGCGAATTGGAATACTCGAGAGTCCGACCGCATGAACATCGCCTTGCTATGCTCGATCGCACTAGTGCAGAATGCACCATGTTCAATAATTGTACCTTTCGGGCGACCTGTAGTACCACTCGTGAAGATAATATAAGCTGAATGGTCCGAAGTTATAGTCGGCAAGATCGGAGCCTTTGATGGCTTACTTAGCCGTTCCATGGTGCAGCGATTGATAACAATTGCCTGCTTAGCAATACTGGCAATTTTCTCTTGGTTCTTTTGAGAACAAAGAACCAAAGTGGCGTCGACATCGTTGATGAATTGTTGTAATCTACCCTCAGGGTGTGTGTGGTCAAGTGGGACAATTGTGCCTCCAGCCTTCATAACAGCGATCATAGAGACCACTGCCCATCCCGACTTGTCAAAGCATAATGGCACATGTGTTGCCTCTCCGACGCCTTGTTCAACTAAATAACCTGCTAAACGTGTAGCTAGGCTGTCCAGCTCGTGGTAGCTGAGCTCCGAATCCCAAGCAGTGATTGCTGGTGTTCTCTTGGGACGGGTTAGGGCATGCTGGCGAACCATGTCGTGTATGCAATTCTCAACCTTCGGAGGGAGCGTTTGGTTCCATTGAAGAACTTGCTGGCGGCTGTGGCTACTGAAAAAATCCAAATCTGCAATAGTTCTATCTGACTTGTCATGTTTATCAGAAATAATGGTGTCCACAATATGCTCGAATGTGGCCGCAATATTCGCAGCTTGAGATGCCGAAAGCACAGTGGTCCAGTATCCAAAATGAACTTCGACTCTAGAATCGAGGGCTTCGACATTAACAGTAACATCATATTCACTTGGGTCATGGGCATCCACAACGTCGAATATGAAAGGAGAATCATCAGACGGATTCATGTTGGAACGATTTTGGAAAGCAAATGCCGTGTTAAATAGCGATGTGCCAGAAAGCCCCAACTCGTGTTGCACATCCGCCAGGGAGCAACTTTGGTGTGCCATGCTGTTGACGAAGTCCATCTGAATTTTCTCAAGAGCCTGGCCGAGTAGGAAAGAATCTGTCAGGTTGATTCGGCAAATCAACATATTGACAAATGCACCCACAGCAGCATCTTGGATTCCACGGATTGGTGCATCTCTCCCAGAAGTAAGGTAGCCGAAGCAAACCTCATCGGACCCGGTATAACAGCGAAGTATCATAGCCCATACAAGCTGAAGGACATTTGAGAGTGACAATCCATTTTGGGCGCAGAAGTTCCGGAGTTTGTGTTCCTGGGTGATATTGAGAACTACAGATTGTAGCTCCTTCTCCTTTATACCATCGTTGAGCGAAGTGAGATGGCAGGGCTCAATTCCATCAAGGTAAACCTTCCAGTAATTGATGTGTTGGTCGAAGGAGCTTGATTGTATATGTGCAATGTACTCGCTATAAAGGGGGCCAATAAGATTTGATTTTGGCTTGCTGATTGATAAATCATCGTCTTCGTGGTAAGAGATAAGGCTTGTGAAATCTCTTAATGAACTGTCCTTGTAAGCATTCGAAATATCCCGCAATAGTATAGGGATTGAGGTGCCGTCTGAGATTGCGTGGCTCATTTCAAGCTGGCAAAATATTCGATTAGTATTAGTTGTACATATTGTAAGCCGATGTGGGGGTTGAAAGTCGTGGAAATTGAGGGGAGTTTGCGCATCAAGTGTAGATAGGATCTCGGAATCTTCACATTCCAACCAGGTAATTCTCGCAATTCTATCCTTTAGGACGACTTGATCAGTCAGACCACTTTGACAAATGCTGTCAATAAAAACGGTCCTTAGGGTAGCGTGCCTCCGAACAACTGCTTGCCATGCTTCTGCGAGTAGTTGGGTGTTGATGGCCAACCCGGGTTGGGAAGGACGAACTTCAAAAACCGCAGAGTATGCATAGAGATTTGGGTTCTTGAGTTGGGCTAGCAGCATTCCCGTCTGGGTCGGAGCACATGGGTATACGTCTTCGATCTCATCCAAAGTGGAAATACCAAGCAAAACGCGTTTCTTAGTAAGATTTGCCATGCCGTTATATGCGAGGGGCAAAAGAGGGAAGTCACTCAGTGTGCGTTCCTGTGTCGATTGCATCAGCTGTTTTGCAGCATCCTGGAGGAATCTTTTGAATTCCACAATCCAACGCCTAATTTTAGCTTGACGCTTCATATGCCGATTATATGAAAAAGAGATCTTGATTGCACCGTTTGTGACAGCTGCCGAGATCTCGATCAAGGCGAACCGCGGAACATCTGGACTAGTATCGAAGTCTGTATTAGTGGCTCCCTCAACTGGCTGCAGTAAAGCATCTTTTCGTTCTAATTGCTGCAATTTTCCGAGGTAGTTGAACGTGATTTCCATAGGCCAATGGCTAGAGAACTGCTGCCTTCCCTCCTCCGTGAGAAGTCGATGGGCAAAATATGGTCTACCCTTTGCTGGAATACGGCTTCTCAAATCCTTCGTCCAACGGATCGTACTCATTAGATCTGTGTCTCCTTCAATGTTGGATGGGAGGAATATCGGACACATGGTAGTAAACCAGCCCACTGTTCGCGATATGTCAAGTTTCGTGTCATCCCATGGTTCGCGTCCATGCCCCTCATTATAAATTGCAGGTGTAGAGCTTCGATCTGGAAAAACCCTACGGAATGATTGGAGGGTGGCTGCAAGGAAGACATCGACCGGTTCGGTCTGAAGGGAGTCGTGACATGTCCCAAGAAGCAACAATGATGTTTCAGGATTAATTTCGAATCCCCCCTCAACTGTATCGCCGTAGACGTTGGACTTGCCGGCCATATCCCAATAGTTAAGATCTGCTACTGGGACATTCTCGAGAGGACAGTTGGTTTTGGACATTGTGCTTGCCGCATCCTCTACCTGGAGATGACACCATGTTTGGAAGGGTAGGGAGCTCTGCAGCTTCAACGCCCCTGTGTTCAAAACATCTTCGAGATCCTGCAGAATGACCCGCCAAGAAACAACATCAATGACGAGGTGGTGGGCCACAAGTGATACTAGTTGATAGTCTTCATTTTCAATCTCGAACAGGTCAACTGCAAATGTGGGACCATTTTGAATATCAAGACCTTTTTGACTGGCTTCCACAACTGAAGCGACCTTGTCAGTGGTTGTAGTGATGACATTAAACCGGTAGGCGTTGGATACATTCTGCATTATTCGTTGCTGCCACTCGCCGGCTTCATTCTTGCTAAATCTGGCTCGCAGCATGGAATGGGAGAGCATTATCGATTCAATGGCGAGGGCCAGCTCCTTCGTCTCAATTCTTCGCGCTAATCTAACCATTACACTCTGATTGAAATGTGCCCATTTGCTACCGACGCACTCGAAATAAAGTTTCTGGATCGGGGAAAGATCAAAGAGAGATTCCAACTGCTCTTCGATGCTGGATTGTTCAACCTCAGGTAGTGTGACAAGGAGCGCCAGTTGCGAAATGGACTTGCTCCGGATAATATCCCGAACAGTCACACCGAGATTTTCAGCACGACATGTGGACATAACTTGCATTGCGGTTATCGAGTCGCCTCCAAGATGATAGAAGGAGCTCCGTAGTCCAATCTTACTAGCAGGTAAGTTGAGAGCTGCAGCCCATATATTCTGCAGCCGCCGTTCGATAACAGTACCTGCTTCGCCATCATTTTCGCTTTCGATGTCCGATATCTGTTGATAGGTTTCGGCGCTCATTTGCTCAACCCATCTTTGTATCTTGCGACCATCTAGTTTCCCAGACGGGAGCAAGGGCAGCTTTTCTAGTATTACCCAATTCGACGGTATCATGTATGATGGTAAATGACTACACAGTCGCTCCCTGATAGCGTTCAAATTAAAACTGCCGGCCTCGCGAACAACCAAGCCAAGTTCCCCTGTAGTGGAACTAGTTGCAGTTGGCTCCTGAAGCGACAAGATTGCCACAAGTCTCTTGCTGCAATAGCCAGATTTGGGAATAATGGCTAAAGCATGTTGGATGGATGCATCCATTCTAAGGTGATGTTCAACTTCACCTAGCTCTAGCCTTTGACCATGAAGCTTAGCTTGGGTGTCTTTGCGTCCGCAGAATAGCAAATTTCCATCAGGCGTATATTTGACAAGATCGCCAGTCCGGTACATCCTGCGTTTTGTAAATGCGCCTTGGGTAATGTTGGTATGAGCCCACTCGGGACCCTCTATGAAGGATTCTGCGGTTTTGGCATCATTTTTGAGATAACCCTGGGAAAGAATTGGTCCCTCAATTACAAGCTCTCCAATGGATCCCACGGGAGCAAGTCGATTGTAGTTTGTCACATCGGTAATCCAAGCACGACCACCGACTGCCCGACCCATGTTGTTGGGTTCGGTGGACATAGACATATGAGGATTGACGGTCGCGACGACTGAACATTCGCTCGGCCCATACGCATTGATAAGTTCAAGATTATCCGCCCACTTCGATATATGGCTCTGGGACATAGCTTCACCACCAAGGACAAGAATGCGAAGAGTGGGAACTTCGGAAGGTTGGAGCAATTGGGTGACCGACGGTGTTAGCAGAGCCCACGTTACGCTCATGTCGTTCATAACCTTGGCAAGAGTGTTAATGCGAGACTCCTCACTTGGGACACAAACGGTGCCTCCAACGATCAAGGTTGTAAGGATCTCAAGGAGACTGGCATCAAAGGTATAAGATGCAAATTGCAGAACCCGACTGGTAGGGCCCATTCGTTGAGCTGCTCCATGGGCAAGGGCACCTGCACAAAAAGCAGAATGATTTATAATCGTTCCCTTGGGCTTCCCGGTAGAGCCAGAAGTATATATCAGATATGCAACGCTGTTGTGATCTCCGGGGGACAGTGGTCCGCCTTCGTCAGGTAGGCGCTCCAGCATTTCGCAGTCCACACCAATCGAGCGGGCCACGAGAGAGGCACATTGGGTCTGGAGGCGAGATGAACACAATGCAACTTTTGGCTGGGTGTCCTGGATAATATCCTGCAGACGTGCGACTGGAGCCCCAACATCAAGAGGAACAAATGCAGCACCACACTTCAAGACGGCGAGCATCGCAACGATAGTCCAAGAGGATTTCTCAAAGAAAAGTGGCACGAATGTGCCCTTGACACCCTGCTTTGCAAGATAAACCGCTAGTCGTGTCGAGATATCGTCGAGCTGTTGATAGGTAAAAGTAGCATCCCATCCATCCACCGCAACTGTCGGTCCTGGTCGGGAAAGGACCTGCCGCACAATGAGATTGTGGACACATTCATTGACAGGATGTGTAGGCTCGCCGTTCCAGCTCAATATTTTCTTCTCATCTCCTGGATTTAAAAGCGTGATCTGACCTAGTTTGGATCGGCGGATGTCAGGGGAGTTGAGGAGCCCAAGCACAAAATCGAACTGACGAAGCATATTGTCTATCAACCAGGTGGATATGACATGATGGTCGTACGTGGCTTCTAGTTCAACTTTGCTTCCTGCAATCTGACAAGACACCGTGAGGGGATAGGACATAAAATTGGTCCCAACTGTTCCACTACTCTGCAGGTTCCAGAACCCGCTTTCAGAGGACTGGCTATCATGATTAATAGCCAAAAGATTTTGGAACCCACACGTAATAGCTGCATCCTCACTAAGTTGCTTGATATTTTGAAGACCTGCGAACTGATAAGGAACAGCTTCTGCCAGATATGCTTGCAGATCTTCCAGGAACTTCATGATTCTGGTGTCAGGGTCGATGAGTATCCTTGTCGGCACGGTCGCCAGCGTTGGTCCTATCAGATCTTCAATTCCGGGAACAGGAGCATCTCTTCCGCTTAAGATCTCCCCGAACACGACTTCCTTGGGGCTACCGGAGTATACTGCGACGACCAGTGCCCATGCCGCTCTAATAGTGGTAGGCAATGTGATTCGTGTGTCGGGCTGAGTGATATGAGTAGTGGATGATGCCAGGCTAGTTGCATGAACTTGATAAGCTGGGTTAGGAAGTGCTGGGAAGTGCGTCGATATCGGCTCCGAGAGGCGGGATCTCCAGAAAGTATCTGATGAATCCTTGTCAATCTCTGAATGGTATTTGATGAACTGGGAATAGGTCGGGATAGTCATCAAATCCGCGGACTTTATATCATAGTAGCAAGCTTCTACTCGTTCGAGCATAATAGGAATACACCATCCATCATAGAGCGCATGATGAGCGGTCCACACGAAGTGAGGGTCGTTTTTAGCTTCACCTGTAATAGTGTAACGTGAAAGGATACCACCATTATATGCTGGTAGTTGTCGATCTACTTCGCCGAGGTCTGTCAGACTCCCCGCCTGGTGCCAAGTAATAGGTTCTCGGACGACAACCTGGAGGAATCCGAAGAACTCTGTATATACAACTCGTGTCCGGAGAATAACCTCGGCTTCCACCACTCTTTGCCACGCTGCGCGGAACCTATCGAGATCGATGCTTGGAGCTAAACGATATATATTTTGGGCAACATAGGCACCGGGATCCTTATTAGATAAACTAACAAGACCTTCTTGGAGGGCGGTGCAAGGATATATATCCTCGATAGACTCAGCCTCCACACGGCACTTTGTTGAGATCTCCAGGATCAATTTGTTGATGTCGTCGGTTCGCAGCATGCTGAAGGGTTTAATTACAGACAAGATGTTGGAAATTTCAGTTCCGGGAAGAGTCGTAGCATCGGCCGCGAGGTCTAATAGAGTAGGCTTTTGGAAGACATTGGCAACTGTCAAAGAGATTCCTTTGCCACGGGCAGCGCTTATGAGTTTCATAGCTCCGACAGAGTCCCCGCCACGCCCGAAGAAGTTATCTTCGGCACTTATCAAATTAGAATCAATGTTGAGGACAAATCCCCACAGTTTGGACATGACTTGTTCCATCTCCGTCGATGGGGCTCGTCCAGACGTTCCGGAAAGGCGGTACATGGCAACTTGATCCTCGGATAGCAACGAGCCAATAATTCTCAAGCGCCGACGATCTAATTTCCCAGACGATGTCATGGGCAAAGCCTTGACTGGAATGAACACACTCGGTACCATGTAGGCTGGGACCGCATTCGATATGGCGGCCTGCAAGTCGATGGACATTGATCGTACAGATTGTGACATATCGAGCAATAGGTCATCTTGACCTGCAGTAGGGACACCGTATGATTCTAGTGAGAAGAAGGCCGTAATAGCTTTGGTAGCCTTTCCTTCCGGACCAAAGGAAATAAGTTCAACGCCAGATTGAGCTTCAGATGGAAGATTCTGTTTCACATGATGCTCGATCTCCCCGAGCTCAAGGCGCTGCCCGTTCAACTTGACTTGAGTATCTTTTCGTCCCAGATAAGTAATGCTCCCATCAGAATTATATCGAACTAAGTCTCCAGTTTTGTACATCCGTCTACCATTCCCGGGTGCCCATGCCGGTTGTTCAATAAAGCTGTTAGACGTCTTTTCCGGATCATTGAGATATCCCCTAGCTAGGATAGGGCCTTCTATAAGTAGTTCACCCACACAACCAATGGGTGTTAGGCGGTTATGATTTGATGGGTCAACAATCCATGATATACTACCAATCGCTCTGCCAATATTGGTTGCTTCCATCGATTTGCAAAGGTCTCCATTCCAAACGGAATTGATCGAGCACTCGGAGGGGCCATAGCAACAGTGGAGTGCGACAGCCTTTCCCCATACCTCAATATTCTCTTTTGTGAGCGGCTCGCCACCAAGGGAAAGGCCTTTTACTGTTGGAACATCCGATGGACGGAGGAAGGTAGCGACCGTGGGTGTGATGTCCATAAAATTGACCCGAAGCTTATTAACAGTCTCTGCTAGAGAATTGAATCGTTCATGCTCAGATGGGACACACACACAACCTCCTCGAGTGAGGGTTATAAATATTTCAGCGAGGGAGTTGTCAAAAGTATAGGAGGCAAATTGAAGGACCCTCGAATGTGATCCCCAACCGTAAACTGAGCCAGTCGCATGAGCGCTGCTGGAGATAGCACGGTGCTCGAGAACAACACCCTTTGGCGTGCCAGTGCTACCAGAGGTAAAGATAATGAAGCAAGGATCTCCAGGACCCACTGACGAACGGAGTTCGCCATAGGGCATTTGTTCGAGATTCGCTTTGTCGACAACTACAGCATGAACGTTCATGTCTGCAAAGAGGCTAACACGTTGCGGCGAAACGAGGACGATGTCTGCCTTTGTTTCCCGTAGCCGTAGTTCCACAGCACTGGCAGGATATGTTGCATCTAAGGGGACGGCACCAGCTCCAGCCTTTAAAACTGCCAGCATCGCCACCACTGTCCATCCGGATTTGTCGAAGCAGGTGAGGACAAAGGTCCCAGGGGCAACACCCATCTTAACAAGGTGCAAAGCAAGCCGTGTAGCTAAGTTATTGAGCTCGGCGTAAGTAAATTCGGCATCCCAGGCGCTGATGGCGGGAGAATTGGGCTGTTTGTCTGATTTTCTCTCAATGATCTTATGAACGCAATCATCAATAGTTACTGGCATCTGACAGTTCCATTTCTGAATTGTTTCGCAATTCTCCCCGCTCACAAAATCTAGATGGTCGACTACATGATCAGAAGAACTAATAACATTTTGAAGACATTTTAGGAATGTGCTCCCGACATTATTAGCCTGGTCATCAGAAATATGATCGGTCCAGTAATCCAAATCAATAGCAATATTGTTATCCGACGCCTCGATGTTGAGAGAGACGCTATATTCAGTGGGGTCGTATATAGGGATGCATTCGGAGAAAGAGACGTTGGGGCGGGAGGCGGGTTCCTTTGGAAGCTTTCGGTAGGAAAGTGCGGTATTAAAGAGATGATTGTTTCCCAGTTTGAGGGCATGTTGTATTTCCGCCAGGGAGGTCTCACGGTGAGGTAAGCTGTCCAGGTAGTCTTTCTGGACTTGATCCAGAATCGCGCCCAGACGACTAACTGGTGCGATGCCTACTCGGCAAACGAGCATGTTGATGAATACGCCAACAGCGTTCTCCAACCCATCCACGGGAGCATCCCTTCCGGAGGTTAAGTAACCAAAGCAGGGATCATCTGATCCTGTAAAGCATCGCAACGTCAAAGCCCATGCAGTATGGAAGACATTGGACAGTGTAGCACCAGCGTTCTGGCAGAGCTTTTGTAATTCGATGAATTGACTCTGTTTGAACTGAAGGCGCCTGGTGTGGAGCTCTCTAGCAACAGATTGCCCATCATTGAGGACCGGAAAGATACAAGGCTCTATTCCAGACAAGTATTCCATCCAATATGCGATACTCATATCGCGAGGTAAACTCTGAAGGTAGGCAATGTAGCGGCTATATGGGGTTCCAGTGCTCTCGGATAGTAGACCTTCATAAGCAGCTGCCAGCTCCTGGAATAGAATGGACATTGAGGTCCCATCCAGAATGGCATGGCTAATATCCAACTTACAAAACACCTTTCCATCAGGTGCCTCGCAGACAGTAAATCTGTGCGGGGGTTGATGCGTATTGATGTAGCTGACTAGGTCCTTTTCACCGAGTACGCGGAGTGCGTCGTTCGCATTGCTGCAACGAATGTTGGAGATATCTGCAGAAATATGTTTTAAAACAACCTGATCGTAAAGGCCATCCCCATCGCCATCGCTGACGCTCTCGATAAAAACGGTTCGAAGGGCTGGGTGGCGATCTACCACCCGCTGCCATGCTTGTCCAAGACGTTTGCCGTCTACCGGGATATCACCCAGCACCCTCAGCTCATAACTGACCTGGATCGCGTAGAAGGCATCGCTCCTGTTCTGGCTGATAAGAAGGCCGTCTTGAATCGCGGAACATGGATATATTTCCTCCACATCATCGATTTTGGAAATTCCAATGGATGGCAGTCTCTCTGTGACCATTGTTTTGAGGCCATCGTTGCTGACAGAGAGTAGAGGGAAGTCCCCCAGGGTGGCCTGTGGTTCCGCGCGCATTAGGGTCTCGGCTATTTTGCCGACAGTTTGCTGGCAAGCCCAAATCCATTGGCGAATCTTATCCTGTTGTTTCATGTGGCGATTGAACGTAAAGGAGAAGCGGAGCTTGCCCTGAATAATGACCGCGGAAATCTCAAACAGTCCAAACCGAGGGGTATCCTCGCCAACGTCTGCAGATCCTCCTGCGCCGCGGGCCTCACCCGCCATAGCCTCAACAGGTCTTAAAAGGGAGTCTTTCCGTTCAAGTTGTTGATATTGACCGAGATAATTGAACGCAATCTCAAGGGGCCAGTGATGATTATATCGTGAGTGGCCTTGGCTAGTCAAGTTTCGACTTGCAAAGTATTGCCTGCCATTATCCGGAACTCTTCGGCGGAGATCCTTTACCTCTCTGACAAGAGCGACGATGTCCTGCACGGCTGACTGTGGGACATGGACAGGATACATAATGGTGAACCAGCCAACAGTTCTAGACAAATCTACTGGTATATTTTCTGCATCGCGCCCATGTCCTTCGTTATATATCGCAGGAGTAGAACGGTCATTGAAGCTTCGAGCGAACGAATATATTAACGAGGAAAGGAGTACATCGATAGGTTCTGTTCGAAGGGCATCATGGCATTGCGTCAACATCTTTGCAGTTGTCACCGAGTCCACTTCAAAGCCCTCTGTGATGACGTTGCCATAAGTATTTGATCCTTCGGGCATTCCCCAGTACGATTCTTCACTGCTTGGTACATCAATGGGAAGGGCGGTATCTAGCTTGATTTTCTGAGAATGCTCTGCTTGGATTTGACACCATGTTTGGAAAGATAGGGGTTTTTCCACGGTCTGTATAGAAGCTAGTTCCGGATCTAGCAATAGCTCCTCGATCTCTTCAAGGATAACACGCCAGGACACCAGGTCGATCGCCAGATGGTTGGCAACCATAAACAAAAGCTGGTCACTCCCAGCGACATCGAAGAGATCGGCGGCGAAGAGTGGACCGCTAACGATATTGAGAGACTTTTGGCTGTCGGCAATCGCAGGTTCGGCCGACTTGGGGTCATCAACTTCATATGCTCTAAGTCGATATGACCCTGAAATATTCTCAGTAAGGCGTTGTTGCCATTTGTTGTCGGTGTCGGAGTAACTAAATCTAGCCCGCAGCATCGAGTGGCGCTTGACGAGAGTTTCGATCGCAGTTTGCAAATGTTTCATTTGGATTTTGTGCGCCACTCGTAAGAAGAAGCTTTGGTTGAAATGGGTCTTTCCTTGGTTAGGGAGTTTAAAGAACATCTGTTGAATGGGAGAAAGATCAAAATTATGCTCAATCAACTCCTCATGGTAAGATGGGCGGTCGACAGCTTTGGCGCATTGGGCGAGCTGAGTGATCGATGTGCTTCGCAAAATCTCCTGAACGGTGAGGCTAATGTCTTTCTTCGCGCATTGCCCTTTAACCAGCATCGCCGAGATTGAATCACCTCCGAGGCCTGTGAACTTGCTGTCTAGCCCGACTTGATCTATGTCGACGTTGAGAACATGGCTCCAGATCTCTCTCAGCTTGGTTTCTATTTCGGTAGCAGCTTTTGTCGCCGACTCTTCAGTAGGTAGCGTAGTCGCAGCCATGCCCACAACACGACGGTAGGAGTAATCGTCGATGCTATCCACCCAGGTGGCAACTCTCTTCCGATCAAGCTTCCCCGATGGAAGGAGGGGAATGGCTCCGACAACTAGCCATGTCGTCGGCACCATGTGTATTGGAAGCTGCGATTGCAAACGTTCGCGAACTATTTGCATTCGCGTGGTTTGTTCGGTCGTAAGGCAAAGAACGCGCTCGTCTCCATCCACGGCATGGCAGTCGGACAATGATAAAACTGTGATGAGGCGCCTATTCAATTTGCCAATTTTTGGTAGAAGCACCCTATAAAAGAAGAAATTATTAGCATTGGCTGGTAAAGCCTCCATAGGCCCCAGCCATGAGAGCAAACCTCTCACTTCAAGCGTTTGATCGATAACACTCTACCAAGTAGCAAAATTAAATAGAAGACTTACAGTGCATGCTTAACATCTTCGTCGACGTTCAGGTGAGCCTCGATCTCCCCAAGTTCGACGCGTTGTCCATGGACCTTAACTTGTGTGTCTTTCCGACCAGCAAAAGACAAAGAGCCATCTATGTTTTGGCGAACTAGATCCCCAGTCTTATAGCATGGCCACTTTTGCTGTTTATCCCATGATGGGGGTGGCACAAAAGACTCAGCAGTCTTATCTGGCTGGTTGTGATAGCCTCTTGCGAGGGTCGGTCCCTGGATAAGTAGTTCTCCGACGCACCCAATCGGGACAAGATTATCATGGTTGTATCGATCGACAACCCAGGTATGAACACCCACAGGCCACCCGATATTCGTCGGAGAAGTCTCCGTAGTAACACATGAGTTGGCCACGGCGCAGACTGAACATTCGCTTGGGCCATACCCATTTACAAGGTTGATCTTCGACCATGTTGCGATGTGGCTCTCACTCATCGCTTCACCAGCCAACACCAGAGTTTTCAATCCCGGCACGTCTGCTGGGTCGATAAACCCCACGAAGGAGGGTGTGAGAACGGCCCAATTGACTTTCATTGCGTTTATAGCCTCTGTAATCATATTGAGCCGTTCATCCTCACTGGGAATGCACACTACGCCCCCTACCATAAGTGTGGTCAAAATCTCTACCAGACTAGCATCGAACGTATGTGCCTAGGAATTATCAGCATATAGTTTCCTATCAGGGTGCTATTGCTCATACCGCGAATTGCAAAACCCGTGATTCAGAATTCATGAGTTGTACGTGAGCATGGTACTTAGCACTCGAGCAGAAAGCGCGATGCTCAATCATGGTTCCTTTCGGCATGCCCGTGGTGCCGGAAGTGAAGATCCTGCGGGTACCAAGTTAGCATTGGCTTTTTTTTTTTTTTTAGCTACAAAATTGCACATAAAATTTCCGAATGCATGGCACTCTCCAGAATCTGTCTCTTATACACATCTAGATGTGTATAAGAGGGCTCACATGTACGCTATACCAGTATTTTGTACTTTTGGTAATCGGGCAACCAGTTGGGAATCGGGCAATTGTCCGATCATTTCCCCGTCAATGGGTATGACGTTTTCCACGACTGAGGATAGGATATGCGCAAACTGCTGGGAGCAAATTACGAATGACGACCCAACGCTGGTGGACAAGGCTTGAAGCCTAGCCATCGGTGCAGCAGGGTCCAGAGGTACAAATGCGGCTCCTGTCTTAAGTACCGCCAACATAGACACGACGTTCCAAATAGACTTGTGGAGGCACAATAGCACAAACATCCCTGGGCCGATCTTAAGTTTTGTGAGATGCATCGCCAATCTAGACGAGATCTTGTCAAGGTCGTAATATGAGAGAGACCCATCTTTGTCGCATACTGCCTCCGCATGAGGACGCGCGACAGCTTGGTCGCGGATAACATCATGGATGCAACTTTCAACTGCCTCTAGCGCCCTGCTATTCCAGTCCCATAACCGCTCCATATTAAATTGGCTCACGTAGTTTATGTTGCCAATACAACTATCGGGCCTTCTCGCGATCTCCCTCAATACTGTGTGTCCGGTGCTTGCAATATTGCGCGCCTGTTCCATGGATGAGCGGTCGGTGCGGTAATGGAGGTATAGTTTTGGTCCACTGCTGGAGTTCTGTAATTCAAGAAGAAGAGAGTACTGGGGGCCGTTAGAACCTTTGAATGACGCCATACATTATGTAGGGAACTGGGTAGAACTTACATGCTCGGGGAATTGAGAAAACGAATGTAGTGAGGCAACGCCTGGTGTCAGCCCCTTATAGTCCTTCAGCAAAAGTGCAGTATTGCACATATGCTTCAAAGACTCGCTATAACAATCCTGTGCATTTTCTTGATGCGCGTGCTGGATCTTCTGGACCATTTTTTGAATATTGGTCGTCTCGTCGAAGGCAATTCGAGCAAGAAGCATATTTAACGCAGCCTTCGAATCTTCAAATTCCTGATATGCAAAGCACACATCATCCTGACCGGTATAGCAGCGAAGAACTAGTCCCCAGACCAGCTTAAGCACCGAAGCCGTAATTTTTGGATCTCCTGCCAGGAGACTTCTTGTATCTTCACTATCTTCCAACTCGACATAAGCTGATAAGTGGCCATCACCCTCGTATGTACCGCCTTCAAAATTGGCAAACTGGCATGGCACAGCGCCATCCAGATATAAGTTTTGAGCCTGGGTGTCACTGCCGCCCCTTCGTTTGGTCAAAGATGATGCCATATTGCTTTTTTAGTATTAGAACGATGGAAGATATTTATTTGTCGGGTACTAAAGCCAGTAAGCTAATTGTTTTCCAGTGCCAGGCAGTGGCTAACTCACGGACAGATATTCTCATCCGAGTTGTCTGGATATTGAATTGTAGTTCTGCTGCTCAAATCAGTCAATCTTTCTGTGGGGGTTACCTCGGTTCAGCAAGTACAAATGTAGTTTGGGAAGATGCTGGGATTGTTGAGAGCAGGTGGGTTTTGATAAATTGCTGTTGGGTATTTTTGGTGTCTGGTTTGAAAAGCAAACGACATTGATCTTGGGCAGGCAGGATCAATGAGGAGCCGAACAGACTTTGACTCTGGAAGTCAGGCGTGGGAATTACAGCAGACCTGTGATAATGAAAAACGCCTCCCACGATAAGGATTCATGACGGAGATCATCCCCCCCTACAGCTAGCTGAAAGGTAGCCACCCTCTCCCATGTCCCTGTTTTCCATTTCTCCATCCGCCTGTCCATCCATATTTCCATAGCTCCAGGGGGCCCCGATTATTCCAAGGAGGTCCTTCCACCAGCCCACGAGGAGCTTACTCCGTAGGAGGCGTCTAGAACATACAAGGTCAAAATGAGGTTCCGTGGTAAGTCAGGGCAGACCGGATGTTGCCGATCTTATCTAATTCTGTTAAACGTAGTCCCTTTCTGGAGGTAAGGTTGCATCTCGGGTATGATTGACATTGATTGTCCTGGTCCAGATATTTGGTGCCAAGTCCAGATCTGGAAGTTACTATTTTTGCACTGTCTTTAGGGACTAAACTACTGACACATGGGGAAGTTGGCGGCGAAAGGGATCTTGCTCAGGCTATTTGCCACGGGGGGTCCATGGGTTTACATCCATGGTAGAGGATTTACCAACCTTCAAACTCACCGGGCCACAGGGCTAACTATCAATCCAAATCTTTCCTTGGCCATGGCCTCTACAAGACGCTGTCAAATGACGTTTGTGGGATATGATTGTGCCATATACTCCGTAATGTTAGGTCAATTGCAGTGAAGGATGATTCCGCTCCAGAGCTGGAACGACGTCAGCAGAGCTTCTGGTAAAATGGGCCTGCCCAGCCTGTCTAGAGCCCGCCTAGCTTGATAGCGTCTCAATCGCTGCACGAAAAGCACTTCCCTAGAAATGTAGGCTACGGCTCCTGTGGGCCTGTAGGAGGCAAAAAACTGACTTTGGCGATGAATATTACGAGCGGACGCTTCGGGGCCGCCAAAGGGACACAAGGCGGTTGGCTACATGGCCGCACTGCTGCACGGCCAAGCGACTGGGAGTAATACTCGAGTCGTACTCTGTAAGGGGTAGCGCAGTTGGGATGAGCCGTAGGCTGGTGAGAGTTGAATGGAATATCGTACGGTCCTACGAAGTACGTAGGTAGTAATCCATTGTTTGGATGGCTCGGGCGCTGAAGTTTGGAAATTAGACGTAAGGGGTGCAAAGGCCCTCCGAGGTCATTGTTTGACTATTGCCAAGAAGGGTTAGCCTTACATTAGTGCAAGTGTGCCCTAAATAGGGATGGCTCACTACCCCAGCATCCCTAGCCGCTATCTCGATCGGGCTAGATTAATTGTCTTTCCCAACGTCGCTCCTCGTATTTGGTACAACCACAACCACACCCAGACCAGTCCACATCCGCATCCACGCCCAATATCAATATCAACATTAACATCAGCGTCCACACACTGCTAGCTATTCCTACTCTACTGTGCCATGCTCTACACTTCTCTGTCCTGCTCTGCAATACGCGGTCCTGCTTTACACTGCTCTGCCCTACCCCCCCGAAAAACCAACGGCAACCACGGCCATGTTCAAACCAAGCCCGCCTCCAGCGGCCCATACAACCTGGGCTGTCTAGCTTTGGCTCCATACCCGTTGCCGTTGCCAGTTGTGATCGCCATATGCCGGCACTATCTAGCTTACATCGGGGCTATGGAGGAGTTGAGGATAGCCGGCTGAATTTTCACGTCTACTCGGCGTGCGTGACTTGTGAGCCGCCCCCCAGCCGCGTTACCGCGTCGATCAGACCTATTCTTACCTGCATCTTGATCTGGGGTTGAGCCGTTGGCCATAATAATTCGTGGGCTTCCAGTATATGAATCCTTCACATAAGAAGAAAGTCATAGCGCCCTGCATGCTGTGGGGCACCTGAAAGCCCACCCAGTCAGACATTAAGTGCCTCCGAAGAAAGATCGGCATCGCCCCAAACCTTATTAGTGGCTCTCGGACCATATCATATCCTAACAGAACCATGTCTTGACATTCCAGGATATGGCTAAAAGTTGCCAATGTTACGTTTCTAAGCGTTCAATGTTTGCCATTCTCCCTGTCGATCCTTCTACAGGGTAGGTCAAAATTCTTTCCACGTCCGTGTATAATCGCCTTCCAATAATAAACAAGGTTTCCTTAGCTTCAGCTTAGCTAGTTACTAGAATCCCTCCGCAGTCACATCAAGAGGATCCAAAAGTTCGCCGTCGACGGGACTGAGAAGGAACACGGGACAAATTCTTGGACTTTCCTTCGACAATCACCCAAGGACTTCCTGATAGATAGCACGACAGGTCGTCGGCGCACCCATACTTTCGTCCCATGAATATGTCGATGAATTATATTGTATTCTCATCTACTCATATCTTCCATTGCTCTCCCGAACTAGTACCCCAACTGCTCGCAACTCTGTTCTAGTAATCTACCTTTCGTGGTGTACAACCTGCACAGCACATGGTCTCCTCCTCACGATGTCTTGTTCAACCATCGATGACACGTTCGGTCCTCACGCCAAAGACTGTCGAGGCGGTTTTGACTTCACTCTACTCTTTGAACAGCTCGTTCTTACCATCCTCCCGCTGATTCCTCTACTGATTGTTGCGCCCTTTCGTCTTTTCTATCTATCCAAGAAGCAGAAGAAAGTGGTCCAGAGCCCGTTGCTCTATATAAAGTTAGTAAGTAGTTAATAATGATTCAAGATTTATTGCCCCTCGACTTTCAGTGCTAACTACTCCACCACTTGGGTCAGGTATCTTATGCTATCTATGCTGCGCTCACCCTTGTCCTTCTTCTCGGCTGGGCAAGCACAACGATCAAGACTAGAGCTTCTATTCCGGCCTCTGCTCTTACGATCGCTTCTTATACGGTTATAGCCGTTTTATCGTACGCCGAACATGTAAAGACCATTCGCCCGTCTTTTCTCCTCAACATCTATCTGTTCTTCTCACTTCTGTTTGACATTGCTCAAGCAAGGACCTTATGGCTACGGCAAATCGATCTTCCTCTGGCAAAACTTTTCACAGCTTGTGTTGCTCTTAAATGTTTCGCTCTTCTACTAGAGGCCGTGGGAAAAGAGCGTATTTTGGAGCCACAGTTCAAAGGGGCCCCACCCGAGGAGGCCGCTGGGATATATAACCGAAGTGTTTTCTGGTGGCTAAATGGTCTCTTTCGAAGAGGTTACACTAACACTCTTTCACTTAATGATCTCTATGGACTAGACAAACATCTTGGAGCTGCCTACTTACACAATCTGCTGGAATCCTCATGGACAAAAGGTCATTCTCTTTTATCCATAGATACTATACGCCAAGCTAACAATAGATTCTCAGTCACAAATAGAACTCCGCACGCGTTGTTTTTCTCAACATTGGGGTCTCTCAAATGGCCATTGCTGTCTGCAGTAATTCCTCGGTTGTCGTTGACTGCCTTTAACTTCTGCCAACCATTTCTACTTAATCGCGCTATTAAACTTTCAGAGGAACCGGTCTCAACTGAATCAAACAATGACGGTTACGGCCTTATTGGTGCCTATGTTTTTGTATACGTCGGTATTGCCGTGCGTTTATTTCCTCATTTACATTAGAAAACTACTGATTCATCCCGCAGATCTCGATGGGACAATCCCAACACATAACATATCGCCTGATTACCATGGCTCGAGGAGGGTTGATCTCTATGCTGTACAACAAGGCAACAGATCTCAGTATTACCTCTATAGACCCATCCTCGTCTATGATTCTTATGAGTGCGGACATCGAGAGAATCACTACTGGCTGGCAAACAATTCATGAGATTTGGGCAAACATGATTGAAGTAGCACTGGCGATTTATCTACTATACGTACAACTAGGTGCATCATGTGCTGTTCCCATTGGGGTCGCTATCGGTAAGTTCAGCTTGGTATCTATCACAGACTTTCCTAACTAGATCAAGTGTCCATGGGCGGGTCCCTCGGAGCGACGAACTTTATAATGTCGCGTCAAGCCATGTGGCTCGAGGCTATTGAGAGACGAATCACAGCAACCACGGCCATGTTAGGCTCTATGAAAGGTGTAAAAATGTCTGGCCTCACAGATATTTTGTCTGAGACGCTTCAAGGTTTAAGACGCGACGAAATGAGGATCTCGAAGGGGTTCAGAAAACTCTTGATATGGAATATGGGATTTAGTAAGCCTCCACACAGACCACATTCATTGTACTTTGGTACATATTGCTGACCTTGATGCAGCCTATATTACGCCAGTTGCCGCGCCAATATTGACCTTCGCTGTCTTCTCTAGTGGGGGGACTTTGAACACTGCGCAAATATTCATGTCATTGTCGCTATTCACGCTACTTTCAGAACCGCTGCAGTCTCTTATAATGTCTCTAGCGACTCTCATGGGTGCTGTCGGCTCGTTTGCCCGCATTCAAGAATTCCTCACTACTGAACCCCGTGTTGACGACCGGACACAGGCAAGTGATTTGGATATCGTTCTCCGCCAGCACGAGCAATCCAAAAAGGGAAAGTCGAGTTCAGACACAGCAACGGAGAAATCGGACTTTGCAGCTTCAATACGGGATGAGAACCCCCCTTCGGCTTTTGATGCTATCATTATCCAAGACGGGAACTTTGGTTGGGATAGAGAGAAGGAACCCCTTCTCCATTCGATCAATATGGTGGTTCCGCGGGAAAAGCTTACTGTGGTAGTCGGCCCTGTTGGCTGTGGGAAGTCGACCTTGCTCAAAGCTATCTTGGGAGAAATTTCTATCCTCGGAGGAACAGTTGAGGTGTTATCGCCAGAGGTTGCCTTCTGTGATCAGACACCGTGGCACATGAATGGAACAATCCAGGAAAGCATCCTTGGAATGTCTGATCTGGAAGAAAAGTGGTATAATACTGTGATCCATGCTTGCGCCCTCGATGCAGATCTCCGCCAATTACCGTTGGCGGACCAAACTCCGATTGGCAGCAAAGGATTTGCATTGTCTGGTGGACAAAGTCAGCGCATTGTAGGTTTATTTGGAGTGGAACTAGGATCACATGCTAAGATCAATCATAGGCACTGGCTCGAGCCATCTATGCCCGGAAGGACGTAGTCATTCTCGATGACGTCCTCAGTGGACTCGACACTACAACCGAAAATACTGTTTTTCACAACCTCCTTGGAGTTCATGGTTTACTACGCAAGCACCGTTCGACCGTTCTTATGACATCTTCCTCAGGTAACAACCCCCACATCCAGTTTCCTTGGCCCGAACATACGCAGTGTACCTGCCATGCGTGATCTGGCCGAGTAGTTCCTATGCTAACTAACATATTACTAGCAAAACGTATCCCATATGCAGACTACATTGTCTCTCTCGACTCTTGTGGTCGAGTTTCTGAGCAGGGAACTTTCAAAAAGTTATCCTTACAAGGGGGATATGTGTCGTCGTTCAGTTTGGCCCCGCCTGAGTGGCAGTACTATCAGCAATCTGTAGACATATTTTACGGCAAGTCCAGCAAAGAAGTTGCTACTACAACTGAAGTACTTGATCCTACAGTGGACGATTCTGAAAGACGATCCGGCGATGTTTCAGTCTACCTATATTATATTAACGCGGTTGGATGGATACCGACCTTGATCTTTGTGGTCGCCATCTCGATCTTTGTATTTTGTTTATCATTCCCAAGTAATACCCCTTCCCTATTTGCTTATAGGCTCAACGCTAACTCGTTCTAGCCATTTGGGTTAAATGGTGGGCATCCTCGAATGCAGAACACCCCAACGCGAAACTGGGCTATTATCTTGGGATATATGGTCTTCTTGGGGTCCTTGCTCTGGTCTTCCTAATCATCAGTTGTTGGTATGTAACGCTTCATCCTCTCCCAACCTTCAAGTTAAAACTAACATTTCATGTAAAGGCAATTAATCATTACAATGGTCCCTCGATCTGGCGAGAACTTCCACTGGGTATTATTAAAGACGGTCTTAGGGTAATATGTCGTCCAACTTTACAATGTGCGAAATACTAACAGCGGACGTTTTATTTAGCGCACCGATGTCATTTTTCACTTCCACCGACATTGGCGTGACAGTGAACCGGTTCAGCCAAGATCTTATGCTGATAGACATGGAACTACCAATTGCCGCATTGAATACTTTCGCAAGTACGGACTCTCTTTCTAAACCGGAAGAATTTTCAAGATTGATAGGTCACTGCTAACCTGCGCATCTAACAGCCTTGGTTTTATGTGTTGCGCAAATGATACTCATCGCCGTCGCATCTACATACGCAGCGATATCTTTCCCTATCGTCCTCATTGCCCTTTTCTTCATCCAGAAATTCTATCTCCGGACCTCGCGCCAACTCCGATTCTTAGACCTCGAGTCAAAGTCCCCGCTGTATTCACAATTTTTCGAATGCTTGAATGGCCTCGCTACTGTGCGAGCATTTGGCTGGCAAAATGGAATGGAAAAGAAGAACCGCCACCTACTAGACCAGTCACAAAAGCCTTTCTACCTGCTATTTGCAGTTCAGCGCTGGCTTACCATGGTGCTAGACTTGGTGGTGGCGGCGATAGCTGTGATGCTTATTGTTATGGTCGTCCAACTACGAGGATATATGAGCCCTGGATTCGCTGGGGTTGCATTGCTCAATGTTATTCTATTCAGCCAGAGCATCAAAATGCTGCTTACTTTCTGGACCAATCTTGAGACGCACATAGGAAGCATTGCCAGAGTCAAAGACTTTACTGAGACAACAGAAGGAGAGCACCTCCCCACAGAAAATCAAATTCCACCACCATCTTGGCCATCCCAAGGTGCCATGGAATTCACCAGGGTAGTTGCAGAGTATAAGTAGGTAACCGAAAGCGACGAATGTGTGCATAGCCATGCTAACTTCTCTTAAGAACATCTCAACCTGTGTTAAAAGACATATCATTCTCTGTCAAGGCTGGAGAAAAGGTCGGCATATGTGGCCGGACTGGAAGGTAGGACATCCAACCCACCTCTCTACGACAATTATTAAATAGTGCTTTAGTGGTAAATCGTCTCTAGTTGCGAGTATCTTTAGAATGATTGAACAACCGGGAGGGTGTATAACTATTGACGGTCTCGATATTTCCACCATTCCACGAGAAGAAATCCGAACTAGGATCGTCGGCGTACCGCAAGATGCGTATCTCCTCGACGGAAGCGTCCGACTCAATGTAGATCCAAGAGGAAGAGCCGAAGATTTAGCAATAATTGATGCGCTCAAGAACGTTCAGTTGTGGGAGAATATCAAGGCAAAAGGTGGACTCGATACGGACATTGAGAAGATTTTCTTGTCCCATGGGCAAAAGCAACTGTTCTGCCTAGCGCGAGCATTGCTAAGACCCAGCACGGTACTTATTCTAGATGAGGCAACGAGCAGGTGAGTGTCCAGTAGAACAGTCTTACATCGCGGGTGGATACTAACATCTTTGCGATATAGCGTGGATGCTGAGACAGATAGGTTAATGCAGCGCATTATTCGAGAGAGATTTTCCCGCCACACCATTATATCCGTTGCCCATAAGTTGGACACGATCTTAGATTTCGACAAAGTCCTTCTGCTGGATAGTGGTTCTGTTGTTGAATTTGACAGTCCACATGAACTCCTCTCGGACCAGTCGTCGGCATTCCATAACTTGTATCACGGTACGGAAACGGGCGACGACGGGGGAGATGTATCTGAGCGGGTAACTCTCTCGGGATAGGCACACTATAACGACGGTATAAATTGCATTTGCGATACTTTTGGACGGCGTTTGCATACGGCGTTTATTTTACAAATTCTTTTCTCTTTACATTCATTTAGATAAAAATCACGATCTAGAATAAGTTATGATCACTGTGCCCCATCCATCTGTTGTTTTCTAGCGATGCTTCAATAACCGAATCTTTAGCTACTCCTTAGCTACACTTTGCCACCACCTAGGTGCTCTACTATCCCATTTCCACCTGATTTAAAATGGGAGGTCCTAAGGTGCGCGAAGTCGGGTTGCCTTGATTTCGGAGGACCTCACCAAGCTACCCCACCATAGTCAACCACCACAATACACCTTTAAGTGAGTCAAGTCAAGGCAACAATGTCGATCATCTCTTGTGGCGAAATTACCGCAAATTACCGCAAGGCAGTGTTCCCATTGCGCACCTTCAAAAATAATGAAATCCCCCCTAAAGCCATCGGATAATTGGGCAATACCTTGCCTTGGTTCACGAGCTGTATTTGCTTTCACAAGACTTTATTGATTTTGGCCCCTTTTTGCCCCGCATTACCCCTAGCTATTGTCGTCATAGTTGCTGAGATCTTGCACTCCGTCCCGCCTATGGCGCTTTACTGGTGTAATAGAAAAGGAGGATGGTGCTGAAGGATCGTTTACCCATGGCGTTTCTTAGCCAATGACAGCTGTGTAACCATGCCACTGGAAGGTAGTATCGCATGGCGAAGTGCAGATTCTATGCATATCAGCCCCCAACGCCGGATTGCCAGGAGCAAAGCAGGGACCAGAGATTTAAATTGCCTCACTATGGAGTAAACCTCCTTATGGGGAGCCGGTTCAAGCTGTTTGAATGAGGAAAATTGTGATATTTTGAAGATAATCTGTATGAGTGCTATCATATGTGTCAATGCTTGGTTAGCTTTGGAACGATTGAGCTGAGGCTGTGTATTTGCCACGCTAATAATGCTCTCAACGGCTTACGAGAAATGCTAAACCTGCCTACACGGGCATGGAAAGACCCATCTAGAGGAACTTGCCGTCAAACCAACAAGTTGGTCACCATTATCACAAGGATACGAAGTTGTACTATCATTGTGTCTTTCGAGAAGTCGAAGCACCTTTTGATGATCATATTTCCGGAAGCCAAAGCAACCGTGGATTTGATTTTCTAACAATAAACTGACACGTACCTACGACGGTTACAGAGAGCCCAAAATAATAAGAAACCTGCAGACAAACTACAAAAGACGTCAGTGGGCTGACTAGATAAATGTTAAGAGGTCAAAACAGTAAGGCGCAGCCCCATTCAACACAGCCCATGACAACAATGTGGTCAATGATCAAGTAGTACCACAGTCCTATTTGTGGTATACCCAGAAGCCTAGTGATACAACAAGCCAATAGCACCTCACCATGGCACGTGCACCATGTGTTCTATCTGCAGACATTACGAGACCTTATCCAGATTAGTAGTACGAAATACTTCTTCCCCTTGCACAACATATGTTCACCGCCGATGGGATGAGATGCCGGTGCCGACAGCAGCATGCATATTTCCACAAACACATGAGTTCTGGCTGAATCAGATGTTATCGATAAAGATAAAACAACTCGGATGCTCTCCCTTCCTTTCCGCTATCCGTGTGTCCGCAATAGCTTCTCTATACCACTTACCCAGTATAGCTTCGGACCATGTAACAAGCCAAATTGATCAAATGCCCGGCGTATACGGACGGATGTAAGCAGACCATATATGCCGATCTCTTCTATCAAGGTAGCAACTCGTGAGTAGTATGCAGAGAAGAACCCTCCGAGTGGTCCCGAGTTACTGCTAATGGGTGGTTCCGTGCCGTCGTATGTCAACCCATTTTTCCTTGGAGACTCTCCCGGAAGCCGGCTGCCATCTCAACTGTTTAGCAGTTTTCCGGCGTGTAGATCAAGTGACGGTACACGGCTCTACGAATAACGAGCGAGTCTGCAGCAATGGCGAAAAACGGATCCTGTCAAGAGGAAGGATGGGTAATTATGCAATGCAGCTGCAATTTATACCAGAGCCGGATTCTTTAAATGGCGCCTATACCCTGAAAGCGCCTTCCGCCCTCTAGTGCAATTGTAGTTGTATTGGGGGCTTAACTTACCAGGATGATGCGATCGACAAGCGGAGAGTCTGAGACTTATAGAGCGGCTTAATACCACCCTGCAATGCCACACCCCATATAAATTCCAGTGATTTTATGACGGAATATCTTTTCTCCCCAGGGCTATACACGGAGAATTCTTTGCGGAACAAAGTATCTTGCATCCGGGGGGCGATCCCAGTCACAGGATTTGCAATACTAAACCAGCTTGTGCAACTGTGTACCATCCATACCACGGCGACACAAAGCCACATTGCAGGCATAGAGCTCCGGACGTATGTACGACAACGGCTGCCACGCTTGGGTTGGTTTGCCAGCATATAACGTGATTTGCTGCTGAGGCCACATAGGGTATGATGACGATTTACAACACACATTCTTTCGGGCAACACGAGAGACACTGAAGGCTCAGCTCCTGGATACGAGCTTCATAATCCAATGCATCTCCACCATCTCCAGCGCTGCGCCTGACTCGGACTACTTTGCCGTTCATGACCAGTGGCCACACGTTGATAGAGCCTCAAGCGCCTTCAACGGCCCGAACGAACGCCTTGGACGCCACCTAACGCCCCTAATGCTGTTTAAGTTTCAGCAGCCCCTCCTAAAGCCCGGAATTCCTCCTTTCATCGGCTGACTATACATCTAGAACTCCATCTCTCTCGTTGGGCAGATACAATCAGGTGGCCTGCAGGAATCAGCGCCTTGGCTAGACATACATTGAAATATTTCCACCATGTGCCGGCGGCATTTGGAAACTTTAAGTTCAATGGCGTACAACACCATATGCAAGATATAACATGACATAGGTTTCACGAAAATTAATCCTATACCATACGCGCTTCTAGAAGAGAGTGGAAATGCTCAACCTTCATCAGTATTCCGGGAGCCCGGGCTTAATTGTAGGGTGAAGTTAACTCGCCCGAAGCCTAAGGATAGATCAAACGTTGAGATGCCAAGTATCGATTGCCCGATCTCCGACATGGTCCGTCGAAGATCTTGTCTCAGTATGATAGTTGTCATGTCTTAGTTCTCAGCCGTGTCTTGCATGGGTATCGGGCCGTGAGAACCTGAAAAAAGCACAATTAGCAGCTGTTCTAATACCCTACATGCCCGCCTGTTTTTATGGGAATTTGAAGGATGCCATGTCATCTTGGCGTTGTCGATCAATGCCTTCGGAGGGTTTCTCAGGGTGCATAAGTTGCTCATAGGATGGACCCTTCGGCGATGGTACTCACTGCCTGCTCCAATTCATTCATTTACGTTTCTTGGTGTTCTAGAAAGTTTTTTTTTTTTCGGAAGCATATGAACTCACCCTGATGGGGTATTGATCATCGCCATCTTATGCATGGCCGGGCTGCAGTGGCACCCTCTTTGGCTTTTGTCCCCTTTTCGAATATTTTATTTTATTCGAATATTTATTTATTATTATTATTTATTATTTATTTATTTGGCACAAGAGACTCTTGGATATTATTATTATTATTGAGGAGAAAGCAAGGGAGAAGAAGGCACCCCTACTAGCTGATCTCTCCACTTTCACCCACCACCTCTCTGAGCTGAACAAAAACCTTGGTCATTTACCCACCATCAAGCAGCTATCAAGAACTCACGAATCCTTCTTCCCTCGTGCTGTATATCAATGGATAATGAGCTGCACAGCTGCGTACTGCTGGTGCGAGGTTGCGGAGGCGAGAAGGGGATGGAAGAGCGGAATAAGGCGAGAGTCGCGAGACTGTTACTTGGGTGGTGGTTATTTCCGAAGTCGGCATCACCAACAGTAGATATAGTAGTTGTAGCAATAATTCTTGGATTATATCTATCAAGTTATTATCTGTTATTTAATATACACAGTACCAATCACAGTTTGCCCCGTAAGCAAGTACTAATGTCCCTACCAGTTAGCGGCCCTCGCAGGGTCCCGAAGTCTCAAATGAAATGATTGTGATACCTCGATACTTAGTTATTCTGCTAGAATATTTGTAAAAGGGGTAGTCATATGACCTCCCTCGCTTAGTCCCCTAAGGGCACTCAACTTCTCCTTTTCTTTCAGCGCTTCGTTTCTAACTTCAGCGGAAACCGTATTTCAAGGCTCCCTATTTCATTACTTGTCCAGGATCGTAAAGCCGCGCAGATTTTGGTGCTCTAGTAGAGGTTAGTATTATACAAGACTTGTGTAGATCCAGGTTTGAAGAAAACCCCGCTATGTTGTTACCTCCAAAGACCGTCACAACAAAATATTTTCACTGTAAGTCAACTTCCGATGAGAGGAAAGTTTCACATACCATCAATATACCAACCTACAGGAAGCTCTCCCCAACAGCCATGACAATGGCCACGTGCTTCCAATGTTCTTGAAACCCTTTGCGACAATATAACCTTCGAAATCTTTCGCAATTGAACGCGGCATTTCAGCAACCAGTCCCTCAGGGGTTCTATCGCATGTCCCGAATGTTAGGTTGATGGAACAGCCTTGAAAGTTCCAAAGACAAAATTGATATTTTGTTAGCTGATCACAATGATGGAATGTAGATAAAAAGGGAAGACGTCGACAACAAGGCTGTAAATACCCCGCCAATAGCCTCTCCATCGGAAACAACTGTATTTACCCTAGCGGGACACGAATGAATCCTCGGAGATCAGCAAGGCGTCGAGCTAGACCTGGATTGATTCCGCATAGGGCAATCTCAAGTAGTCCCAAAGGTAAAGGCCCGTATGAAGGAAAGGCAAAATGAGTGGAGCTGTGGTAGGCACTCGATTAGGAAGGTTAAGCCAGTTGTCACTGATAGCATCGCTGACTGCGTGTTGATGAAGTCCTTGCGTTTGCACAGCTTTTCGGGAGGGTTACCGACAAACAATAGGCATAAACCAGCGAAGTACGCGAAGCTTAACGAATGAGAGCTTATAGCATTTTATACCTTGCTGATTCTAAAAAGGAGCGAAGCTTCCCAATACAGCATAGGTGCAACTAGGGGATAGGGTCACCAACCCATATAATCGACCACCCGACCCCAGGTTTGCAGCAGATTTGGGTTTATGTTTAACCACACAGTGTCCACGTTTTGTATTCCACATTTTGTTTACCCCTTAAAATGGAAAATACATGTGCCAAGTTCGGATACACTCCTCTTTCCAGGCGAGGTTGAGCCGATGTTTCAGAACCCACGAACCTACGCGTGATTTACCCCTGGCGAGCAAAAAATGGGCGAAATCTTTCAAGATGGTCCCTTTTATGTGTGTTTATGTGTGTTGCAGTTTGTATTTAAGCCTTAAAGGGAAATATATAGAGTGTAGGGTATTACCTTTGTCCCGTGTATGGTCAGGTTGTGGATTTTGCGTCATGTAAGCCCTAAACGGGAATTAACAATCGCAAAGTCACTCAAGTTTTTTGTTAGAGCTGGCTAGGGCCATCAATTGTAGCTCATTAGGATGCAGATCATAAAGGATTTAAAATTGCTATGTTTTGAATTTTTTAACCGTTTGTATAATCAATAGAGGAAACTCGAAATGTGTAACCGAAGAAAGAAATGGAGCGAAACAGGCTTAAAAAAGAGAAAGCAATGCCATCAGCACATCCCTAATAATTGAACTGTGTCCCCATATAGTTGTGCGTCAATATGCAAAGTCAGCAAGCAAGGTGATACACCATGTCTAATTATTGGTATAAAAGGCTCGATGCATATAGTAAGCGCTCCGAAATCGGGCGTCAAGACCAAGAGGAGGCATGGTAATATCGGTGTATCCTTTTCATGATGACCATAAGAGGGAGTGATATCCCCCCAATTTTTTCTCATAATAGCTTTGCTTATACATTCCAGCATTGAAGTGATCCGGAGTTCCCGCCCTTCAATCTTTTCGCGACCGACTCTACAAGACCAAAAACCCCTTCTCCCCCACCTAGCAGCCTTGGAACTTGGTATGAGGATGGGGCAACTCGATCAACAAGGCCATAATTAAGTATCTTTGAAAGATGTAATGTTTGCGCATTAACAAGAGTGTCGGTGCGAAACAATATTGGTATTCAACTTTCACTATTACCCTCATTCATCTGGCCGGTTTCTACTACGACTATTCTCACTTCTCAGAACGACATAGTACCGGTCCAAAGGCACATACCTTCCCTCTATCAGTACTGCAAAGTAATCCAGTTTAATTAGACATGGTATCGCTTAATAGGGTATAAGCTGTGGTAACTTGGTGTCGCCTTGAGGGTTGATATATAGAGAGGAACAGCAATCAAAGGGACGATCCATGGACATAGTTCATTCATCGGCATAGGACAATTGCTATTGTCTACGCGCAGCCTTCTTCTATGATCACAAGAGATAAATCAACGTCAACCCTCGGCTGGAAGGGAATTGATGTGCTACGAGAATAGGTTGTCCCTCTTCCAAACAAATATTGCACATACTGCAGCCTCCCGTCGACAATAAGTACCAGGTCCCATTACACAGGTATTATCAACTACATCTTTCTATGGTTTTAATTGCGTGCTAATGTGCGACTACTTTAGACTTTAGCTTCACACATAGAATCAAACGTCTTTCTCCGCAACCAACGATTCCTACCTCTTTGGCTATTTGTGCGTCTGTGCAAGAGATATTGGGGCTTGAGCTTGAGCTCCCGGCTGATGTGAGAGCCTGGGGCACCTATAACGATAGTTCGATAGCGAAGCTAATTAGTTATTTCGGTGAGTAGGTTATCCTCAATAAGCATCATACCGCTTCCGAAGCATTTGATTTCGTAGACGACTATCCGTTCTCATACAGCAAGTTCTGGCCTGAAAACCGCAAATGGTATGATCTTGTTCCCGGCATTGATGAGCCGGAACTAGTCCAAGCAACAGGCCACCATAGCCGTTATTGCACATTTTCCTCTAGGCCGTTATGCAGGAGGTGTTGGTAAAGTTATCCTCAAGGTACCGACGCCTTTTGGAACGCTTTGGGTCTGGAAATATAATTATGGCCTCGACTATGTGTAGATTAACGAGATCCGCAGCTTCATAGATATCGATAGGAGTCAATGCAGTAGGCTATAAATGCAAGTTTACTGCCTCCAGAGCGTTCTAAAACTTCTATTAACGCCTACCAGTCCTAGGCAGCCTAGAATAAAAGTCTCGCCCATGAACTTTCGCAACTTGACCCACGTCATTTGATTCCCTTTAAGATCCTTCAGTTCGTCTGCCAAAGCCTGGTCGAGGTTTTTAACTTGGCCGCCATACTCTTTGCTCCTTAGACATCTCTGAGAAGTGTCAGAATTCGGGCATCGAATTTTAATACCCGTTTCTGCCACATTATAACCTTTAACTACGAACTAAAATTATATGTAAAGAAAATTATTTGTAAAAAAAAGCTTTGTCACTTTGGAATTTCTATATCGCGTGGTGTTGTAAAGTTACTAGTAGGTCTTACCATCTTCCAAGATGCTTCATATTCAATGATCTTGAACTCTTATTTGCGGATACATCTCCCCGTATCTCTACTAAATGGCTCAATGATGCCCTTACCACCTCAATGACTCTACTTCTGAGGAATATCATTGCGGTCAAGATCGGCACACCTAGCGCAATGTCATGGGCCATCTGAAAACCTTAGGACGATCTCGAAAATTAAAGCAAAGCTTCGTCATTGGTGTTCAGTCCATTCTAAAGATACGAGCAGTGTATGTAGCAATTAATCTCTATTGAATTAGTGCATTTAACAAGCTTCAATTAAAATATTTTACTTGAAGGGTTGGTATTACTTTCTTTGTTGGTGACAAGGGAAAGCGGAAAATTAGAAGACAAGGTAGGAAGAGAATAGGCAAGAATAAAATATATCCGGCGTAATGCATACTATATTACCACATACATGGCACACTAAATGATAATATACCCGCCAGACTGCAAACCTACAACCAGCGTGACAATAGAAAGTCCTGCCATATTGCATCGTTGTGTTCGAATAGGATTGACTATAGTGCCTTATGTATTCTTGGTGGGCTTATAACTATTTATGCTTAGATGATACTAACTATGCTCGTCCTACCAATCCAGTAAAAAGATGGCAATACCGGCGCGAATCTAGGGAGTTCGCCACCTATACCACATGTAAAGTAGTATGGTACAACATCCTGAAATAAAAAAGAAGCAAGGAAACCCCTGGTCATAATTAGGTTTCTTAAGCTGCAGTTAGTATCACAATAGATGGCATCATGGCAACAAAGCACCATCGAAACATATGATATTATTTATGATCCCATCAGCAAGTGATCTACAGTTACTCAATCCCTCTCCAGCTCCAAACTACAAGTTTCACACTTGATTTTCTCACAAATAACTTCCCACTCTCTCCCCGATGGAGGAGTAAAAGACCTAGTCCCTATTCTACCAACATAAACAATATTAATCAGGTGTGCAAAACTCGTTTCCTAGGACTTTTCCTTGGAGAATTTCTAAACTCACCAACCTCGTAAACTGGTGTTGGAGCGACGTGAAGTCGTTATTCTAGGCCCCTCTTTAGTTTCACGGTGTGATATTTCGGGACTAGTTTTCTCTCTTGATCTTCATTGTTTGGTTGCACGAATATAGGGCGAGAACATGCAATTATATCATCTAGACTTTTCCTTGAAATATTTGGCTTGTATCTATCACCCACACAAAAATCCACCCCCAAGTAGCACCAATAAACTAGAGATAGAAGAACCAAATGCATGAAGAATGGGGCCACCTAACATATGACGGAGTGTCAAGTTTTGGAAATCACTATTATCCACGACCATTACAGTTTAGAGATTTTGAGCAACGGCAACATGAAATCACAGGGATATGTTATTTGTTTATAAATTAATTGGAAGGTGTTCACGCTAGGCATAAGGGAAATATTTTAAGCGGTTAGTGCACGTCGCCACTGGTTATTTTTTGCTCTGCTTTGGAACTTTCCTCGTGTTGTGGATCATCTAGAATGGCAAGGCTCACTAGGAACTCGGATGTGGGATAGTAAGATGGTTCGTCTACTGTGCCTGTGATTGACGCTCCCTCGAGTTGATGTGGGGAAAGCTGACAACCTGTTCTATGATCTACGCTCTGCCGTATGGAATGAACAATAATAAACGCAGTAGGAATCTGAGCGGTAGCACAGTGATAGGGAGCTGTAAAAGGACACAAACGAGTGGCCATTTCGGATAGGGGAACTGGCCTGTAGTCACGGAACTGCGAGAATTTGAAAAGGTTGCCACGAGCCAGCGTTGTAACTAAAAAACATTAAAAGCAATTTTGTTGGGTACTTGTACATGTACAAAGCTGTGTAAAAAGAGCAGATCTGACGCCTCGCTATGTGATAATGTCGATTTCCCATTGCCCAGACCGAGAACGAAATATGCAAATCTGACATGCATGCATATGTATCCCGGAAACAAACTCCATAATCCTCTATGCACCTGTCCTATGTTTGGAGTTTCCGTAAAAGTCTTAGACTACGCTCTCCTTCAGACTTGGGGTCCGGCTCTTTTCTCCAGCGGGTGCGCTCGGTTTCCCAGCAATGACCTTAGCCCTCAGCGCGCTTCGTATATCGGCCTCAGGCCTGGCTGCCCACTCTGAATATCCGCTCGTGCTCAAAGGCCAAAGAACCTTGTTGTGTTGCGCAGAATCCTTCACGAAATCGCCGAATTTAGGGGTTTTCACACTCATCATGACGTTCAGCTCCTTGGCCAAATCAGCACAATACTGATCTAGAGGCAGATCGTTGACGTCGTCTCCGAAGGGGTTTTCGAGCTCGTTGCCAATTGATGCAAGACCGAGGATGATATATGCTGCGGCGATGGTACCGGGAATGGTGACCCACTTGAGACTTTCTAGGAGTTGGAAGGGAAGGAGGTAGACATAAAGGAGGACAATTTGGGATATTAGGATGTTGTAACCGACTGGCAGAGGAGTCGTGAGGACACGTTCGGCGGCTGCTTGGGAGTCGGTCAGGGCGGAGAGCGAGGTGACTATATTATGAGTTAGACAGGTAACTTTGCATGTTTAGGAGAGGGGTAGGGACGTACGCATTTGTCCAACGACTGTGGGTGATTTCATCGTTCCATTGTTAACAATTTCTTCGATATACGCGCTTAGGTATGCCGAGATCTCCAATGGCAAATTCCCCAACGGCTTATCCGCGCGCTTGAGTACCTTTCGAGGGTTGCTGCTGGCCATTGAGAGACCCAAATACCCGCCAACCCTCTTCCACGGGGATATTTTCTCCGATTTCAGATGTTCCTCCTTGTGGGCAGCTTTGGCAAAGGTATCAAGATGGCCGACCAGGTCCGTGATATCGGCGTAATGGGCAAAGGGCTCGAATCGGAGCTTATGCTTCAAAGCGACGGCGAAGGCGAGGACCAAGTTCATAGCGGTTACTTTGGCAAGAAGATCCTGCTTGCCAAGTTCGCCCTCTCGCTCATCGGTATGAATCCAGATATATCTCGAGAGGTTACGGCAGTGGACTACGAGGGCTGACCAGGTCTTGCGGCCCTCAGAGTATCGTTCATAGGCGGTACTGCTGCGGAAAGACAGGGCGAGACCGACGACGAAACCGAGCACTGTGAGCAGGAGGGTGGATACACCAACTGTAGAAGTTTAGAATAAGTTAGTACACGTAAAGTTAAAAATTGATTAAAAGTTGGGAGGTGATCCTACGAGGTGTGACGAATTTGTGGAGACAAGTAATCAGCGATGCCCAAGAAGCAATCAATGATAACGGAACGATCATTTTTGGGAGAATGCTGCCATGCATTTGCAAGAAGTATGGTAGCTTTGAATGCTTTTCAAGATCTCGAGGGCCGACCTGTATTCTTAGTTAGAATTGAGATTCCCTATGAATGGATGCTGCGAAGTGAACCGTACGAAATAATCAGTTATGTCTGGCGCTCCATGCCGGGCTTGCTTTGTCCCAAACGATATGGGCGTATCAGTCCCCGAATAGCCTGCTATATTCTCATCGAAACCGGTCTTGCTGAGAGTGGATTTGCGCGAGTTATGGTTGAGGAACGCTGGTTGTGCTGCGCGCGAAATATCATGCATGTCCCCATGGCTATTACCATGACCAGCACCACCACCAGCACCGCCAGTCGCTACCCCTCCATCATCAGCCATTGCGTATTAGTATGGTTGGAAGTCGTGAGTTGAGCGGCAGGGAGGTGTGGATGTTGGGCGAAACAGCCTGAGCTTCTACCAGAGTTGGCCAGGGACGATCGGATCGAGAGTGAGCGGGAGAATTCAACAAGGCAGTAGCCAGGAAGCAGGGTGGAAGAGAAAATATACAGAGGGAGGAACGCGGAGACAAATAGAAAAGAGAAGGACAGTTGCGATGGTGGGGATGAGGTGAGGAAAGGAGATTGTTCTAAATAAATCTGACTGCAGAAAATGCTACGGTGGGAGGTCCTTCGCGTCGGGCAGCTGCAGTCAGCAATTCAACTTTTAAGCTTGAGCCAGAATCCAGGGTTATTGCCGCGGCCCTGCCCAAATGCAACGGCCTGGCCAGGTTCTGAGTGGCGGATTGGATGAGTCTCTGTGAACACGAATAATAATAAGCCTGTGGGCGGAGGATTGGACGCCAGAGACCCAGACTGGAGCTGAGCGCAATGACGGGGCAAGCCCAGAACGAACGAAACGAACAATCCGCGGTACTCGAGTACTAATCCTGTACGAAACCATTCCCAACGCGGAAGCTGAGCGGCACGGTCCAGCATGCGGAACGGGGCGTGCCATCCTTTCCCGGGGTGGGAGAGAGAGCAATTCCGCGTGCTCCCTCACTCATACAAAGCAGCAGAGAGCACAGAGCATACTGTAGCACAGTTATCCACCACGATTCAGATAGACAGATCTCTGTGCTATGATGATGAGAAATTGTACGAAGTATTGCTACGGGAATGCACAAGATGGAGGGTCAGATCCAGGTGCAGATTTGTGCTCGTTTCAGGAGTAAGGGACAGGAGGCGGAGTTTCAGCCCCGCCAGAAATAAACAAGCTTTGTTCCATTTACCCCCTGAGACACGCATCCACAGACAAGGAACAACATGGGGAACAGATGAAACGGGGAGAAAACGTTAGAACGAGGGCTTCACTACTCGTCAATCAATCTGCCGAGGTATCCGAATGGGATAGATCTGCATAGCCACCATCTAATAAGATCCAGTCCAGGCTCCAGACTATGCGCTGCCATGCTACTGGAGGCTCGCCATGGCGGTTGCTAGAATGAAGCTATTCCCACACGTAGGGAATGGTATACCTTGCCGCTTCCGCCCCCATCAAGATATTTTGGTTGTGAAACTAAAAATTGCTAATAAATGCCCATATTTTTCTTGTGGTGCACTGCCTACGAGCTGAGCAATGAAGGCATCGCCATACAAGACAGAAGCAGTTAAGGGTGGGGGCGGTCGTGGAAAACAGCCGTCTTGGGAATGGGGACCAGATGGATTGCGAAAGGCTAGGGCAAGTTGCAGTGCGGGGCTGGTGGTAGTTCGGATATAAACAAGTGTCAGAGCATACGAGCATCCCAGGGTCAGAGACCTTCGTCGGAAGTGTGGGAGTGCAGGGAAGAGCAAACGCAATATTGTCCCTAAGACCCTACTACATTTGGGGGCTTTTCACTACAAACATATATTAATTTGTTTACCTTAAGAACCAATCAGAGTGTGATGATATCGCCGGCATTTTTCTAGTTGTACGCCTTGCCCTTTTCGTTCTAGTATTTTTAACATACAATCAATCAATCTTCGTCTTCTGATAGCTGAAGAAAAGGGTGTTCCAACAACTCCTTGCCAGTCGCTATGCTCCTTTTCTCTAGCGGCCATTAGAGTATATTGCTAAACAAATCGAGAAACTGCCGTTTTCCCTCACCCTGATAACGAATGCAGGTGTCAGCAAGCAGGAGGTTCCACAAAATAAAGCCCTTGTGAATTAATTCTCCTGGGGGCCAAGGTGTGGCTGATAAGTAGATCTCTAATAGGGGCCGTGTATCTATATCTTACCATTGTCATAGAAGAAAAAGGGCTCCCAAGTGCTGGAAGGCGTTCCGAGAAGTCTGTCCTTGGGGCCTTTACACCCCGTGGAGAATGTTAAGTTCCGATAAATTTCCCTCGAAATCAAGGGGCGCTTTTAAAGGTGGCTTGAAAAAGGTAGTCATCTACGCAAAATGGACATGCGTATTTATAGTGTACTTGCTTGTTCTTTAGGTTGGCAAATAGATCTTTACCATGCATTATATTCTCTATCTATACCGTTCGCGGCGTGGTTAGGGGCAAAGGTATGTTATAAATGAAAGCCAAGAGAACATACTAGCACATCCAAAGAAATCGGCCATGGTAGATATGTCATGAATGTGAGGTGTATTACGTCTGAAATACACTGTTGGCTTACAGCGTGCCAATGACCGGACCAGGCCGAGACGGGTCCTTGCCATTAACAGGATAACCAACGGCCACAGTCATCATCACTAAGACCCACACGCTGTGAGGGCTGAGACCTCATATGACCTTGGATCAGTCGCTAAAATATGCACTAGAGATATATATGTTGATTATATGTAGCTTCTCCAATAGCATGCTGGAAACCATGGCGCCGATTTGCGTCTACCTCCATCTTCTTGAAGATATCCGAGGGTCCTCATAGGTCATGCAAAGTTGGTTATGGAGGCTGCACCTCTCACAATCTGCACCATCTTTTTTGATTCGGTAGGGTCCTCCCTTGCGGCTGATGTAGTAGCCTCAAGTAGGGGATATTTGGTATCTGGAGAACTGTTTACAAACAGTATCTCCATTGCAGTGATGGTGTAATTGATAGCACTTGTTGTAAGACCAAGCAACGTCTTCTATACCGACCATGTGGGCTTCAGTGTAGGCCTCCATAAAGGCTTTGGCTCTAGGCTTTCCGAGAGCTTGTCGGTGAGCTGCTCAAGTGTGCGTTCTGCTCTGTCTGTGACGTTGATGTTCTGCTCGTGAATATCTCACCGAAATTGAGATATTCAAGTAGTGTAAATATCTCAATTTCAGTCAGATATTCGTGGCCGTTGGGCCATATAACATGGCGAAAAGTGGTTTGCACCAAATTCGCCCAAGAATGCGCCATAGTCTGTCCATACGCAACGTTATGTAAGCGACAATTTTCCAACTAAACTTGCCGAGGTCTTTAGCAGCAGTATATTGTTCACGACGTTGACATCAACATCAACAATTGAATTATATAGGGAGCTCCCAGATGTTCGACGGGGCAAGTTGCGATGCCCGGCTTTGCTTCGAAAGCTTCTCAACGATTTACATGCAGGCCTATTTCTGTGGCCGCTCATAACGATACGGACACCCGGTGCTTGCAACCGCATTCCATCACATGTCCGGAGTTTGTTTGCTGCGACGCACTCACATGCCAAATGCGTACTACGTAACACAACACTCTTTATTCAGTCGTCAGGCCCCAGCGTCCTCCGAGGCCACCAACACTTGAATGCACCGCGATAACAAATAAAATGTTAAGATGATAGGTATGATAACATCACTAGAAGGTTACCCCAACTATGGATTCAAGCATGCTAACTGTAGCTGGTGGTAGATCATGTCTTGGGCCGGCCGTCCGTCCGGTTTAGAAAGATACAAGTTCTTGCAGTGGTTTCATTTTGGTCTTTCTATCTCTTTAGGTACTTAGCCCTAATAACCTATTCTGAATCTGTGCTGCAAAAAAGGAACTGAGTTGCTAACAAAACAAAACATTAGAGGACATAAACATGGCCCACCAGCTGTTCGGAAACTATCTCGAAGGCTCGCCGGCTTCATCACTCCCTGGCAGACCGTTGTTGTGACTCTCCTCTACCTCTATCTTGCGCGAAACCTAGGCAAGCTACTTGGCCTCGAATGCCCCGAACCTCTCGCCAATCTCTATAGCAGATCATACTTCCGAGCAACATGGATTACGACAGCACTAGATGCCGGATTTTGGTCCGCCATGCGCATAAAGAGGAAGTGGCTGAGGGACTTGGCCAGTGTTGTCTTCACTGCCTACTATCTCATTGCCGCAGAACAGGCAGATGAGAAGGTCCGGAAAGTGAGGGGAATGTTGACCGTGGAACATCTGCGCGTCAGCTGGAATAAAGGCCATACTCCATACCTGAGAGCTATGCAGTCTGTGATGCGGCCGAGGTTTATGAGGTATCCACCCCGCGCAATCAGGATCCCACGACCATCAACGAGCGATTATAAGGAGCCTGTCAAGGCCTGGCTATACTTCGACGGGCCACTCTCAGCCCTGAAAGATCATACCAAGATCGTCCTCGATATACCGGGAGGCGGATTTGTAGCAATGGATCCGAGGATGGCCGATGACAAGTTATTTGCATGGGCCGGAAAGACTGGCCTTCCAATTCTAAGTCTAGACTATCGAAAGGCGCCTGAGTATCCATATCCGTATGCGCTGAATGAATGTTTTGATGTGTATTGCACCATCGTTGCGAGCAAAGGTCGATGTATTGGTCTATCTGGAGAGAAAGTGCCTAAAGTTGTCATTTCTGGTGATAGTGCAGGTGGAAATCTTGCTACTAGTACCACACTGATGATAATCGAGTCAGGCTCGACGCTCATGCAACGTACTCATGGGCAGAAAGTACTTCCTATTCCAGACGGACTCGTCCTGATATATCCTGGCTTGGATATGAATATTGGGAACTGGATGTCCGAAGAGCAAATGTCATTAATAAAAGACCGGCGAACGCGCAAGACAAATCAGAACATTATTCGGCGGAAGAGCATGCAATATACATTGGCGGCCGGAACACCCCATCAATCAGACGATGAAGATGCCTCCAGCACGCCACAAGTCGACCCTACCACAGCTATTTCGGAAGTAACTCGTCCTACGCCCATCTCCCTTCCATCTCCTCAATATTCCACCGCGGCTCCAGTATCTCTGTCTCCAACCACCATCCGGCATGATAGTCGCGCAGAATCTGGATCTCATCGCCCGGCACCACTCCAGACCCGCCTCGCAATGTCAAGCATGATATCTTATTTCAACGACCGGATCCTGAGCCCGGAAATGATGAGAGCCATGATAATTTTATACATCGGGCCTCACAATCGTCCCGATTTCTCCACAGAATATCTCCTCTCGCCTATCCTCGCTCCCGATAACCTACTTGCGCAGTTCCCCAAGACATATTTCCTAACCGGAGAGCGTGACCCCCTCGTAGATGACACGGTCATCTTCGCAGGCCGTCTCCGCCGGGCAAAAGCCGCAAAGCATGCCGCAGAGCAGGCATCCAGCGCACGACTAGGAAAGGAATTCGACGAGAGAGATGTCGTCGAAGTCGTCCTCATCCCGGGCATTTCACACGGATTCCTGCAATTCGTCGGTATTTTCCCAGAGGGCTGGAAATATATCTTCCGTTGCTCAACATGGATCGAACATATCTTCGCTGCTGCTGATGAAGAAGAAGCACGTGCCAGGCACCGGCCACCTGTTACCTCTCGCCATCACCAACGCAAAATTACTGAAAGCTCAGGGGATGAAGACATGGGACTTGAGATGTCTATGACCTCGCGCAGCAAGGCGAAGGATAAGGAAAGGAGGGAGGAGGAGAACGTTAGGAAAGAGAAACAAGCCGAGAGCAAAGTGATCGCTAAGATCGGTAAGGATCTCGGGCAGAGGAAGAGGAGTGAGATCGGGTTGGCTAGCAGTGACGATTTATTAGGGAGGAGGATGCTGGGTATTGCAGGGCCGTTGACGGGGAATGGGGAGGAGTCAGATTCGGATGACTGAGCAATGGGGAGATTGAATATGTAGATAGAATATGGTTTTTTGGGTTTATGGATATTGAATGAAATAAATTTTAATTCTCCTTGGATAATCTGCGGGGTCTTCGTATATTACTACCTGGCCTTTGAAATATAGACTGACGCTGATTCTAGACTACGAAATTGTCAATAATAGCAATCCATCACAGTATGATGATATTACCTTCTGGGGGGTGACTATCAATCAGCTAATCTGCCGGTCCCTCTCGTCGCTAAATCAACCCGACCAAAAGAAAAAGGAAAATGAAAATGAATTAATTTAATTAAATTAGATCTAGCCCTTAAAAATAGCAAAAGAGTTCGGCCCGGTGTCGAATTGCCTACGTCTCTTGTCGCTTTTTTTGTTGTCGCTTTTCGTTGTTGTTTCCCCTTTTTTTCCCTGTCGTCCCTGGCGATAACGAAAGTACAATTTGACCAGAACACACTTGACCAAGTGCCACGCCCTTGTACTTCGTTAGCGGATACTTGCTTATTTGGTATTATATATAAGAGCGACGTTTGGTCGCTAAACAATTTTTTTTGGTATGAGAAATCGGACTACAGAGTATGTATGTACAGTACTCCTCATGTCCGTGCTCATGCCTATGGCGCGTCACCTTCGGACAATAATACAATTGAATATACGCCAGCCAAACGCGACGGTCTCGCTCTTATGCCATGGCCTTGGATCCCAGACGCAGCCGGGCGGGGTGTTGTCACTGACGTCCTCGATATCCGCCGTACTTATGCTGTACATAAGGTACATGATTGGCTAAGTCCCCGGGCCGAACCCTTTCTTTAGGCTACATATTATTAACCTCTCCAAAGCTTTCTATTACTACGTATTCCGTCTAGTACACCCATCCTATCTCATTAACACCATCAACGCGGTACACACCCTAAGCTAGGCAGGTCATGAGCCCGACGTTCTCCCCTCGCCGCGGGGTAAATGAAAACCGTTGGGGATCGCCGGGACCAATTCTTCACCTCATGTAGGAGTTTCTGATAGAACCCGTTCGCCGGAAAAACAACCAAGCTTTGTGCTGTTGTGGATAAACTGCTTGTTTATATTCCCCATCCATTATTCTCTATGTTTTCGTTTCTCTTCAACTGTTGGTGCTGTCAGTTGCTTCGTTACCTATCACTCTCCCGCTCCTCATATCCTCAGCGATTCAATTCTCGACTATGGGGTCCTTTCATCCTCCGTCCAGCGTGGACCTCTTCCATCTCTGACCCTGGGCCATAAGCCGTGAGCCGCCGCATCATTTTTTCCATGCTTAGTCCGATCACTGGTAAAGTTCTCACGAAACAAACAATCGATTCGGTAGTGTTTTGAAGGCGCCCTTCAAGTCAAGGGCGGTATCGGGAGGAGGAGCAGCAGAACAGAATGACCGGCTCTTTCCATATCCCTCCAGATAGCAATGCGTCTCGGATGTACTTGGTGCCCTGTGGGCTGTTGCTGGCGCTGGCAACCGGTCTCTGCACCACACGAATATACACCCGTTTCCGCCCTACGTCTCACTTGAAACAGGATGATTACTTGATTGGTATGGCGCTGGTAAACAATCCCCCCTTTCTACCTAGTTATATCTGGTATCTAATAGAAAAATAACTAACCGTAATGCCAGATCCTCTCGATCGCAAGCTACTTTATATGCGCGGCAGCCGCGTCATACGGTTGGGGCCACCCAATGTTTCGCATATCCCTAAAAAACCAAACCATTGTCCTGAAATGTATGTACGCCTCATATATCATATGGGCTGTAGCCGTGGCGTTTGTCCGCATCTCAGTCGCATTCTCCCTTCTCCGACTTAACATCAACAAACCTTGGCGGGGTGTATTATGGACCTTGATTGCCATCCAGGTCCTTATTGCAATGGCCGATATCATTATACTGCTCTTCAACTGCACTCCTGTGCGGGCGAATTGGGAATTCGTGTATTATGCCCACTGCTGGGATCCTAAGAAGACAAATGTTTTCGGGTTTACATCCGCTGGTGAGTCCTCGTCCCCTCATTTCTATCCTACTAAATACCCCAAAGACTTACTGAATATTCCCATATGTACAGTAATCCTCATACTAATGGATTTAACGTTCGCAATAATGCCCATAAAACTAATATGGACCCTAAACCGGCCCTTTAGGGAACGACTCCTAATTGGTGTCCTTATGGCCATGGGTATACTCACAACAGCCATCCGCTGCGCTAGGATGACAACCTACAAGTCCATGCACACAGGCGACATCCTCACAAATTCCGTGCGTATTTCCTTATGGGCACAGCTCGAGGGCTTGGTTGGGATTATTACGGCGTGCTTGCCCTGTCTTAAAGGCCCCGCTGAGCGCGCTCTACGGAGGGCCGGTGTCCTGTCTTCGGGATTCCATTTGTCGAAACCGAGTTTTGTCATATCGAAGCGGGAAAGAAACCCCCCTGGGGAGTTGGAGGCACAGCGCTCGCGCGAGGAGGGCGAGGAGGGTGACGAGGAGAGCATTCAGGAATGGCCGGCTGAGCCTGGAAGTCATGCGAGTACACAGTCGGCTGGCACGAAAACTACTGTGAACGAAGCTATGAACTTGTCCGAGTGTTCGGACAAGGTCTAATTGGATTGGTACTGGTGTTGGGACCGAGAATGGCGTTGGAGGGTCATCTCATTGTTATACCCCTTTTGTTAGCGAAGCATTTTGAATACTTATATTTAGGATCTCTTGGGCTCTATGATGACGATCTTCATCTCACTCGCCCATCTGCGGAATACACTTCATGGAAACTATTCCGCCATAGCTGTTAGCGCGCTTCGAATAGCGATTTCCCAGTAGCGATGGTGGAAACAATGGGAATTGGTATCATTCCTTCGGCATCGATTCGGCACTCGTGAAGTACGACGTTATCGTATACAGGATTCCCCTAGAATCGACTCAAGAGCGGTCTTCAACATCAATCCTCATAATAATACCCCTTCCCTTCAAAATTCCAAGACCACCAATCCCACCCCAGAGATCTCCAACACCGGCTCCAATCCTTACACTCCCAGTTCAAAATATTCGGCGTCGGCATAGGCGGTGGTTCAAGCCACGTCCCATTTGCCTCCATCTCCATCCTAATTCTCATATCCTCCTCTACGAAAGAAGTTCCACATACAAAGTCCCCATACCAATACTCGGGGTCATACTCCGTCATCTCTGCCCCTTCCCTTGCATATTGAAACGCCATCCTCGTCCCATTCTCACCACCCCAGTACCACTCGTCATTTGCATGGTCGGTCCACTCTATATCCGGTCTTACATCTAGCCTGTGGAAGTGCCTGTACCCGGCAAGAAAGCCTAGGTCGTCCAGCGCGCGTTTCAAGGATAAAGTGTAGGTGTGGTTAAAGTTCCACGGCGCGGAGAGCTGGGTGACAATTCTCGGTTCGTCAGAGTTTGGTGATGAGGCGTTTAGTTTTACGCCTAGGGCTTTTTCGGTTTCCATGTGAAGCGTGGAGATGATGTTAGTGAAGATTGGGTAGGGGTCTGTTATCGGTTGTGGTGGAGGCGGTCCTCGGCGCAAGTACTTGTAGAGACGGTTGAGATAGTTGGACACGGCGATAAGGCCTTCGTCCGCGAGGGGACGGGCATGGTATTCTGATCTGCACCCTACCATAAGTTCTTTCGGCTCTGATGGTAAGCTGGATTAAACAGAGAATATATGGGAGCTAACCGGTTGCCTTTCCGGTCTTGTTGTATTTGTGCCATCATGTCTTTATATGCCTTATCGCCATCTATTTTCGCCAGGTCAAGTAATGTCCCGTTGCGGGCTTGTGCTGCTGATACACTATTACCGGTTATGTCTCGTCAGTAATATGCTTCTCACATCGGCTTCATTGGAAGAGAATGAGGGGAAAAGTAAGCCCAACTTACGCAACTTCCGTACTGAGATGGAATGCCACAGCTAGATGTATCAACCCATGATTAGCATGATATCCATAAACTCAGTTCAAACTCCAAAACTCTTTGAGTCAGTGTGGGTCTCTCCATTCTCCAGTTTCCTTTTCGGAAAACCAATAACACAACTAAATTACAAGAAAATTGAAAACGAAGTAAATATGAAGAGAGCAACCCAATAAGGAGAAATACAACAAAAGGAGAAAGCCTAACTAACAAAACCAATCGTCCCTTGCACTCCCCTTCCAACTTTGAATATCATAAACCTTCCCCACTTTCCCATCCACGCCCTGCGTTGTGACAACCATGTACTGCGCTGACGAAGAATAATTAGTAGATCTCCACTCCCTGATGCCAGGTTCATATTCGAGATCAAGTAATCCCCATTGGAGGGACTCTGTCATATTTTGCTCATCATAAGGGTCCTGTGCGTCTTCAATAGTGTTGGTGTCCTCTGCATTTTGGATCGGCGATGGGAAAGGCACAGGCGGGGTCGTGATGGAGGAGGAAGTTGTAAGTTGTGCCGTGGTAAGGCAGGACATCACGAGAATGAGCAAGATGAGGACTCGAGACATTCTATTATCTGTAATAAAAAATATTTCACAAGTGAATAAGCATGGACATCCAACGGTGGCTCGACTAGTACAAGTAGTTTAGAAACTTCTCTTTTACTTGTTTGTTATCGCGGGGCGGAGCTTAAATATATCAATAATTTCTGGTTGGATTATAGTATAAGTGGTATGAACTGTGTTGCCTGGCACTTACCTAGGAAGATAGATAGGTCAGATATCGCATACTGTGCACCGCACCTACGAAAGGTATGTCATAGAAGTAAGATTTTAGGTTAGGCATCAGTTGCCCCGCCTCGTTGTCCAGGTAGTATACGTTAGCCCATTACCGCAAGAAGCGCGCTAACTTCCAACGTCGCGACCCTAGTAGAAAGAAATTCTTATTACTCTCTACTACTTAGATATACAAGTCGACAATTACTTTAGAAGAGAACGAGTCCCCCCGTTATTGGCCTTCTCGGCGGTAGGCAACTGGGCCGCTTACTGTGCAGCTCCCCTCGAGATCCAAATTGCCGTTCTCGAGACAGACAGTGCACCTGTCGAGCAAATCAGCCAAAGCAGATATCATATTAACCGTTCCTCAAAGGATGCTGAAAAATTAGGGCTCGGGCGGCTCACCTAGGGATACTGGATTCAGTAACCCTTAGCTGAAAATCCCTCTCATTGTCGCCTTTAATATGCTGCGGCCGCCGATATTCCGAGGTATAAAATGGAACTTTGCATAATATCATCTAGCAGAATATTAAGATGTTGGGGTCTTTACCTAAGGCTACAATAGTTCGAATTGATGAGCAAACCTCCGTTGCGAGACATGCCAAAATTAACCTCTGAGGGTGGAAGGAATTGACTATTTGGTCCAATACGTGATATTAACGAAATTAATGCCAAATTTATCAATTATTAATCGAATTGGTCAATATCTCGTATTGACGAACTGAAAACACAGGGCTTGGGAATGCTCGTCAGTGAGATGGAAGTATATCGCAAGCGAGACTTGAAGCTGGCTTCAGGAGTAACTATTAGGCTCTCATGTCAAAATATATATACAGAAGTACTCAAATCCCAATAGCCCCTTCCTAACAAGGGAATGGACAGTTTAACATAAAAGTATTTGTGAAACGGCCAGGATGTTTGAACGGGTTTCCCTTGAATATACAGCGTTTCTCCGTAGTTGAATCCACACAATCTGTACCATAACAAAACTTAACCGTTGCACCTTCCTGCCCAAATGAAAGACTATTGATTTTTAGCTTGTCTTGCAGTTGAGAAGTTATGACCTCCGGAACAAGTGGATCAAGCACAGATCCTCGCTGATAACAACCGCCATCGAAAATACTAGCTTCATAATATTTAATATTCCTCGGTGACAAAGAGCTTCCTAAAATTGTCAAGCTGCACGTCTGCTTTTTCATAGAAGTAAATATATTACCCCGTGGGTAGCAAACCTCAAGCCTAGCGGGACCTGTCGGAGGGGGTAGCGGCACTTTACTGCGTTCCTCAGCGGAGAAATTAGGGAATTGAGCCACAGGCGCTACGTCTGTGATGTTGAAGGCATATGTTCCACAGCCATCCTTGAATATCCCTGACCCTGAGATGCTGCCATGTTCACTGCCTGAAGGAATGTTAGAAAGAAATCGTCACAATAGCGGAGAACATAACACTTACATGTGGCAAACATGTCGATGTACATTGCTCGACAACTGTAACTGCATGTTCCATCGTTGGCTTCAAAAGCCAAGGCAAGGTACTTGTTCGACCCGGCGTCCCACTGAATATATTCACAAGTATCATTTGAACCGGGAACAGAACCGTCGCAAAACCCATTGGCGTGGAATAATATATCGTCGTTGGTTTTAGCTGAAACAGCGCCTGGGAAGCATGTCGGTGTCGGTACGGCCTTTGAGACTGAGGTTGACGTGTATGGACTGCCGAAATCATAATCCGTTGGAAGGGGACCAACCGGGGGGTAAAACATACGGAGATTCATCCAATCTGGATATACAGGTTCTGGGATTGCTGTAAAGATTGGATCATATTCGGACGTAGTTACCATGCTTCCGGCACCTGGGATTTTCTCGCTCAAATCAATGTAGGGAGATAGCTTTAGCCCTGCGTTCGGATCTGTGCCGAAGGTAAAGCGCAAGAAAGTAATAACAAGTCCCAATAAAGGAATAAGTTCTGCGGTTGAGGCTTCATAACCCCTAGCAGCCAAAGCGCCGACAATTTGCTCATCAATGGCGTCGTTCGCTTTTTCTCCACCACCGCTTGATATAATTCGTTGCAAAACAGGAATAAGAGCTGGGGCAATTACAATAGCTTGAATTGACGGTTCTGGTGCTGGTAATCCCGGGGTCGATGTGGCTGTACCCGTGATAAATGAGAAGTACACTGTCGAAGCGGGAGCGCCTGCTGCTGTACCAGGTATGATAGTCAGGAAATTCGTTTCGGAAGCCGTCCAGACAGGTATAACATTTGAAATTGTCATATCGTATTGAACCTCAGTAGTTCCCTGAAGACTGACCCATTGAGTTCCTCCATGCAGAGTTCGAGAAGCGGCGGTGGGAAGGGGTTCACGAATGGCATTGTCTCGAGGCGCAACACTCACAGCGGCAGTGGCAAGCGCGGTATTGCGAGCAACATGCCTGGCCTCGATAACTCCTACTAATAGAAATATATGCACCCAGATCGATAGAAAATAACGAGTTCTTATGAAATTTGAAGACATTGCCGTTTAGTGAGTGGATAGCGGTGTCCGTTAGGTGAGTCTTTTAGATTCTTCCTCGAAGGACCTGAAGGGTAGGAGAGATATAACATTGTCTTCCTCGTATAGAATGACATCCTTCGAATAAGGGCGATGCTATTGCCACCGGCGAGAATTAAAATAATTTTAGGCATTGAGGCGCATGAAAACCTTGCCTAGCAATTTAGAATCGAAGAAGGTTGCACTGAGGTTCTAGGATTATAGAAGCTGAATTTGCTTAATTGGGTGGTTTACAACCAGCGCTGGCAGTTAAAGATTAGCGCTAATTAGGTGGCTTGGCCACCAGTGCTGAAAGTCAAAATTAGCGCCAATCAGCAGCAGCTTTAAATTTCCCGAGTACCACTTTTGAGGTTTTGGACCACTGTAAGATGATACGAGCGGTATTTGTAGGATTCGTGCGAGACCGTGCGACATTCGTAGGATCGGTATTTGTGCCACACGTTTCAAGTACACCTCTCAACACTGCTAAAGCATTATAGCTTCTGTTATAAAAATATTCCTGGAAGCATAGAGGGAATGTTCACCGCATGCTAGTGTATCCGTGGGACGTTTGGTTTTTATTTTCAACAAAATCCACCTCTGACTCCGAATCACCCAAGAGGTTGCAGCTTCTAAAACAAATCTTCATCATGTTTTTGTTTTCCTTGCCTTTATATCTTTCTACTTTTGCAGTCTTATCGTCAACCCAAGTGTTAGCATGGCAGGTTGATGTAGACTGTTCGTTCAATAGCGCTGGAGCCCTTCTAGCGGGGCTTACAGAGCCGTCGCTACAATTAGGGAACGATCTTGCCAGACATGTCAGCCTGGCTACGTTAGAAGCGCAGAGCATCGCAATGTATATGGCGAAAAAGGCCTTGATGGGCCCTCGAGTGGGAAACTTGATGCAAGATCTCCTTGGTGCACCTAGTGAAGATGACTCCGAGACACTGGCATGGATTGGTAGTCAGTTATATTCCCATCTCACCCAGTCTTCCTTGGATTGAACTACCGCTGACCCAATGCATTTTTAAACAGCTTCTGTAACTAACATCATTGCTGCAATGAATGTACCTAGTACCAATGGTGAGCTTAAATTCCCGGGAGGTGCCTTGCAACTCCCACAAATCCACTCTAAATACTAGTGCTAACCTCAAATGCTTATCCTACAGAGGGCGGGGGCACGGGACTCATCATCAAATGCACAGACTCCCACCTCACCCCTATAGATCCACTCAGAGGGATATTTAGGGATAAAAAACGAAAGAACGTAAGAGTACAAGTGCCTCGCATTGGTACTCTCAATCCTCAAACCGCCTGCGGTTATGGCCTTCAGGGTTTTACGTATGGATATCCTGGGGGTCAAGTCATAGTTCTATGCAGTGACAGTCCCTGGGGTGCGGCAAAGGTATACAATGAGGTGACTCTGAATAAATGGAGGCATGCAGGAGACCTGAGATTGAACCCATTAGTGATCAGTAAAGGAGTGGATGGTATGGCAGGTGCGCTTTCTGTAAAGTTATTACATGAACTTTTCCATGTGGGAGGAATTGCCTTCCAACAAGCGGGGGGAACTGGGACACCTAATCAATGTGGGTTGAGGGCAATCTTTACTCATCTCCATGGATATAGACTCATTCTAACCGAATCTAGTTCCTGGTACTCTTCCGGAAAAAGAGGGAAATGCACGAATCTCGGAAGTGTAGGTTTTCGCCGTTAGTGCTGTTTGTACACTCATTTTTACTAACAAAAATATCAATAGTTATACTTGGAAAGACATCTCGGGCAAGAATGTTGGCTCCCCCGAAACTCACTCCAAACGACTTTCGCACAAAAATGCATTGCACAACGCCGACAGTATGGCATTGTTAGGCGCTGGTAGGTTTATAAACTGTCTGTATCTAGTTCTTGTCACTAACCGCTCCATAGGTTGGTACGTGCCGAACTACGGTTGGGTAGATGGAGCATGCAAGACTGTAAAAAAAGCAAACCGGTCACCGCTTCAATACGATGGGCAAGGAATCCCAGCAGCCCCTGATGGCTATGGGGGATTTGAAAACATAGACTCGGCTTTATATCCTGAAAAGCGTGCTATCCCAGAGAGAAAGGGAGGCGGTAATAGTTACGGAGCGTTCGTACATCGGACTTAAAGGGTCAACTGTCTGCATATTATCACAGCACTTCCGTGCTTCCAGTTTTTGATGTAATGGTAAAATAGCTTCTGGTTGCAACAATTTTATTGAAATGATACGGGTCCTGTTTGCGAAACCTAGCACTAGAGAAAGGAAGATAGAGAGTAGTGAACTAGTTAGTCCAAGGCGGCCATCCTCCAACACGCGAGTCACAGTGTTATGTCTTTCGTACGCTTACCAAACAGGCAGATAACACCAAGTGGTATGCTTTGCTGCTTAATAATATTCCTTCAAGGGCTGTTAGGGGTGATTAGTAAGGGGTAGGACTCTACTTGAGGCTAGGGTCTAAGATCTAGTGCGAGGTAGACTGATTGACTTAAGAAAAGCATAATTCGGGTTAGGTCTTTAAAAAAGTTGGTTTTGCAAACATTGCCGGCGGTGACTTATATAACGACTCTGCGGGGTAAATCCAAAAAAAGGGAAGCTATGCCGAACCAATCTAGTTTTCCAAGGCCCGCACTCAGGTTTATAGCAAACTTTTGCATGCATTAGCCCTAATATAAGGCTCAGGATCTGCTTGGGGCCTCAACAAATCCAAACCCCCACAGGTGAGGTATCAGAATATTAGAATAGTGATCTTGCATTCAAATATACTAAGCGGCCTTATAGCGGATACTCTTGTCGGTATTGCCAGGACGCGTAAATTCTTCCACCTTGTAAAGCAGGGGGAATTTAACCATAACTCGTTTACCTTAGTGCTTCTTCAAGTTATAGTAAACTGCTGTGCAAACGTGAAAATTGCTGTGTATCCACCCTTCCACTTCTCCAAGCTGGCATTTCTGCGATTTGGTCAAGCCCAGGTGATACGAAACTGTATCCCCGATGTTGGTGCGATGGATTTTAAGTCTCAACGAAATCTAGCCGTTGCTGGGGGTAAACCAAGCTAAAAAGCATGTTTCCCTCCTACTATAGGGGACATTCTAGTGTAGTAGTACCCCGGAGAAGTGGATGGGTGAGTGCTTGAGATGTCATGGTAGCGTAAGTAGCTAGAGCTGATGGTAGGGAAATAGCGGTGCTCAGTCAACGGGGCCAAGGAATATCGCGGCTATCGAAGCCTGAAGCTTATCGGGCTCTGACGAGCTTCGCGTACAAGTAGATGGCGATTGTATTCTGAACTGAACCCACCGGCATCATCAAGAATATGAAATCCATAGTGTCAGGCAGAAAGTTGCACTCCTGAGGCTGAATTAGAACCACTCGTTCCATTTAAGCCTTGAACGAGGTCTAGTCATACGGCTTCGTCTGACAGAAAGCTCGAGGTCTAGTCATACGCCATCGTAGGTATGACAGAAAAGCTTGAGGTCTAGTCATACGACTTCATATAACAGAAGAGCCTGAACTTGGGACTGACCCCTGGTGCGGGTCTCACCATAGCGTTATTCATTTGCGCAGGATTCTGTGATAATCTGTTGGCGATAAATGCGCGTACTCCGTAGGTGTGTATTGAACAAGTGTGAAATTGCTGAGGTGCCATAGATAAGCTCGGAATTGTTTGTTATCCGGCCGCGAACGGCGCAAATCCCTGTCTGTAGCTTGCCTGTCAATTGAGAGTGTACTCAAGTATTACTCACACTTTTTTTCTTCAACTCTCCTTTACTTCGTACATGCAAACATTGTGGCGCCCAGTGCTTCGAAACAATTATATCTTTCGCAATGGCTCTGCGCATATCAACAAAAAGATTTGCGGTTACTCTAAAAGCCGCGAATGGCCTGTCAACTCCCCGCGCTACCTTGGTCTTTACGAGGAATGGCTCAACAACAAGTCTCCCAGACGATGCTAGGAATAGGATACAAGTTCGTTAATACTGCCCGCATAACGTTTGGACAATAGTTTGTGCAATAACTGACCATATTTCTTTGCAGCGAGAGGCATCACTATCCAATCCCGATCCCCCAGCAGACTCTGCCACAGCAAGTCTTGTTAACGGCCATGCCCCGTACATGGTCAAGACCTATATCCGACCGCCACCTATGTTTGTTAAAGGGGAGGGGTCCTATCTGTGGGACGTGGAAAACAGGAAATACTTGGATTTCACCGCTGGAATCGCAGTCAATGGCTTGGGACACTGCGATCCAGAAATGCACCGGATTATTTGCGACCAGGTAATGGGCCGTCCATGCTTCATCAACCAGTTCTAACACTCCTCTTTTCAGTCTAAAACCCTAATACATACATCGAATCTCTACTACAACCCCTGGACCGGTGCCCTCTCCGAACTCCTCATCCAAAAGACTCTCGAATCGGGCAGTATGCATAATGCCAGCGCCGTTTTTGTCTGCAACTCTGGCTCTGAAGCCAACGAAGCAGCCATAAAATTTGCCCGCAAGTCAGGCAAGGTCCTCGATCCCTCAGGAGCTAAATACGAATTTGTCTCGTTCAATAACTCCTTCCACGGCCGGACCATGGGTGCCCTATCCGCTACGCCCAATCCTAAATACCAGAAGCCGTTTTCGCCTATGGTGCCGGGCTTCAACTACGGAACATACAATGATATTGCAGGGATCAAGAACCTGGTTACAGAAAAGACGTGCGGTGTGATTGTCGAGCCCATTCAAGGAGAAGGCGGTGTTATGGTTGCGACAGAGGAATTCCTCGTTGCGCTCGCAGCACGGTGCAGGGAAGTAGGCGCCGTGTTAATATACGACGAGATCCAATGCGGTCTTTCCCGCACTGGGAAATTCTGGGCCCATGCTTCACTCCCCGAATCAGCACATCCAGATATAATCACCACTGCCAAGGGCCTTGGAAACGGTTTCCCTATCGGAGCAACTATCGTGAACAATTCGGTGAGCGAGAAGATCGTCATCGGCGACCATGGAACGACCTTCGGAGGGAATCCTCTAGCTTGCAGACTTGCCCATTATATCGTATCGCGGCTGTCCGACCCTGAGCTCCAGAAATCGGTTCTCGCGAAAGGCGAGATCTTCAAGAAGCATTTTGCAGTCCTACAAAAGAAATACCCCGAAGTGATTACAGAGGTTAGAGGCAAGGGGTTAATTCTAGGATTACAGCTGAATCAAGATCCGGCACCAATTGTGACGGCTGCTAGAGAGAGGGGATTGCTAGTTATCACGGCGGGCACGAATACATTGCGTTTTGTGCCTAGTTTGACGATAACTGAGGGTGAGATTGCGGAAGGCTTAGCAGTATTAGATGAGGCGATTAAGTCTGTTGTTGGTCCTTGAGAGGCACCTCTAGAATAGTAGGTTAGTGGGGAAGCTGATTCTCCGAATTTATTTTATCGGGAAGTTGTTTTCGTCTTTCGAGATGTAATGGCCACCTGATCGATAACGAGGGGATGACCAAGTTGGCCCTTCGTATGGTATAGGATGGCGTTTGGGAGCCGGGGTATAGAAAAATTTCCGTTGCAAAATACCTCGCAATCCTTTTATATATATCCAGACTGCTTGAATTACATTTGCCTAATTATGATACTGTTTTTGCCTTGCGCTTGGTTATTTGGCATCTCTTAAGACATCATTCCCAGCGATGAAATGAATCGGTTCTGGATAAAAGCTAGGTCTTCAAGAATCGATCCCGTCACTAAAACGTACTGCGCCTAATTAGCAGTTGTAATAAGTGGCGTGGAAGCTGCATCGGCATGGAGTCATACCCAAATACCAACATTAGATATGTCGAAAGATCAGGCACTGCGACAGATTTTGTTCTAGTATTGTTATATTTCTAACTATTACTCTCCAATTATTTTCACTCCATCATTTTAGTAAAACCCTCCTTAGTTTTTGAAATAAGTCCCCTTCTCCATATCCTCAATAAGCCCACGACCGGATGGGCTCCATCCGAGCTGCTCTTGCGTGATCTTACTCGACGTCGGATTATCAATCGCAAGGGGCCACGAGAGAAACCCAAAATTCTCAGCTGCCTCCTCCGGCGATTTTCCGACAACTGGTAAGTCCAATTTTCCCCCAATAACTTCAGCGATGTCCTTGATAGCCACGCCTTGCTCAGCGATAGCATGATATTTGGCTCCTGCAACACCTTTCTCCAACGCCAACCGGTAAAGTGTTGCGGCATCAGCTTTGCGCACAGAAGGCCATCGCTGGTTTCCATCCCCGACATAGGCTGAAACGTCATTTTTACGAGCCGCGGCGATGAGCATTGGAATGAATCCGTGGTCATCGTCACCGTGCACGATTGGGAGCCGCACCACCGTCACACGCACACCCTTCGAGACCAGTTCAAGAGCAGCAGCTTCTGACGGGCCACGGGGTCCTGCTCTGCTATCCGGTACATGCTCTTCATTTGCGAACTGGTCCGGAGGGAGCTCTAGCATCCCGAGGCTTAGGGTGCCGGATGTGACCACAAAAGGACGGCCACTCCCTTTCAGCGCAGCACCAATGGCCTCGATGGCTTTCCTGTCAGCGGTACAGCTGCCAGCGTAGTTGGACCAATCGTGAGTGAAAGCGGTATGTATGACGCCATCGCATTCTGTTGCTCCTTTCTTAAGGATGTCCAGATCATCAAGGGAACCGCGGAGGACATCTGCGCCTGCGTCGGTGAGTGCTTTTGCGGATGCATCAGAGCGGGCGAGGCCGAGGACTTGATGGCCGGCTTTTAGGAGGTCTTGGACAATAGCTGTCCCCACAAAGCCTGTTGCACCAGTGACGAAGACACGCATTGTAGCGGTAGGTAGTTGATCGGGAAAGCAATTTAAAACGGAGAGTTATTTGAGAGATAGAGATGATGACTTCGGAATCTTGGAATATGTATACTGCATGTGTTGAGGAAAGAAACGAACAGCTTACCAGCTTACCAGCTTCTTCTTATGTACTTGGAAAACAATAAGCATCTGTCGGGGTTAATGGAGTTTGTCTCAGTCCAGAGTTCTAACCGTCTTACTCCGTAGTAATCCCGCCTCCGCCTCGTTTTTGTATTTATAATATACTTGTTTCGCTCATATGCTGTGGGGATGAAACAAGGAGTATCTACAGACGCTATCAAGCTTGATCAATCCCGCCAATACGTGCGAGCCAATCAACAGAGGCTCCGTGGCAATGTGATGTGTGGGTGACGAAAGCTTGCTTATGGAATTGGTGTCTTGAGTTGTGGCACCGCATTCCCCTCGGGTCCGAAACTTGAAATTCCGACCCGACGTGAATCAGTTAACCCAAAACACGAAGACTCATGGATCAAAACCACAAACCATAACCACAGGTAAAGCGCAAATAAGTGAGAGTGGTGGATCCTGACTGAGTTGTAGATAGCCGCCTTTATCATTGATTTGCGCCAGATTTCATTTGTGGCAATAGGCAGCGGCATTCTCGGAATTTGGTCGCCGTGGATTGGATATTCTAGCACGTAACCAAGCCTTTGATAATGAGGATTATCTTGAAGGGTAGGCAGTATGTCTTTGCCCAAACTTCCTGTACCTAATACTTTAGAGCAGGATAAATGATATTGATACTGGTGTAACTAATCCGACGTGAAAATTCAACGAAGCATACATCAGCAGTGTCAGGAACAACTTCGTCTCGTCTTGGATATACTAGAAGTACATTCACACCTAACAAAAAGCTATCCAATCCAGCTGAAGGCCAGGCTCTGGCGACGATGAAGACACCAAAACAATTATGTCAATATTCAACGAAACCACTGCCACGGGCCAGAAACTCTTCTAAAATTGAAACCTTTCAAACGCCGGAGGGTATCTAGCACCCCCAGGAGTTTCGGTGTATCGAACAGTTCTAAACACATAATGCTTTTATTGGCAACCTCTTCGAACTTATCGTCAGATATGGCCCAGAAAAGTCGAGTATGTAACAGGCGTGTAAAATTCAGCTGGAATACTGACCCACACTAATTATACCTTGCAACTCTGCGGTGAACAAACAACGAGGGTTCCTAAATAATAGTGCGTGGCCTCATGGACCAGTCTATATAACTATTCAACACTTGTTAAATGGCGGCTACCAAATAGCATTTTATTGACTTGTAAAAGTAGTAAGATGTGTCAACGAACGGCTCACATTGTCAAATGCATAAACGGAAGGAAATGAACTGCTAACCCATCAACGTGGAATATGATACCTACTAGGTAGGTAGGATATTTCCCTACTGGGATTTTTATCATGTCCCGTCGCGGGTTGTAGATGAATGAGGAAAACGATGGGAAGCTGAAACAAGGGTCGGTGGGAGAATCACGTGGAGCTCGATCGGTTATCGTGGTGGAGGAACAAGGAAGCTAAGCTCGAGCACGAGCAACTCAACCTCCCACTTCCCATCAAGCTTCCTTCAACAACGTTTTCAGTGTTTCCGATAGCTGAAGAGCTTCGCATAAGCTTCGGCTCAAAATCTTCCTCCCACATCCAACCTACGGGGAGAGTTGCAATCATGGGAGATCCACGAGAGTCGTCATCATACAGTGTTACCCCAAGGCTTCGATACAACACCATTGGGGGTGTGAACGGTCCCTTGGTCATTTTGGAAAATGTAAGCTGGTGACAACCACGGGGATCATACAGGAATATGCTGATATACAGGAAGGTCAAATTCCCAAGATACAATGAGGTTGTTACCTTAACCCTACCTGATGGCACTCAAAGGTCCGGTCAGGTACTCGAAGCTAGAGGTAAGATAGGGGCCGAGTCACACGGGATATAGTTGTGCTAATATGTATGGTGGATAGGAAACCGTGCGGTTGTTCAGGTATGGCTTCAAGATAGCGAAATTTGTATCGAGGGTCTGACGAAGGATAGGTTTTCGAAGGCACATCAGGCATCGATGTTAAGAAGGTATGGATGGACTCCGGGCATACACAGGCTGGCTTGGAATGACTGACATATGTACAGTCAAAAGTCGAATTTACGGGACATAGTTTGAAGCTCGGCGTTTCCGAAGACATGTTGGGCCGCATCTTCGATGGATCAGGAAGAGCGATTGATAAGGGACCCCAGGTTCTGGCTGAGGACTACTTGGACATCAACGGAAGTCCAATCAACCCGTATTCGCGCGTCTACCCGGAAGAAATGATTTCCACTGGTATTTCTGCCATTGATACCATGAACTCGATTGCGCGTGGGCAGAAGATCCCTATCTTCTCTGCTGCTGGTCTGCCACATAACGAGATTGCTGCTCAGATTTGTCGACAAGCAGGTTTGGTTCAAAAGCAGGGTGTCACAAGCAAAGGTGTCCATGATACGCACGAGGAGAATTTCTCCATTGTGTTTGCTGCCATGGGTGTCAACTTGGAGACGGCTCGATTCTTCACAAGAGATTTCGAAGAGAACGGCAGTTTAGAACGTGTTACTTTGTTCTTGAACTTGGCCAATGACCCTACGTAAGGACAGCCTCTCCCATTTTCGAATAGCTACTAATGCATCCTAGTATCGAACGTATCATCACACCCCGCCTTGCTCTCACTACCGCCGAATACTACGCCTACCAACTCGAAAAGCACGTTTTGGTTATCCTTACCGATTTGACCGCATACTGTGATGCCCTTCGTGAGGTTTCAGCTGCTCGTGAAGAAGTGCCAGGCCGACGTGGTTACCCGGGTTATATGTATACTGATTTGTCCACTATCTATGAACGTGCCGGTCGTGTGCAAGGACGAAATGGTTCCATCACTCAAATTCCTATCTTGACTATGCCTAACGACGATATCACTCATCCAATTCCTGATTTGACTGGCTACATTACGGAGGGGCAAATCTTCATCGATCGTCAACTCTGGAACCGCGGCATCTACCCACCTATCAATGTTTTGCCCTCGTTGTCTCGTCTTATGAAGTCCGCCATTGGTGAAGGACATACTAGAAAAGACCATGGAGATGTTTCTAACCAATTGTATGCGAAATATGCCATTGGTCGTGATGCAGCTTCAATGAAGGCGGTCGTCGGTGAGGAGGCTTTGTCGTCGGAAGACAAACTTTCTTTGGAATTCTTGGAAAAGTTCGAGCGCAGTTTCATCTCGCAAGGGGCTTACGAGTCAAGAACCATCTATGAATCTCTCGACCAAGCATGGTCGCTACTGCGTATCTATCCAAAGGAATTGCTCAACCGTATCCCGTCCAAGGTCCTCGCCGAGTTCTACCAACGATCAGCTGCCGATCGCAAAGGAAAGGGACGAGCAACCAAGGACACGAGAGATAACACCGAGGAGTCGAAGCCTAAAGGCAGTGGGCAGGAGGAGAGCCTAATCGATGCATGAGCGAAAAGTTGATTGGAAATCACGGACTTGACGTTTGTTGGAGTTGAATTAGAGGGATGTAGTTGTTCTACGGATACTCAGAGTCGCGAGCGCCATAGCATTCGCTGCAGCGGATGTGTGTATGTAAGTATTCCGATTATTTGAAAGCATGGCTAGAATGAAATGAATTCCCCCAACCGCGCCGGGGATCCGTAGAAAGCTTTCACGCCCGGTCACCCTCGGGCTGAATTATACCAAAAGATGCGAGCTTGGGGCATAGCAATATATCTTCCTCCCAGTTGGACACTAAGATTTCGCAGCCTTGTCAACTAGGATGCGCTCCATTAGCTTCGGCCATGCTGCTTAGTATGCATGGCCTGCTCAGCCGACCTCCTGTCTCTGTTGTTCTTACCTTGGTGTTGGACCTTCGCGAGTGTATATGTGTGCAGTCGGGCCGTGAGCGTAGGGCAGACAGGCAATTAAGGCAGTTCACGAGGATATCCCCGCATTTTGAGCAGGGAGGGAAATAAGAATGTTACAACGCGTCACCTGTATTAACTAGGTACGCGCCAAATATACTGTAGCAACTTTTCTCCGTTCAGCAGCAGGCCTGATAGGTGCGGATCCGCAGCTCTGAAATACGACAGCAGTCAGCGGGTGTGTGTATAACCGAGTTCGCGACCCTAGGAATCTCATATGACAGCAACCCCCTACCTACCATCCCTTCTGACTTCAAAGGCCGCCGATCAATGTTCAGTGCTAAGCCCCCGACTCATCAGTCCACATAACGCAAAATTACAGCTACTTGTCACGATGGTAGCTGTTGGACCTCGGCGCAAAGCAATCCTTATCTATATTGAATTTGTGATCCTCCAAAGAGCGCTTTCGTGACTGGATTCTAATAAGTACCTTGGAAGGGCGAAGCATATATAAAGACGTGGAGGTCCTTGTACAACACAACGTTTCCTGGCTCAATTTGCAAGGTTCATTAAAGCTGCTTGCTCTATCGAGCTCAACCCCGCAAAGACCGGCTCGCTATGAATAAGTGCGAGCTACCAGCTGTCAAAAGGTAGAGGAGTGAAGGGGTCCCCAAGGGTGCCGATGCGACTCATTTTTTACCTAGGAGTCCTCGCTGACCGGTCCTGTTCCTGGACCCGAGCCAATTATGAAGGGAAGGGCGGTAAGGTGATGTTGGGGAAGGTGAATACTCATGTGAGCTTTAGTCCAGAGCTTTATTAAAGCTGGAGCTGCCCCTCCACTCGCGTTAATCCCCCCGAACTCTTGCTTCCAATCCTCTGAGCGACCGCCATTTCCTTAAGTAAGTCAATTGGGTCTCGAAGAGGTCGGAATTACTTCAAAATGCGTGTCTCAACTCTCGGGTTCGCTCTCTGGGCCTTGGCAGTCCTTGCTCGTCCTCAGACTCCAGGTCAAACGCTCACGGGAACTGTCGGTAATGATACCATCGCTGGAAGTTCCTCGGGGCCTGATAAGAATGGCAAATATGAGATCAGTGGAATCGGCATTCGGGCGGATTTCATTGCCTATGGTGCTTCGATCTCGAATCTGTTCCTGAACGACTCGGCTGGCGTGGAGCGCGATGTCGTCGGTGGTTTCGACAATGCTTCGTATTACAGTGTCGATCGCCAGCATCCTCATTTTGGCGGAGTGCCTGGTCGGTATGCGAATCGGATCAAGAACTCGAGTTTTGTGATTGATGGCACGACTTATAATATTCTGCCAAATGACAACCCGCTGCCACCTGACCACCCCGAAGGAGTTGATACGCTCCATGGCGGACCCAATGGCTGGGACTGGAGAAATTGGACCGTGGTTGCCCACACGAGCAATAGCATTACCTTTAGCATCACGGATCAAGATGGCGATCAGGGTTTCCCTGGTGAGGTGGTTAGCTATGTGACATACACTCTGGGCAACATGACGTGGGATATCAGGATGGTGGCATTGGCCACCACAAAAGTCACCCCGATCATGCTCTCATCTCATGTTTGTCTTCCAGATTCACCTCGACTCTTAAAGACGCGCTAACATAATCTGTCACAGACCTATTGGAATCTCGACGGCTTCGCCAACAATAACACTGCGACTGCCCTAAACCACTCATTGTGGCTCCCCTATAGCGGCGAACGTGTCGGTGTGGATAGTATTCTCATTCCCACGGGTGACATTCTCTCCAACCAACCTGGCTCAGTCAATGACTTCTGGAGCACCCCAAAGCAAATCGGCGCCAACTTCAGTAACCCGGATCTCCTCGGCAACTGCGGTGAGAACTGCACTGGCTATGATAACTGCTACGTCAATAATCTTCGTCACGAAGGCACCTATGATTGGCGTGAGCAGGAAGTACCAGTTGCCCGCCTGCGAAGCGCTTGGTCCGGTATCCAGCTCGATGTCTTCACCGATCAGGATGCATTCCAGGTGTATTCCTGTGGTGGACAAAATGGATCCATGGCTCTGAAGAACACACAGGGACTTTCCGATGTTAGCGACCGGCCAAGAACGATCCAGCAGTACGGATGTGTAGTATTGGAAGTTCAGGACTACATCGACGGTATTAATCAACCACAGTGGGGAAGAGGGAAGAAACAGATATTTGAACCCGGAGGAGATCCCTATGTTTTGCAGGCGAGTTATCGTTTTAGCTTGAACGACACTATGATGGGCCTATTGGGACCTGGCTCTGGTTAGGGTGTGGAATTTGAGGCTTTTACGCAGAAAGGAAGATGATAGCTACCCCTACCTTTAAATTAATTCGATAATAGGTTTTCAAACCACTGCCTCCCCTCCATTCGTCATGGGATAAGGCCTCAACACCCGCAATACGATGGCATACAGAGTATCTTTCTCCAATCCATATTCACCCTCCTCGCGTATCAATCTTGGAATTGGGAATTCATATGTGGATGTCTCTTGGGTAGTATCATTATTCAGGCGGCACTAGACTTCTTTAATATTTAATTTTCATATATATCAAACGGCTTCCAAGAAAGTTCTAGGCTAGCCTGGATACATCTAAATCTTGGAGTCGAGACAAGATGATGGAATCGGCCATGCACAGGCTAATAAGCTTATTGGAGCTCGTTTATGCCCCGCGCCAAACAACGAGCTTCACGTTGTTCCGTTACGCCTGATCTTCATGTCAATTTCAATTATAGGATCTGCCCTGTTTCTCCATTCAATTCTTTTTTTTCTATCAAAGTAGTACATTATTTTCATTATATCCTCTAATCCAGACCAATTTTCCATCATCGTCTGGGCAGGGCAGTGTATCACAAATGCCGATCATGCGGGGTGGGTACCGCAAGGGTACTTCTCAGTGCCGAGACGGATATTTCCAATTTGGCGACCAGCACGAACAATCTCGACATCACCCGGCTGAGTGGATTTATATAACTCCCGTCGTAGGATTTCATTAATACGGCTGGCTGATATGCTCTCAACGAGATGATCATCCCCTGCCCGGGTTTACGGACCTAGATTGTCGCGGGGTATATATAGATAATTGTTTTCTCACCCTTCTCCTAAACTGGGTCCTTTTGTCTACTTCTCTCGTCAGCTGTACCTGATTATTTCTATCATTCTACGCAGATATGTTGTACGCAGCAGTTGCCTCTCTCTTCCTTGCCAGTGCGGTTCTTGCGGAGACCCCTCCTGGCTTCGCTCCGAATGTAACTGCTCACCTTGACGTCAAGTATGGATCCAAGGTTGTGACCCCAGGATTGGCATTGACGAAGAGCGGCAAGTAAAAGTATGCTGCTTTTAGTTGCAAGTGCTTATAAGTTTTAAGATACGGCGAAGGCACCAACTCTTGGGACGGCGGATGAGGCTCTTAATGGGACATATATTTTCGTGATGCTTGGTAGGTTTTTTCCTATGCCTCGTGCGATTGAGGAAGAATGAAACCACATCTAACAAACCAAACCTAGATGTCGATGTGTATGCCAAACCACCCATGCAATGGCTTCCCTTATTTCCTACTCTTAAACTAACAGCGATTCTAAAATAGTCCTGGACAATACGCTGGCCTCCCCGCCGGCTCCCGCGCTGTCAACCTTCACGGCTTGATAACTGGATACACGTCCGCCACCACCCTTACAGACGGCTTGTATGTCCTCTCATCTAAGGAAACTGGCCCGGCATCATACCTGGCTCCCGGCCCACCCGCTGAAAACCCCGTCCACCCACACAAGTATATTGAGCTGCTGTTCCCTCAACCAGAGGGCTTTGTTGTTCCTTCCAGTCAGACGGCGGCAATTAGCAAGAGGATTGGGTTCAATATCACAACCTTTGCGGCGGATGCTAAGTTGGGTGATGCGGTGCGAGCGAACTGGTTCACGCAGCAGGGTTAGAAGAGTCAATAAGCCCAAGGCTAGGAAAGGGGAACGAAACACCTTGTAAATAAACGTCGGAAGATCAATGTAGATAGGACATTGATCAAGTACATACTTCTGGGAAACATGTTTAGAGACAAGATAAAATTTGTCAGACTTCCTGGAATGGGTAGGGTGAACCATGTGTTCCAAGGTAGTGTGCTGCCGGATGAGTTAACTATTCTCCAGTTACACCATACAAGGTAAAATGATTGTTAGACGTATTGATACATTTGCGCTCCCATCATAGACTATATTTTTTTCTAGTTTTATAATTCAAGCCCCTCTCTTCCCTAAAATAGCCTTCCCAACACTACTCCCATTTGGTTTCCCAATCTCCTTAGTAATCCAGTCTCCAATATCACACAGCGCCTCCAGATCCACGCCAGTATCCATCCCCAAACTCTCCATGAAATACGCCATATTCTCCGTACTCACATTGCCCGTGGCACCAGGGCTATAGGGACACCCGCCTAATCCACCAACGCTGGAGTCGAAGCTACGAATTCCATGTTCCAGACTGACCGCCGTGTTGACTAGCGCCTGTCCATATGTGTCGTGGAAATGCATCGCCATATCCTCGTTCCTAATTCCAGCAGCGTGCATAGCTCGGAGTAACTCGCTCGTCCTAGGCGCGGTTCCCATCCCCGTCGTGTCGCCGAGTGCTATCTCATCTGCACCCATCTCCATCAGGTCACAGGCGATCTCGGCCACTTTCTTGGGGTCCACATCGTACCCCTCAAATGGGCAACCCAGAACCACTGAAATATATGCGCGCACTCGTAACCCGTGTGCCTTCCCCCCTTGGATTACCTCCTTGAAGTTCTCCAGCGACTTGGCGATTGAACAATTGAGATTCTTCTGCGTGAAGCTTTCGGTTGCAGCTGCGAAGACAGAGAGTTCGATGAGGGGTTTGCCGCTTGTGGACTCAGCGCCAGGTGCACTCTTCGCAGGGGAGGCCTCGTCGGGTTCGTAGGGGGATGAAGTCTGTTGATCCAATGTGCGGTAAGTGTTTGGGTGGTTACGGAGGATTGAGAGGGCATTTTGCAGGCCTTTGGCATTGGGCGCGAGGAAGGAGTAGGCGATGGGATTCAGTGAGTTTGGTGGGTATTTGAGAAGGTATTCAAGAACCTCGTTCGATTCTGCCATCTGCAATCATTATAGCCCATTAGCATTTATTCCCCTTCTCTGGGTGTCTTACTATGCTCCCCTGCATAGCTGGAACATAACGCACCTGTGGCACCCATTTTGGGGCAACGAAGGAACCAGCTTCAATATCCGTAAGTCCGACCTTGGCCAGTTTCTCTATCAACTCAATCTTCGTCGTTAATGGGATTGCCTTCTTCTCGTTCTGTAAACCATCTCGAGGTCCGACTTCGACCAGCCTCACGCGATTCGAGGTGGCATGACGCTGCTGATTTGTTCCAGCGGAGGGATCTGGATCAGCTGCTGATGATGTGGCTAGATATCGCCGGGATTGGTTGCACAGTCTAGTGGCATTGCATCTTAGAAGTGGTCGCACTCGAAAAAGAGACATCTTGAACGTTCATCCTCGTCACAAGTACAACACTATGATAATTCGCGGAACTTGGTCGACTTCTGATGTCGTTTAGCTCCACACAGATCGCGGGGAAGGTTGCGCACAGGCAACGTTTTACCGAGGAGACACCCCTAAAAATAGGAGGGATTGGCGAGATGATCAAAGCCGCTTTCGTACGGCTTAAGAGTACTTTGTAATATGAGAAAATTTGGTATACAAAAGGAGAACGATAGAAAATCTAAGTCTCCTAGTACAATGTTACTATATTGCATTGCAAAAACTACATGGCTCTAAATTTCAGCAATATTAATTGCACTCCAAGATTTACTAATTAGTTAGCTTTGAGGTTACGCGTTTATCTACAGTCTACACTTTGTTTGCATCTTCGAAACATTCTGGATGGTTAAAATAGCATTAAGTCTAATGAGTGTAAATTACGGCCTCGCAAAATCAAAACACCCCACAGTCGAGCTCATGCTCTCGCCCGATAAGTGACCGTCCATGCGCCAACCCAACTAACCCGAAGCAAACCCAAATTCCTTAGCTTATTCCAATTCCCCATACATCATCACTATTCTCATCAATCCCCAGCATTCCCAAAATCCGTGGCTTAAGAGTGGCTTAAGCATGGCAGCTAACACTGGTGATGGTCTGAGGTGGTCCCACGGCCCAAGTGTTGGGTCTAATGAGGCTAAGTGCAGCTGGGAAATCAACATACACGAAGTGGCATTTGGTTGGGAGGTCGGCAAATGTTGAGACGAGGGTGCTGATTGACAGAGCGTTGTCTATTGCACGGTTAGTAGGTACTTACATAGCGATTACCGGTGCAGTTATCAGCGAGGCGAGCCCAAGAACTTACTGGTAGGGATGGTAGCTCCATTAAGAGGAACATTAAGAGAATATTTAGCTCCCTGGTCAGGGTCGGCGCCATCAAATTCAATGACGATGGTTGCAGGAGGGTTCACAGGAGGTGTTGATCCAGAACTGCAAGAGATGGATGTCACAGTCTGAGGGGGACCAACGACCCATGTTCCGGCTGGCCCTTCGACGAGTGCGACAGGAGAGTCAACGGTGTGGAGCGTGCATTGCGAACCAACGTTGACGGTGCTAGATGAAACGGATGAGATAGAGAGGACGTTGTCTATGCTTGTTAGAGGGAGGTGTTACCGTGTAGCGAAGAGAAGGATAAGACTCACTGGTAGGGGTATTGCTACCATCAAGAGGAACGGTGAGAGTATATTGGGCACCTGCAGCACCGTGGAAAACGATGACACCGGAGCCAGTTCGACGGTCGACTGGGCTTGCGGTTCCCAGAGAGAGGCAGGCCGCGAGGCTGAGGATGGTTGCGAATTGCATTTTAAAGGGCTGTTTGAATAGCTTAGGATAGAACTGGGTTGTAAAGAGATAGTGATGTGTTTGAGATGTGAATGAGAGACTTCTAAGTGGGAAACTGGAAGACTTTTATACCTGAATGAGAGCAAGTTCTCACACAGCCCGAGGTCTTGAACCTAGCTGAATATGTTGATCTTTACAAACACGATCACCTGGGCTTAGGCTGTACGACCTCTATCTCCAATAAAAGAGTGCGGCGTAAGCTAACAAACGATGATCAGCCTTGTGTGAGTTGGTTTGCCTGCTAGCCATGCTGATGGCTGAGTGAGAAGGTTCGTAATGGCTTCAAGCCAAGCCTGATATTCTCAGCCACCAGGGCCGAAGGCTTGCAAAGGGCATGTTACCTTCTCCCCCACCCACGGATTCATTTATCCTTGGCATAATGAGGAGCCATTAATCGAGCCTTGATATAGGCCATGCAATACATTGAAAAAATGGTAAAACTTCTAATGGGAGAAGACGCGACTACCGCGAGAAACCCCCACTAACAAGGCGAGCGTTCCATCAAACAAGACATGATATGATGACTTCGCATGGAGGAACGTAATGTCCGAGGCCACAGCATAAGCCATTTTGCAATTATGCTACCCCAGAATTTTGCGCCAGCTGATATCGAGCAAATGTGGAGAAACGAACTGGTGGGCGGAGACAACTAACAATGGTAGCTAAATGCGGGCATTGTTTCTTTGAACGAATTAGGAAATAGGAAATGCCCGGGATGTATTCAGCTGGAAATATGTGGGCAGATGTGTGGGCCGTAGATACGAATTCTCAGCCTTACCGCGGTCACGAGATTCCAACTTGCATTGCCCCGCGCCATGCTACAACAACACGTAGCTATGCAGTAAACTAAGGGTCGCAGGTAAAAATCACTAGTTGATGGCGGTTTGGGCCAAGGCTGACGCTTATATGTAATCTGACAATGATGTATTGTGGCGGGGCAACAAGGCATAATAGGCATAATAGGCATTCATGGAACAGATTGCCCAGCTACACGTGATATCAGCCTGAGTGGGCGTCCCTGGTAAAAAAAATCCATCATTGGATATAAAAAGCAGCTGACTATGATAACGTGTATTTCATGCTAGTAGCAGTCTTGATTTTCCCAAGGCAAACCTGGTCGGTTATTTGTTCGCTGAAATATTCGCTCGAGAGCCACTATAGCTCTCGGGTTTTGGAGTCAGCATGCTAAAAATAGATGCTTGACCAAAGAAGAGAAGAGCGAATATGTAAAATATATGACTTGATTTGTTGATAAAGCATCGTGAAAAATAATATACCAGAGCGAGGCTATACGAACTCGTATGCGGCACATCGGCCAAAGCCAAGGTATCGATCGTATTCGATACATACGAAGAACCCCCATCCATTAGTCTCAAAAATTGGTCAAAGATCTTCAGATCCGATCCCGAAAAGCCATCCCGCTCTGCATAGTATGAGAAGAGAACTTGATCTCCACAATATGCTGACGCTCTCGACAACTTGAAAAGAGCGACCGCGTTCCACGACGCCAAGCCACGATCGAAACTCTCCGGATCGACCGCGATCAGCCGTGATGTATAATCCGGCGATTGATCACGGCTGGCCGTGGCGTTGGTAACATATTAGCTAAATTTTAACGCCATGATTGGGACTTTGATAAGGCCCTAAGCAAACGGCGGGACCGTTGCGGTATGGACACGAGAAACTGCGGCGAAGAATGTAGCACACGTAGTCGTGAAAGCAAAGTTTGGTATGCTAGCTATCTAGCGGTCGGGTAGCGTCTGAGCCGTGCCGCGGGGCATTGTTCGGCTCTAGGAGGCTTAGAAAGCTAGTTGTTTCTATTCCCGTCGCCCGTTCTTGTTGTGTTGGCTGTTGGTGGTTGGTTGTTGTTTAGACTGTGTTCTTAGTCCTTTACTGGTGGTTTGGTGACGTATTACGTGGGTGCGGAATACGCTTACTCGTATTAAGCAACGCCGCGTCCCAGGCAATTGGTACAGTTACTAGGTAAGACGCGCACAGATACACCGTTACAACCAGGAAAGAAATGTAGTACCTATGTCGTCAAACAATATCTATTATTACAGGTGTATTAATCGAGTGCTTCAAACAACAACGCCCGCTTTAAATAAATACAAGTTCCACAAAAGAGAATATCTTCGGCCTAACAAGCCCAACGAAATCAAGGAACAACGCTACCCAGCTCCTTCCACCTCTTGATAATAGCATCTCTTTCCTCTTGACTTGACTTCTGAAATTCCAACAAACTCTGTCGTAACCTCGCTGTGAGAATCTTGGCTTTCAGGTCTCGATCTTTGCGTTTACTGAGTTGTTTTTCCACGCCTTTCAGTGTGTAACCTGGGAGGCCGAAGGCAGCTTTTTCGGAGGTTTGTTAGCTTATAGATTGAGGGGTAGATTATTAGTGGGAAATTGGAGCATGGATGAGAAGAAACGTGGGCAGCGGAAGAGCGGGCGGAAGAAGGGAAAGATAGTATGTCACAGAGGAAAGAAAGGATGGGGGTAGAACAACGTACCGGCTGAAGTCTTACATACGAGCCCACCAAAACCTTGGCCAATTCCGACGAGGAAACCCGGCAATGAGTGTTCACGCGCACCACAGTAAGGATGATATATTATGCCTGTGGTGCCATCAAATATGCCTAATACGAATTCCTAAGGAGAAAGTTAACCCGATGGCGCCATTAATGATGCTATAGCAATTAACTTACCTTCCCGGCAACCTTGAGGCCGCTCCCGAGCCCGGTGATCTTATCACGCTTCCTAACAGTCTTGTCATTTAAATAGAAAGAGGGGGCGTTGTGAAAACCATTTGCAAGGTTATAAAAGAGTGCAACCGGAGCTATGAAAGGACCGTTAGCTTTCGTTCCAAGGGAGGAGTGACACAGACAGAGAATCAAGAATTTCATTCCCACCTTTTAATCCTGTTACGGCCATGCCAGAAGCAAATGTCCAAGTCCCATGGGCAGTTTCGCAAGCCCTACCACGATCTTCCGGGATGATGCTATCGAAGGGCGGCCTTCGCGCAGATTTCATCGACTTCCGGGTTGAAGAGGCCCTCTTCGGCGGCTTGCGTAAAGATTTGGATGCCAGCTGGTGTGCTACAGCCTCGAGACGCTCCTGGGGGTAGTCCAACGCAGCTTGTACGGGATGTTGCGAGGGTGGGGCATACAATTCTGAGTGATCATCCTGATGCTCCTCCGGTGGAGTGTCTGCTCCTAGGGATGACGTTTTCTTACGGAATGTGCGGGACAGAGATCTTTTGTAATCAGAAGCAAGTGATATTGTTTTAGTTGCCACGCCGGAAGCGACAGCAATTACGCCCATCGCCGGAGTAACCGCTCCTTCATCGATATACCAATCCCTATGACGGATTCTAGCAAGTTAGTAGGGTTTGGCTGCTATGGGAAATTTGCTTACAATTTTATCTGTGAGATATGTAGATAGCCTTCATCAATCAGTGTTGATATGGCTAGAAGACTCAATCTGATGTTCGTTTTCCTAATCCGCCCGACAGCAACCCTGCCTGGCGCTAGGCGACATCTCATGGAATCCATATTGACAGCTTGGTGGAATAATTTCACGGCGTCCGTCGCACCATTTTCGGTGGAAATTCCCTCGCTCATTCTTTGCACGGCCGCTTGTATCTTAGGATCGAGGGCCTGTGTAATGCTATCGGCAAGGGAGTCTTCCGTCATCTTCCTGAAAGGTACAGGCTCAGGTCCGGCTCCAGCTTTATATATCATAGCGCCCCAAAATGGCTGATCTCCGAAGAATGGGACGATCACGGTCGGTTTCCCCATTGCGATTCCAATCGCCGTAGTTCCGGCTCCTCCATGGTGAACAACACAAGAAACATATTTAAATAACCAATCATGGGGGCAATTTCCAATGAGCATCACACCTTCAGGGGGCTGCTCTCCACCAAATCCGCCCCAACCTTTGGATACTATAGCTCGAACGCCAGCTCGCTTGACGGCACCGAATATCATATTCGTCAGTTCATCTGGCTTCTCGACAACAACAGATCCGAAGCCAATGTATACTGGTGGTGGCCCGGCCTTGAGAAATGCCACAAGATCTTCTGGGGGTTCATAAGTTGACGCTTGCTCTAAGAAAGAAAACCCAGCTATATTGATGTAGGATGGCCAATCGGGAGGCTTGGCTATTAACGTCGGCGACCTCAGTAGCTTAGCGTCGATTACAGAAATAGGGTCATCATGGTACTCACCAGAGATATGTAAATGGAATCTTCAGGCGTGAGAGGAGCATGTGACCCCAGAGGGGGCTTACTGGATCTAAGTGTAGGGTGTTGATTCGAAACGTATTTATCACACCTCCAAGGCTTGATATTGGTTAGCAAAATATTTTTTAGAGAAGTAGACATTTATATACCCTTGCCAAGCCAAAAGTTCCATCATCGTGTATGAAATAAAATTAGCAAAGCCCGGATCTCTCTCATGGCGATCTAGCGATGCGAGGGGATGCGGAAACACCTGGGTGGGCGACCATGGCATCCTGATAAAACGTTATTTGATGCTAGACAAATGGGTTCTAGGAAGATATAGCTTACGTGAACATCATGTGTAGAGGAATGCCTAATTTTTCCGCGCAATGGATATGAGCATAGCTTGGAGGGTTTGCAATGATTGCTTCTGCGACGAACGCAGGGGGTGGTTCTTCTGAATTTCGCTGATGTGAAGCAGCTTCTGATTCGGTTCCAATGCCGTCTCCAGCCTCAATACAACCGCGCCAGCAGCCCTCCAGAATTTCTGAGAATTCTGATCTCCGTTTGAAAACGTCGCCGGACTTCAAACTTTCTATCCCGGGCATTAACCCCGGATTCTTTACCATATACGCCATCAAACTAGCGGGATCTCCGCCAATCGAAAAAAACTCCAATCCATTCTCCTCAACAAGCTCCTTAAACACTGGATGCGTGCATATTCTCACCCGATGCGAATACGGGGGTTTGGAAAGTAACTGCGCGATAGGAATGAAGGGTTGAACATCGCCCCTCGAGCCGACCACAAAGATAGCGATGTTAATGCTAGGAATTCCAGAATATCTGCCCAGAGTAGATTTAAAGTCGGTCTCGAAATTCTTGGACCAAGGCGGCCTGCGGTCGGCGATCTTTGCTATTATCTTCGATCCTCTTGTGGGAAAGTCACGACATTTTGAATAGCATATGTTTGCGCGACCATCAGCGGTAATTTCGGCATTAGCGCTGTAATCCCTGGTTGAAGTGTTCACTCGTCCGAGCATAGGCCAAGAAATATCCGCCATTTTTCAGAGTATATGATGGTTTGAGAGGTTATGGATGGGTGTATAGAGTATAGAAAGGCAGACAGGAAATCAAGGAGTTTTGCTCAACCGAGACTAGCTGGCTACCAAATTGTGGCAGATGAACGGAGCCATCCAGGCACTTGCTCCAATGCCGGCTGCAAGCTTCTGAAACGAAGGGCAACTAAGGGTTATTCAAAGTCAGGTATGTAGTATGGGTGAAGAAAAGTATTGCCACAGCTCTAGACCTCAAATACTCTCTGAGGTCAACGTCGGAAATCTTAGGTGGCGTTAGTTAGCCTGCCACATCAACTTAATCGGCATTATGAGGTCAGGAATAGTGGATGCGACCCGCTTTTCATCGTAACCGGGTTTGACCCTGTACCCGTATCAATCAGATGTAAATAAATGGTTCCAAAACAACCACTTATGAATAGAGAAAAGTGTGAATCAATGCAATCCCCTGGAGCAATAAGACTATGAATTATGGCCGAGAGCAACTTTCTGGACCCCGGGCAACCCGGAGAATCACAAAGCATCGCACATGCTTCAACCCGAGAAGTGTTTTTTTTTTTCAACTACGAGGCGGCGAATCCGTAAGTACCGAGCTTCACGGTAGTTCGGATGCATCCGGTTGCTAGGCCCAGTCAATCTGCCACTAGCCCCGTTGCGTTTCCTTCGTAGGGCGATCCGATCGCAGCCTCGCGATAAAAACGGAATATAGTAGCTCTAAGGGCGAATCATATGAGCAATATAATTCAGAAAAAGAGTAATTACTAGGCGATCGACAGAGGGAAGATCCAGGAGGAATGAATGTTAGCATGGACGATGGAGTTGCATGAATAGAAGTTGAAGTTGCGGTCGGAATATTTGCTGCAGGAAATGGCCTTGGCGGATTGATAAGCGAAGCATGGCTTACTTCGAGTATAGAGGCATCCAATTCCAACACCTTAGAAGTTAGACCATCAACATAACTCTTATTTTGTAGAACGTGTACATATCTAATTACGAATTTCTCCTATATAAATACCTTTAATCTCCCACATGCCGACTCTAGCCTAGGAAGAATATAATACAGGCTCACATCCCTACGATCCGCATCAACCCATAACCAACAGAAACAACCACAAACATCGTAACGACACTAGACGGCACACCGCGGCTAATGAAGTGCTTAACTTGCAAGTATCGTTGGCCGGTCTGGGAGTCTTCCATCATAATAGCAGCTAGATTTGATCAGCACAGGGTTTCATGGACAGCTTACTAAGAACAATAACTTACTCATGTTGGGGAATCCAGAGGTTGGTAAGCCCATGGCAGCACTGCACATCAGCGCGCTTCCCATAACCAGGAGATTTGGGTGCGGTTCTTCCATTCCCAGGCCAACACTATGGACCAACGGCAAGATAATAAGTGCCGCGACAGTGTGGCTGATAAATGTCGCAACCACCAAGATTAACGTTGCGAATACAACAAGTACACCATATAGTGAGAAGCCATCAACTCTCTCCGTAATAGCTGAAGCAATTTCATGGAGAAGACCTGATGAATTGACGGCTTTACCCAAGGAAAGACCACCAGCTGCGAGGATAATGATGGTCCACAGGAAGTTGTTGAAGTCTTCTTTGGTAAGGATGCCCGTTCCGAAGAAGAGGAGAAGAGGAATGATGGCGATGACGCCCATATCGCCGAATAACCATTCTAATTGATGACTTACACACCAGAGTATGATGGTTCCAAAAGTGACCAGGGAGATAAACCATTGCACGCCAGTAAATTTATCTTTTACGGGCCGAATAGGAACGATGGTCGTACCTCGGCCAGGTTTGAATGTGAAGAGGAGAATGATCCAGATGAGCAGAATAGAGATGATCCCCACAGGGATGACGACGAAGAACCAGGCGCCCCAGGAGGGCTGCGGACTCATGATTTGCAAAGCAACAATATTTTGGGGCGAAGCGATTGGAGAAAGCATACCTCCGATGTTGGAGGCAAGAGCGATTCCGAGGATAACAGCTTTAGACATATTGGAATCAGACGGGAGGTTGCGTAACATTGGCTATGCAGGTCAGCTAAGAAGATGCAGTGATATAATGACGATCTTACCTGAATGATAGAGAAACACAGAACTGGTGCCGCAACATTGCTGATCCACATACTAGCAAACGCCGCAACGAACATATTCGTAACTAGCACGGTCCTGGGTCTGGTTCCCGCTTTACTCAGGACGAATGTTGCTATCCTTTTAGCGATGTGGTGCTTGGACAGCGCAGCAGCAATTGTGAAGCCACCTAAAAGCAACATGATGACTGGCGTCCACATAGCCGCAAAGATGTATTTTGTCGCAGCTGCGGCATCTAGTCGATGGTGAGGCATGTCATCGGAACGTACCAATCTCAAGACCACACATAAGAACGGTATAAGTAGAGATGTGACAAAGAGGGGAATAACCTATGTATGTTGTTAGACTCGAATCTTTGAAAGAGAAGAAGACCATACCTCCGTCGCCCACAACAAACTAACGAAAACCAACATTGCTAAGCAGTTCTGTTGTTCGACCTTCTTCATGATCGGAATATACAGTAGGATGAAAAAGATAGCAATTATCCCGATGAGGGTGAGCATCGTGGAGCTGTAAAGCCAGGTTGGAACCCTGATCCGTCCCACAGGGGTTGACAATTCTTTCACAGCTGAAACCTCCAGGTCATCGCCCTGTAAACGGGCATTGGAGGGGTCCTCGTCTCGGCCGAGCAACGTCCTTCTAATTCCCATATTCGCAGCCTGGGCTTTGCGCTCGATTCCGATCATCTCTCGCCATACTGTATTCCTTTCCCAGACGACATGCTCACGTAGGTGCAGTCTCAATTCTTGCTTTGCAAGAGAAATGTCCCCTTGGGTAACGATCTCAGCATAGGCCTGCTCCATTCGTTGGATGTTCTCCTCGACATGCTTGATAGTATCCGGCTGAAACGGATAGGCGGGTATCACAAATTTGTCAATGTATTTAGTTTTGAGATGACGGTCCAATATCTTGTCGTATTTCTTGAGAACCTTTGTGAATCCCGTCCTATTCAGTTGGATGAACGATTTCAATTCGCAGAGCTGCACATACAGGCTAATCGCTCGTTTCTTTAAAGTGATGGCAGAGGAGTATAAGGTCGAAAAAGCCTGTTCTGCGTAATCGTCAAAGCTTTGACTGTTCCGCCGCCCTGATCTGTTGAATTCTCCAGATAATCGCATGTCGTCACCGGTAAACGGCCGGCCAGAGCTTCTATCATAGAGTGAGCTCTTACGTCGCTGCCCTGTAGACATCGATTTTTGCAAAGCAGTATGCTCTCCGTCGTCGTCGTCGTCATCATCATCATCGCTGTCCTCAGCACCTTCGTCTATTGATTGACTGATTGTACTCGCTCTCCTGGGTCTCAAAGCTGAACTTCGAAACATGCTGCCCTGGCGTTGCCTGTCGCCACGGCCACTTGCGATTGCCTTGGAATGATCCGGCCCATCCCACTGATCCTGACTTTCTTCTCGGTATGCCGCCTCATCCCTCAGGAATTCTGCTACTTCGATATTTATCTCAGCCTCTCTCTTATGGTAGAACGAGGATATCTTCTCCAATTCGATATCGAGTGCGCGCTGAAAGACCAGGTCAGGATCCTCGCCAGTGATCAAGGGGGAGCTTTCGACATCTTCCTCTGCCTGCGGGCGGTATATCGTCTTTTCGAGCTGGTATATTCTTCAAGAGATCAGCGGGGTATCATCCAATTTGGGGCAGGGGCAGTAAGTAAGGGATCAAGAGGAGGGGAAACCCACAGCTTCTTGAGATTGCTGTATGCAATGTAATAAGAGCTCCAGTCCGGAACGGCATTGAACTGTATGCTATGTGAGAATTTCATCTCGTCTGCTTGGTTAAGCCGGCGGAGTTTTTCCACCCGCTTGGCTTGCCGTTTGATCTGTTCTGCGTCACTTTTGCAACGGGTTTTTGCGCCTGCGTAGTCGATAAGCTCGAACTCTTCCGGCTGCGCTGGTGGTTTCGGTCTCCCTCCTCCTTCCGGCCTTGTTGATTGACGATGCTCTGTCACTGTCGCACGAGACTGTGGAAAGTGGTGATTGAGGCGATGTTGAGAGGAGGGACCCTGATGGATACTGGATTGGGTTATTTTGGAGTTGGAAATGACAAAGCCGCGGAATCGGTTTCCGACATTTCTAGTGCGCTACACGATGTATCGTCCCGAGGTCACCAACTTTCAGTACCGTAAATTCAGAGATTTCAATACTGAATGGCGCCAAGTTCGATGGTGAATGATTCGGGAAGGGGAATGATGAAATGCCAAGTCCACAGAGCCTACGACGACTCTTGCACCAGTTCGCGGCCCACAACAGCCGTCCAACAAGGGGAAAACGGAAACAAAACAAGGTGGCGATACAAGATATCATACAGAGTATCGGCCGTCATGTACTCATGCAAATCCTGCCCATTGTCGACGCAGGACAACGTGCCCAACAATGACTATTCTGGGCACACCTTGCGCACACGAACTCGACGAAGTTATTGGCACCAGCAGACCGGCCCGACATTGTGGCGAGATGCGCAGTGCATAACTTTGGCATACAGCCCCTGTTCGAAGTCGTTTCAGGGAATAATTGTTGCCAAGTTGATGACGGAGGAGAAAACTATAGTCAGCACTGATAGTTACATTGTACTGCCTGGGGCCTCGTCCATCAGACGGCGTAAGAGGCGTAGGAATACCAAGAGGAACTGCAGGTCGTCAGTTGATATTTGCCAATTCTATATGAAGGTAAAATCTGAATATTCGTCGTCGCCCATATACCTCCAGCAGCAAAATATGAGGGTTGTTATCATTAAAGCCACGGCTAACCAGCAGACAGTTATCTGCCGTGGCCTCTCCAAATAGCATCTACCATCTCCTTTTTCATAAATAGAAATCTCCCAAAATGATGCATTTTTATTAAGCTTGTTAAACCCATTGATATCACTTGATGAGATCAACACCACGAACTAAACTAAACGTACAAGGCAAATCAAGTTATCAGCTGTGAAGTTGCGTCGTTGTGAGTAGGACAATGGCTTATGTGTTGAAAGGAAGAGAAGTAGAAGTACTGTAATTTTCACAATCTTTCATTGTTAAGTTCTATTATCAAAATCCATTTCCGGCCGACTCTCGAGCTTTCGGAGACTGAACGGAGACTTTTCAACTCGATAAAAACCTTGCTTCAAAGCCCGCTTGATCTAGAACTAAGCGCTCAGAAAATAGTCGACGATATCCAGCCGCTCCGCCACGAAGCAACTCCCTAGCAGATCTTTCGGCCATCCTCGACGTCCTCTAGGCAGTATTGGTAGAACTAGTGTATCTACTACCGCCAGATTATCCGTGGCGGGGCGTAAGAGTTGGAGCTGTGAAAACACTTCGTGCAGGAGATAGCGAGGTCAAGAGCGGTTGTAAGGTAAGTCGAGCATATCCAGTGACGGTCATGTAGCTCTAACGAATGAACTGTAGGCTTTGTGTCGTGAGTGAGTGGATTTTACGATATAGCAATATGATAATTCTAGACATGTGTTCAAATGAAGAGCTTAAGGAAAGTTTGGATTAGTCCCTGGAAACTGGTCCACTTTGTTTAGACACGCTGCCATTGAGTATTCAAAGGTGGGGGTTTTGGAAGTGGAGATTTCTTGAGATTGGCGCGAATCGCAAGACTTTGGAGCTGGATGATGCCATGTCTGGACGGGTTTTGGATACTCTCGTATACTATGACGATTACTAAGGAACAAAATAGATATTAGTATCACATCTTATCGTCTCGTGTTTTAAAGCTATTTTGACATTCTGTTTGGTTTCATGTGTTGGTTTTACTTCGTCTAACAACTTTAAGAGAATGTTTGAGCTTTGTTCTATTCGTTTTACTTAATATATTACCCATTTTTAGCTTTTAGTATTGTGAGGTTGTGATTAGGAGGCAATACGTCAGAGTGATCTGAACATAGCATGTTGATTAGTACATAAACTAATCTCTACATGGTTAGAGGTGGTTAATAATGCACACATATACAAGAGAGGTGAAAGATCAAATAGGCAAACGATAGAATTTAGTTGTAATTTATGCGTATTGTAAAATCAAAGGTATTGAACGTCGGAAACGTTGTAGTGTAGTATCGGTATGAGAAAGGGGGCAACGGAAGACTGATTATATCCAAGTATGAAAATCCCTTGTTTCTTGCTTGTGGCTTTCCTGGATCTTTGTTCCTATTCGAACCTAGCGCTATCTTTCAACTGTAGATATCTAGGAGGCTTCCCCTCCAAGATCTGAGAATACAGGTCAGTTCCTTCGATCGTAGTCCCCGATCTAGAGGACCAGGACCCTTGCGAACCAATTTAGGTAAAGTGAAATAGTCTAGACTTTGAGTATAACTGTATAAGGTGCTTTGGAAGCGTGTGAGGGGTCATAACCTATTGAAGGATGTAAATATCTACCATTGAAAGACGGTGCTAGGCCTGAATAAGAACAATGATCTAGGAAAACAAACACCGAACAAGGGCTCCTAGTAGGAGGCTCCTTGATCAGGGCAAAAGCAAGCAGGGGGTCTGGCAGGAGGCTCCTGGAAGGAGGCCTAAGACCTTGCACCGCGCCGAACATACTCTAGGAAGCTGATTATAGTATTAGCATCGATGACAATAGTTAGGCATCCATTCCCATATAGGACCCAGAAGTTCTGCCAATAGACTTCCCATATCGACCACCCAAGGTACCCCCACCCACTCTTCCCTCACCAATTCCTGTCATTCTTGACATATAACTACTCTTGGTTGTATGAGTATTCAACACTAAAAAAATCAGGATGTTTCATTCTCCGAAGGGTAGCAAGCTGTACCTCGGGCTCACCTATCCACTCCCACTCAGCCATCTTGCTACGGTCCCATTGACGGACCTCAATAGCGTATATCTTGGTCAGGGCTATTTCAAAATTCTCATAGCCTGCTGGCCGTCTGCTAAGAATAGCATCCTTGATCTGTAACTTGACCGTTTCCACAGTGCTCTCAGCGGAAACTTTGATATGGTGCAGCCATTTGTTCCCAGTAATGTTATCATAATAGTAGACGCGGAAAAGAGAAGCTCCATTGTCTAGCTCCATGACGAAGAATTAACTTGAGGGAGTAGATATTTTGTGGATTTTTAAAGATGGGTGATCGCCGATCATATGAATCCGATGTAAATCCGAACTTGGTCGTGATGCAGCGAGATAATTCAGTAGGATTCGAACGATATAAGAGTATATATAGAGTGGTGGAAACAATGACAGAACATATAACAAGAGCTACACAAATAACGAAAGGAGTAAAATGAATAGAAGGGGAAAATGGAATAAAGAAAAATCCTACTATCTCTAAATGCAAGTGTGTTTGTTACAAGGTAACACTTATTGTCAAAGTCTCAAAGGGCTGTCTAAGGAAAATGATCTGTTAGGATTACGAGCAACGAATAAGTTAAGTAAGTGGTAACCTAAGTGGTCGATCAGGATGATTAATCTAATTATAAGGGCGTGGGTCCTTTGAGCTATGACACGGGACGTGCCCTTGCCCATCCTTCCCCCATAGTATTAGCAAGCCAAACGTAATATTATATAGTACGCTTTGGAGCTAGACTTTGGATCGCGAGTTGAGCTAAAGGTTGGTCTAGAAATATCGTGCATACTTTCAAGAGATGAAGGGGAAGTGTCTTAGATAGGTATGTGTGGATCTGTTTATGGGCCAATATTATAATACTATAGCATTCCACCTCCTCTACAACTTATAGAATAATAGCTTTGATCTCTCTAGTTTCCATTCTAGAGTAGGCTCTAGTTGGGAGGTTACCTAGCTGCAACAACTAGGACTTCACTTGCTCCGTTCACCCTTTAGAGTCCATCATCAGGCTACAGTCAAGTCAGTCTCCATTATTAGTTCGACTAGGTGTGGCAACTCACACTCCAAGTCTTCATCCACCGCTGATCAAAAGGCTTTCCCGATTCGACGAATCTCAAATCTGTGGCGAGCCGAATTATATTCGTCTCGTTAATTGCACTGCAGTGGATATTATATGGATTGTGCAAAACCACATCACCAGCTTCATAATTTGCAGCCAGCCATTTCCTGCCCCACACCGAAGAGAACTTCCCCGAATCCTTTTCTAGGAAGCCTCCATCCATCATGTTTCTGTTGAAAGCCGAAAGGCGTTCTTCCTCGGTGAAGTCTTTTGCTGCATCAGAAAAGCCTCTTTCGAGTTCTTGGCCGAGTGAGACGGAATTCTCGAGATACAGCAAGCCGCCTCCGTTAATTTCGCAGTCACCGAGAGGAACCCAGGCCGTGAGGGCGGTAGCTGGACCAGCGCGGAGGAAAATTTGGTCGTAATGAACCTGGGTGGTTTCTCCTCCGGGAATGTTGGGTCTGAATATAGAACGCTCTAGGAGGGTTGTATCTTTCCAGCCAGTGAACTTCTTCACGTATTCTTTTAAGACTGGATGATTGGCAAAGGCAGAGTACCAGGAGGCAGAATGAGCATCGACAACTCTTCTCTCATACTCGAGATTTTGATCAGCAAGATTGAGCATTTCACGTAGCTTCCCAGGTGCCATCCACTGGCGACAGTATCAGTTTCTTCCCGTTTCTTTGAATTTGAAAGGGAATGATGAGAGTCGTCTTACAATATGCCAGTCTCCTCCACAATAAATACCCTCCTTAGCATCTGAACCCTCTTTGATCAATCCAGTGGGACCAAGATACTCAAAGTAGTTTTTACGGGCCTCCCAGACATCATCGGCAGGAAGAAGACCTTTCAGCCAGACATAGCCGTCTTCATCGTACCGCTTTCGAATCTCTTCGAGAGGCGTATCTAGATATGTCGGACGAAGACTCCCAATTGCTTCGGGTTCGATAGTACCACCCGATGAATATAGTCTGAAACTATCAGAACTGTCTATGTCAGATTTCGATTTCCCATACGGAGGAGCGACTGTGGAAACACATGTCGCAGGCATTGCTGATGGAGCCATATATGAAATAGGATTTTGTTTAGATGACGTAAAAGGAGGAGGCTCTTTGAGCAGGAATGGAGAAAGCAAAGACTTCGGGGTAGGAAGGATCGAGACTGAAAAGACTGCACCTTTATATGTTATCTATAAATTTCCATTGCCATATTTCAACGGCGTCTCTTAGGAACTCAATCATTGGGGAAGGACATCCCGTCAGCCATGTACCTACCTATGTAGTCTCATGATCACCGAGCTGTAGTGCGCGGAAAGAAGTAAAAGATTCCGCTCTAACTTCACCTCGGAATGTTTGGCCATTTCCGTTGGAGTGGACTCTTAAACCCCTTTAAGCGGAGCTGTGCGGGGTTACTAAGCGCACGTGATGCTTGGTTGACCCCACTTACCTAAGAGGCAATAAATTCCTTGGGCATAATAATAATCGGGAAGTTTCCCTCTTTAAAACTACTGCCTGAAACGTATCAGAAGTAGCAATACTTCCCTCGACTATAAGCAATTAACAACAAGATTTACTCCATCAATATTATTTTTGATTTCAGCAATGCTTGATGACATCAACATATAGACGTGCCTGGTATGGAAGCCCATGTGAATTTTGGCTCGAGCTAAGTGTCTCAGCGACGAATGTCAATCACGACATCTTAAATGTATATAGATTCCACTCGAATTCACCTACGGAATAACTGACAAGTCTCTCCAGGCAACCTCGTCAAACCATGCGGGTCATGCCACGAAGCGGGACGTCTTTGTACTGAGTCGTCAAGGTACAAATTCCGCCATGATGATAATCCTGCAGTTACATCCGTAAGTAGGAAGAGGAGCTTACTTCGGTTTGCTGAAGATCAAACGTGGGCAGACCCAGTAAATGAATGTAAGTGTTTCGTTTGAACCCCCTAGAATGGCCCCTTGGAATAGGAGAGGCCGTTGCTAACATTCCTCAAAGTACAATTTATCGTTGAGGATCCGGAATATATCTCTGACGAGGGTAAAGACTTCGAGCCCGATGTCTTTGAGTCAGGATCTGTGGCCAGTGTGGTTGCTGCAATCGTGTCCTCTCCGAATGACCAGGTCGAGGATCGGGCTGCTTCTGGGCCGTTTGAGAGCAGGATAAACACACAGTGGCATCCTAGTAGAGTTGACCATGTTCAAACCGAAGAAGTATATCCTACTTTGCAAGTCTCACCTCCATTTTCCGGCATTGCTTCTGCACCCGAGCAACATCCTCTTGAGTATGGTTGTACTCTGTGGCCACTTTCTTCTAAAGACGAAGCATTCTTGATGCTTTACTTCGTGAATGAGTTATCAATGTGGGTACGTGTAGTCCATTACCACCTTACTAGTTTGTGACACTACCTGTAAACTTTCACTTTATCACTAACCACATAATTTAGTTCGACTACTGCGACAAAAACAAGCACTTCTCGACCGTAGTAGTCCAAGCAGCAGCCACATCCCCAACACTACATAATGCTATCCTAGCAGTATCAGCCAAATACCTCAGTGTAACCCGGGACTTTGACTGCTCTATACCTGACAGGTATCAACGCGAATGCTTGCGAACACTAATTCCAGCACTCACAGCCCCTGAAGCAATGGTAGATGAAAACTTGTTCGCCGCAACAGTCATACTACGCTTCTTCGAAGAAATGACGGGTATGAGCCTTCTCTCCCCCATCCCTTACTCGAACTGATTGTAGGAAAGAAAGATTAGACGGGTCGGACATAGCAACACACGTCTTAGGTTCCCACATGCTAGTCAACACCCGTGAACGCGCTCGCACCCATAAATCATCTATCCAAACCTCGAGCCTGCGAACCGCAACGCTGATAATTGAGCTACGACAGGAGATCCACATCGCGTTCATGACGAATCGTCCTCCGCCACCATTGGTTGAATATTGCAATATCGATCGCAGTATGGATCCTACTGATGATTGGACGTGGACTAATCGCATGGTGGCCCATACGGCTGATGTGTTGACGTATTGTAACGGTGATGGGAATAGGAATTTGAAGCAGTGGAGAGAACTTTGGAGCTACCTTACAGCCTGGGAAGGAGCCATACCTCCCAGCTTTAAACCGATATACGAAGAAAGTGCAGACCCTGTTAAAGGGCAGCTTTTCCCTATTTTGTGGCTTGCGAATGATTGCCACCGTAAATTCGCCCCTTCATCCTGTTCTGAAATTAGCTGAGACGATATATTCTAGTAGCTGGTGGCCAGTATCTAGCAATCTGCAAAATCCTCTTGCTGGCTCACGATCCCCAAATCTCGTCTCTAGGGGCCGATCGGATCATCAAACAGAAGGAGAATGACGTGAGTCTTGCTTCTCACAGGCATATGTCGGAATTCGTACTAACGAAAACTAGACCCAGATCAAAACCCAAGTCCGAATCATCTGTGGCATCGCCATATCCAATCGGCAGTCCTTCCCTACTATGCTTTCTGCTGGTGTTACGATTGCGATGTGTACGCCGTCCACCACTCCCCCGTCATTTTATTTCCCTTTTGAGCTTGTGGTTACTTCCGGGTATGTTATGCTGACAAAGAGGGATGTGTTATGTAGGTGGTGAGCGATTCACAGATCGTAGGGAACAGGAAGCGTTTATTGAGATCGTCGCGGAAGCCGAAGCGCATGTTGCATGGCCTTGTTTGAAAGCTAGGGAAAGGTTGAGGGGAGTTTGGGGTTGGGATACGGTCTAGTCTTTCAAGTTAATGTTGTGTTGTGAGCACATTCAGAAGTGGTCACGGGATCCTACGTTATGAAGGCACTGTCAGGATTACGAGTCAACGGATAAGCCAAAGTGGTAACTATAAGTGGATATCATCAAGGGGTAACCTAAGTTATAGATAAGGATTATCAATCTAATTACAAAAGTATAAGCTCTTTGAGCAACTCTTCCCTATTAATATATTTAAGCAGGAGTACATGTACTTTCTGTCTTTCCATCTATTATATCTACTTTCATATAATTATCTCTACTACGGAACGGTAACTCGTAGAGCTAAGGACCTTGCCTTTGTGGTGACCTTCCACGTCTATAGGTGGTCTTGCTTACCGTTTATTATTCTTCCATCCCCCTTATTCTTCAAGGTAAGTTTCTTTCTGCGATATGTTTAGAAAGGCCCTTCTCGATGTCTTCATGTAACATATTATTCAAGAGAGGATCGACAGTTTACTAGATTAGTATTAGTACTAGTCGTATATCTTAATCAACCAATCGGTTGACTATCTCTACTATAAGGCAGCGTTCTTGGGGGGACCACGTGACACTCTTAAGGTATATTTATTCCAGAGAGCCCAGCTCGATAATAAAACTCTTTCGCGACAATAGTTCTATATTATAGTACGTAGGATAACCCAAGGCGAGCTTAGGATGCTTAGGCTTTGGTTCGGGTTAGCTCGGGCCCCTCTTAGGCATGCTCATCCTTTGTTCAGGCTAGCCTAGGTCTTGCTTAGGGATGTTCCCATTTAGCTCAGGTTAACAAAGCGGCTGATACTCACGTCCTGAGACTAATAACTCAGCCAAAGAAAAAGCCTGTTGTGGAAATTATTGATTGTTTTCTATAGGATAACCCTTATTGTTTATACTAAGCTGGGCGTCCCTACATATCTTCTTTCACAACAAACAATAAATAATAAGCAAGATAAGAACTGATACTTGGAATATTTATTGTCCTACACGTGTGGCTACTATAATGTTTGATCTCTTGTTTTTTAAGGGATATATAAGAACTGCAAACCTTCTGTGAAATAAGTCTTATCACACACAAAACATCTACATAATAGTATCATACTCTCCAATTCATCTACAGTCAAAAGTTTCAACACCGTTAGAAGCTCACTAAGCTAAACCTTTATCTTCTTGCATCTCCTAACATGCCGTACGGCCCTAGGCTGATTAGGTTTGAGAATAGGGATAACGGGAAACAATGGTATGAAGGAGTCACGTTTGATGTTGGTCTGGAGCGGGATGAGCTAGAGAAGAAAATAGGCTATTGTCTGGACAGAAAACACAGGCCCTGCACCTGCGGATGCGGAGATTGGGCTTTAACCGTTTCCATTGTGTGGGATATGCCCGAAGGAGAGGACGAAATGAGAATTAATCCCCTTACTGATGATATGGATAGCATTTGTGTTAACCTAACTACTATGGATTTCCGATCCGTAAGAGACTACCTCTCTGTGGAGTACAATTGGAAAGAGACCAAGTTTTGTAGCAAGCTAAAGTATTAACGCGGTGGTATTTTGCTTTGGACTTTCTTTGGATCGAGAGCCGTGTTTTGCTTTCCGGATGTTAATTGAGAATATCATTACTCGAGTAGCCTGGCATATTTTGTCACCCTCTCGGTTGGGTTCACAGTCCTGGAGTAGCAGGATGGGACACCGAGCTGTACTAGTCAGTCATCAATTGATCATTTCCTAATTCTCACCTCGACTTATTGTGAACATGTATGTGCTGCTCGTAAAAAATAACATAATGTTTGATTATAGAAACATGAAGGGAGTCTGAGATATTAGCTTATGGTTGTGAATGGATATAGGCAGAAATAGCTAGTGAAATGGTCTACTCTAGGACGAGGCAAATTTTGCTAAACCACAAGATAGCAAAACATACAATTTCACAACCTCCTCGGCCAATGACACTGGCATGAGAAATAACCCGAAAAATTAAACACTCTCTAATGTTACCTATCCATCCTTGGAATCATTTTGAACTCCACGATATGTCCGTACTGGGGTCCCAAGGAATCTCAGCAACTACCAAGTAGAATTTACCGCCTTTTAGGATACTTTCTCGATCAATTTCGAACCCATTCTACCCTCCGCCTTGGTGCTATTCTGGAACAGACTGCCTACTGGCGCCTCCAACCATTCTTCCGGGACGCCGATGAAATTTCCATCCTTATTGCTGACCCATCTCACGAAAAGTGGATTTGGTTTCTGGCCGTCCGAGTCCGGCGTGCCGTCACCCCCTACGCCGTTAAAGTCCCTGCGACGGGCATTGGTTTTGGGGGCTTGTTTTTTAAGCAGCTTATTGATTGTTTCCATCTGTGTAGTTTGTTAGCTACGAAAAATATGATATATGTAACTAGACATGGCTTACCTTTTCCTCCTCATTTCGTTTCTCGCTGAGGTTCTTCCTTCTCCGGGCCATCTCAGCACGTCGCATGGCATGCTCTTCTGCTGTGAGGTGCTTCTTCGTCTGGACTTCTGTAGGGGTGTGTTAGGATTGAAACCTAGCTAGATGAATATTGTAGAATGGCTTACCGTCAGGTAAGGCTAGCAAATGACCACTGCCACCTTCTTCGAGCCTCGCCCTCTGTCTTTTGGTCAATTTGTTGATGTCAGGCGTCGAAGCTCGACTACCACCACCTGGAGTATCGTCATCGCTATCCAGCTCCTCATCTTCCTCTTCTACTTCATCTTCGACTTCAATCTCCTCAATCTCTTCATCTTCGCCCTCGGCATCATCCTCGTTGCCAGTCTGCATCGTTTCTTCCTCTTCAACCTCCTCGCCAAGGTCGCTATCCAACTCGCTCAATTCCTCATCGTCACTGCCAAGATCAACCTCTTTCTGCTCGACCGTCTTGATATCGGCTTTGGGAGCTGGCTTGGCAGTAATGGTCTGCTTTCCAGACTGAGCCCTTGAGATTTTAATGACTGGAGGCGGTGGAGCATCCATATCGATATCACCATCCGCGTCCTCTTCCCCCAAACCATCATCCTCAGCGTCCATATCCTCATCATCTTCGTCCTCTTCCTCGTCCTCGTCACCTTCTACATCATCATCACCAACATCTTCCATTTCATCATCCTCATCCTCGTCGCTATCAGACTCCAGAACATAGCTTTTCCTGACATTCCTGGGCCGTTTCCCCTCTATTATCTCACCGCCGCCAAAACCCTTCATACTGCTTGCCGTTGCGGATTGAGCCAACGGGCTGGAGCCCGTGACTTGTCGAAGCTTGCTTGACGATGTTTTAACTGTTAAACTTAATGATTGTGAGCCGCTGGTCGACCCGAAAGCACCACGTGAGACCGTCGCACTGGAGACATTCTCTGCTGCCATGCGGCCTGATCGCGGTGACGACAGCAGGGTGTCGTAAGCATCATCAGTAATTGCTTCTTTCGCCTTTACGGCAGCAGAACGCTGACTGCGACGAGCTGGCATGGCAGGCAACCGGATTGGCAAGTGGGGTTGAAAGACGAATTGAGGGGTACAGTAAAGAAAATGAAACCAAATGAATGTAGATGATTGAGTTTGCTCGCAATGACCACAAGGATATGACACTGTCGCTGTCACAATAAGAGAAGTTTGATGAATTCAAGTTCGCAACGCAGGATGGTAATGTGGAAAAGAGTAGGGCAGGCGCGACGGCAAAGCGCATGAGTGAAGGTGATGGTGATGTTCGCGGCGCTTGACTCTTACACACGCGTCCGTCTTCTTCCGTCGATTCTACCCAACCAACACACGCGATGCAGAAGTGCTTGTTCATTTCGCAAGGATGCAGAAGTGCTGGAGTCTTGAAAGAGCTTTACGGAGGATACACCGCCACCGCGCTCATTTATAACTCAACATCGCACCGCTCAAGCTTAAAAATAATTGATTTGATCGGATACTGTAATGAGATTGCGTTTTAACTTACTTGTTCCTCTTCACTACCGCCGGAGTAGCGCTAGATTTGGCTTTTTCAGCTTTCGATAGTCCGGCCCAGTCGTACCCCTCCGCCTCCTCATCGCCCTCCGAGTCCGTACTGAGTCGCCTCACCCTCTTACTGGCTCTATCGGCTTTCCCTGACATGATCTCTTCTGCAGTTGATGGCGGATTGGCGTGTTCGTTTGTGTTGCTCGACGCTTATAAGCATGTGGGTCGCTGCCAGTGTTCCCAACAGCTCGTGATACGAAGCAGCGTAGAAGTAGTAGATCTAGTTGTATAAAGTATACTTTATCGAACGGATAATGCGTCTCAGGAAAGTAAGGGATAAGTAGTAAGCGATATCAAAAACGTGACCAGATATTGAATTGTATATTGGAAAGCAGGTGTTTGCGGTTCGAAGTGAAAGTTGGTTCGACTGGGCCGGGGTGCTATTCATCCAATGGGAAGGCGTGTTCTAGCTTATGTAAACAAGGTTGCTGGGCCGAGGCATATTGAGTCGCGACCAACAATCACCCGAACAACCACTTTCTCCTGAACAAGAACCAGCAGACAAGAATACACACCATGAGCGATTCAGATCCAGAAGGCAAGAAGCCAGGAGTGCCATTGTGGCAACTCAAGTCGCAAGAAAAAAAAGAGTCGATGGAGGAATCTACAGAGCCGGCTCCCACTCCGGAATCAACAAGTCGGGACGAGGTCCTGGAGCAGGCAAAGAAGTTCCTGGAAGAGGACGAAGCGAAGGATGCCTCGACAGATAAAAAGATTGCATTCCTAGAGAGTAAAGGTGTGCGAAGTGAAGAGATAACGGAGCTGTTGGGCGTCACTCGGAACACCGAAGCCAGCAATCCCGCACCCTCCCAAGCTCCCCAAGTACGTTCTTCCTGTTGCGATTGCGATGAAGAGCACTCAACTAATCCGCTCGCTCACAGACACAATCGCCTGCTTCCGTCAAGCCCCCAACTCCCCAAGTTTCCTCTCCAATACAAGCCAGACAGCCATATACGCAGGCGCCTTCAGCGCCCCAAGGCCCTCCCATAATAACCTACCCCGAATTCCTCGTCACCCCTCAAGAACGCAAGCCCTTAGTCACAAAACCGCGCCTTTTAGCAACCCTCTACGCCTTTGGCGCACTTTCTACGATCCTCTACGGCACTAATACCTACCTCGTAACTCCTATGATCGAGTCCCTAACTAAATCCCGACTCTCCCTAAACTCGACGGCAACCTCCAACCTCGAAAAGCTAATCGCCAAACTCGAGAGCCTGGTCTCCACAATTCCCATCTACACGCCGAAACAGCAAAGTATTCAGGTGGGAGATGATATTATAGGAGGCGACGAGAGCGAGGACGAGGACCCCACGGAGCTTTTCCACCGCGATATAGGCGTTCAGACGTCACCTTCACACTCCCAGAATCCGTCTCGGCCAGGATCGCCAGTTCCCGATTCGGTGACAGAGATTAACAAGCACGTCTCCCGACTTTCCACACTCTCGACGCATATCAACGGGCTGGTGTCAGACAGCACGAGCGAAGGGCAGGATACTAGCGAGCTAGAAACTACGATTGGTGTTCTGAGAGAATACTTGGATGGTATTGCGTACACACCCCCTAGTTATGGCTATGGCTTGAGTGGTTCGTTTGGCGGATATAATGGATCCGGGGATGGGAAGGACAAGGAAAATGATGAGATTGCTAAGGTTAAGGCTGGGATTAGGGGGGTGAAAGGGGTGTTGCTCAGCGCAAGGAGTTTTCCTCGAGGTGTAGCAGTTGGTGGTGGTGGGGTGCGGTGATGGAAGTGTCTACGCTCATAATAGATAATATTGCTTTACAATACCGTACGAGTAGATATCTAGGTAGGTAGGTATATTGTGTGCCGGCCTGGACGACTGGGGGATGTTTTGGATGATGACGGAAGCATTATAAGACTTGAACAGTCCTTATCTGGGCCGATTGACAAACAGCGACATGTACAAATGTATTAATGGGCAGATACCTAGGTATAGCGTATGGAGCCACAAAACACACAATAGAGCCACAAAACATACATATAGTCAGTACCATAGAGAACTAACTGCATCGCTTAAAGTTTAGGCACTCTCCGCCTGGGCTCCTAGGCCAATAGGTAAGCCAATATATTAATGACGATCATCATGCAATTGACAACCGCAAGCCCCGTTATTGCTCAACCAAGTACGGAGTAAGAATAGAGTAATGGTGTCAAGATCCTCGGCGGTGGAATCAAGCCACCAACTCTGATTATTCATATGCTTGTCTCGGGGCCAAGTGGCAAATCCAAGAGTCGTCCAAGAGTCCAAGAGTCCAAGACTTTGTTTCGCCCTCCACTATGGACTCCGCCTCCTTTTCCAAGCTCTAGCCCATTGAATTGCACCCACTCCGGAATCGAGCCTCCGCCGATGACTCGATGCGATGCTGGGTTCTTTTCTCCTTGCAGCCAGCCGGCAGAGGCAGAGACAGAGACAGCTTGATAGGCATGCGGAGCAATAACCCCGCGCATCCATCTGCCAATACTAGGTACGAGTACGTAGCAGCCGTGCAGCCGTGAACCAGTGAGCCAGCGTGCGCCAACCAAGCCCACGAGACCGCTCTTTAGACGCACGGCGCCGGCCTGCAAACGGCGACGGGCGACAGGCTCTCGATGCGCTGTAACTGCGATCCTTGAGGCTTGCGGCTTGAGCTCCAATGCAACTGCAAGCAAGCTCCAGGGAGAGCTCCAGGTCGGCTCCAGGCGCAACGCAACACTTGCAGTCTGACAGTCTTGCACAGCTCCAATTATCAATCCCAAAAGCCAGAAGCCAGAAGCCAGAAACCTGGAACCCCGCATCCTTTCATCACCCAGACTCGTCCACTCACCCTCAGACCGCGCGATCGACGTCGAGAACCGCGGAGGCGATGAAGCTAGAGACGGGGCTGAGGCGGTGATTCGACGCCAATGCTGTAATGCCAGCGAGCGAGAATGGCTTCGGAGATCGTATCGTACTCACATGCTTGCTGGTGTCGTGGGGAATGAACAAAGGGAGGTGCTCGAGTACTCGAGTATGTATTTCGTAGTTTTCATTTCGGGCTGTCTCACCATCGCCGTCTTCAGCTTCGAGACACAATCCATACAAGAACAGCCACAATCTCCATAGCTCTCTGTTTACCGTACCGATTTCTCTGCAGCTTCAAGAACACCGCAAACAAGCAGAAGCTGTTCCCGCTAGAAGGAAGGGTTTGCCATCGTCGGACCACGAAACCCTAAACCCAGCCGCTGCCTTCAATCGTACCATGGGCACAATGGGCCTCGTGACATGTGCCCTAACCTAGAACCATAACCACAACCACAACCCCTCCACTCCACTCCACCGACAGGTATTGCGTACTGCGCTGCACTGCGACTGCGACCGCGACTGGAGTCACATCCACAGTCCAGATCAATAACCACATCCACATCCACATCACCGCCGCCACCACCGCCAGACCACAGTTATAAATACTTCGTCTGCCCCAGGCCCTGTTGCCACCGCGAGACCCCCCACAGACGCACTCACGCATTCTCGCACAACCATATAATATACTCACACACTTACTCGAGTACTCCGTACACATTCATTTGCCACCCCTCCAGGTCACTCACTGTCCCACCACCACAAATCAACTCCCAACACAGCACACAAGAACACAAGTCTACCTAGCGACACATTGCATGGGAGGATTAAAGGACATGGTTTTTGGCCCCGTCCCAGGTACTTCAGCCCATCGGCGACGGAGCATGGCGAACACCAGTGCCATCACAAATTATGAGGCGGATCTGACGAGTCGAGATCGTGCCAAGCAAAAAGACGCCGTGAAAAGGTATCTGGCGGAAAACGTGAAGGATGATTGGAAATGGGAGTGGCCACGGCCAGAGACTGATTCCACGTCCCAGCATACCTCCCCACACGAGGAGAATGATTTGCGGTGGAAGGAGAGAGACGAATGGATCAGCGATGCCAGTGACGTCGAAGCAGCCTCTGTCATATCCGCGTCGAAGAATAAACTCGAGAAGCAGGATTCGAAGATGGTCAACAGTCCTTTTCGTTTCGAGAACCCAGACGAGGTGGGGGAAACAATCAAGAGGGGCGAGTTAGACAGGAAACGCCGCCGCAAAAGACGCCTTAGGGAAGAAATGGCCTGGAGTGATGGCCTGCGCTGCTTTGTCGAGCGGCGCGATGCATGGACGGGCGCCCGACAAGTTCCCCGTCCCTCTGCTGATCCCGAGAAGCGAGCTTCGCTATCGAGCGGGGATGGCAGCTCGACTGCCATTGAAAACGACGACGAAGACGAGTGGGAGGACGACGATACCGAGATCCCCATCGCGCCGCCTCTACTGCCTCCCGCGAACGCCATGCGTGCCAGTATCAAACCGGATGCTTACAATACGATTTACGACAAGGTCATCTTGCAGCAGTTAACGCCTACCTGTCCGATGAATCTGAAAGACGTCACAAGGGCATGTGTGCAGGGGTGGAAACGGGATGGAGAGTGGCCTCCAAAAGCCGGGCCTATAGAGCCCCCAGCTGCGAAGAAGAAGAAAGCCAGAAGGCTGAGTGTGGCAGGTATCTTCGGCCTCGAGAAAGACAAAGTCAGGGAAGAGGCCAAGGAGAAAACAGAGAAGTCTAAGGAGCGAGATCCTGTCATGGGGAATCGAGGTGGCATCCGCGGGAGTCTACAGCGCATACTGAGTCGCAGCAAGGAAACAGCGCCCAAGGCAGAACAGGTTGTAGCGCCTGGTTAACCCACGACATTACATTATCGACGACTTGATTCTCTACGCTGGGCCTACGGGTGCTAGTATGTAACGGCCTCACAGAATGAATACTCTAATACATACATAATCTGGCGTTATTTCTCCAGAGGCGCTATGGAGATGGGGTTTCGGGAAGCGAGGGCAGTTGGAATTTAAGGGATAGGATCAACGTCCAGAAAGGAGTGGCGTTAGGGTTGGTTTTTCAATGGGATATATACGGATGTAAGGTACGCCTTACATAGCATGGGCGCTTGGGTTAAGACTCACTACTCTGATAATAGGTATCTATGGCATGGCATGAGTCGTCCTGGTAAATGGAGGGACAATGCCATAATACAGATTCAATATTAATTAATAGTAATAACGTTTAACATCTCGGTCTACATCTACAAGTATATTTCTTACTTGACGCACAGCAGATAATTCATTATCTAGGTATACTTAAGTGAAGAATAGTAGCTGATCGTGTTCTCTTTCCCTCATTACATGACGTCCCCCCTTTTTCCCTTGGCGAGTGCCAAGGGTGTAACTCGCAGGCCATAAATATCCCGAACGTCATCAAGAATTTGGCCCTCAAATCTATGCATAGGTAGGTATACTTGTACTTTACGGTGCAATATGATTCCTCAACTTACATGAGATGAAAATCACCTAACACTAGCCCAGTGGTATCGTGCCCTACATGAATTAGATATTAGATCAATTTAGCGCTTAGATTTCTTCGCTGGTCTCTGCCTATCTATTCCCACAACATCCTCCTGCAACCTCCTCTTCTCCTTCCCAGCTCTCGATCTCAACACCATTCCAAACGGCGGTACTTTTGGTTCCAACGCCTCTGTATGTTTCCTCGGAGCTGATACTTTCATACTTCTCCCTATACCCGACCGTTTCCCACCCGTCTTCCAGAGATGTTCCGCCCGAAAATGCGTAGGGAATAGTTCCCCTAAACCCCTTCCACACGGGCAAGATATACTCCGAACTTTCCTCCTCTCTAGATAATCATCCCAAATCACCATCGCACTCCGTCTCCACCCCCCATCCCCAGCTCCATACTCTTTAATCTGCTCATCAGCATCAACCCACGCTTTAACTGCCATGCTCTCCCGCTGATTATCCAAACCCAGCTCCACGCTTTTAAGGAAGTGTCTAAAGCAATCCCTCCGAAAACTCTCATCCGCGCGGTCAATCCCCGCCGCGGACAGCGGCGCATATGTCTTGGAGGACTCTGGTGTAGTGAAGTCCAGCGCGTTGAGAAAGCCGCCTGTGGTAGTGAGGACAGCGTGGATGGTACCGACGGGGAGGTATACAGCTTCTTTTGCAGTGGTTTGAAAGATAAGCCCGCCTTCGAGCGAAGAGCCGATGCAAGATAGTTTAGCTTTCCGGCCTTGCTGCGTGTACATATGCGCGAGATTTTTGGGCGTCGGTGGAAATGCGAGCCACAGCTTAGTGCACTGTCCAAGTGGGACTGAGAGACCGTCTGCGGAATCTATGTGTAAATCAGTTTGGGAGAATCGCGGGGTGAGGAATAGTTGGTGTCCGCTCTCGTCGTAGGGTTCTACGTGTTTGCTGAGCGCCTCGGGGCATTTTAACAAATCGTCTGGTAGTTCTGGGATGTTTAGGCCGATTAGCGAGACTGGTGCTGAGGTGCTTGGTTCGTAGAGCTGGGCTATGGCGGTTCGGGGATCGGCTTTGGAGTCGGGTTCTCCGCGTCGATAGGTTGTAAATGTCTTGTTTTCGTTGGAGCTTTCAGCTAGTTTGTTTAGTGTTGCTAGGACAAGATCAACGGAAGAGGGAGGTGTTTTCGTCCAGCACTTTTCGGCTGGGAAGAGGCGGGGCCAGGTGGTTGTTGATTCCGTCCAGAGGTCTTGAACTTTCTTGGGGATGGAGCGAAGTGGCGAAACTCTCATTCCTTGTAGGACTTTGAGGGTGCCCTTATCGAAGCCTACTAACGTGTTCAGGAGGTTTTCCACTGGGGTGACTGGGCGTTGGGTACATCGATTTGAGAGATATCTCGCACTGAGGTTGGAACATTCTGTGTGGACTATACCGGCCTCGTCCAGCGATATATGGAGATTCAGGTAGAGCGATGGCATTTTATTGGGAAGTAAATTGATTTGAAAAGGGGTAGATGATTGAGAATAGAGGAGGGTGCTTTTCCTTTGGAACATGAATAAGATATTACACCTGGTGAAAATCAAAGAACGTAACTAAGAAAGAGAAGGAGGATAGAGAAAGAGTATGGTTGAATCATCAGAGTGACCCTTCTTGCTTATTATTCTCTTGACAATATGAAGTTCCTATTGTCCAGAAGCCTGTGGGGTAATGAATACCACAATAGTAACCATGTACTATGTTGACATCTTTTTCGATATAATAGTGTGGGATATATTTTAAAATATTTGTCTTGGAAGACAAGGAGTGGTTTTGCATTAGGACTTAAAAGGAGATTCGAGTTTGTGTCGTAAGTGCGCCTTTGGGTTATGTTTGTCCGCTTTGAACACTTGACTCACCCTGCGCTATGTATGAAAACATTATTTATTAGCCATTGGAGTCATAGGATGGGATTATTTATGCTTTTATTAATTATGATAGGAAGGATGCTATTAGAAGTTAAAGTGACCCTTAGTTACTACGAGGCAATGGGAGAAAGAGACCAAGAGAAAACCTGGCACATGCGAAGTGCATATTTGGCCTCGCCCGGCCTATGCCCTTTATACATTAAAGCAAGCAATAAGATACCAATACCCTTGGCAGTTAGTTCGGCAAGGAAGGCTTATTACGAGACTAACTGACCGCCTACCAAAAGTGAAGTGGCAGTTCAACCTCGCCCCGCCTACCCTATATACCCAAATAAGCGGTTTTACCTCTAACGAAAAGATCTCCCTCTCCCGTGGCCTACTTGTAGACGCGAGTGATAGTTCTTCGGAAGTATCAGTCCAGTGACCGATCGGATAGCGGTTACCCCTATCGGAAATGAGGTTATATCCTGACACCAGCGACAGCTCGCAACCGGGGCTCTTACCTGTCTGTAAAAGGGGTTTGAGCAACCAAGTTGCGAAGCGAGTCCCTCTGGCTTAGAGCCGCCCTTTCGGGGGTTGAGAATATGGGGTGTCCTAGTGGGGCTGGCATCTTTTTTTGTAGTTTTTTTTAATAATATATATTTATTTTTTTAGGATTGCGGGGGTAACAGGTTGTGGAAGCGAGGAGAAGCAAAGTCGGTGGGAAAAGGCAGATTCAAGTGTATGTAAGCAAAACGCCAGTCGCGAAACCACGTAGGAATATGTTAACTCTACAGTACGATAGAATTTCAGAGTATAAGATGATAGAATAGAGGTATAATTTACGTTCGGAAGTCACCTTGAAGTTGAAATTTTTTGTATAATGGGATTCATGTATTGCAAATGTTGTCTTTATGTCCATACCTCACTTCTTTAGGCACCCACATCCCCATTTTCTCCTGAGCTCAAATTGTGTAGCAAATTGTGTAGCAAAGTGTGCAAAACATATCTCATAACCCCCCAACCTGCAAGGCGCAATCACTGATCCATCCACGATCCTTCGTAAGCAATCATTGAACAGCACTAGCATCTTATTTCCCGCCAGCAACCACAGCAACCACAGCAACCACGGCAACGCGTAGCCTCCTACTCACCAAGCAAATCAATTGCCATACATCTGAAATCCTCAAACTTCTTGGCAAACACCACACGCTCCTTTTCAGCGTTCCTCAGCGCAGCCCTTGCCTCATCCTCGTTATCAAGTGCCATCTGCAGCGGCGAATCAGCCTCATCTTGGATAGTCAGAAAGCGCTGGATAGCGATAGCCTGAAGTTCCTGGCTCATCGACTCAACCTGTACTCTTGCCACGCCCCGTAGCGTCATCATCATATCATTATTTCTCTTTCTCAAGTCAGCTCTCGCAGTGTCTGCAACACTTTCTGCCAAGCTGCAGGCTTTCTCCTTCTCTGCGACCGTAGCTTCAAGAACTCCGTTTCTGTTCTCGAGACGAGTCAAAAGACGCACGAGGCCGCATTTATCTTCCTTCTGTTTACCTGTGCCTACTTTATTTGAAATCCCGCGCATGGGATGATCAGGATTGAATACCTCGCTGCGGCGATTGCGAAATTTTCGGACCTTTTCCCGTTTAGGGGCGCTGGGTGGGGATCCAAGTTGGACTCCAGAGCTCTCCTTGTTGACTACCAGGCGTACGCGTTGAGGGGCATCGGGTGTTTTTGGGTATGTAGTTTCGCTGTTAATTGGTACAGAGGCTACTGGAGAATTCTGGTACGGGATTCTGCCGGCCCAACCACGGTAGTCAACCGCCCGCATGCTTTGGAGTCGAGTGCTTTTTCGGGTAACTTGCTGGCTTGGCTCTTCATCATTGTTTTTTGGAGAGTCCTCTACAATTTTGTTAGATCGTACTCTAGTTTTTGGTTTTCAAAATGGAATCTTACCTGTGACTTTGCACACCCGCTTGGCAAGGACTTGCTCACTCTTTGGAGTTTGTGGAAATCCCGGCTCTTCATGTTCCTCATTTGATTGTTCTTGAACTGGAATATGATTTTGAAATTTGGCAAGTTGCGGAGTTTTGGGTGTGGGTTGTTGTCGGGGTGCCTCATCTTCGTTATCTGGCAGTCCTCGAATGCGAAGTCCATTTAGAACGGCAGGTTTCTGTACAATTCGAAGCTGGGCAGACTTTCCTAGGGGACTGTTAAATTAGGTTCTCCTAGGTTTGAAGAGAATCTCACCTTTTTGATTCTCCCCTTCTCCATGCAACAGCTGGTATATCTCCCAACGCAACATATTCAAACTCTCCCTAGTCCACTCTTGGATTTCATTCCTCAACTTATAAGCCACCATATACCAGTTGAGTTTGTCCGCCAAAGTTGCAGCATCAATATCAGCCTGCTGCCCTAGGTTCGCCACGATTCCACGTGCAGCTAACGACACCCATAAACCAACAGCATGGCCGAGTTCCTCAACAAGGGCAACGTCCAAGGCCTGTCGGGGGATGAAAAAGGCCGATGACTTGCCAATCAATCGGTACATCATGATCTCCGCCCAGGCCTTTCCCCAGTCGCAATTCCGTTCGATATAGGTCTCGAGGGCAAGCTCCTTGATACGATCGTCTCTTGAGTTCAGAATGACTGCACCATATTTGGAAGCAGCAGCAATTTGCTCCAGTGTGGTGATCTTTCCAAAAGTTTCCGGAAAGCCATCCATTTCGTGATGAATCTCCCGCTTGGAGATGGGGGTGTCGGGTGAGATGGGTGGCCATGCCCCCATTCTCTTCTCAGGGGTTGATGGAGTGTCCATCTTGGCTGGATTGGGGGGGGGGGGGGTTAACGCTTTGAGCAGATCGAGCTATTCGGAATTCGAGTGTAGGGGACAGTGACAAGACTCGATCTATTGATAAAGCATGAATGACGTACAGGTGCAGTCGATTAGTCGTTGCCGAACAAGGCACAGTATGAGCGCGGAAACCCAGGAGGTACTGATGGGGTGCAAGTGAGAAAGCAAGTGACTGTGAAGTGAAGATCGGTGCTCTACTTTGTTAGTTTCAACTTAATGGTGGTAGGAAAGTGAGGCAACCAACCTTCGGAAGTTGAGAGCGCGGGAGGCACCAATTGGCCAAAGGAAATTAGAGGTTCGGGAAGTGGAATATGTGGAAGTGCTGAGAGGAGCTTGTGGATCTACTAGTGTAGGAACGACAAGCTGAGGGAAGGTCCTTAACAGATCTACGAGTTGAAGCTGAATAACTTGACAAAGTCTTAGGAAACAAGTAGAGGTGAGAAGGGTTGGTCAGTGGTCGCCAAGCTTGACAAGCTAGTCAATGACCACTCTCTCAAACCTAAGCTGAGAAAGCAAAAGCTGACGAGGACGGGGCTAATCTTGATCAGGTCTTCTCGGAAGCTTTGTAGATCGTTGGGCCACGTTGAGAGAGGCCAAGCGGAGAAAGAAAGAGGAAGCTTATTACGGGCACCTACAGATCTATGTATCAATCACGAGATACGGTCAAGTTGGCCGAGGATTGATCCGGAGAAAGGTAGACGGTATGTACAAAGAGAGATCGGAGCCTGGTGGGGGGAGATCCTTCCTTACAGTCAGAAAGGCGAAGTGGCCTTGAGTGTTATAGTAGGAGGGAAGGAGAAGAGTGGAGTCTCCGATACAATATCGAAGAGGTGAGGTGTGGAGCAAAAGAGAGATGCGGGGTGTGGAAAGGAGACGAGGTGTAGAAAGGAAGCTAGGCGTAGAAGTGAGGCGAGGTGGAGGAGGAGACGAGGTGTGGAAGTTAGACGAGGTGTATGATGAGATGAGATGTAGAAAAGCGGCAAGTTAAACACATATACAATGTATCTGCAAACGGGCGAGGATGAGTAGTCATAGTTCTCAACCCCCCATATTGACTCCGACCTGGACCAAAACTATCGTCGTAGATTATGCTCATTACGGAGCTCTGAAATACTAAGGGCATAGAACAGAACTTGAAGAAGCTCAGGAGAAGACAAATGATTAAATGAAAAATAGGTAGTAAGTTTAAATACGGCAACTGAGGAATTAGGGGGCATGAAAATAGCGTTTAGGACTTTTAGGTGACTGTCGAAAATTATAATATGTGACGAAGAAGTAGAAAAGAGACATTCTGAGGCGCGGGTATATTTTCGTTCATTCACAGCACCTTTTTATTCATGGTCCTCGTCGTCTTCTGCTGATCACGCTATGCATCTAGCTAACCCCAAAACCCCACGGCTCCATTTTTTCCATCTTTGCCTTGCGTCGCCATGTTTCTCAACAGAAATCTCCGGGTATAACAACGTCCAAAAACACAAAACGTTATATAAATAAGACAAAATAAGGACACCGTTCCCCCCAATTTCCAACTCCTTTCAACCCCCCAAAAAGCAGTCAAAAGATATGATACAAGTATTATCCACCTTCCCTAGTTTCCTTGGTTTGCAAGAATAAATGACGATAATGATATTGATGATGAGACCGTTAACTGGATGCGCCGCGCTGAGTATGAGATGTGACCTTGGAAGGGATAAACAGTGCGTTAATGATTGGTGTTAATGACTCGGGGTGACGAGGAATTTGAGCGCATCAAGTGTTGATGGGACATCGGCGCGAAGGCTTAAGTTGAGAGCCAAGTCGAACGTTCTTATCACATCTGAATTGAGTGGGAAATAGAGTTCGACAAGGCTCACTAATCCCCAAAATTCGCTCAAGTGGCATTTGGCTTCTGCCTCTTGCCTATCCTCGGACTTGGCTTCACACCTGGTTTGGCCTGGGTGCCATTGGGCTGGTTGTCCGCGTCTTCTTTCACAGCACTGGGCCTTCTTCGTTTATTACTCGCGTTCGGGCTGGTGTTCGCGCTAGGCCCGCTCGAACCCTGCTGACTTTGCTGCAGTTGCATTCCAGGAGCTTGGGCTGGGCTTCCGCTCATATGAGGCGAACCGTCAGGAAGTGCAAGATGGGCGGCCGCAGGGGAAGCGCCCATCGCGAAATTTCCAAGACCCGGGGTCCTTGGTCCGGATGGATTTTGTTGTCCGCCGGGGTTCATGCCGCTAGTTGCGGCGACTGTAGCTACGTATTGGTCAAGAGCTGCATACGGCGCAAGGGCGAGATGCTGGTGGGAATATCCAAACAAAGGATTCATTTGCCCCATAACCTCAGCAAGCTAGGACGCGTTAGACGGAACAGTATGTAGATATATAGAACAACCTACCTCAAGAAATCGGAAAACTGAAGGTGTAATTCCCATGCTTGGCTTTACTTTAGAAGGCGGAATTTCAATCTCTGGTGGTGGTTGGGGAGGCGATTTCAGGGTCTTTGCTTTTTTCTTGTTCATCTCTGGTGATTGCTTTCCTTCGGGTGGAGCATTGACTTTTTGCCATTCCTTGCCCCAGTCGTGCAGGGGCCTTGCGGCTTCGATAATTCTGGTCCGGGGAAGATACTCTTCATGGTTGCTAGTAACAAACTCGAGAAGCTCGATCTTCTGGTCAGCATCGAAATGAGCACGTAATGTGCCGTTTGCAATTAACTAAAATAATTAGCGGTATCAATTTAGGTGACGCGAAGTGCCATACCTGTGATCCATTATCAAACCAATAGACAAAACTCGACTTTGGACTTTCGATATAATGCCCATTATTTGGCAAGTCCCTTTCTGACCCCTTTTCCATTATCAACTGCATGGTCTTGATGCCGCTCTCGAAATGGGTATGGAAGTATCTCGCTAAAGCTGGAAACGTGATCTCGTACTGCTTATTCGAAGTCTCGTCGACAATCCAGACCGAGTGCCGTAGCACTCCTTTGGGGGAAAAGAACCGATCTACAAAATGCAACCAGTAATTAAGGTCATCCCGTTGTTTGGACCCCTGCGCAGCCAGCCGTTGAGCACCACTAGCCATGTATGATTGCAATGGTTTGGAGCTTACCCCAAAGTTACTGAGATGGTCGGCAAATTGCATCAGTTTCATCAGGCACTGGCCCCTTAACTTTTCGACCTGTTGTCTTTGCTGCATCATAGCCGCCGCAGCGGCTTGCTGTTGGATGCCTGGTTGTGGAGGTTGGGCTGGCTGCTGTGGCTGTTGAGGCTGAGCAGCTTGTGGGTTTGGTTGTGGTTGTTGCGGTTGTGGTTGCGGCTGTGACTGGGGCGGTTGATTTTGTTGCGAAGCGGCTTGCTGGTGTGCTTGCTGGGCCTGTGTGATCTGACCTTGCTGCATATTTTGAAGCAGCTGCGGGTTCGGCTGGTTGTGTTGGCCTTGATTGGCACCACCTTGTGCTTGAATATTTGCTTGTTGTTGCATTGCCATCTGTTGGGCAAGGAGTTGTTGCTGCTGTTGCTGCTGGATGTATCAGCAAAGCTCAAATAAAGAATATTTTGATTCGATCGGAAAACTGTAAAATGTGTACGTACCTGATGCTGAGCTTGTGCTTGCGCCTGCTGTTGCTGCTCTAAGCTATGTTGAGCTTGTTGTTGCTGTTGCTGAAGATGCTGAGGCAAGTTTACATTGACGGGTCGTGCCATCGGCCCTGCTCCTCGCATGGCTTGATACTGCGCATTTGTCATCTGGCCCATGCCGTTGGGCATATTGACCGGCATTCCACTATAATGTTGGGCCATCATAGCTTGACGGGCAGCTTGTGCCCGCTGTTGCTGTTGTATTATATGTTGCTGTTGCATTTGGAATTGAGGAGCGACTAGTATTAGGTCTCTCGTTAGCACCCGGCCTGTCAAAAAAAGTCGGGTAGATAGAAGCTGCCACTCAAAGCAGCGAAACATTGCAAAGGGAACGCGAATAAGTACTTACAAGCCATTGCCTGCTGTTGCTGTAGCATTTGTGCTTGCTGAGCATGATTCGGGTTAAGATGTTGTAATGCGTGCGCACTTGGCCCTCCAGCGCCTTGTGGAATCCCACCCATCAAAGCTCCTGCTTGGGTAACTTGAGGTCCTCCTGGGCCAGAAACTCCCATATGCATCTGCTGTGGCATTCCTGGTTGCCCTTGCTGGCCGGGATTGTGGGGCACTGCCATCGGATGGCCTTGGGACACTCCTGGATGCTGTTGAATTCCCCCTGGATGTGGTGAGTAGGCCTGGGCTAGACTCGTCATCATGGTGTTGAAGGTCGAGAGTCCACAATGTGGATACCGACACTACCCAGTCCTACACCACACATGCGCCTCGGATCACGTCGCCCTCCTCCCACCACGACGGGGCCGATTGTCCCCTTGGTGGTCTCTGGCTCGCCAATGCCCTTATGTTCCTCCCTAAACCAGGAAAATTCGGGAGTTCAGGTCCTCGCGCCTCGATAAGCCAATTGTCTGGTTGGCGAAAGCTGTCTGGTCGTGAAGAATACTACCGGCTAAATGAGACCGCGTCGACGGGCTCCCTTCTCGAGTGCGAGGCCGGTGAACTCTCGTCTTCGCAGGAGCGGCTGTGTGACAAGCAGCTGTGGCACGACGTTGATGGTCGGTGGTTAGGACAGTGGAATGCGAGAGCAAGGCAAGATGGTCCGAAATACCGCGAAGCTGTGGAAAGTCGTGTCGCAAAGTCCGAGCGGCGAATGCGGTTTATAATCGATGGGCGACGAGATCAACAATCGCTCGACACGCGTTTGCCTGCGCCTGGAGGCAAAAGTCTCGACTCGCGGTGTCGTCGTGGCAGTCTGTTTTGGTGGATGGATTCCTCGTTGTCTCACGCTGGCGGGAGGGTCGAGGAAACGGGAGATGGAGATCCCTTGTCACGATGCAAGAATCGCGCGGGCTGATGCAACATGAAGGAGAAACAAGACGCTGCTGGGACGGCGGAAGCGCAAGCGAATTCGCAGCGACGGGTATGGGCGAGGATTAAGCGCGATATGGGTGGGGAGATGGGCGCGCGGTGAGCGCGGGAATATATGTATGTCTGAGAAGACCAGAGGGATTGGGAGGGAGAGATCGTCAACAGGAACACGCCCAGGAGTCAAGAGTTGTTCAGAGAACCAGAGGACTGAGGACTGAGGACTGAGGACGGGGTTGGAGGAGGATCCTGGGCGGCGAGCTCGAAAAGTGGTGTTTGGGCGGGTGGCGGCCTGAGTTGGCGCCTGAGGATTGGGGCTTCAATTCGCACGCCACGCCACGCTACGCCACGCTAGGGGTCGAGAGTCACGTTTCTGTCTGCACGTGAGATTATGCCCTAGTGCGAATACGGCATAGTCGCAATGGTATCCACACCCGCGCTAACTTTATATATATTTTCTTCGCTGCACCCAAATATTTTCTCTCTTCCTCTTCAACCTCTTCACTACAACAAGACCATCTCTTCCCAATGATACGCCTCTCGCAGCAGCTCCCACTCTCACTCCCACTCCCGCTATCGAGTGTTGGAGCTGCTGGGTATCTCTCCTGGTATGTTTACAGCTTGTTCCGCTTCCCATGCGCACCATTTCCTCCACTGCGCGATCTTATCTTCCAGTGATGACAATTCACAAATACTTCTTTTCCCAACTTAACCGCCCATGATGAAGTCAATGCTGCTCGGGCTTTCCATACGTGGTCTGCTTGTTACTTGCCAGTACCGTTGTCTGAGAAAGATCATATCATCCGCACATTGGTGTCGCGCTTCAATGTTCTTGAACCGCCGCTAACTTGCAAAAGCTTTCTCTAGGTCGCGCCGAACGCTCGATGCCCCTGGGTTGCCTGTCCACAATTAATATGTTGTGGGACTCAGCTGAATTGCTACAACTTCTGGATATATACGATTAACAAACAGGGCTACAGCTCTCCATCACAATTATAAGGTCAGTGAACAGTTCTATTTATCACATTCTTCCTTTCACAAGCTTTCATGATGAAACAACTTCCACATTCGCAGTTTTCACTCGAGTCCCATTAGAACCTAAACCGGGACAGATGAGGGTCATATCTTCCTTGGATGTCTGCATTAAGCTTCAACTATCAATATGTTTTTGCAATTCTTTACAGAGCCGTCGCGCTAACTCTCGTGCTCATTAAGACAGGTACCAATTTTGCATTTATAGGTTATGGCCCGGCTTAGATAAGGTCCAGTCACGATGGTCTAGGAGGGACTCGTAGGAATATCCTAAGCATCGTCGGTCATATGTAATAAAATATTATCTGCTCAGATCTTCGCTTCCAATTTGCTTCGTGATTTATCGTCTTCCTATACATTGGCTTGTGCAATTATATAGCTTGTCTCTAGATAACTCTACTGCTCACGGTCGTTCACCTATTTTGTGTAATACCGCATGACCCCCCCGAACCACCCGCAACCGCCGATGCTTTCAATTTGTGTTATGTGCGTCGGAAGCTTGGAGATGCTAGTCGTCGTCTTCCAGCTGTATCATCACCGTCTGTTTAGCTGCTTGTTATGAACCAGCCATTTAAAACTCATGAATTTTCCTGTCCACGCCGTCAGGGATATTCCGGGCTGAAACTTCAAACGTTTCTAGTATGTGTACCATATACATCGTATATCCTAGCTATAACAATCAACTTCCACCTAGAATACTGCAAAGAGGCCGTTCTTGGCCAATGCCCTGCAAGTTCAACCGAAACGAAACCCTCGAACTTCCAAAGTCCATGGCACATCAGGATTCCTAACATGTGGTGAAAGTCACATCCTTCCCCCTCTATCTCCATCTCCAACTCAATCCTTCCATCCCCCAAAAAGGCCCACATATTATCATGATAGCGCCTAATTTTGTAGCCCTCGAATCGCAGGGCTCGCAGCGTTTTCAATAGGTGCAGCATGTTCCCGCCTCATAGCGAGATGTCGTCCCTGTACCGAGAACGGCAATTTTCTGGCCAGACCGATTTGGTTAGTGCTAGGTGGTGGTTTGTTTTAGATATTGGCTTGCCGGGCCTTGTTGGACTTCGAGGGAATGGAGGTTTTCGGATCTGACTTTTGCGCACATTCGCATGGCACACTCCACTCAAATTTCGTGCTGGAAAAGATGTTGGTTTGCCTTTAAGCCTTCTTTTTAAACTGGATACAGGATAGCGCAACAGCCTAATAGGAGAACACAGAATTGGCTCTAGTTACTGATTGAACCACTAACTATGAAGTTATTGGGAAATCTTCGACTGGAGACGCTGAGGTAGATGTTAGGACGCTGGCTTGGGTATATTTATAATATCTACTTATCACAGCCCAGTCCTCCCTCAGCACGTTTCCGTCAATGTGGTCACCTTGCTTTACGAACTGTCAGTATGTATTCCTGTATGAGGCGATGTGAAATATATAACTAACAAATGCGGATCAAAAGCAACCTCGAAACCCCTAGCACGGGCAATGATATCGAGTTCGAACTCCCTGCCATTAGCAATTGCCAATCATTTTTCTGCGAATCTCTCAATTTCTTCGGATACAACGCTCGCATATATTCAGCATCAGTTATTGGACTTGATGAGATCTCGAACTTGGTAAGGAGAAGCTCGCCCGGTTTTTAACAAGGCTCAAGATACCCTTCTCCACCATAAGAAACCAAATCATCAGCTCCAAATTTTAAACCGGTCGACATTACCTTGCCGTCATCCTCCAACACCCAGGTGACCACTCTAGAATAAACAATTTCTTCAAATCCCCATGGCCTTCCCCAATCCTCGCGCGGGTCATATGAGCAATATCCTGCTTTGCCATAATATTCAGCTCGCTGCCTCTCAGGAGAGAAGAAAGAGGGTTGTAGTTAAACCCCATCTACCTCCCTGTAGTATTTGAGAAAGGCTGCTAGGTCTGTTCGCAGCTTTTCCCATTCCTCATCGGTGTATTTATGCTTTCCAACCGCTGGTATTTGCGGCCTTTGTCCGAGACTTCGAGGAGGCTCTTGACGACTTGGGAACCCATTTGTGGTGCTATCAAGATTGATTTCTTGCGAATCTCACGGGAGACTTCGAACCTTGATGTAATAACTGTTAGTCAAAAGCCTATTAAAATCTGCCTACAGGAGTCAGAAGCACACATTGGGCAAGCTGGAAACCCATTTGGATTGAGCTCGATTCACATCCTATGATCGCTGCCCAACTTGTCGTTCCAGTCAATACTTTGGTCCCAGTTCGCTCTATGGACAAGTTTTCCAGTATACTTTTCAATATCCGGTATTTTTGGCCGTTGATACAGCCACAGTTATTAACTTTGGTAGTTGAACACAACTCTTTTTTCCTTCGTCCCAAGGTCGGTAAGGAAGCTCGCCGCTTCTACTCAGGCGTCAATCACACTCGACTCACCCTCTCCTCACCCAGCTCGCCTAAGCAGCCTAAGCAGCCTGAGCAGCCTGAGCAACCTAGGCAGTCCCTGAGCAGCCCCTGAGCAGTACCCACTACTCTAATCAGGCTGGATATAGATTAGGGCCTTTTTATCTCATTTTTGTCAAGTTTTGGCGATGATCCCTGGGGAGCCCAAAGAGGCTCCCAAGGATCCCGAACCAGACCCTCATGAAAATAGATCCACGTGGCAAACTTGTCCTCAAACATTTGCTTTCTTCAGATTATTCTGCTTATATCATAATCCAAAAATACCAGACCTCGAAAAGAGGCGTCGAATTGCCCCCGTATTCTCTCCCGTCTTCTTTCCTTTCTTTTTCCCTTTCGCTTTCACAAGAAGTGAAACCCGGGCGGCTTCTTCGAAAACCTCAGAAACACCTTCATTAGTCAGGGCAGAGCATTCTAAATACTTGTACGCTTCTATCTTCCTTCGAACTTCTTCGCCCTATCCAACAGTCAATAGAGCCCTTAACGGCACGATGTAAGACGCAATACCTCTTCATAAGCCACTAGTTTTTGACCAGTTCTCCTAAGATCTTCGATAGTCTTGGGGCCTTTACGAAGATCTTTCCTCAACCCGACAAGAATGATTGGCAAGCCCGGGCAGTAATGTTGCACCTCGCTGATCCACTGCGATGAGTCAGTTGATGTTGAGTATTACATGATAGTTGAAGATACCTTTTCCTGTACATTGCTAAGGGAATCGGGGTTGTCTATGGCAAAACATATCAAAATGACATGTGTATCTGGATACGAGAGAGGTCGTAGTTGGTCCCAAACTTCAACTCCAGAAGTATCCCACAACCCAAGCTCGACACGCTCTCCATCTACCGTAACATCTACGAAGTCGTTGTCAAAAATTGTTACCTGGGAATCCTTACTAAGTCAGTGAGAAGGTCAATAGATGGACTAAAGGTGCTGTCTAACCAAAGGGAATATTCCTTTCGCAGAGACACTATTTAAGTCAGTTTCGAATAAACCAGATTTACTAATTCGAAATCACTCACAGTATTAGAGACGACCTTCCGCAATAACTATCACCTACTAGTACAATCTTTCTGCGGATTTCGGCGCGACCTGATGTGGAGGTCAACGGATGAGGTGACGAAACTGTCACCAAGTCTCTGCCATCGCGGTCGCCCGTCTCCTCCATAACTTGTCCCTTTTGGGCAATAGCCGTAGCTTCGTGATGAGAAAATGAAGAAGGGTCAAATTCTAACTGATCTTTCGCGGGTTCAATATGGTTATCTATACTGGATAGGTCGACTTCTAGCATAGCGGGATCCTCGATTGGTTGTGCAGGAACGTTTACCCTCATTGGAATTTCAAGTGGATTCGGAATTGACTGAAGACTTTTTGTCCATGAAGCAGCCTTGGGCAATAATGAAATGGTTGAATGACTAGCTTGTGTCGATGTCGAACTGACAAATTTACGAAAAGGGTCGTGTTATTCGTTTTCATTCCTACTTGCTACTAAGCCAACACTTTTTGACCGAGAATGGCCAAGGGATATGGCCGGAGAATCTGATGGCACAATCGAAGACGTTGGCTGATTGGACGACAAATCTAAAGCCGACGTTGATGATGAAAAAGTTAAGTCTAACGAGGGAGAAATGTTAGCACGGGAAAATTCCAAGGACATTGAAATATACCTGACGTCAAGCCCATTGAAGGAGGTTCATTAATATACTTCCTGTGAAGCTTCGGCGATATTGAATTTTCGGCAACGGATGTTGAGGCTGCTTCTGAGGTAATTTCTTCAGTGGAAGTGAATGGAAGAGGAGGCAAGTCAGCCAAGGAATCAGATACATGCTCAGAAGGCAGATATGTGCTATCATCTTCGAGCAACTGGATTATGCCCTCCAGAATACCAGACTTTTGAGCTGCCGTTATATCTTCCTGGATAGCTTTATTTAGAGGCTGTTCTGCATCTGAGATATTTGTTTGTCGCTTCTTTGGGTGATGATTTATTTGTTGCGGACCAACTGGCGAGTTCGGTGCTCGAGTAGAAGAACTCGGGCGCTGTGCATTTGATTGGGTAGCACCTGATGAATTCAGCTCTGACGTATTTAGCAACAAAAAGTCTGAGAGAACCGCTGCGTATGCGTCTTCCTCGCTATAGTTGCCATCAATGTGGTAGACACGTACTAGAGCCTTTAAAGAGCTCTCCACCCCTGGCACTCCATTTGAACCCATCTTCCGGTATCCCTTGAGAGCTCGTCTCCCGTAAAGGAGTGCCTCGGCATAGGACTTCTTATAGATAAGAACATCAACCAAGGTGAGCAAGTCCATGAGAACTCCGCCACTATCGCGAGAATTATCTCGCGATTCGTTAGAAATTTTCTCCAGTAGCAGAGACTGTGCCTCGTCCCACTTTTCTTGAGCCAAATAGACACTCAGAAGGAATTCCATGATTTCATCCTCTGATATTGGAATGTGATGTAAATGTGTTATTGACACGTTTGACGAGATTCTGGCGAGACAGTTGCGGAAAAGGCGTTCTGCAGACCCAAAATCCTTTTCTCGAAATTTCTCTTTGCCTTGTTTCATAAGTGCTTGAAATTTTTCAACTTTAAAATCAGTGTCAGAGTCGGATTGTTCAGATCCTGCGCTCTCTCCGACTGATTGAAGGTTGCCCGACACGAGATTTCGCCGCTTGAACGCAGATTCTGCTACGTTTTCCTCTTCAAATTTATAGACGGTGTTTGGTGATATCCACCTAAGCATTGTTTCTCCTAGCTCGGATGGAAAACAGTCACCGAATTCAGACCCATAGGTTACTGAGATGCTTCCGCATGTTCCAATCCTAGCGGGGTCGATGCTAAAGAAACAACACTGGCAGCGGATTGAACACAATTCCTTAAATTATTTAATGCTAAGAGCTGGGTGCCACTCGCGTTCGATTCGACGACATTTTGCAAGCTGCTCATGCGGTTATTGATATCCAGAGCTATACGCCGGATGGCTTGATTCAGTTCCTCTAGATTAGGCAGGATCTTGTCAGTTGACTCTTGGAAAGTAACCTGGTTCCAGCTAGTCGCGTTATAGTCTTGTTTCGAGGAGTGGACACTGAAACGACTCACAGCATCACTGTTTGCAAAGACAGTTGCAAGGTGTCCCGATACGATCGAACCTGTAGCTGGAAGATTCCAATCTCCTCTGACGCTCCCTTGAGTCTAAGATGCTTTCGTGTTCCATCAAGTACACTGACGCTCTTATTTACTTTCTCGAGAGTTTCCTGGAGCCGGACGAGCGTATTTTGACCATCATTGATTGATATTGAGAGGTTGTTCCAGTGATTACCAATATGGCCTGTAGCTTGGAAAGAGGTTTGAATACGTTCTTGTCCGAAAGTACCTTTCATCAGGCGCAAGACTTGCGTAAAGCTCTCAACATCAGTGAGTAATCCCTGGACCTTGGCGTCCGCAATATTAGCGCCATCGTAGAAGTCTTTAAGAGCCGAGCCGACTTTGACGCATATACTCAACAATCCTAGAACACCTGCAGTTATAGATAAAGGATCAGCCATTCCGTTTGCCACCACCAACTAGATGTTCAAATGGCGCTCCTAATCTCGCACTACCTATGAGGCTGGTCCTCGGCAACAAAGTGTTACACTCGCACGGGGCTGGATTGACCTGTATGAGGGTTCTGAAGTACCAGTCCTAAAGAGCGACTATACAAGTCAATGTATCTATGATTAGCATCAAAATGATGCTTGCAATCATCGAATACGTTGAAGTCTCGAACTTGCTATTGCATTGACGTTCATTTATTCAGCCTCACAAGGCTGACCCGCTAGGCCGATGTTTCTCCGACAGGAGCAAGCCATGTACCAGGGGGTCGCATCATTGACGGAACACCCGGATTTTAGCCGGATGTAAACAAACTCCGATTTCAGCTCTTAGTTGTAAACAACCTACTATTATATATCTTCTATAATACAATGTCGCCTCAAACTCGAGCTCAGTATTACCGTGAAACTACTCTCCATCGATCGACTCAAAGGAGGGAATTCGACACTCCCAAAAAAACGTTTCTCCAGCTATTCGCCATACTCGGAAAAGGTCACAGAATCTCGGGCCACGGTTCCAAGTCTCCAAAAAGCAGTGCAAAGATCTCGTCACCCCCGAAACGAATCCTATAAGAGATCAACAGTACGAGGCTCAAATTGCGCACTTCTATTTACGAAACTCGAATACAGGAAAGCTTATTTCTACTGATACACTTCGTCGTGGGCTCCGAAGGTATACAAAAAACGCAAAATGGTACAAACAAGCCTACGTTTCAAAAGAGCTTTCTCAAGCCAATTTAAGAGCCCGGGAGGAATACGGTCAAAAGTACTGAGATAAACCAATTGAATTCTGGATTACGAATATCTATATAGATGAGGCACATATTGATCCGTCTTCACAAGCTCAAGGCTCTATTTTACGTGAAGAAGGGACATGTACAATTGGAAATAAGGTAGGATGTCATCTCAGCCTCGCTTAGAATTCTGATTGCACGGGTTTAAGCTATGGCGCATTTCTGCAGCAGCAAGTTTTAGAATTCGGTGAGACGATGTTCAGCTGAGGCAACTCTGCGCAGCCACAGCGCTAATTGATCCCCCTTCCGACAACTACAAAATGAGAGCATTCGCCCTGGCGGAAAATAACGAAAGTCAGAATACGATCCCTATTTCGTATGAGAATCAGATAATACATATAAATTGTTGTCATGGCGAGCGATATTCGACGGGTAGTGTCTCTGGAAACGCACCTTCCAGCACCTCAGCACCTGCTGATACATTTTGCATCTGTTCGCCTTCTCTTGGAGCCTTATATGTCGTATTTTCAGTCGCGGCTCATCTGGTCCCTTCGGTTTTACCTACTTAGTGTCCATTCGCCCGTCTCGATGGCCAACTGGCCGCTATATTCTCATGTACTTCCAATGATTGCGGTCGGTGCAAAGCCTTTTTGGAGTCGCCTCTTGTGGAGAAAAACTCGCCAGAACATGAAAGCGGCGATTAAAGAAACTCTCGATAGATTTATTTCCCTCGTTTTATGGCTTGGGTTTATCTTAGCTCTTCACCATAATTCATCACCGCTGGTTTCAATTCGAATCAATCACTTGATACACTACATTTATCAATCTACGATGATTTCTTGGGGCATCAAGCTCTTCCTGGCATCAACGTTCGGTAGCAGGCTCGCCAACGGGGCATTTGGATCTGCTTTGAGGCAGTTTCGTCATGTATCTCGTGTAATAACATCCATGCTAAAATTGTTTTTCGCGGACATGCTCTGGTCAATTGGCGGAGACTTCGGTCGGCTCATTATAAAGGCAGCCAAGAATGCGGCACTGCTTCATTTCAAAATGTATCTCCTGGAGACAGTCGGCAATTATCTTTCTATGCAAACTCAAGAGGCCAATCTTTTCACAGAGAAAGATTGGAGGACTTGGCTGGGTGTAGAATTTGCCATTTTTCTAAACTACTACAGCTACCGCAGCTACCAGGAAAGGAAGAAATTGGATGAGTCCAAACCGCATGATGACACAATTCAAAATCCACTGGAAGAATTTGAATACACATCTCTACCAGCTGGGGAGGATACTATTCGGTTACTTCTCATCTATCCAAGACCTCCAGAAGCTCCACTTAAATGTGCGCTCTTTCAAAGGAAACTATTATCTCCACTGTGTTACGAGGCCATATCATACTGCTGGGGGAGCTCAAAGGAAAAATCTGAAATGATAGTGAACGGCAGAAGTCTCAAGGTTCCCTCCAATGCATTGGAGGTCCTGAAGAATCGAAGTTCGTTCTGGGAGCCAAAATTAGTCTGGATGGACTCTGTCTGCATTAACCAAAGCGACAATGACGAAGCCAGGGCTGAAAAGGGCCGTCAAATTGCCCTCATGAAAACAATTTATGGAAAAGCATCAACAGTGTCTGTTGAACTTTTAGGAACTCCGAATGAAGACGTCATCGTGGCCGCACTGTCTCATGCTGCGAATGAATTCAAAATCTTGAAAGATCGAATTAACTGGACATGGACAACAGACAGAAACTTACAGGAATACAAGAAAGCTCTTTTCAAAAAGATTATGGCAACAATTGCCGTGGACGTCTTGGAGGAGCTTCACCTACCTTATTACAGCGGAGAGGACTCGCTGCCCGAACTGTACAAGAAATTTGCTCCGCAGCGCCTTTCATGGCGTTTCGAAATCTTTCGTCAATTTCTATCAAACCCATGGTTCGAACGCATGTGGGTCGTCCAAGAAGCCGCACTCGCTCGCTCGATTCGAGTTCGGTACGAAGGAATTGACATTCAGTGGGGGCATCTTCTTACCCTCTTCGAATTACTACACACCAAGCATTCAACTCTTGGCGGTCTTCTTATGGACGGGCTCATCATCAGTCCGGAGGGGAAAGTTAGCACAAATTCTCCCCGGCCCATTGCATCCGCCACTTTTGAGTCAATGGCAGAGATCCGGAGAAAGGTGCAAAGTGGCGAAGAGCGTCCGCTCGCAGAGATGCTCATGCATTGTCGCCGGTTCAAGGCTACGTACGACAAAGACAAGATCTTCGCGATTCACAGCATTTGCTCTCGACTACCAGAACATCTACTCAGTCCTGATTACAGTGAAGCTACGACTGACGAAATGGTATTCATCAATGTAGCTGAGTGCCTAGTTGATGAGGGCCATGTGGCTAGGATGCTGGCGGTGGCTGGAACCCCATATACTCCAGATAACGGCCTAGAGAGCTCAGGCTCTAATGCCGACACTTCAAAATTTGGTTCAGAAGACTCAGACTCCAGCTCAAAACTTTCAGAATCCAATAAAACTGGTTTAAAACCTGGGCCAAGTGATTCAAAGGCCAAGAAAGATATGGAACTTCCATCTTGGGTTCCTGACTGGACAAGGGTGCCTGCAGCTCAGCAACTATCATTTGTTCATGAATCTCTCAATTTCCGAGCTGGTGGATTGCGACAAATGAAAGCCAAAGTTCATATGGAAACATTACAGCTTAACGACGGCTATGCATTTGACACGATTGCAGAACTTTGTGGTGTTTGGGAATACACAACAGTATTGGATCAAGTGTGGGAACAGTCAGCAATCGACAAATGCATGGACGCAGTGTCGTCTTCCATTGATAAGCTGCTTGAATCTCCACGGGCAAAGTATCAATACCCGGACAGAATAGGAAACAATTCGTTGCGTGCAGCTCTTTGGAGAACGGCGGTTGGGAACCGGGTCTTTACTGCCAACGGCAGTCCTGCCCCGTCTCATCTTTCCGACGGATTCGATCAATTGAGGGCATTTTTGAAGCGCTTGGAAGAGAGACCGTCAGATATGATGATGCCCGAAGAAGAAGAGACCATGTATATGTCTTCCATGATGGTGCTCTTGCGTGGGGCGCTCAAGTGTTGGGGAGGGAGGAGGTTGTGCATCACCAATCAGGGTTTTGTTGGAGCAGTTCCTCCATCGTCGGAACTAGGAGATGATATTGTGGTTTTTGCTGGAATGCAAACTCCTTCCGTGCTCCGACGCGCTGGTTCGAAGCAGCATCGATATATTGGTGAGTGTTACGTACATGGGATTATGAATGGTGAGATGTTGGGTGCGGAGGGCTGCGGAGGACATTTTGAGATAGTTTAGCTACTGAATCGAACTGAATGTAATTGGAAACTACACAAAGAAAATGGAGAAAGAATCTAGGATAAAAATATAAAATCACCCTGACTTAGGTGTGCTCAAGCCCTGCTCAGGCTCTGCTCGGGCACTACTCAGGCATGCTCAGGCCCCTCGGCTCAGGTATACTGACCCTCAGCTCAGGTTAAAGCAGCAGCTACTCACGTCCAGAGACTAAAACGGAACCGGCAAGGATGAGATTAGAGTCTGATTTTCTTAGCAGTTCATTAATTCGAGTATTAATGCTTACGTTTCGACTTATTGATGGAACCCGGCCAATTAATCAAAACATTAAACCAAAAAAATCGGTGAATCTCTACCCGCCGTTCTCCTATTTTACTTCCCCTATTGAATTATCAGCTCTCGGTTTTCTTTCCAGGTTGTACCAAGTCAAAATTACTACATTCCCCATTTAAATCATGCTACGGAGCAGCCCAAACCTTGGTGTTGAATCTCATGTAGTCTTGGAATTCATACTTGTCATAAAACAAAACTAAACGCATGCTTCTCATAGCAATCATCATATAACTCTTTATAATATTATTTGCCTTGTACGCAGTTACAAGTCGTGAAAATCCGGCGCCAACGTGAATTATTTTAATCTTGTGTTGTTGCGAGTGGAATCACGTGTGTGGCACATATTCCAGGTTTACTCTTGAAGTTATAATGGCTGATGGTTTGTTTTCTCACTGGCGGTATCTCTTTCCCATCAATCGTGCTGGAACAATCATATGTATTAAAAGAATGCTTTTCTATACCTGTGAGCTGTGTTGAATATTTATATTTTGCCCCTCTACGTAGGAGCGGAGGAATATCATCCCCATGAGCTCGGGGTCAATGAGAGCACTCCTTGTCCTACCTTTTTGGTCTCTTGGCAACGTATGCATGTAGTGTACTACAGTCATGTCGTCGTTGAAACTCTGATGATAGACTAACTAAATGCAAACCTCGTGGCGTACATCGCTTTACTAACACGACATGCACGCGTGAAGGTGTTGTACCTAGGATAGCTCCTGTTTGGCTCTCGTGTTTATAGTTAATTTCTTTAATATTTATGGAAATTTGATGCAATACAAAATTACTACGAATCTTTGCCTATTCCCGTCTAAGCTCACTGATACAATTATTCTAGAAAATATAATTACATGTAGAACTTGAACGTTGGGACGTGCGGTCTTACGCCATTGGTCGGATGATCTCTCAGTTGTCAGGGTTCCTCAACAAACGTCACACCACCAACTCTTAATTCCCTTTATTCCCTTTGCACTTTCAAACTCTCACCTATCTCCAACTTCTACTCCTAACGAGATGAGGAGGAGGCGCGGAAGCTGTGTCCTTGGACTTTATGAAGCAGATATCAAGCAGGCGCAGAAAAAACGCATAGCAAATGCTCCCCAGCCGCTACCACAACAGCGAGCGAGGTCCTTGACTCTTCCTCTTCCTGCCTTGCCTGACAAAGAAAAGCCAAGTCAATCATGGAATCTATTGACGAAGATCAAATTTAACAAACTGAAGGGCGTCCTCTTCACACCCGCCCCTCAGCAAACATCTGATCAATTCCAGTCATCACTTCTTTCACGGCTGCCCCTTGAAATCCGTCAACTCATCTGGGCTGGGGTCTTAGGCGGAAACTTGCTTCACATTTGTCGCGCACGCAAGAAACTTCTGGCCGTTAGCTGTGCCGAAAACCCTGAGATACTCGAGCTGGAAACCGCCCAACATAACTGTTGGGTGTCTCTCTCGTGCGACTCGCAGGGGCATCCAAAGCTGTGTGATGCAAGCGGGGCCTACCGTTCATGTCAATCTCAACATCTCGCAAAGGCGGCAAACCTCCTCCCTCTACTCCAAACGTGTCGGCGTATCTACACGGAGGCGATATCTATACTCTATGCGGGCAATATCTTCGATATCAACCACGTTGATATAGTCCTATACCTCTAGCGGTCTGTCCTGCCCCGACGCCGGAACCAGATTCGGACCATGAGCCTTAATTGGCACTTCAGGTGCAACACGGCCAGCAACCCACATCCCTATGACCTAGCCACCTGGAGTAAGGCCTGTGATGTCCTCGCAAGCTTCGCGGAGTTGCAAGATCTCTGGGTTCATCTAATTGGGAACTATGTCACGCCAGGCCTATATCGAAAGGAGCAATGGGGACCACTGCTAGATGCACTATCTCGGATCAAGACCACGAAAACGTTCGATGTTATTCTACACTGGTCAGAGGAGGAGTGTGTAGAAGCAGAAGCAGCGAAAGAAGGAGGGTACTCGTTTAGGTTGGTGCCGAAGTTAGAGCCGTTAGATGGACACTCTAAGGAAACTCTTATGATTATAAAATGATATTTAGTCCACGGTCCACGGAGCTGCAAGCAATACTTTGGTTTTTATGCGTTGAGGACTTTACATACAAAGCTCAGAATATAATATTTTCTCGTCTGGGGTCGTTGAAAAGGTGTCAACTGAAGAAAAATGTGTATATAGCAATTCTATCGAAAGTGTAACTTTCTTCTTGAGCCAGAATCTTCAGTGATGAAGAAAGCGAGCCCCTTTTGTAGACCCTCAAGTCGTCGCGTAAAACAGCGGCCAAACCTGCTGGATCCGACGGCAATCGCACTTGAACATTGCGTTTGCTTGCAAATCATCTTCCTTTTCATTACAAGATTAACCTGTACAGTCTCAATTTCGATTAGCTTTGCTTATATGTGCAACGAGTCATATAATATTCATCAAAATACTTGGGGTGATGGCAATATTCGGAATCTACCTGGCTCGGTCTAAGTTCCATTTAATATGTCATGGTAGGCATTGGCGTTTATTAATGAAACTAGGCAAACTGAGATGAAGAAAAATATTTTCGATTACAAAATTGGTTTTGGCAGTGGCAACACAGTTTACACATGAAAAAAGTTAAATGCACTTTACGTCTTTAACTATTGGTAATTTGATTGCGGATTGATGCTTACCAACCGCTGCAGAGAATGGCTTCTATATTAGAAGGGTATAGTAAAGCTGTACAAATAACGTTAGTTCGGCATACTAATAATTTATTCCAGGCGATTTACTTTTGCTGTGAAATCGACTGACGTTGGTAAATAAAGCGACAGTTGTATGAGATTCTAGGTAAATGAAAACAACTACTACCTTCTCTCAACAGCCTCGATTTTGTGCAAGACTCCCTTCATTAAATTCCTCCACCCCATATAAGTAGTTATGGAAAATTTCACCTTCTAAATATAGAATATATATCTGCAGCCGTGCCCCAAAATCCAACTTACTATGGGTAGCTAGGCTATCCAAAACACGCAGGTATCACTCAGGATACTGTCTACACTCCTTAGCCTCTATCTATTTGGTCACTACGCAATACTCAGGTCATTCTTTCCATACCGACTAGTTGTAGATATAACTTAATATACTGGATAGGTGAGCCGGTAGCAAGGAGCGATGTCAAAATAGTACATGCCCTTCAACAAGATGCTAGTCATGGGCCAAATTATGTAGCGCGGAGGACGTATAATCGTTGGAAGCGGGAAGTTCTTGAGAGGATAAAACGCTAGGATCAAGACACAAGACGAGCTTGATGAACTCTTCTACTTCTACACGCCCATTTTAGACAGCTTGGATCTTCCTATTCATGGTCATGATGGTTCATATTCTATCAAACGATGTTTGTCGTTGGAACATAAAGTTTCAGCCGAGATATTTTTGGTTTGATATAGTCGATGGCCATCATGTATGATTGGGGGAGAGAACCCACGGGGTCGTTGGCACAGAATTCCACGACTTCGGAGACGCTGGCGCTGTTTGGCGCAATTACTTAGGTAGCATCAATCTAGACGTCTAAGGGAGGAGTGTCCCTTCACCTGACTGATTTACTTAGGCCCAAAATATACTTTGATGGAAAGGCCAGATTTCAAAAATTCAAAAAGTAAAGACAGGGCGGAAGTAAGATGTCTATAATCTTGCTTGATGTAAAGCTTCCTTGTCTGTATTAAAGAACACTCCAGAGAAGTGGCCGAACTAGGTTAAATCAAGACTAGGAACTTTATCACTCCGCTGATAAAGCAGTTGTGGTGCCGATTCCTGATCCAGGGGGTGAAGCACCGGCCAGCATGCTTCCCAAGAGCTGTGCTGCTATTTTGGGTGGAAGTCTCATTGATTGAGATTCCATTGGCTTTATTTTCGTCGTCAGTGTTTCCATATATGCACTTTGGTTAATTGCCACCATATTAATTAGCTGCCCGTAAAATTGTTGTATTGATGTTCTTATATTTTCGAACTCCAACTTAAGTGACTTAGTCACTGGCAGAGGGTCTTGTAGTAGATACTGGATGTCAACCATGATTATGACAGAATTGATCGTATATTTTCAAGATCGAATTGGGAGTCTACTCTGGAGGTTAAAGCTTAACAATAAATTGAAATCTGAAAGCACCGGAGAATAGCAACCAAGATCAGGGTGCGATTCTAATCGAATATCTCACCTATATCGTAGAAGGTTCTGTCCAAAACATACTGTTGCGCACCTGCATTTTATCGATCCGTTTAGTAAATTCAGCAAATATCACACTGGCACATACCACAAAATCTGCAACGCTATGCAATGCAATGTAGTATAGATGGTGTGTATGCAGGTGGTAACTGCATAGGGTGGGGACATGGGTCACAGTCCCTGAAAGCTGCATCGGTCACGTATAGCGATGACGTTTGGTTTGGTTATTAGAAGGGATCTGTCTTGTTGCTTTAGACTGCTAGTGATAAAACTGTGACCGATCTTACTGCCATGAAGAGGAAGGAATATAGTCGCCAATATGACTTAAACAGGCCACAGGAATGTTGAAACAAGATGCCAACTGAAGGAATCGACGATGGCAACAGGGATTCGCCCCCCCAACGGGGGGAGCTAATGCACGGGGCGGACCCGCAATCGATTTTAACGAGCGCCACCACGCGCCGCAGACAAGGCTGCTAGATGCAACCGAGATCGGTCTTGAGATTAGAAATAAAAATATCGTTAAGATATGCCTTGCATTATCTAGAAATCTGGATGGATAGGAGATAGGATAAAATTCTTAGGAAGAAAATAAAATTAGATAGTGGAAGTTCTTCTTGGATGGCCCCTGTTGTGGACGTGGCTGCCTCGCTGCCTTATCCGTGGACTGACATTCCCTCGGAGCAAACAACTCTCCTCCATGGAATTGGTTAGGTACTTCAGGTTATGGCTCCATGAGATTATTTTTCTTCCTCTCCTCCAAGAAGCTACCATTTCTTTACCATCGCTTCAGCGTAGTTGCGTGTTATATATTGCCATAATCCAGGTGCAAAAATCGCATTCCATATTTCCCATCAACAAGGTCAAGGTCAACCACTAGCAAACCTTCTTCGTCACTTAACAATATCTCAACATGCCGCTCCGCCATGAGCTTCACAGTCAGCTCTTTACGCGGCCTCCCGTCCCTACCGCCGATTTCTCGGGAAAAACTATCATTGTAACTGGCTCCAACGTCGGCCTCGGTAAAGAAGCGGTCCAACACTTCCTCAGATTAAAAGCCTCAAAAGTCATCATGGCTGTGCGGTCCGTCAGGAAAGGCGAGGATGCCAAAATAGAAATCACGAAGAATTACAAGACCGCTGCTTCGGCCCTCGAAGTCTGGCCTCTTGATTACTCTAACTATGCATCTTGCCAAGACTTCGCTGCTAAAGTCGCAACGCTTGGCCGCGTTGATGCGGTAGTTCTGAATGCTGGCATTGCCACGGAGGAATGGGAGTTGTTTGAGGGCCATGAGAGTCAGGTTACGGTTAATGTTATCAGCACTACGCTCTTAATGCTTCTTATTCTGCCAACATTATACGCTACGGCTGAGAAGTATCCGAGCGTTACGCCTGTTCTTACAGTTGTTGGATCGGGCGTACATGCATATACTAAGTTTCCGGAGCGTGAGAATCCTAAAATTTTCGACTCTATGGATGACAAGAAAATTTCCCGGATGGGTGATCGGTAAGCCTAGGATTCTCCTTGTTCCGCTCTTGGGCCTTCCTCCTGGGGGTTAATTCATTTGTGGAAAAAGTCGCTAATTTACATGCTACATAGTTACCAAGTTACTAAATTGATGTCTCTCTTTGCCGTCCGAGAAGTTGCCGAGAAGACCGCCAGTAAGCGCCCATTCGTCATCATCAACACTGTCAATCCCGGTCTCTGCTACACTGAACTTAATCGCAGCGCAGTTGGCGGCACAGCAGTAGCAATGGGTGTGATGAAAGCAATGATGGCGTGGACGGCAGAGGAGGGCGGTCGCACTTTGGTCTTTGCTAGTGTTGCCGGACAAGAATCGCATGGTGTATTCATTAGCGGTAGCAAAATCCCCAAGTGAGAAGCTATTAATACGTGATACCGGAGCTGGTAACTAACTTCCATATAGCACAGGCCAATCAAAATTCGTCACCAGCGCAGAGGGAAAAAGGACGCAGAAGAAGATGTGGGGCGAACTTGCTGAGATTCTTGAGAGGATTCAACCAGGTATCTCTGCGATTTGAATTTCAACAGGGTTGTAAGGGCTTGTTAGGTTTAACTCTGAGTTTGGAACGGACTTTGAGCGAGATTGTAGAATAGACTGATCGACAATTGATAGCTTCCTGGGCCCTTTAATTAGATGAGGTTTTACTTGGATACTTCCCTATTGGAGGAGGTTAGATGACATCCGATTTAAAATGCACAGATCTAAGTCTTGCAAAGCAGACAAAGAATTGTATTATCGAGGTTATTCCTCGAAAGAACCTCGAAATACTTCAGTATACCCAAAAGTTCAATTCATTGCCAAGGATGACGTTTAAGAATATCCATTCCATTGCTGTGCTTCTAAATGTTGGTAATGCCACCAAGGTAGAACGTATAAAAGTGCAGATTAGCAAACCGGAGATAATTCCCAGGAATTGAAGCGTTTTTAACTGTGCCATATTGGATCCTGAAGGACTCCTAAGTGGTTATCATTATTACCTTTAATATAAACGGTGATAACGCCATCGAGAAAACAAATCGTGCAAACAGCATCCTTGATTCTTCAGTACAGAATAACAGATGTGATAGATGTCTTCACTATCTATCTGGGAAATAAGATAGAGACCGAATTGTCATGGAATACTATTAAGCTTTTCAACTTGTCTAGGTAGTCTCAGACGGAATTTGACCGCCATGCTTCCAGCGCGGCTAGTCAGCGTCGCCGCTCGGCTCAGGATCTAATCACCCTCGCCACGGAGTCGCCTCACCCTACCCTCAGGATCCTCAGCCCCCTCCCTTATCTGCCTTGCAGTGGCCAATCATCCTTCGCTTTATCTTTTGGTTCTGGTCTTCAACATATGTCACACGACCCCATCGGTGAGGCCAAGCCGGCCGAGAGGAAGTCCAAATATGATTCCCCAAAAATATATCCTTAGGTCTCTCTCAAGGCAATTCCTATTACGACATAGCGCGGCCTTCGGTCCCTCCTAATAACCATATAATATCGCGGCTTTCGGGTTTCTTTCGGCTTCTGGCCATTCGTCCCTTCTAGCGCTAGACTACATGAGTGCTTCCATCTTGTTAGAGGTTGAAGATATATGCAAGCCCGAGATCTAGAGAAAGAAATTCTATAAAATATAAGGAAGGAGGAGGTCCTAGTTATAGCGGTCAGGTACATATAATGTACATTGCAAGCGAGCCGGCCATCCAAATAGCCCTGCCACCTATAACGCGTAGATTAACTTGTAACTAACCATAAATTAACTACAACCTAACAGTTCGACTTATTAGAAGGGTATAATCTAGCTAGCTCCCAATGCTATTTGATCTAGCCAATTTTACCTATACGCGCTGCTATACGCCTCCATAATATACTTCGAAGGATGTTATTAACTTGCTTGAATGGTAATGTCGCACAAGAGGATTATTGGCTGGCTAGTTACAAATTGGCCGAGGGACTGGCCCGACTGGGTTTGACTGTTTGAAATAGGCTGAGCGGATGGTTGTAGAAACCAAAGTATCAGCTAGCCAACAGTAGAAGAGATCAGAGTCTTAATCAGGATAAATGATCAAAATATATACATGGGGTAGGCTTGATTTAGGTTTTGTGGGGTAAAAGGATAAAAAGCTTCACGTATGTCCCACCGTCCCACCTAATCAATTCGGTCCAATTGCAGGGGTTTTTGCGTGGCAAAACGCCGTGCCAGTGGTTTCTATAGGTCCCATATTACAATTAATTAGGAGGTGGGAGGAGATACATGAAATAGACTTGATTTAGGGTTTGTGGGGTAAAAGGGGATAATAGCCGATTCAAATTGTTGACTTCACTCATAGGTACACCGAACGCTGTAAAGGATGGCCAATACTAGGGTGAGTGGGCGGCAGATTTTTGATAGGGTGCATCGCGACGTGGTATCGCGACAGGCATCGATGTCTCTTCCATCGATATTAACAATATACTGAATTGTTCCCATGACTCGGCATTTTTATTGCCATGGTACAACGGCAGTTAGGCAGAAAGGTGCGACGAGATGGTGACTTCTCCGATGAGTGACTTTGATTTTCTTTAAAAGAATGTGCACCCCCTGGCCCCAATCTGGTGCGCCATCTGCTCAGCATCCATTCCATTCCTGCGATATCGAGTTCCCTCACGATGCTTTTGCCTACTCTCCTCGCCTTCACGGCGCTCGCTGAAGCGGTGCCCCAATTCGGGGGTGCCGGTGGCCTCACTATGCTGCGATTTGGATGCACTCAAGTCGTTATCGATCGACTTGACCCTCTTGTCAACCCAGGCCAAGTTCCTTCACCCCACGTCCATCAGATTGTGGGAGGAAATGCCTTTAACGCTTCAATGGCGTCAACCGATGTCTCGTCAAGAGCTACTTGCACCACCTGCGAATTCGCTGACAATTTCTCCAACTACTGGACGGCGAACATGTACTTCAAGGCCCGAAACGGCACCTTCAAGCGTATTCCTCAAGGCAGTGCTGCGTACGTGTGACGAGGCTTTCCCTTTTGTATTTCGAGATATTTGAAGGAGTTATACGATGAGCCCTAGAAATCCTGGGAAAAGAGGGAACTGCCAACTCATCCCTAGGACTATATTCAGTATCCACTTTTACAAATACTAACTCTTTTCAGGCTACAATTTAACGACAAGTTCAGCAACCAAATTGGAGGCGGTACACTTGTATACTACGTCTCGGCCCAGCCGGGCCAGATTACTGCTTTCAAGCCAGTAAGTTCAAACTAAAGAGCGATGGCAGTGTATTATCATGATATTAACCTCGTACTCTAGGGGTTCCGCATGCTCGTTGGTGACCCTCTCATGCGTAGCAGACCAGACAAGAAACTGAAGAAGCAAATCTGCTACCGTTGCTACACGGGACCAAACTTCGGAGGCGATAACGCCGCCCCTTGTGCAGACAACACGTTCGTTGCCCACTCCCCGCAGTCTATCGTTTACACCAGCTAATGATAAATATAGACTCGACACTGAGGCTTTCCCCACCAAACCCTGCCTCGGTGGCATCCGTTCTAATATCCATTTCCCCACGTAAGCTTCCTACTACTATTGTCTTTTTCACTTTATCACAGTACTAACCGGAATCTTAGCTGCTGGGATGGCAAGAATCTTGACAGCCCAAATCACCAGGACCATGTTGCCTATCCTACGACGGGTCCCGCTGATTTCCTAAGCTTGGGAGGCGCCTGTCCATCGACCCACCCAGTTAGAATCCCACAGATCATGTTAGAGGTTGTCTGGGATACTACCAAATTTAACGACAAGTCGCAATGGCCCGCGGATGGAAGCCAGCCTTTCGTTCTCAGCACAGGAGATCCGACCGGATTAGGCCAACATGCCGATTACGTTTTTGGATGGAAGGGTGACGCCCTTCAAAAGGCCATGGATACCTCCGGCTGCTTTGGTGCTTCGTGTGCAAACCTCAAGTCACAGGTTATCGACACTGCGAAGAGCTGTGCTGTGAAGCCCGTTGTTCAAGAGAACGTTGAAGGATGTAAGTTGACGCATTATCGAATATTCTATGGAGACATTCTAACCAGTTTATAGGGCTCGATAAGCTTCCAGGAATGGATATGCCAATGTGAGCATAGATAAGACGTGGAGTGGAGTAACGGACCAGATTGTAAACTGGCGATACTCCTAGGCAGAATCGTTCACTAGATTGGCGAATTTCACAAGACGAAGTTCAGGATAGTTTTGAAGAAGTGGTTTCCGAGGGATTATGCAGCTGGAGACTCTGATATTGATGGCCGAGTTCGATTCTTTTAAGTGAAACTAATTAGTTTTCTCTTTATGCAATATATTTGTAGTACTACAACTGAGAGGATAAGCTTGTAAGACTGCACCTCAAAGCGATTGCGCCTAAAGTGTTACTATACCTCAACATACTACAAGAATATGTACATGTTTTATCTATACTTTAAGCCAAAGCAGCCTCAGTTGCATTACTGTAAATAGTCAACAACTTTCCTCTGATAACGTTGAATTGGTCTGGGCTAGTATAGCTATGTTTAAATTGTTAATTATGTGCGGCTAGAGCCACCCGACCAGAGGTCCAGATTTGGCTATAGTAGGGGTCCCTATATTTAACAGGAGAGCAAGAACGGATACTTTTATTAGCCATCTTGATAGGTTAAAAGAGGTGGATAGTAAGAGCCTTGGCGACCATGTCAGGGACTTGTTTTGACTCTTTGGCCACAATTACTGTCACTAACTAGAATTAGTAGTTTATTCAAAAATTGCTTGGCTGGCCAATAGGTGAACTATAATGATTCTAGGCAATTCTTGCGTTTGGTACTATTCGTTGAAATATTTAGAGAGCTCAAGTCGGTTTGAAAAAGAGTGATTGATTGATTGTAAATTTGTAATACTATAAGGTGGAAGCTGTTTATATATAGGCAAATGGGGCCTGGGTAACTCCGAAAAGTGGTGATATTTCGGCACTTGTATGTGAGACTCATTTCCATATCTCAGCATTCTATCACTATTTACAAGGGAATCGTCATACTAAACTGCCTTTACAACTATCTAGCTTCACAGTTTAACAGTAACTGCGTATATGCCCTGACCAGCCCCAACGTATATCACGTCCTTATCTTTCTCGGTGCGCCCAAATCCACAAGAAGTAGAACCCGTGACTGTTGCGATGGACGTTGGCTTGCCGACGGCAGGGTCGACCTCAACAACAGAATTTCCGCCATTTGTCGCAATATAAATCTTGCCATTTGGCCCGAAACAGAGATCATCGCCCATCAAATTCGTCCAGAGTGTGGTAACGGCTCCAGTGGCCTTGCCAGTCTCGTCCACGGGTATTTTGTGGAAGCTGTTCTTGAAGATATTGGTGTACCAAACCACGCCGTCCTTATATTTGATGCCATCGATGCCAAAGGGGATGCCACCTGTCGGAGCCATCGTTGGATCTGAGAGAGCGACCGAGTAGGCGCCGGTCGAAATAGTAAATCGGAATACGCTGCCTTTCCCGGCGTCGGCGACCAAGACCGTATCGTTGTTCAACACCGCCAACCCGTTCAGATTCGAGGCTTCTGTAATCTGTTTGATAAGTGTTGACTTTGGGGAGCTTCCCGTGAAATCAACTTTGTAGATTCCCTTTCCCCCGATGACGGCAAACACATCTGGCGAGACCTCTCCGATTCCACTTAGTCCAGTGGCTCCAGTGACCGATATGGCTGTTGTTGATGTCTTTGCCACTGGGTCCACAGAGTACAAATTCGCACTGTTCATGTTGGTTGCGAGGATCTGTCCATTTGAACGGACGGCCAAATTTTCAGTTGAGGCGAGTTTGACAACCTGAGTGGCCGCCGTTTGACGAGATTTAATTTCGGCCGCTAAAACGAAGCTCTGGAGGTTCGTAAGGTGGAGAACTAGGGACAGAGCGCCCCAGACAGATGTTGTTTGGACCATGGTAGAATCTGAAGTCGTAGATAATGTTTCGAAAACAATAATTTACGACGGTCTAGACTGGGGAATGAGCGAAATGAGCGTAGAAATACATTTTGTGATTGGGAAGTTAAAATGGATCATTAGCCATAGCGGATCAATTGGAGGTCGTAGAACGGCTGAATTAGTCACTAATAATGCATAAAGGTATTTCCAACTTGGCATTTTGGGTAATCTCGCACAGGAGAGGGGAAAGAAACTCCGATTCTCGTACCCGGGGCTAGAGGGCTATTTGTATACAGTATACGCATGCTGGTACTTCTCACCATTCGAGCGGGCGACTTGGGAGAACTCGAACGCAGATCGCGTCGTACTTAAAGCTACCTTATGTGGGGCACATCATACACAGCGCCTGTAGCTTTAGGTTCCGTAGGCATCGTCTTCGCTGTTCCTTGCTGAGATGTGTGAGAAGAAGGCTGCTTTGACTGTTCTAGAGGGATGAGCTTTATAAATCTCTCCTGTCTGTGCCGCCGTGCGCATGCTTTTTTCTTGCGCCAGTGGGTGACGAAATTCATTGCGCACCCCACGACACCTACCTAGATACATTAGAGCGGTAGGTTGTGGGGCCTTACCCCTATCGGTATCTTGGCCTGTCTCGAGAATGTTTCCCGTCAGGTGATGCGTTTAATTAACGATTTTGTAGCCAAAAAACGAGCATATGAAGGCCGAGCCATTAGGCCGTTAAATCTTTAGAACATCCGTCTAATCGTAGTGGATAATGCATTGGCAAGTTTTTTAACATCTGCGGGTTTGACCTCTGGGCGGACTAAACCCTATAGATTTAGCGAAGGGTAGGGAGATGAAGGGTTGTCCGCTAAACGTACTCCGTACGACGTCGCACGTATATAAAGCACAAGAGAGAAAGAGTTGACTGATGATACCCGTAGGCGCATCCATACGGTCATCTTGTAGGGTCATGGCCACTTTCCATTAGACAAGATACTCGTAAAAATCCCAGGGAGCCCTCACAAAAACTCGTTGCGACATCGCCGCGGATCAGGCTACCGTTTGTCTGAAATGTGATCTTGGTTAGCCTACATGCCCGAGTGACTGCTCAGGAGAGAGTTGCAAGCTCAACGGTCACGTGCCTGGGCAGTACATGTAGCAATGCGGTCAGTTGGGAGCGATAGGAGATGAAGGAGCAGACGTTGTGGTCCAGTTAACCTCCCGCTAGGACTCGCTTACGATTTCCCCCTGATTTGTGGGGCGAATGATCTACTTACAAGGGCGTTCGGGGAGGGGTGTAATAGAAGAGACTAGAGTACGATAGCTGGAGTTGAATAAAGGAGTTGAATAAAGGAGCTGTTTAGATATATGCTACCTGTTGTTAAGGATATTTTAAAAAGCAGGTCATTAACATAGTCATTATATAGTTATTGTTAGAGCGGATCTCCTTATCGAGGCGGCCGGACGGCTGTTATAATACATCGAAACTAAACGGCACAGTCTTATAGAGATACACCCAGAGTCTGATAGGCAAGATAAACACCGCTAGCTACAGACGTGGGCGTAATTATTCCACGCATACGGGGGTATACTAATACAAATGCTAATATCGCCGAGATTGCCCTGGATCACTCATGCGTTCAAATGCTTGCTGTTCGCTTCGATTTCTCGTTAATTCACTTTTCGATGTTTATAAGCTCTACAAATGAAATATTTACTTTCAAATAGTTAAGCTGCATAAAACCTTCCGAGGTCATATATCTATATATATTCCCTCCTTTATACAGTTTCCCACGCCGTACTAGTTATGGAAAAATGGAAGGGAGCCCCAGATTAAGTTTCTAAACAATCACTTTAAATCGTAAGCCGGAATCGCAATCTCTGTTCCAAGGTAAGCGAGGTATAAGAATCATAAATAATAAATCAACTGGAGAAAAATAAAATAAAAAATAATTATAACTTATAAGAATTCAGGTATAAGAAAGAAAGGTATGAGAAGATTATTATCAAACTTTCATTAATCATTGTCTCGATTCAGGGTCCGCCCACTGGCGCCCCATTTAACAAGATTGGAATATTCGCACGGTGCTTTACTCCCATTACTCTCCTTTGGCCTTTAATGTCAGTGATCTATTTAGTCCATTTCCCAGAACACGACTCTGGTGGTCTGGATTCATTCTCAGACCTAAGTTCTAAACGAGTTCCACCAACCTGTAATTTTCAGTGACATTTCTGGTGAAAGTGTGGGTTAAAACTAATTTTAGCCAACGGCCTTCTTGAATTTCATTTCATCTTCTAAGCCGACTTCATCGGTAAAGTCTGGGACTGGAAATCTTGGCAGACGTCTTCCTTCACAATAGTAGATAGCCTCCGATATCCGCGACTGCAGAAGATGGGATATCTTCTATGTCTTTCGAGTATCTCCAAAAGCTGACATCTACATTAGTACCATGCTTAAGCATAAGCGCGAAAAGTTTCTCGATATATGGGCTTTCGTAGTAGTCCCGTTTGAATAGCGAAGAGTGGTTAATGTGAACCCAGTACTGCCAGACCGTGTGGCCTCTCCAGTGTTAATTGGGATCAGCGCCCAGTTCCAGTAAAACTTCCAGACTATTCATGTTTCCGGGATATAAAGCTAGCGGTCTACCTGGAAGAACGTGAACGCAAGCAACGGCGGGCCCGATCCCGATTGGCTTAGCGAACGGTTTGAATCAAATTTTGTACTGAGGTAAAATATGACCTCGTTTAGCACTGCTTCTGTTAGCTGGCTGGTTTTTCACTTTGCTGGTGACTTAATATTTGCCCAGTGCTGGCCTAACCCGTTATGGGGCCCTTGGGTGACATGGGAGGCTACTTTGTCGAATTCGTCAAGCAGAAGCACTCCAGCTTTAGCATTGAGAGGTTGTATAAACCTGGCGTAAAAGGAGATCTTGTCCCAATACAACCAGGTAAACTCAAAAGACACATATTGACATCGTAAGCAACTCCTTTTAAAATTTAGTAGCCATGACATGTCTAAGCATAAGTTAGATTCAAAGCTAGATTGTGTTTGCGCAACAAGCTTTGCCTAGATGGATGGCTGCTCGAGATAATCTTTGATAGTGCGATGAATATAAGACATGGAGGCAGTAAGACGCCCTTTCCGTTCAGGGCCTTTGCAAATTTCCAGCAAACCGTCACAACTAGTTCGTGGTATGGCTTCTATAACCTGGAAAAGCGAGTCAAAATCGTAAATAGGGGCAAACTTATTGCATCCAGAACGTAAGTCCAAGACCCGAACAGGTTCAGTCGAGGCTTTCCGCAAATTTTCGGCCGATGTGCCAAGAGCGCTGGGTAGATCAGCGGTCATGGCGCGATAGTTAACCTCGACACCAACCATCTCCATGTCGTTGCTATAGACGTAAGGTTTAGCAGAACGATAGAGCTGGAGTAGAGATTCTCTCACTCGGTTGGCAAGTCCTGCACCCGCTTCGATATAGTCAGTATGCTGTCTCTTTGCCCAAGTCTCGTCAATATGGGTTTTGCAGTCAGTACTATCCACAACACTACTCCATTAGATTTGTACCGGACTTCCTCAATTAGACCCGGTCCACCGCGGGATTTTCTCTTAATAGATTTACCATTCTCGCACTACTAGAGAGCTTATCTTCAATGTAGTGATAAATATCAACAGACGTTAAGTCCTGTACTCGAAGTTGGTAGTAATTTTGAAACGCGTTTTAGAAGCCGATCCAAAGCCTGCTCGACACACAGAATTTGACATCGGGGAGTTCCCACAGTTTGCAAAAGTATGCTGCTAGATCCTCCTGATCTCCGTCATATTCGTCGAACCTATCAATAAAGAAGCAGAGTCCTTTCTTCCTTTCCGATGCGCAATGAATCAAGCGTTCAAAATAACGCCTAAGCCCCGAGAGTGACCAAGAGTCAAGTGTGAGTAGCACACCATGCTTAGTGACATCAATTTTAGCTTCCCACTCTTTGTCGAAGTCAAAAGGGATTATATGGCGTTGGCTTTGCAGAACGTCATACGGTAGTGATCGAAAAATCCCCATTTGCGAACGCTGCTAGAGTACACCGCCGTTCTAGAAGAAAAACGCCGGAGTAAGCAGTATCGCATCTTGCGCCCAACAACTCAGATGCGCTCTGGTCTGAGGTTGATCCGTGATGTATCTCATTAAGGTGGATTTTATAGAACCGGCTTTCCATGGATCTAGTAAGGATTGTGTCTGCGCTCAAGCCGTTGGTTGAAGTCACTCTCAGGCCCGGCTTTGCTAGCACTATCCGCAGATGATTGATCAAAGATCCATTCAAATGTCCTTTCGTATGCTTGCTTTAGTGATAGTTTTGTACCGAAAGTTCATCGTTGGAGAGCGTAGAGCTTCAAGAAAAGAGAGCTCAACCTTTCGTTGAAGGCGAACTGTCTCGTTCTCAAGGGCTCTGCGAGTTTCAGCGTTTTCCTTTTGTATCCTCTCTCTAGTCGCTCGATGCTCCGCTTTCATGCTCTCGTGTAAAAACTTGCCAGTCTCCATCAAAGCGGCAATCATTTTCTTGGCTGCGGCATTTATTTCGTTGAACTCTTTGGCCTGTTCAGTCGACAATTTACCGATTTGTTCTCTGGCGCTCAGTTAGTCCAGAAGTCCATAATCGGCTGACAGGGGAAACTAGAAGGCCATTAAATTTTGGGCTCAACGTGAAGCTGCGCCAATTTACTAGCAATATCCGCTATTTTCTTCTTAGACCACACCTCTTTTAATGCCACATCACCAAGCTTGAGCGTTTCGAGCTGGGAGACAAGCTCTCCGGAAACCCCGACTCAGCTCCGGGGGTGGGGCTAATTAGGGGACGGGCATTAGGGGACGGGCAGGGGAAGGCAGGGGAGGGCAACTGGTGTACAGCGAGCCAGTGGGCTGGTGGGCTAGTGTATATAGTCAGAGGTTGAACCCTCGAAGAAGGGGGCAGAAATTATGATTACTCATGAACCATTGTACAATTGCCTTCACGTCATACGTCAATGTTTACCTGTCGCATCTTTATAATTCGTTAATTGATTCGATAGACAAGTCTTTACAGAGAGTGGTACCACACATCAATTGTTCGGACTAGGAAAGTCTAATATATGCATCTAACGTGCAGTACTAACGACCGTAGTCATATGGTTCAAGTCCCATCTCCCATCTGGTGCAACATCTGGTGCGCCATTTGCGGCAACCCTTGCTATACTCTCGGATTGCACCGTAAACGTGACGTCGCGTTGAATCTCTATAGCCTGCGGCTCTAGACTCTTACCGGAATCACTATCGTTAATGCGCTCCTGACTCTCGGCACCAGGGGCCCTTTTGAATTCTTTCATATCGAAGTCATTGGAGGTAATTCGTGCGCGGCTGTTGGAACGCACCCAAGGTCGATTTCCACTGACATTGGTAACCTTGGCGTGGGAACCCGACAAATTCAGGTGCGGGAAGACCTCGCGAACCAGCGGCCAAACGGCTGGGAGGTTCGTCACGTAGACGGCGACGGAAGCCTCCCGGAAGTACCAGTTCATATAGACGTACGAGATCAACTCGGGTACTAGGCAGTATACTTTCGTCAAGATGGCAGCGACAATGATGAAGCCACCCATACCAAAAATAATGAGGAGGATGGCTTTCTGCTGTATGGGGAGGTGGAGTTGGACCAAGATGGGAATGCCGATGGCAAGGATGGCCATGTCTCCTGGTATGCTCAAGGACCCTTGGACGATTTCAAAATATTGAAAGTTCGAACATTGTGCTGGGAGCGGTGTTAGGAGCCGGTTGATGGATGGGATGGAATGGGATGGGAAAGAACGAACGGTTTGCAGCAGGAACAGCCCAGTATTGCTGTATCGGGCGACACGCGAGGAAAAGGGCGAGTTCGCTGCCAATAAAGCTCAACGCCGTGTAGATGGCTACATAATTTACCCACTTCCTTTGCTCGAGGCCCTCGCTATTTTCAAATCAGTGCTATTCGAAGGGATATCGCGGAGGCACCTACGTTATACTGGCATACAAAACGAGTACGCAGACCTTCGTGCTCCAAATGGCGAGAAGCATGGAGTGTTCGGACACCAAAACCCACTTGCTCCCCGCAATCCTGCTCGCCTTGATCTCTGGTGTCAATGCGGCAATTTCATCGTCGTTCATCAAATTCGAGCCGTCACCGAACTTGATCTGGTTGAAGGCAACACATAAAAGCGTGTACCATATGACGCAATTAACCATTGCATAGTCGTCGATTTTGAGGCCTCGGATACCAAAGCGACGTATTCTAGCAGTGCTGGCTGAAGTTAGTGAGCTGTGCTTTGCCATTGATACAACGGGTGCCAACACCCGTAGACCGCAATTGACTCACTATCGAAGAGCAACAACCAGCATCGCCACGCCGTATAGTGACCATGTTTCCCGGGCAAAGTTCTTCGCATCTTGACTCATGGCTGGTTTGCGGCCAACCTAATGGGCACCAGGCGATCGTGGTTGCTTCAGGGGGGATTCGACTTATCGAAAGCGAGACCAAAGAATCGACCCTACCAACGTGTAGAGTCAAATGAAGTCGATTCCCCAAGTAGGAATACCGTCACCGTATTGATTTATCCTGTATTTCCAACACAACACGAACCTGGAATACATGAAGTGGGCCCGACTTATGGAATATATAAGCCAGAGTGTGATAATAATACTCCCTGCACGTTCCCTAGATCGACCTACTTGGCAAAGTCTCTTCGGAAGATAGGAGCATCTGTGCGTACTTGGGCACTCTTACTATCCTCACGCCACCCATCCAATTCAAACAGTAACTTACTGGCCAATATACGCTCTTCCTCCAATACATTAATAGGTGAGACATTCCTGGGAATATCTATTCCGCTAAAAGTCGACGAGGAGATGCTGCTGCAGGCCCCAAAGTGTCACACCTGGCATTTCATACAGAGTGGCTGTGTGCCCTTACAGGATACCCCCGGGAAGTCGTGTCTAGTGCATAGTAGTAATGCACACCCCAGCATGCTGTAACCTACAGTAGTCACCAAAATCACTTGGTCGTAGTATGGTTTTATTACAGAGTAACACTAGAATTGACTCAAGTCAGTACCAAAATGACCCTGCGCCTTTGCCTATCTAGACACGAATACCAGGGGGTATACGGTCCTCCACCGATACACCAATCGGGGAGACACCCCTAGGAATTGCGCTTTCGCTATAAGGCGCCGAGGAGGTGATGATAATGATGATGTTGCTAATTTACGTCTAGCGGGCCGTAGGCGTAGCCTACAGTCCCGAGACCTCCCAGGAGGTACGGAGACGTGCTAAGCTAGGGAATTAAATACAAAGTATAACTACTTCGTAGACCAGAGAGCATTTCTTGCAATTGCGATTGGCTAGATTAAAGAGGCCTATCATGTGTGCCCTTCCGCGGCTAGTTGGGATGAGAACAGTGGAGAGTGAGAGGGGGCAGGCCCCTGAGGTTTTGCCTCAAGGCAGAGGAGTGTGGTGACCAAGTGCTCTGGGTGTTGTAGGTGCTGTGAAAACACCTGTAGTTTGAAGCTTGTTGGCTAGACAAAGGACAGGATTTGAAAAGATTAACTATTTGGTTCGAAGAGCGCGCCATGTATTCCTAGAGGAAGTTGCAGTTCCAGGAGGGCACCCCGCTGCCCTGGGTGACTGGAGAAAGTAGTGACAGAGGTAGTTGCTATGCATTCGCGGGTACAGATCTTTGAGTAGAACTCTGTGGCCCTAATGAGGTTTGCCAAGTCCTCAGGGACTGCGAGACGGCTGATGTAGGTAAGACCCTCCGCTCTACTCCGAGGTGGTAAGGGGGTCTAGTAAGTATACTTTAGCTATTAGCTAAAGTATTTGGCTGCCTTACAGTAGCGGACTAAATAGCCGGGGGTTTTGGGGATAGGGTCGTATTTGAACCTAGTATCCCTGGACAGCCATCTATCGCCTAGCGCTAAACTGAATTAATCGAAATCGAGTCGATCCTTATTTTGACGCTACAGTAAATGGCCTGTTCAAGTGTTATGTAAGCCTTGTGTAAGCTTCAATTCTAGCATTTCTAGTGGTTGGACCCCACGGGACCGGGCTTGACGCCAGGCCGGTGTCCTCCGTAGTATGGTTTGAGGGCTCTAAGGCTAGCCGGCTTGTATCCCGGTATGCCCTGGGGTCCAGCGGACGCCGACATATTATGTGTCTGTAGTGCCGTGGCAGTTGAGGAAGGCCTCGTCACACCTTGGCATTTTATACAAAGTGGTTGTGTAGTACACTGGCAAAAGGTAAACAAGCCACTGGATCTATACTTCGTACGTGAGATCAATTCGCAAGTGGCCTGACACCTCTGCTACTCCCACCCTCCTGACAGGGGACCTTATTGATCTCTGTCGCCATGTATTAACACGTAGTAATGCCGACACCATGTGTTGATGGATCCAATGTAACGAAACCCTACCATGCAAGGAGCCCCAAATCAACACAATAACACCGCTCTTGTCTTAATCTCCAATTCCGCCTCTTCTTCATCGCCGCACGAACACCTCTCTCCAACTTTGTCGTCTCTAGAACTATTCCCCATCCAACATTATTAATTTGATTGACTCTGGTCTCCGATGGAACTGAGCCAGAAGCAGGACATTGCGGGAGTGGCTGTCCTTGAGACGACTGATTCCTCCCCGCCCGTCGAACAATCAAATGCTGGGTTGATCAATGCCTCTGGCCACGTCCAGGAGCTCCAGCGCAACTTCTCGCTCCTGAGTCTCTGCGCCGTCGCCATCACGACTGGAAATACGTGGGTAGCCATTGGTGGCGGTATCGTAAGTTGTTTGTTGGTGTCGAGAAAGCAATTCTAATCCAACCGCAGGTAATTGCAATCTATAATGGAGGGCCTCCAGGTGTCATTTACGAATTGTCAGTCATTCGAAGCCTCATTGATATGTTGACCCAGGCTAACCAAACCGCAGCATTACGGTGTCCGTCTTTTACTGGCTTGTTGCGATGTCTATTGCTGAGCTGGCTTCTTCCATGCCATCATCTAGTGGAGGTACTTAGCTCCATGATCGGCCGAGTGTACCACGCTAACGATATACTTTAGTTTATCACTGGGCATCTATAACTGCCGGGAAGTATGGGCGTCCTTGTGGCTACTTTGCCGGATGGTGGAATTTCCTGGCCTGGGTCTTTGGAGCCGCGTCCATCTCCTCCATTCTAGCCAATCAAACAGTTTCCATGTACGCCCTCTTCCATCCAGAGTTCGTCGCAAAATCATGGCACGTCTTCATCAGCTATGTCATCTGCACATGGCTGTGTTGTTTCGTCGTTCTGTTTGGGAACAAGGCGCTCCCAGCGGTTGGCAACCTCGGTGGCTTCCTCATCATTGCTGGCGTCCTCGTCGTCATCGTCGTGTGCGCCGTGATGCCAAAAGTCAACGGAGTGGGTTATGCATCAGATGATTTTGTTTGGAGAAATTGGGAAAACCTCACTGGCTATAATCAGAATGGGTTTGTCTTCGTGGCTGGTATGCTCAACGGTGCTTTTGCGGTGGGTTCGCCAGACTGCGTTACCCATCTCGCAGAGGAGATTCCCAAGTAAGTCTTTATACATGGATTCAATACCGCAACATCCAACTAATGTTACCCACAGCCCGAGTCGCAATATCCCCAAGGCTATGTTCGCTCAATACTCCATCGGATTTGTCACAGCGTTGTTCTATCTCATTGCCATCTTATACTCCATCCAAGACCTCGACGAAATCTTCGAACTGACCTCCACCTTCCCGCTGGCCTACATCTACCGTCAAGCGACAGGAAGCAACCCTGGAGCTGTTGGTCTTCTTGTCGTGACCTTCCTGCCCACCTTCATTACCTGCATTGGTTGCTATATTACTGCAGGACGAACCTTCTGGACGCTCTCTCGCGACCACGCCACCCCTTTCAGCCACGTCTTCGCGAAGGTCCACCCAACCTTCCACAACCCTTTCAACGCAACTGTCCTCTGCGGTATCATCTGCACAGTTATGGGCTGCATTTACGTGGGATCTTCAATTGCCTTCAATGCCTTCGTCGGGTCATACATCATCCTGTCGACTCTATCATTCCTTTGCGCCATCCTACCACATCTGCTCAGCCGCCGGCGGAACGTGACACCCGGCTGGTTCTGGATGAATGGGGCTTTTGGGTACATTGTCAACACCATCACCTGCCTATACATCATTGTATTCATTGTGATCTTCTGCATCCCCTACGCGTCTCCGTTCACACTGGACGTCATGAACTGGTCCTCGCTTATCACGGGCGGGTTGACATTATTTGTCGCATGCTGGTGGTTCTGGCGCCAGAGTGAGTACGTGGGCCCAAAGGCGGTGGCGTTGGATGAGAAAGTGCTGGCGAAGGATGCAGCATAGGAGGATGTAGACTCGATTGGATTGTGTATATCCACCCCTTTGTGCAAGCTTCACCGCCTAGAGGTGATAGCAATTTCATAGAATATGTAGCGGGCTGCATGTAGGATAGATAGTTGGCCTAATTAGATAGTTACGAAATAGAAAGAACAGCGACAATGCAGTCATCAAAGGGAGCACCTTTTGCTACGTAAAATTACTCTAAAAATATGTGATAATAGTGAAAGAGAGAAGTAACTGGCCCTGCTGAAAAGGCATGGTGGCGCGTTCTGAGCCATTTTTAACTTCTTAGCAGTGTTTCGATGGCGTACAGATCAAACATAGACTCGGAGCACTGGGGAGCATCCTATTCGTACAATATGACAAACTACGGCGTCCCCTAGGTAGGTCTAGACTCCACCTCTGTCGCTGTCCATGGTCTGTTTGACTATATGGGGCTGGTCTCCGCCGGTGGCTTGGCAGGCTCTCACCCACGAGGTTGTGCATCCTTCGCGGCAATTTCCCAAACATTCAAGCGTGCATTGCTTCCGCATGAACTATGAAGTGCCACTATTTACAATGAATTATTAAAGTGCGGAACTTCAACTAGCTTTTTCACTCCAGCACAATCCGGCATATTCCTTCGAGACGTTTTACTGTGTTCCAATAGCATGTGTATGTCACTTGGCGACATGATATATTTGCCCAGGTACGCTAACAGGTCTACTGCCATTTCGTCGCCTATTGCTTCCAACATTGGTCTACGGTGTGAACTCGAGGGGGTCACCCCCTGGAAACAAGATGCATATCTAGTAATAAACAACTCCATCCGTCCTTCGGGCTCAAATGCTTAATTGCTTTTATAACCACACGCACATTTACTTATATTCGCACTAATTCCTTTTATAGTGGTCTACATGTGATAGCATCGTCGATAATGTCTTATAATACGAAGAAAATCAGCCCCTGTATTGATCTGGGGAACCCTGCGATTGCATAATGGATTACTCCGTCCGGAGTATATTCCGCAAGTAGCCGACCCACCTCTACCCCTGCCCTCTACCACCTTCCCTACCCGATCGCTACCGATCGCTACCGACCCCTGCCGGCCCCTGCCGACGTACTGCCGGACATCCCCGCCCTCCTGTTGTTGTCGTCCTATTGTCCGTGCATGTGTCAGCCCCTTCAACAACATACCTATCAATAGCACATTGTCGTTCTAGGCTACCGTCACACGGCTGCCACTCATCCGACAACTCTCTCCGCGGTATGAAGTATGAGCCGATAACGTATGGATGTAGTGCCAAGGTGAGTGACATATCGAGAGTATAAGGCAGAATAAATGCCCTCCTAATAAAGTATTACTATAGAAGAGAAGCGGAGATCTAAGCAAAGGCTTGAAAACTAAATACCTATAGAGAGCGGATCTCAATATCGAGGAGGCCTAGCAGATGGGCGTTAAGTATATAGACAAATTCGGCATACTTTTCAGCCAGAAGTCCCCAAGCTATTTCTCCTTCCCTCCTTCCCTCCTTCCCCTTCCCTTTCCTTCGCTGAGGCCCCTCGTCCGAGTGCAAGTTGGCTGGGGGGTGCACTGATCGCAGCCCGGATATTTGGGTCAGCGTGGAAGCCAGGCGCGGATATTAGTTGTGTGGCCCCACACTCTGGACCTGGCCCTCGCGGCGAGCCGGAGTATTCCCATACAGGCCCTGTGGATGATTACCGTATGGCCGCCAGCCCGGTTCTGCGCGTATATTTGTTAATATCCGGATTATTGCCCAAAGCTGCCAACGTTATCAAAACTGCCAAACACGAAAATTCCCCAAATAGTCACAGGCTTCTGGGACAGTGCGCCCAGGCACTTGGCCCTCTGGCCACAGCCACCTCAGTGCGGCGATCATCGTCGTTTTCCTCCCAGTCTATGAAAAAGCTGAGATCCGTGGGCACAATAACCATATGCGGAAATTATATCATCGAACGCGGCGTGACAGTTGGGGCAGAGTGGCATGAGATTCTCTGCACGCGATAACGTGTCGTAGGCGCAAGGCAGCAGCCCTTGATCGCGAGACTGTTGGAACTATGGTTGTATGAGAAGTTAGAATGAAGGGGACCTAGAATTCATCAAACTCAACATTAACAGTCATTTTCACCATGCGATATTCATATCGAAACAAGCAACTGTTCTCTATAACATGTTGCTAACATGTTTAATCGACTTACGCCCCAACAACCATATTCTGCACATCGATATCCAGACCAAATTATGCTAGGGTAATGACTTCTTCGATAACCTTTTTCCTTTTTCGGAGTTGCATTATGCGACGCTGCACTTTGAAGAGCTAGAAAAAGGCCGTACCCAGAATGGCATGAATATCATTTCGAGGGGAAAGTGGAACAATAAGACCAGGATAAGATGCTCTTTATGCAAAGTTTGAAGTTGTATCTTAAGAAAAAGAAAGCGGGGCGTGATTTTGAAACATCGAAGGTTTTGTCCGAAGCAGGAAAATTATGAGTGAAGGGCTCAGGGAAAGTCTCTGGTTATGGCTATGGTATTGAGGAATATGGTTATACTTATTTCGAGGAGAGGCTCGCGTATCCTGATCTTGATGATTTTAATGGGATGGATGTAATTTTGCGATTATTCGATTACCGTGGCGACTCTAGTGCTCCTCTATGTTTTGGAGGTTTGGATGCGAAATGCTTCCTGCGCAACATGCAATTGGTGTTTAGAGGTGCCCAACAAGGAGTACAGGTCTTATTTAGTAGCCCAGTGCTCATTGGGAAAGTTCTACACGAGGCGCCTGCGTGTGGTAGCTGTGCACAGCCTTGTCTAGTTCAGCTCCATAAACTCACGTCACCCAGAAATATTTCAACAACATTCAGCACACACTCCCAAATCATCCGCATCGTTTGAAACAATGAAAAGGTAGCTCCAGAATAAAGTACTAGCAAGTTTGCTTTCGACATGGAAATCCATCCTTCTCGCGCGAAAGTAGGCAGTGGTTGGGAGCACAGCTGTCTTAGGTTTCGCTGACCTCCCACAGCAGATTATTCGCGCTACCGGGCAAAAGTTCGTTGGTAAATGGATTCCGAGGTATAACTTGTGTGATCAATGTCGAAGAGTAATTAAGGCGTTTCGAGAACAAGAAGTTTGGTTGGACTACAACTATGGACGTCCCGAGAAGCTCCTATCGAGACCCCGCTGCCAACTTTGCACTCTAATTGCGAAACATATCGGTAACGATGTTGCTGCAATTCAGAAGAAGTATGGTGTAGAAGGTATTCCAATTCTCACACTGGGTCTTGAAGAATCTAGAGGTCACTTTTCTGCTTTTGGCGAAGATCTGAAGTATAGTAATTCTTACGCGATTCAAATCAAAGTAGCGGGCCTCAGTTGGGGGTTTGTTAGGAATATATCGGACAGCAACCTGCCTGGAATTAGGAGAATTCGTGCGGCCATTGCTAAAGGTGCTCTTCCAAAGGATCCTCGATTTAATTCTCCGGATCAGATATCACCCCAACTCATTCGCCATTGGTTGTCCACCTGTGAGAAGACCCATAATTGTCGGCACGACATGTCCGTGACCAGATTACATCCAGCGGGGAAGAATATGTCCTTGGACATATTCCTTATTGACGTTGCTAGAAGTCGACTAGTTTCAGGACAAACGTCCTGGAGATACTGTGCCTTGAGCTACGTTTGGGGGAACGTTCCAATCTTCAAGACTACAAGAGCACGCCTCCAAGAGTTCAACCGCGCTGGGGCATTTGACATGAACAGTGTTGAGTTACCACAAGTGGTTCGCGATGCAATGATATTAGTGAACTCGTTGGGTGAGCGATACCTCTGGGTAGATAGCATTTGCATTGTGCAAGACGATGCAAACCAAAAACACAACAGCATCATGCAGATGAACCTAATTTACAACAACGCGCTCTTGACTATCGCGTCTCTGTCCGGAGTTACTGCCAACGAAAGCTTACCCGGAGTGCGAGCAGGGACTCGTTTCACCCAATCTACTGCTTCGATCAGCGGCATGGATATCTTTATTTCTGGACCATCGTTAACAAATGCACTTCGGACTTCTGAGTATGAGACCAGGGGCTGGACTTTCCAAGAAAGAGTGTTGAGTAAGCGGTGCCTCTATTTTTCCAAACATCAAATCTACTTCACTTGTGGACTTGGTACATGGAGTGAGAGTGACCCTCTTGGAGATTCGACAGGTGCCCCGGTTTTTCCCCAGACAGAAGCCGGAATCTACCCTCAGGATTATGTTCTTGATTACCTCAATCCGTTGAGTTACGTATTGCCAGGTAACTTATGCGCAGAGGATAGACGGGATAACACACTTATTGCCTACAAACGTCTCGTCAGTGTCTATACCAAGCGACACCTATCATATTCTTCGGACATTCTGAATGCGTTTTCAGGTATCTTAGCAGCTCTTGAGCAGCCGTGGAATACTCGATTCATCTACGGCATTCCGGATGCTCACTTCGGCAACGCACTTCTATGGAAAGGAACGGACGGCTCGATTACACGCCGAGGACAGGATAGAAGAGGTCACCAATTTCCCAGCTGGTCATGGGTTGGCTGGATCGGAAGTGTTGAATTCGTGGTTGAAGAATTGAAATGCCAACTCCAAATCGCAGAAATTGTCACGAACTCATATCGCAGGAGCATCGCAGTCAGAGATATCGGCGAGGAGGCTGATTTTCAAACATTACCTACGTGTAAACCCTCCTTGGTTGCTGCAGACTCCCCTGAAGCCCACGAAGTGATAGCTTTGCACATTCTTGCATTTACAGTTCCAGCGGCTATCATCTGGACGAAAATCTCTCTACCCCAATATGAACGCGACCGCCTCTTCGCTATCACAGATTGGACGGGCTACTTAGCTGTTCTTATATCAGCATCAAAGAAACCTACTAGTAGTAGTAGAAAAATAAGTTTCTTTTCTGATTATACCAAGAATAACATTGGACATGTTATGTTGATCAAGGAAGAAGGAGACATATCTACTCGTATAACGATAGGTTCAATCAAGCTAAAGGACTGGGAAGGAGAAGATCCAACGCTTCAGCGGATTCTACTTCAATAAGCTAGCTAGCATTCGAAAATGGTTTAACCCCTCACGCCTCTTATCCCTACGGTATCACATTTTCCCTTCTGGGACTCATCTCTCTCACCCCTTCTTCTCAACCTCATCTAGCTCAATGTGTTCATTTTTCATCCTGCACATCTACCCACATATCTCGCCATTTTCCCTCACCTCCCCCCTTTCCTTACTGCCTTGCAATTCTCCTGGTGGCACTCTTTTCCCAATGCTCTCCTACTGCAATACGGCCTCGGTTACATGCTAATAAACTACTTTACTAATATTTACAATAAATGCTTTAATAATACATATTATTTATATTAAAACAGCTTGAAGTATTATTCATATAATAAGCTAAAGAAAAGTATCTACCTAGGTAGTTAGATAGTTTAGATATTATAAAAAGGTCTAATTAAAAAGGGAAGACAAAGATATTAAGGAATTATACTTAATTATCAAGAGTATATTATAACCTAAGATTTTATGACCCTTAGCTACTTAATACTAACCCGATCTATATAATATTAATTATCTCCCTTTAATAGACTAAAACAGAGTCAAGAAGTATTCTAAAAGGGAAAGTGTATATCTCCTAAGCTTCGCATTCCTTCGTTATCTTTTCCTAGATTTGCACGCAATTCTAATTTCTATTGATTGTACATGAATTTTTCCTAGTCGCAAAAAGCCGTTAGTTAACTTAGTTAACCATGCGTAAGGAAAGAAGGAAATTAGTAGCTTTGTTCATACATTAGGCGATTCTTAATTGTGTATCAATGACATTGCGGGCTTCAAATGAGCTCCAGTATCATCAACGTCCGCTTTGATCGGCACTAGAGGTTTGCCTCTATTATTTTCAAAACTGTGGATAACAAATCGTGTGACAAGCCAATATCTCTCAGCTGAGCCTGGAAATCCCATTGCTAACAGCTCAGCAGGTGCAATACCACATTGCACCTCATCCCAAACCCTCTTCCAGTTGTGCAGAGCTAATTTGACGGATGCAATGAAAGGATTGAGGGTGTCTGGTAGCACGCTTGCCACTGGATTTCCGAAGAGCTGTTGCCAGACAAAAGTGTAAAATACTCCACGTGCCAGTTTTATTAGTAGAATACAAAATTTGGGAGTCGGTACTCACCATGTACTAAGATCTGTAGATCCCACATGTTCAAGGCTCCTTTTTCGACAGGATCGAACCGATCCGATTGTGGACTTGCCTGGAGAAAGAACAACTGAAATGCTTCTGTAACCTTTGCCTTTCTCTGCGGGAAACAGGATCGATCGTGCATGTCATCGTAGCTTGTGGCCTCAAAGTATTTGGATTCGCACGGGAGCTCTAAATCTAATTCGCTCCAATTAAAGTGTGGTGGGAGATTGTTGAAGATACCAAACGCGTTGTCAAGAGTCATCATAATATTCATTGTTCTTGAGATTGAGAATGTATTAGCAAACCGAGTCAAGCCTCTCCTAAGAAGTGAGCAACTTACCGCAATATACATTCTCGTCTAATCCACGAACGAAAGTCTTGGTTGTTGGATAGGGTAAAATTGACCTGATGCTGTGTTGTTAATGCCAGTCTAGAACGGGCTATCTAGGGACACAAAGTAAGTCAATATTTAAATAAAAGAGCAGGGGATAACTTAAAGGACGTACTGAAACCAGTCTCATGAATCTTTGTTGTCGTACTCGCTTCTTAGCCATCGCGTTTCCTGCCCAGTACTGAACGACAACCATGAGATAAGCACCCTGGAACTCTTCCAGTTGGCGTTGTTCCTCACATTCATCATTTTTGCCGGTTGGAGCACTTTGTTTAATCTCATAATCGTCTTCAATCCTAACACTGCTGTAGACTGCTATCTCTATGAAGTCCAATAGCAATTTCATCATGGAGACTTCTAGCGGGTCCTTAGAATACATTCCACCGATGGCGAAAACTGAGAGGAGAAGTGGCAGAGCTGTTTTCGATGGCTCGAAAGTTGGTTCGTGAATTATGGGCCCATGTCGGTGCCAATGATGAAAGTACAGTTTGATAAACGTGTGAATCCTTTCAGGCGTCAGAATATCCAACGCTTCAAAAGTAGGTTTGAGTCGGGGCTCGTCCTCTGGAATGTTGAGGCTGCCAATAGCATTGTATATCTCGGTCCTTATCTCTGTTGAACGTGGTTTGAGAGCATCAGGCGTGTTATTCGGAGACGGACTTTGTATCAAACCTCCATGATACTGCCCGGATTGGTTCGGAAATTCTACCCAAGGCCAATGAAAGATCGAATGATCCTTTTCCTGGGCATCAAACCTTTCAAATAGCGATTCGAAGTCCAAATCGGTGCTAGGCAAGGGACTTTGGCTAAAGCTTTCTTCGAATTGTGAGTCTTGTAGTTGAGGACTGTCCAAAGTTTGATCGAGTTGAGGGGAATCATTGTCTTCCTTTGACTTTGGAAAACATTCCGTGAAATTGTCTCCACCAGAGTCTCTGAGAAGGAATTGTATAGAATTGCGATTGACGTTTAAGTCAGTGCCTGTAAAAATATCTGAATCTAATGACCCTACACCGTTTGCCAAAATCTCATTAGCTTAAATATTAGGTATGATTAGAAAGCTATGAAACTTGTTTTATATCTCAACAAGTAAAATAGAGAAGTCCGGAATAGAACCCTTACCTTGCGGCTGAGATCTCAGGCACTGCCTTCTCAACCGTGTGCACCTCAAGCACGGTGTCCCATAGTCACATCTTACTTTGAGACGGGAGCATTCATTGCAAGCGTGCTTCTTGCGGCCCGTAGCGTTGAATGCTGGAATAGGTAATACGCCTCGGTATTCACACACAATGTAATGGTTGTAAAGTGTGTCACTTATATGTATTAGCATGGTTGTGGGAATTTTAACTAGGAGGAGGTCGTCACTGAATACCTTCTTACGAATTCCTTAGAACAGAACTGGCAGCAGAAAGGTTTTCGAGCGTGGTCTACCAGCTATCAATAAGTAAAGTCATCAGAAGAAAGTAGTATTGATAGGGGTAATACGTTGCTGTGCGTGGCGGAGCATATGCGTCCTTCTGGAGAATGTCTTTGGGCATGACGGGCAACAAGCTCTCGCAGAGACTTCAGTAAATCTTGATTGCGGCGTTGTATGTGATTGCATGATGAGTTGTCATTGAAGTGTGCCGTTGGGAGATACAAGTTTTGGAACTGCGGAGAACCTCGGCAGCGCGACAGAAAAGCCCCACAACCTTCTCGCGTCGCGCTCTACATCATGAACTCTTCATCGAAATTGCACAGCTACAAGGCAAGAACGATATATTCTTGAACATTAATAGAAGGTTTTATGGAAGTATATTTATATACATTCACTTTGAGGAAGAACCAAGTGGTAATCTATGCTTGTACAGGCATCACGTTGAACAATGGAGTGATCTTGTTCTCCCTCAATTCCTTTTCAACGACAGCCGAAACCTCATTCCACCTCTGCAATGTGTCTGCTTCAGCATCAAATGGATACAACCAGCGGTTCTATATATCATAGGATGTCAGTTATGCGGTTTGGATGTGACATGAATAGAAAGAGACAGTCTTACTCTAATCATCACTTCCTCGGGATCAAGCTTTTCGCCAGCTTCGACGGTTTTGAGTGCGCTATGCCACCTATCGCGAACGTCCTCTCCATTCAACTGACATTTGCGCACTCTATCGAATCGTAGCTTCTCATACACTCTTGTCTACAAAAAAAGGAACGTTAGAATTTTCATCGCACAAGTGAGAACAGAGTCGAAAATTGGAAGTGGCCTTACAGCAAGTGGAACATTATCTTTGCCTGCCAACTTCAAACACAGTGCCAGCACTGCACCACTCTCTGTTGCCTGAGATGCTCCTTGGGCGCTGGTCGGTAAATGAGGATGGCAGGAATCTCCAAGAAGAGCGACTTTGTGACTCTTGCTGATCCACGATGGGATAGGATCGCGATAGCATATTTTCCAGTCTAAACATTCCTTCGTCTTTTTGACGGCAGCCGCTATCCGTGGGTCGAGGTTTTCAATAATCTTCTTGACATCATCCATGTCTCCTGGCTGAAACCATGATTCTTCGATGTCTGTGGTATCCTTGTGGGTTAGAATCCAGTTGAACTCTTCGCCATCCCGCAGGGTGTTCTGGACCATGTGGACATCATGTCCAATCCAAATATTCACACACTCTTTCTCAACAAATTCGCGGCAGAGGGGATCTTCCTTGAGGAATTCGCCCTTGAAGTACGCTCTATAGCATGCGTAACCCGACGACTTCGGCTTGTCTTGAAAGCCTAAGACTAGCTCACGAGCAAGCGACTTGATGCCTTGAATACAGGTTAATTTCATTGTGGTCAATCATCGGTTTGTGGAAGGCGTACCGTCAGCGGCAATAATGACATCAGCTTTATGAACTTCGCCGTTTTCCAGAGTAATTGATGGCTGAAACTCGTCATAAGATACAACCTTGAGGTTTGTCTGTCAGTTCCTTGTCGGGGGCGCTGCGAGGAGAACTTACATTGCATCCCATATGAATTGGGATTCCCAGCTCCGCAACTCTATCAAGAAATGCTTGATGATAGTCTCCGCGGTGTCCGATATATCCAGCCATATCCATAAGCGGCTGCTGTGCCATAATCTCACCACTCTTCCAGTGTCGAATTTGCATAAACTCTGATTTATTGCCAATAGCAACCAGATTGTCATGCAAACCCCATCTCTCCAATAACCGGAGCGCGTTCTCGCCCAGTCCTAGAGAATCACCTAACCGCAAAAATTTGTGTATTTTCTCGAAAATTTGAACTTCGAAACCTTGATAATGCATGGCCATTGCGGCCGCGCATCCTCCCAGGCCCCCTCCAACGATGATGACTATGGAGAATAGTTAGTCTTCTTTGCATTCGAAAATGTTCAGAGCGATGGTGGCCTGCCTTTCATGTTTTGCTCAGTCATGTTTTCGGTGCTGAGGTAAAAAGTCAAGTAATGACGCGTTGCTTCAGCTGTTTAGAAATGGACCAAAGTCATTAACCATTAATATAGGCTGGAATTATTTACTATTTACCCCCGCAATAATTTGCCTCCATATACCCCACGACTCTAGAATCTGGCAATGTGGGGGACAAGATTACTGCCCCCACATCAGCTAGACCTAGGGGTACTCACCCACCACGTGCTTATATCTCCACCTAATCACCCAAATACCATCCTAAATATGAAGTACATAGACCACAAAATAAATCCGAATAGCGTGGAGGGGTCCTTGTACATATGATGCGATAACTTCAGTGATTCAAGGAACTCGTTTAGCAACGTCGTTTCCATTGCAACCTCATCATTTTCATTACTGAATAAGTAAGATACCCCATCTTCGGTAACAAGTCTTTTCCAACTCTTAAGCGGGGAGTTTAGGGCCGCTCAAGGGCTCAATTTATGGAAAGCAAATAATTGCAAAGTATCTAATCAATTGTATATTTTGTAGTGTTAAATAATGCTATATCTACAATTTGATCCCCTTTACCACGCTATATACCCAATGACATTACAGCTATCAAAATCCATCTTCAAAGTTTCGATTTCGTCTCGGATCCAAGAGAGAAAATTCCCTGGGCGTCCCTATTATTTGCAGTGATTTCCCACCCCTTCCCTCGGTATGCTCTCGGCCAAATCCCATTTCTACCTGGCGCGAGAATACCATTCGGATCCAGGGCGTCTTTCACCGTCTCGTTGAACCTGCGCAGCGCCTGGTTGTTCCACCCATAGGTAGCAGCAACTTGATCAGCAAACAGAATGTGCGTTCTGTATTCGCCATAACCCTCTTTGGCGCATGCAGCAATGAGTTCACACATAAGCCCGGTCGCACGGCGCTTTGCGTCGAGATCCGATCGATCATAGACGATGTTGGTAATGTAATGCATCTCACGGCCGGAAATTGTCAGGGTTGGAAAGAGATCGAAGCCCCATTTCTGGTGTAATGTATCAATTATGTTGTGGACGATCCGTGCATCCTTGCCTCTGGTAGGCGTAATGGGGGAGAAGAAAAGATGCGCCGCGTTCGGGACCCAGTTAAGCCAGTCGACTTCTCGTAGAACTGGGACCCCCGAGAAAACTTTACTGCGAGAATGGATGTAGTGGTCCTTCGGAAGGTCGTCCGGGTAGAGAAACTTGCTACCTTTGACAGTGGCGAAGGCCGTCCGTATCTTGCTCATCTGAGATTCAATAGATATCTCGTCACCATATTGACAGCCGTAGAAGACCCACGCTACATCTCCACATGGTTGAGTACTGGCACATTTAGAAATAACATCTCTTGGCATCCGGCCTTTGCCTTGATACCATTTGCGTTTATTTTCTCCAGTGACAGCAAGCTCCTGAATGACGTGGCGAAGCTGCGGAATATTTCCAAAAATCCCGGACTGCGCCAGAGGTCTGACAACTTCTACAATATGTTCGAAATCGTCGTCGCGTGGAAATGTGACCATATATGTCTTGTGGCCAGTGTCAGGCATGAGCCAGAAACCCATCTTCGTAACGATACCATAGTTACTCTGGCAGAACATTCCATCGGAATATGGACCGTAGGCAGGTTGAAATGACTCCCACACAGGATTGTCTGCACCATCCTTCCCAGGGAGAGCACCCATTCCGGTCCGTAAAAGCTCACCGGTTGGTAAAACAACCTCCATACCGCAGTGGTAAGAAAAGTGGTCTCCATAAGGAGTGTAACTAGAGTCAAGTCAGCCATCGAATGTAAAGTAGTTGCACAGGTGAGGCACAAACCCAACTCCACGATCTAGTGCATTTCCCATAACACTTCCACCACCGAGATCTGGGCAGTCGATCCACAAAGGCAAGCCTGTCTTTTGAATTTCCTCGTACAGTTTGTAGTAGGAAACACCCGGCTCCACCATACACGAGGCGCTGCTCCCATCAATCTTTAGCACTTTGTTCATTCGGCGGCCAAGATCAAGCACAACGGATCCAGGAACACGAGGGGCTGCTCCACCGTACCCAATGTTTCTTCCCATGGAAATTGGGTAGATCGGAATGAGATGCTTATTTGCCCAGAAAACGACAGCCTGTACTTCTTCGGTGCTGGATGGATATACAACGGCGCTGCAAACCATATCTTCTTGGTGTGCAATATGGAATGCATCATGTGTGTTTCTACAATGGGTTAGAGAGCCTTCTACAATGCTGCAGCATAATCCTCTGATCATATCCCCGCATGAGGAAGTCAAAGACATACGGATGCTCCATATACCACCCATCCACCAACGGCTTATCGTTAATTTCAACATTGGCCGCTCCGAGTCTCTCTCTTAACTCCGCCATGGCCGCGTCAAACTTCTCTCGCGTCGTATTCGGAGGAAGTCTCGGGACCTCCCTCTGCCGCGGAATGCTGTCAGGAACGGTTGCATTGGAATATAGCAACTCCTTCGCCCGCTTCGCATCCTGCTCCATCCGCTTGGGAATACCGTCGTGAGAGGCCTCTGAAAGAAGAGGCGTTGGCTTCGAGCCTCTCACTGAAAGAGTCGATTCTGATGGCATTGTGGTGGTAGCTTGAAACTGTAGAAAATCGCAGCAATGGGGTTCTTTGAGATGAGAGAGAGCTGCAGCAAGCAGCCCTCTTTATCCCTAGCTGAGTTTGCCACTAATGGGATTGGGTTGCAAATGCAACTCGGCAGTAGCAATGTAGCATGCTGCCCCCACATGACCGTGTCCATGATATCTGCCACAATGTGGGGGAGGGAATGAAGAAACCTAGCATGGCTTCGTCATGCTCGTAACTGTGGAGATAATGCCCAAGATATGATTGCAAGACACAATTCGGCACGCGTGTGCGTAGTAACCAAGGTTATGTTGTAGCTCAGAACAAGTAACTCTTTACGAAATATCGCAGCGCCAATGCCGAAAGCTGGGGCGTCCCCGCATCGGCCCTGCATCGGCCCGGCCCTGGGGCTTTCCCGATCGCGTTTCCCCCACTGTTATTGGCCAGGCCCTGGGCATACATGCAAAACCGACCAATAAAACAGCCATATACCAATACCCATTCTCAACAGGGCCAGGGCACATCAACATCAACATCAACGTATGCTTTACTTTGCTTTATTTTACTCTCTAACCAACTACGTACTATTATTTGTTATCATCTACAATTTCTTGACCGCGAAACTACAATTCTTCACATAAAATCATCCCAGCTTCAATCCAGCATGCCAGGAGTGAGCTGCATACCTTCCCCAGCCCCTTCCACATCACCCAGCGACTCTTCGTCCAATGTAAAGCCGACCAAGATCCGAAAATCGAGTAAGAAAGCTCATATCTGCAAAATCTGCCACAAAAATTTCTCGCGGCGGGAGCATTGCGCGCGACATGAGCGAAGCCGTAGGTGTAACCTCTCCCATTCATGACTAGTTCCCCCATTGAAAGTCTTCCTCGCAGATACACGCGAGCGGCCATTTCCATGTAGATATTGCCCCAATTGGTATGCACGGAAGGATCTTGTTAGTCGCCATGAGAAAAGTCTTCATGTGGATATCTATACAGCACCTGTCCACCAGACCGAATCGGTGTCTCGGCTTCAAGTTTCATCAGATGTGCCACCCTCTGAACCCATGAACTCTCCCTCGCAACAGGGCCTTGACGCAGGTTTAAGCCTTGAAGAACCCAAGAACACTCGTCCCAGCACTGTACATATTCCTCGGTCTCCTAGATCGTCAGGGGTTAAGAATAATGTCGACTTGGATTGCATGGATGGCTTCTACAACGACATGGGATTAAGTGCTAACCTCCCATTCAACCCTAGGGAAATGCAACTTTCACATCTGATAACGGATGTTGCATACAGTCATTCGGAAACCAGCCCTTCGGCCCCTTCCCCAGCTGATGAGCTCTCACTCAGGACACACTTGGCTCCGTCCCATTCAGCAAGCAATAAGGGAGTGCGGAATGGAGATATTCATACAAACAGCTACACAAAATCGCATAGCCAATTGCCTCCGCATATCCTAGATCCAATATTCGACGATCTCGATTTCTTTAGAATCATACCATATCCAGAGTCCAACGAATTTACGAACGCAACTTCTACCCATGAGCTGCCTGTCGACAAAGCTTATCCATATAACAATATGGGCTCTCAAGAAATCGAGGTGGAGATGTACAGCCCACAATCCAGGAGCGATAATCTACAAATGTCTAAACTTTCTAGCCAAATCAACGGCCCAGAGTCTCAAGGATCGGTCTGCTCAGCTGACCATTTCTCGTCTCCGAAAAAGACAGGGAGAAACACCACACCGTCTTTAGTACTGAACGATCGTATACGACAATTACTGTTGGAAGACCTTGAGAAGCATTTGAGTTCGGGCCAGAGTAAAACTTTAAAGTTACCGTCCACTAGTCTTCTTCAAAGATTCCTATCGAGCTATCAGTCTTGCTTCCACCAGCATTATCCCATTCTCCACCTTGCTTCCTTGGACCTCGAACAAGTGCCTAGTCCTCTCATCCTTGCCATATGTGCTATAGGTGCTCTATATCGCCTCGAACGAAAGCATTCTGCATCTCTTCAGCAGTGGGCGGACAAAGCCATCCGTTCGGTTAGCTCTTTTCATGTTACACCATTCTAGCTCCTTACTAAAATAATATAGATAAGCAACTTTAATCCGTCGACGTACAAGTCCTCACCTTCGCCAATATGGGTGGTTCAATGTAAGTTCCTGTTGGCTTTCGCAAGAGCATTCAGCGGGATCCCTGCTGTTGTCAGGACTGCGCTTGAATCACTAGAGTATCTGTCAATGGTTCGTCACCAACCTGCATCATGGCTACGTGTGTTTTGCTGATAATAGTAAAGGAATATACCATCCGAAGGATCGATCTTGAGAAGACTCGCAATCCTGTGCAGGCTCTGTCCTGGGCCAACTGGGTAGAAATTGAAACTTCGAAAAGGTTTCTATCCTTACTGTTCTAATTCACTTTGCTGACCTAAACTAGGCTTCTTTGTGGGATCTTTGTTTTAAACAGTCTCGTCACCATAACTCACAATACAACGCCGCGAATCAACATGCTTCCTGATGCAGATATCGAGATGCCCCATGAAGAGGCTCTCTGGGAAGCTTCGTCATCGAAGCAATGGCTAGAGCTCGTGGCATCTCGAACTAAGGCGACATCACTTCGAGTCATTGATGCTGTAAATCATGTGCTATTTAAGCAACAGATCAGATCTCAAGATGCGGCACTAGCCTGGTCAACTTTTGCCACAACTATCGTAATTCAAGCAGTCAACCTACACATATATCACCTGGTCCAATGCACACAGGCTTTTGCCTTATTCGATCTCGATCATGTTTCTCAGAGGATGCGTGCGGCGGCCATGCAACAGGCTGAATCCGCGCTTGAACGATGTCAGAATTTGTTCGCCGATCGCCATTTAGAACAAGAGCAAGCTCTCGATGACCCTGGAGGATCCCGCCGGTCAAACGGCCATGCTCTATTACGAGTAGCATACGTTAGAACGTGTGGTGGAATGGAAACGTTGAACCGTTTGATTCTTCTGAGCGACACTTTCGAAGACACGGCGAGGGATATCCACACATATATCTGCAGTGACCAGAATCGGACAGCGCTGGTAACGAATACTGCTCGTAAAGCACTTGATGGACTATTTACCTCAGTGAACGCTGGGAAACTGCTAGTTATGAAAACGGCGGCCTTCAAGTGGAGTATCGACCATGCAATAGCTGATTGGAACTGCGGTAAGACTCTCTCTTAACCCCAAGCAGCCTCAAATACTGAAATTCCATCGTGTAGCGCTTTTTGTGACCCGATGGATTCACAAGTTGGAATGCCAGCAGCATTCTCACCCTCTAGATCTCGAAGAGCGGCAAATTCTCGAAGACGTCATAGACCTTCTTTCCAGCGCGGACATTAGCTTTGATGGTAGCACTTCGTTAGCAGCTAAAGTGATAAGGCTATGGGCTGACTTCTTCGATGATACGTGGGTCTGGGGAAGTAAGCTTGTCTCCCGTTATCCCTTACTGTCTGCGGAGCTTTGCTAAAGGTTTCAATTACAGTTACTCCGCGAATGGGTGCCGTAATGCGGGTCATGGCTACTGTTTGTGAAAGCGATCGAAAAGCTCATCGTGCGCCAGCTTACTAAGGTCGTCTTTCTACACACAGAACTGACTAATGACTGTGTGAAAATAGAAAATTACATGGTGTGGCGACGACATAGTCCGTCACACGATTATGCGTTTGCTAAAAACCAATTTGGCTTTAATCGACAGATATGGCGAGCTTTATAAACACGAGACAATATTGAAGCCGTTCAACCTGTCAATATAGGCCATGTTAATTGAGAAAAATGTAGCAGCCTAGTGGGCCTTTAAAATGATATAAACGAAGTAAAAAGGGGGATTTATCACCTGAGGCGCTTCCGAGTTTAGTCAAGGAATAAACAACCCATAAACAACAAGCTGTAGCGCGAAAAGGACTAATAATATATTAAAAAAAAAAAGGAAAGTGTAAATGAGTTGCCCTCTACTAGTTACTCGAGTAGTCGCTAATGCTTCTCACGTCTACTATCGATCATGGTTATGTCTCGTCGCCTTCGTCCTTAAGACTTGATAAACATCTTTGATTACGTTCAAGATTGTGCCTGAATTCCGATAAAGTGGAGACCTAGATTGGATGTAACAAGAGAGTCCCCCGACAAATATGATGAAAGTGGCCCGTGTAAGCATTTGCAAAAGGAACAAAATGAAGTGCTACTACTTTACTGTGAACGCTGTCCCTTCTGATCCGGAAGGCTCCGATCGTATCCCAGATTCACAGCTTTGTACAACTGTCCATCCCAACCCTACTTAATATTTGCCAATCTTGTTCCCGATAATAGTATAACCAAGCTAAGATGCCAATCCAGATTCCGGGTCAACCCTGAATTCGAGAGTCTCCCGAGTCCCTGGACAGGATTTGCAGCGGGATCGGTCCAACTGTCAGCCTAAAGGCCAGAACAATTTTTCACGGAGTATCGTCTACTCTCAGGGGCGTTCCTAGCTGTAAACTGATTTGTGGCTATTAATGTGGCAGCCGCATCCTTCAGAAGAGATTCTGAAGAAATAGAAGAATGATAAGCTAAGGGCGGGTGCGAGGAGGCCTGAACTCCAGCTGCATTGTCCATTGTTTAGCAGTGCCATGGCCTCAGCACTGGTACGATCAATAACAGTTGCTATGATGAATCGATCTGATGTTGTCCTGCCGAACGTGCAGGAAGTAGAGGTCCTTTTCTGAGTTTCTTTCCTACAGTCCAACTCTAGAACACAGCTAGATGCCAATATAAACGATATGGACCGCGATGGCGCATTTTCGCAATGAATCGAGTATAATACACGCTGTGGATATTCTAACACCTATCACCCTCGGAAGATATTCGAGTCGCTAAGTTTGTCGTTTCTTGCAAGCCCCTGGATTGCCTAATCTTCCAATCCTAGTGCGTTTTGAGACTCTCTGACCGATAGATTGACCTGACAAAGGACGTGACTGACCACCAGATGCCGCTTCAGCGGAAGAGTATTGACTCTTATTACCTTTTGTCGTACTTCGGGTTTGAATTGTAGACGGCGGGTCGATGCACTCATGAATCATGAAGTACTTCTTAATCGTCCAGTCGAATACATCGTCATACTCAAATTTTTTGCGCACGAAGAGATCGCTAAAGAGTTTACGAAGATAGGGGTAGTTAGGTGGTTCGTCAAAATCCAAATTACGGACATAATTGAGATAGGTTGCGAATTCCTTTGGGAGCTGACGGCAAAGCTCCTTGATCGAGGTGTGTATCTTCTTCTCTTTAATGCACCGGTTTCTCTCGTCCTCCGTCGCCGCCTTCAGGCTTTGCCAGGGCAAAGAGCCGCGGACAAAGTAAATCATCATATATCCAAGGGATTCGAGGTCGTCGCGGCGGGATTGCTCTAGGTCACACTCAGTCACAATATAACCGGGATATATTTATACGTACCGACTTCAAGATGATTATTAATGGTAGCATAGCGGCTTGTTCCTCCGAATTTGCAATTATCGTAACGTGGCTTATGGACTCCCGTTTCTGGATCTCTGTACTCCTTTGCAGTATCAAAATCAATGACATGTACCAGATTTCCAAGCTTGCCGGTTCCCATTAAGAAGTTTTCGGGTTTTATATCACGATGGATATAGGATTTAGAGTGGATATATTCGATGCGGGGGATTAATTGGTCGGCAAGGAGGAGTACCGTCTTTAGAGAGAATTGTCGGTCGCAAAAGTTGAAAAGGTCTTCTAGGCTCGGGCCTAGTAGATCAAAAATCATGGCATAGAAGTCGCACTCCTCCCCATACCAGCGGACGCATGGTATGCCGACCCCGCCAGAAAGATCCTTGTAGATATCGGCCTCTCGCTCAAGAATAGGCATGTTGTCTCCGATGTATTGGAGCTTGATAGCGATCTCCTCATCGGTGTTGAGATCGATACCTTTCACAGTCAGTCTCTGCTATCTCCAGGATGGTACTAGGCAACTACCAGAGTAGACCTCACCGAAGCCTCCTTCTCCAATCTTGCGCTCAACGCGATATTTATTCTTGATTTGAATGTCCTGTGGAAGGGCGTCAGTTGGCAGGCTTCTATATGCTAGGCAGCCGTGGGAAATTACAGACCAGAGCTTTCATTTTGGGCGGGTGTTGATTGCCGCGTCGATTGTTATGAAGCATGTTGGCTATCGGGAAAAGTGTAGTGGCAACACAAGGCAATCAGCTGCCAATGCACCTAGGCAAAAGATATCAGTCGTTCTCAAGATATTCGCTAGCTAATAGCCAAGTGTGCAAAGTGTATATTGTATAAGAATACCGAACTTAACGCTGGAGAGCATCAAGGGCTCCTAGAGGTTGGGGTGGCCAAATACTAATTCAGCAGACTATAAGCCAAGCCTATCAAAGAGAAGAACCTGCCTCGTCTATAGCGCCAACAAAGGGGCAGCACAAAGGGGCTCGCTTCCTTACATAACCCCCCCTAGAGTATATAGCCTCCCGTTCTCTGAACAGAGCAAAACAAATAAAACTCCTTTGAACAATGGATGTTCTTTGACAGCTCTTACCGCACCCCCGCTATGGAACGCGCGCTCATAGAATGCAAGCGGGACTAATTAACAGTATCAAAGACAAGTAATATATCAAATTAAGCTAGTAGGAACTATTGCTTTGACTAACCCGAAGGCCGAGAAACTCCAGACCCTTGATTATCCGACAGACACCAAACACCAGAATTTACATGTAGACATCGTACCCAAACTTATCTCTGAGAGAAACGCCTCTGCCGGGATTCGTCACCACTATGGCGCGCAGCTTTAGAAACGGACTTGTCCGATACCTTTGCAACATTGCTAGAGGTTTTAGGTTTCAAGGACGTGTCGGCCCCGAGTTCATTAGACAACGTCTCAGCCTCTTCAGTGTGGTACCCATCCACCATTTCCGACGGGCGGTTGTAATCTAATGATTTGACAGTTGATGAATCTGTGTATAACTGTGAATCATCCTTGGGAACTTCCGCTTGCGACAGATGCGGTTCTATGGGATCTACGACGGGATGACTCGGAAGGAGCTGCCTCTGCGTTCATGGACCTCACTCTTTCATTCGCATCCAATATTAACCGATCGCGCTGTTCCTGGGCCCAATCTCTGGCATTGCAGAGAGCCGTAACACCGCGTCGGAAACTATCAGGGCTGCCAGTCAAGCCCCAGGAATCGACCTGAGTCATGTGATATTCGGTATTGCCATCATCCAACTTGGTAGCATGAGTGATGTATATCTGCAGCGTGCCAGTCCCAGCGTGATAAGTTGAAGTAATTGTGTAGGCATCGCCGTCGTAGACTGACTGGTCCTGTTTATACGACTGCAGCAGATGCATCGCCCTCGCGCCTAAAGCGCCATTGTAACCAGCTTGCCGTCTCGCCACATTTGCAGCTCCTCTTGGGGCTTTAACCTCTAAGAAGAAGTTGGGTGCTACCGGAGCGGCTGGATGGCGTGTGGGGATGATGAAATGCCCCAAGTCTTTCTGGACCTGTTTATTGATGTCGTCAAGTCGAGCTCCGTCGTAAAAGTCGGGTTTGCCAGCAACCGTGGTCCCATTAGCTATCGGGTAGAGCCGTGTAAATAGCAGGTTCTGCTTATTTGGGATATTGGAATTCCCACATATTATAGGAACTATGTGCTGCATTATCTCCCCCTCTTCGGTTATATCCTCGTGTTTCAGCTCAAAATCCTCATAGGCATCGTCAGAGAAGGGAGATGGCGAAAGAATTGGTCTTGGTTGTAATAGTCTTTGACGGAGCTCTCCTAAGTTTCCTGGTTTGGACCTTCGGTTATTCAAATGGATGTGATGGTCTCTCAGATGCTGTTCGAAATCGCTATCATAAGCAGAAGATCTTGTGGTCTTCAGTGTACCTATACTAGTCTGAGCTGTGGATTTGGTCTGCCAGCTTTCGAGGGAGTTGCTAGAGCCCATTGAGCGTGGTGAAGGATACTGGAGAAGTTATAAATGCACTAATATCCTTGGGTAGCTCAGTCTTACCCCTCGAAGATCGCAAAGCTCTGGACCACCGTCTCTAGCAAATCTCTGTATTTTGTCCGAAGTATTCCGTGTTATGGGTCGAAGCGTAGAAGCACGCTGTTGCGGACTGTTGGCTTGACTTGTTCGTCGATCGAGCTCCTTCAACGCTCGGCGAGTGAGCCACACCTTTGAGAGTGAATCGTAGAATTCCGCAGAATGAAGCTTTATGCTGGACTTAAGCCGCTTTGGAAGCTGCGATTCTGACTGATCGTCAAGCGACAGGTCTGCTTCAGCGCGCTGTCTTTTTCGACGAGGTGGTATCTGTTCTTGAGTGCTGGACATTGTGATAACGAAGAGGTAGTAAATTATCGTAGGAAGCAACTGACATATACTGTAAGATCCAAGAGGGGATGCCTCACAAACTGCTACTATGAGAACGCGCTAGGCCCGAATAGGAACAAAGAGCCAAAGAGAAAAAGAGAAAAGGAGGGAAAAGGGAAAACAACAAACAGTGGCCCTGACAGGAGGCACAGTGCCTAGGATGACCACAAAGAGTCATGTATTAGTAAAGTTCGATGGGAGTGCGGCATGTCAACAACAAGGCTTAGTAGATATTGTTACTAGTAGCACGGCAGTGGGACTACTCCGTATCAGTCGACTTATTTCCAGCGGCCGATGGTGAATTAAGAGTGTACCGGAACATCGCCAAATTAGAGTTGGCCAGTAATCTAGACTCTATTAATGCAATTGTACCATTCTCCAAGAATTATTCGAGAAGTAACAAATACCACAGGTTTGAGAGCAAGGAGTGAGCAGAGATTAAGCAAGATTACCACGTTTGACGAATGGCGAATAGAGGATGTTCACAGGTTTCAACTGTGCACTGCCCGAGCCTTCAATGAAGTATCCAAGCTTTGGCATGTAGCAATAGCGACATTCGCGGGACCATACTTAGTGATCACGGTTGATGTGAACTCATCATGCGAACCGATTCTACTCGCGCTTTCGCGCTCCATTGGGGTATTAGCAAAACAGCTTTATTGTGCACTGATATAACCTACAGAAATCCTCAGCGCTCGCAACCAAACTCCAGACCCTGCCCGCGCCACAATGGCTTTTGTAGTATCGGTAGACCTCCCCTAACTCCTAATCACTCGGGCTCAACTTGTTGGTCTCTCCCTGCTGCTGTGACAGACAATCGTAGCGATGAAGAGCAGCAACGAACGCTCGCTTCTCAAAACGATAACCTAATATCGATAGCGAGTAGAATAATCCTTCGGGCTCACAACCAAACCCCGACCCTTCTTCGCCCCACGATAGATGGTCTCGATGATATCAATCAGTTCCTGTTTATCTTCCAGCACCCAGTTCAGCTTATTATTGTTTCCCGTCCCAAAATCACACATCATATGTTTGTTCCTAAAGAAGAACATGATCGTCATGGGGTCGTATAGCTGTAGGCAGGAGTTAGCTTCCATATTATAGCTGTTGCCTGAGCTCGGGCATAATTACCTCGTACATGCTCTTAAAGTCCGGCACCTCGTCCAAGTCGCATACGTAGACGACAGCAAAATTCTTCACTCTTTCGGCGATACGGTAGAGGACTTCGTCTTGCCGCATACAATCGGGGTCTGCATCGCGTCCGAAGCGGATGACGACAAGACGATCTTCTTCACTGAGAATCGCCTGATCAACATGCCATCCAGTGCGAAGATGTGGTAGCACTACACTTCCCATCTTGTTGGTATACCGCTCGTGTGGATTTGGGTGTTATGGGGGCGATGGGAATAATGTGGTGGTATCGAGTATCAAAGTTCTGAGATGGGAAGTCGATTTATTAGACAAAGCCCCGCGGCTTAAAGGTTAAAAGAACACTAGACCTAACTAGGCTAGCTCATGAGTAGCTAGATCAACCACCAAAAAGCTCAAGATATATTGTTCTCAATTACATTATCCATTCTGTTCACAGCCTCACATAACAACAGCCTTATCGTGAATACCCCATTTCTCATTACATCATTAATGCCCAACTCAAGATCCCATTTCGGCCCTAGTCAACCAAATCACAACCCACACAACGAATTATCCACACGCTTATAATCGACCTGAATGCTCCCAAGGAAGACCGCCTGTCCACGCGTCAACGTATTCATCACCGACTCAGCAATGTTGAAGCCCCCATCCGCATGATCAATCGCAAGGATGTTAACGGTCTGACCCTCATAAGTCAGACTGTAACACGTGCCGCAATTCGGATCATTCCAGCCAGCAATCGGAAAGGCACCTCCGATACGAGGGAATGAGGGCAGAGAGCCTTGCGTGGTGAAGCCTTTGGTAATGAGTCCGTTTTTGCCGTTGCTACAAGCGACAGCGTTGAGGGAACGGCCGCGGTCGTCGTAGCCCGCGTCGTAGGAAACTGTTACTGCCAATGCCGTGGTGAGGAGGGCAGCGCCGGCGGAGAAGATGGAATACCGCATTTTTGTTTGTGTTATGAAACGACTGTGGCTTGTTTTTGAAGTTTTTGCGAGGAAAGAGAGAGGTTTTGGGAGTTTGGTTTTGGCGATTTTCATGTCCAGAACTCGACTTCTCCGAGTTCTTATATCCCCCCCCCC